TCCCTTCGCCTTCACCTCTCCCCATCGACCCCCATCGACTTCCACCACCTTACCATCCTCCATCCTCGTTTTTCAAGGCGGCCTGCGTCGTGCGCGTGTTCGGCTTTGTGTCGTTTGCGCCGCGTTTCGCTGTAAAGTGCCCCGTACTCGTCACTCCAACTTGCACCTGCAGGTAATATTTTTGGGCGAACCCGACTTCCCAGCAATCCGATAGATTCCGTTTTGTCACCCCAGCGAACTTCTCTCGAGCAGTTTCGCCCAGCGGTATTTTTCCCTCCCAGCGACCAGCGACTACGGCCCGTTCCACACGACAAGGAAAGAAGAGCAAGCAGCGCTTCCTCCTCTTTCTATCCACCGTATTCCCGCAAACGCTCAACGGCCACGCCTCCCGTGCGCACACGCATCTCGCCGGTTTGTCGCTCAGACAACCAATCGAGAACGCCACTTTGACGCCGTTGCTTCTCTGATTGCAAAGGTTACGCCTAGGCGTCTCTTCGACAGAGCCGTCGTCCCTCTGTCGCGACCCAGACATTGCGCGCACGAAAGTACGCACGCACACCGCGTTTTCCGGTGTATCCGAGCGTATTCTCTCTTTGTGTCCGCATAGCGTCCGCCGCAAGCTTCAGAGCCAAATTCAAGTTTCATCAAGCATCGGTCGTAACGCTCACGCGCTTCTGACCCGTCGTCCCGAAACTTGACACTCCCATCCGACATCCCACCCCGCATTGCACAATCAGCTGCAATCAAATCGCGCACTCCCTGGCTCTGTTCGATCCAGCACACGCACGATAGGAAGCTTGGCTTGATTAGGTGAGTTGGACTTTTCGGCTTAGTGCATTGCCACGATCTCCGACCCGGCGCCGAGTCCGTGTGTGTGCGACCTGTGCATGGGCAGAGGGCGGCAAGGCAGTTCGGCGGCGGCGCATGAAATCCCGCAATCCGGCACGCCTCTGCACGCCTTGGCCCACCTGGCAGACTGCTGGAATAGCGTTACGCATTCCGTGCCTCAGCCTAACGGTCCTACTCCACGCCATACACCCCCTCAGGTTATTCCATTAGCGTTGCCCGGGTGTACGGCACTGGTTCACAGGACAGGCCAGAGGCGCACGCTGTGTCCTTGCACATCAAGCATAGTCCACCACTGGTCGTCTGGTTCCCCGCACGCGGGGGTCCCTCACCAGGTTGACCGGCGTCCCCATGACTTGCACGATCCCTCGTCTCATTGCTTCCAGTGATCGTCCTTGATACGTCATTTACTGACACCCCTTCTAGGCTTCTTCCTTGACCACTCTCATCCTCCTTTATCTTTGCCCGTACCCGTCCGCACTCCTCCCCCTCCTCTTTGCGATGTTGAGGTCCTACTAGAAGACGAGTCGACTTTGTTCGGCACCATCTCATTCTAGTCTGTAGGCACCCAGCTGTTGGGTTTCTTACACGAGGGCTACCACCGTTACAATCAGCTCGATCGTCACCAAGTTCAAGCAATACTACCAAGTGCGACTTCCTCTTATTCCTATCAACCCTCAGTTCTCGTCGTTTGATCAATCAGTAACAGGAAACGATCAAGACCCCTATATCCCTCAACTCTCTCCATCACCACCATCATGTCTTCTGTTCACAACATCCCGCATTCGCCGACTCCCCAGCCGGCGAAGAAGCTGCGCCCGTCGCTGTCCCCAGCGCGTGGCTGCCTCCGCCCGTCATCCCCTCCCGTCGAGTTCGACGCCAGCAGCCGCACGTCGTCTGCGCGCTCCAGCTTTTCGGACGGCAGCGATTACCGCCGCTGCAAGACTGTCCACTGGCAGGGCGAGGTCGATGGCTGTGTTGTCACTGTGAGTTTTGACACAAATTGATATATGATCTGAAACTGACTCGTGTCTACAGAAGTGCTTCGACACGTACTCGGCCTCAGAATACGACCGCACCCCTCTCGCGCCCCCCTCAGAACAGGAGCGCTCCTGCGTCCTCCCGGCCCGTGGGGCCCGTTGCTTGTCTTATATGGACGACGACGAGGACGACGACGAGAGCGATCACGACGAAGAGATGGCGGAGGCATCCGACAGCGACGATGACACGCGCCCATCATCTCCCTTTGCTTCGCCGGAAGACTCGGATCTGTCCGGCGTCGAGGACGACGGAGACGAGTGGAGTGCATGCTTTGCGCGCCGCCGCATGATGTTTGCGCGCATGAGCTCGCTCGACCGGGAATCTGCCCAGCCCCAGTTTGAGGGCTACCGCTCGCTGTCTGCGACGCTCGTCGAGCTGCTCAAGTCTGTCGGCTGCGACGAGGACGACGACACGACAACGCTGTCGTCGACCCCCGGTTCGTCAGCCGACGAGGGCGGCATGAGCAAGCTGTCTTCGGTCTCGTCCAACGAGAGCATTGCGACTGTCGTCTTTTCCCGTCTCCGCGAGGAGCGCCCCGAGGACGACGAGCGGGAAACGGAGCCCGAGATCGACACGCCGTCTCTCATCTCGAGCGCGGACTCGGAGGCAGAGTGCAGCATTGCGTCGCCGCCGTGTTCGCGCGTCGAGTTTGTGCCCCCACCGATAATGTGGACTCGCACGGCGCTGACCTACGGTCCACAAGAGTAGGTGGCCGCCGCCACCTATTGTCCCCCTTTCTTCTCCCATTGTGCAGGTCCTTTTCCTCTCTCTCTTATCCTCAGCATTCATTCCCGCGCATCTGATCATTTTGTCCGAGTGGCGAAAAGAGTCATGGATTCCCGGAAGACTGCCTGGTCTGCAGTACAGCATCAACCACCCCCGCACATCCCTATCTCCCTCCCCATTACAACCGCCCATTTTAGGTATTTGCATTGCATCAGTGTCGAAATGTAACCTGTATCCTCATTTCGCCAACGAGCTGCGAGCGCAGCGAGCACAGTTGAGCATGAGCAGTACGTCTGGAGGAAGTGTGCTTAGACTACGGTTGGAGCGTGCTCCGAGGAAGGTTTAGAGCAAATGTAACGGGGATGTGACGATGTCGGTGCTTTTGGGGGAAGTGTGTGCGAGCGCGGAAGAAGAGGGCTGAGGCTTTGGGGATGTGCACTCGGTGTGCAAGTGGTGCCTCTCACATGGGTTCTTGGAGCTCGCCAAAATAGCACCAGAGCATGCTCGTATGCGACGTGGGCATCGTAAGAGTGTCCAGAAGGCATGCATAAGAACGACCCGTGTACTGTAGCAGCTCTCTCCGCTCTCTGCCTTTTGGGCGTGGTGCCCAGCCGCTTTAGCCAGCGCCCCGTGAGCATTCTGGTACATCTGCCACTGGCAACGCTGGGCACGCTGGGCACGCTGGGCGGGCAACGCAGGTACGCAGGTTTGGGGGAATTTGGGTGAGAAAAAAAGCGGGAAAACCACAGTCACGTGCCACTGTGGCCCGCGGGAGCTTAACCGTCCATCGTCTGCCCATGTCTACCTAAGCTGGCAGAGCTGGCAGGGGCTGAGCCGGCTGAGGCTGGTGGAGGCAGGTGGAGGCAGAGCGGCACAGACGGGCACAGACGGGCACAGGCGGGCACAGGCGGCGGCAAACCTTCACCCAGTCCTTGCTGGCCTTGCTTAGGTTGTGCGGTCCACTCAGCGGACAAGACCGACACATGCGACGCACGCGCACACAGAGTAGCCAGCTGCAGGTCTGCCCCGCACTGCAATCCAACCCCAGACACAAGCGGGCTTCCCCAGATTCTTCATCTTGCTCAATTGTCACCTGACCCCATCACCAAGCACTACCGTTATCGCAAAGTAGAGCGATATGGGTATGCGTCACGGTGAGCGTTAGCAGGCGTTAGCGCCAGCGTCGTGTGCTCGTGTGCTCGTGTGCTCGTGGAGCTGGTAGGCTGGGAGCTGGGAGCTGGAGCCGGAGCTGGGAGCTGGGAAGAACGTGAGGACAGCAGCTAACGGAACAGACGGTATGGGTGATGCCGGCAATGATCCGCACGCGACCGCTGCGACTGCTGGTTCGGACGCGATACTGTCGAACGGGCATGCCGAATGTGCACCCACCGATACGGCGAACGGCGTCAACGACTCCAACGGCGTCACACGACCAGACACCAGCGAGCCCAACGACGACGACACGCCCGACGACACGGCCGACTCGCCCGGGCAACAGACGTCGCTCCTCTCCCTCCCGCCCGAGCTCCTGGACGTTGTGCTAGCGCACGTCCCGCCGGCCCAGAAGCTGAGCACTGTACGGGCACTGAGCCTCGTGCTTCCGTACTCTGTCTCGAGACGGTGGAGGTGGGAACATCTCGTGCTGACTAGTCCGAGGCAGTTTTACCCGCTCTACAATGCGCTGGCGCGGGAGAAGGAGCGGAGGATGAGGGAGGAGGAGAATGGTGGCCAGCGAGGGGCGGGAAGAGGCGGTGATGAGCTCGTGAGGACGCTTTGCGTTGAGTGTTGGAAGGGCGATGTGGACATGCTGAACAAGTACGTTACCAGGATGTGGACGAGCTAACGCCCAGTGTCCTCCGGCTCATTCCCAGCCTCCAAACCCTCATGCTCCACGTCGGGACGAACTTTGCCCCCGAGCACCTCGAGGATATGTTCGCCTCGCCGCGGCCGGACCTCTCGCGCCTCGAGCTGCGTTTCCGCCCCTACGTCGAAGAAGCAAACTACTACCAGTTCCTGAAGGGGTCGTACTTTGACAAGGCGCTGCACACTTTGCAGACGTGGCCCGAGACGCCAAGTTTCCGCTACCTGTCGCTAGTGCAGGACCTGCTGCCGCGGAAACACCTGCCTATTCCACGAACCCGTGTCGCGAAACTCTCCGGAGCGCTCGACGGGAGCGAGGACCCCGACGCTCCTACGCCCACGCCCGAGGACAGCGAACTCGAGAGCGATCTCGAGAATCTGAGCCTCGGTCCAAGCGAGGAGGGCACGCCGGCGCTGACCCCCGCGCGCGGGACGCCGGGAACAGTGACGCCGCGCACGATGAGTGGGGCGCAGACGCCGGCCGATCCCCCCAAAGACCGCGGATACACGGGCCAGGGCATGTTCCCCTACCTTTCCCAGAAACTACAGCACGCCAAGCCCAAGACGTTCGCGCAGCCCATCGTCTTCTTCGACGTGCGCTGCGTCGCCTTCCTCGGCTCGGCACCTGTTGCGAAACACCTCACGCATTTCCGTCTCCGCGTGCCGTCGCGCGACATTGCCTACGTCCTCGTGACCAAGCCCGAGCCCCTCGCGCCCGTCGCCTTCTCGACCAACACGCCGCCAGCGCCTGTGGCGAATGGGGGCGCGCCCATGTTCCCCGCATTGACGTATTTGGACATTTCGACGACCAACGTGCGTCTCGATGCCGTTCTCGCGACATTGTTGCGGAACTATGACCGACTCGAACATCTCGTGCTGGACCGCACGAATCTCTTCGGCTTCAGGAGCAAGGACAAGGGCGAGCTGATGTCGCGCGAGCTGGGCGGGCTCTGCGTGACCGTCTGCCTGCAGCGGGCGAAAGAGAGGGAGAAAGCCCTCGCGGCATGGGACACGCGGATGCGCACGGCCGCATACCTGCGCGAGCAGAGACAGCAGGAGGCGCAGCGCAACGCGGCCTCCGTCCGAGGGCTCAGCGCCGCCGAGCGCGCGGAACTGGACCTGCGCCGCGCCGAGGAGGAAGAGGCAGCAAGACAAGCAGAGTACGCGCGCCACCGGCGCGGCCACCGCTCAGCCGGCCAAAGTACCATTTCGCTCCGCACAAACTCGCGTAGGAACCAGGCCCTCCTGGCCGCTTCTGGGGGCGTGAATCCAGCCGACCTACCCCCTTCCAACCGCGCGTACTTTGTCCTGCCCGCGCTCCCCCGCCTCCGCTCAGTGAACATCGGCGGAGAAGCCGTGGGCATCTCGAAATTCTACGACCTCAACATCTGGCGCCACGCCTTCCGCGAGGGATGGGTTGAGAGCGTGCAGCGTAACCTGGGCTGGGCCAAGAATGCCACTGAGAAGTACGTCCGCGCACGCAAGAAGATTGCAGAGTGGCAGGCGTATACGGGCTCCCTCCACCAAAGTCGGGGGAAGAAGAAGCCCGGAGGCGCAAAGACACAGCCGCCCCTCGACGTACGGCTGTTCCGATACCCCCTGCCCGGGGAGACTACTCCGCCCCCCACACACGCCGGCGAAGAGGAAGAGGAAGAGGACAAGGCCCTGGCGGGCCTCATTGAGGTCGACGAAGCAGGCGCGCTCGAGTATCTCGCAACGTACAAGGATTATCTCGGCGACTGCGAGCGCGTCGGTGGATTTCCCTGCGTCTTCTGCCTCACGCCCGATTGTGAGGGTCCCTACCGAAGGGGCGGGGAGGGGGAACGCGTCGACGGGCGCGGGGGCATGGACGCGCCGCATGAGCCTGGGTGTGGACATTTGCTCGGCCGCAGGATCTGGGGCTGGGAGGGTGTCGAGTAGAACGAGTAGAGCGAGTAGAACGATACTGTATATTAGGGTTTTGGCTGTACACTTTGAATGCATTATCTATGTCATATCTGCCACACTCGTCAGGAATGGCTACATCGTGCGTCTCCTTGTCTCCTCTCGACTGCACGCCGCGCACGCCGCGCACGCCGCGCCCGCTGAGGAGCACCGAGGAGCACTATCGGCGCTCTCGCTCGAGCCACGCTCGGGTCTCGCTGCGCTCGACCCTCGCTCATACGTCCTCCCTCGCGCCCAGCGGCGGGAAGCGGCAGTACTTGTCCGCAATCGACGTGACCTCGTAGTCGCCCGGCGTCGAGCTGCTGATCCAGTACTCATACTCCCAAATCTCGCTTATAGTCAATGTCTCCTCGACCTTCTTCTTGCCATTGCTCATCTCGAACCGGACATAGGTGAACGTGAACGGCGGCGTGCCCTGGAATTTCACGCCAAAGATGGCAGGCTGGTCGCCCTCGTGCAGGTGCTGCGTGCCGTCCTGGATGCGCACCGAGGGGAGGGGGTGGACCGTCTTGCTCAGCCCGTCAATGGTGCGCTTGCACTGTGCCTGGCCCCGGCGGTCCTTCAGCGCCACAGAGTGGATCTGGAACACGCCCGGCTTCTCGGCCTCGCGCGTGAAGCGCGCCGACGAAGAGGTCACCTCGTACCGCCGCCCTTGCCACTCGTACTCGACCAGCCAGGGGGACTTGCCCTGCAGCTCGAAATTGAGCGTCTGGCCCACACACACGTCCTGGTCCTTGGAGAGGGGGACCACGCGCGCCGTCTCCACCACGTCGACCGGCGTCGCGATGCTGTCCGCCGACGCGGGCGCGTACGGACAGCCACTAGCGTCCGCGACCTCGAGCAGCACGATTTCGTACCGTCCCACAGCGGCGACGGTCTCGTCCAGCTCCACATCCCACTCGCGGCCGGGCACCTGCACCTTGTGCTCGATGAGCTCTGCGCTCGCGGGACGGCGCACGCCCAGCGTCACCGTGAACGGCGGCTGGCCCGTGAGCTTGAGCTTGGCGTTGGTCTCGAGCTTGGTGTCGCGGCACAGGTTGAGCGTGTTCTGGCGCGAGAAAATGCCGCTCGGCCGTCCGTGCACAGTGTGCTCAAGGCTAAAGTCGACCTTGGTGTCCTCATAGTTCGAGTCGGTCAACTTGAAGAACTTGTAGAGGTACGTGCCTGGCTTCTCGGACGCGAGGTGCAGCACGCCAGTGTTCTGCGCGCTGTTCAGAACAGAAGTCTGGCCGCCGCTGTTGTCGACGTAGCCCTTGTAGCTGATCGCGAAAGGAGAGGCGCCCTCGAACGCGATGGCGGCACCCTCCTCCTGACCCGAGCACACTCCGGACGTGCGGTACTTGCCGTTGCCAACCGACTTGATGAAACTCGACTCGGCGAGCGACGCGACGGGCTTCGGCAGGAAGTCGACCGAGTATTTGGCGTCAAACTCGTCAATGTCTCCGGGGCAGTGCGCGTCCCTGACCGACGTCAGGACATACAGACCCTTCTGCTTCAGCTGCAGCTGGCTGTTCGACTCGCGTGTCTTAAACGCGGGCTGAGGCTTGCCGTCGAGCGTGTACTCGAGCGTCCAGGGTCCGTTTCCGGTGAAGCGGAGCGCAGCGTTGACTTGGGAGCCCTCCTTGATCGTGACCCGCTCGCTGGCGGCGAAGCGTGCAGAGGGTGTGTGGCGGTCAATGTCGACGTCAATCTGCTGCGACTGCAGGCGCTTGACGCATCCGTTCGAGTCCTCGACTGACACGAGGGTGATGACGAAGCGGCCGGAAGCGCCAGTGTACGCGTGTAACTCCTTCGGCACGGGCACCGAAAGGACTTGCTTGCCAGACTTAATCGGGACGGTCGTGTTCATCGACTGGCCAGCCCAGTTGGTGCGGTACTGCAGCTTGAGCGGATCGTTGCCCTGCACATCGAGCTCGACGCCAACCTCGTCGGGCGAGCAGTGGTACAGCTGGCGGTGCTTCGAGCCGGTGAGAATAATGCTCGCGGGCGGTCGCACGACCTGGTGAATGGCCGGGTAGTCGATGGGAATGTTAGTGTAGCGCGCGTCGTTCAGGCCGGAGAACGTGTAGGTGTATTTGCCCTCGCGCTCCGGCTTCAGGACGAGCTCGCCACCGGCACCGCGGAAGACATGCTGCTTCTTCACAGCGGGGCTGCCCTTCTTCTGCTCGGTATAGAAAACAGTGTACGGCGGGGTACCAGTAAACTCGAACGCGACTGCGGATCCAACGTCGTTGGAACTGGTGTTAGTTGAAGGGGAGTGTAAGACAACTTACCATTCGTGCAGAGTCTTGACGCTGATGTCGGCAGTGGGAGGGGGGATCATGCGGACAGTGCAGGTCGACGGCTCGAGAACGCCTCCAGGGCACATTCCTCCGACAGACTGCAGCGTAAACTTGCCGGGCTCGTGAACGTCGATGTAAGCACGCTGGTCCGTAACCTCGAGGTCGCGAGCGGAGACACCACCGGCGGCGTTCGTGAACGTGTAGTTGACGCTGAGTCCCTTAGACGCGCTACCATGGAGTTCGACGGGAAGCTTGGCGGCGCCACCAACGAGCAGCTCGATGGGGCGGGGGCAGTTGAAGGAGACGGAGCGCTTCTGCAGAACGTTGAAAGCCATAGTCGCACCCGGTCCCGTAGGCGTGTGCGTGTTGCCGAGTCCATCGACTACGGACGCGAGCGTGATTTCCTCTGTGCCGATGAGGTCGTGGCGAAGTCGGAGCGGGACGTTGTGCATCTTGCTGACACGGCTAAAGAGCTCGTCAGGCTGCTCGTCCTCGATGCCCTTGACTTCTCCGCCGCTGACGACGCTGCCATCGACAATACGGTTGTAGGTGACGTGCAGCGGGGCCACACCACGGACCTGGAAGTTGACCAAGTCTTCAGAGCCAACGCAGCGCAGCTCGGGAGGCGCATCCTTGACACCAGGGTAAGTGACGGTCTTGCCCTTCTTGTTTGTCTCAACAAAGTCGCCGCCAGAGGGGCATTCGTAGATGACAGCCTCCCGGTGCGGGTTCACGTTGAAGCGGTCGCCGTGCTTGTCCACAACCTTCAGCAGGGTCACAACGCTGGGCTCCTTGATCTCCAGGAAACGGATAGACTCCGTATCCTTCAGCGTGATCGCCAGAGGTGCGAGGAGGCTGTCGGCAGCCTTGATGCTGGAGAGCTTGGCGGCGTCGAGCTGCTTGGAAGCGCGGACGAGGTCGCGGATCGTCTCTGCCTCGTCCTCCTCATCTCCCTCGTCACGGGACAAGCTGAAGCCGCGGTGCGACTTGGCGACCTTCATGTGCGAGGCGTAGACCGAGTGCGTCTGGTTCTTGCCGTTCTCGCCGTCCACGAGAGACGAAGTCCTGTACGCGACCTGGTCCGGGTCCGAGTTGTTGAACAGAACCGGGATGTACATCGGCTCCCGGCTGCCCTGGGGGATGCAGTACGTGAACGAGGACGGGTTGATGGTCGCCGTGCTGTAGGGCAGCATGCGAATGTGGTGAATGCCCTGGATATGCTCGGGAGCACCAACCGTGATCCTCTTAATGAAGTGCCCAATCATGTAGAGCCAGCCCCAGAAGAAGCCTTCCTCTCCAAGATGAACAGGGCCTGTCTGTCAGCTTTTGCCGTTCGTGATCACAACTCACCAAACATCCGGACAGTCGGGATGAACGCTCGCGGATCGGCAACAAACCAGCACAGAAGGTTCCACCCCGCGAGGAGCAGAACGAGCAGAAGGATCCCGACAGGCTTCGAAGGCATCGGGGAGAACCCAGGTACCCGAAGAAGCGAGACGAGGCAGAGCAGAACAAACTCGGCGACGCCCCATAGAGCGGCGCTGACTGGACCTCTGATGCGAGCCGCGCTCGAAAGCGTTGTCGGCAGATCGGAAGTGAAGTGGGGAGCCGCAGCGTCCCAAAGCTTCATGATCTGCTAGTTAGCTTTCATGCAGGACCCAATGAGCTCACCTCGATCAGTGCAATCGCCCATATGATCAACCGCCGTTGCTCATCGCCGCCGAGCCATCGTTGCGGGATGACTGGCGCCTGCGGTCCCGTCTCTGGTGTCGTCGGCTTGAAGATGGTCTCCTTCGTCTCAATGACAATCTTCTTCGGTCCGTCCGCGATCCACTCCTCCTTCTCTATCCGTCCGCCAGCCCCTTGACTGGAGCTCAGTCGCTGGGACGAGTTCAGCGCTGTGCCCCGGCCGGTCGGCGTCGCTGGTGAACCGATGAAGCTCATTCCTTGCTGGCTCCGTCCGATTTCGCGTTTCAGTGGTGAATCTGATCGTAGGGGAGTTCCTCCCGATTGTCGTAGCCGGGAGGACATTGGTGACGGGTATGGATACGTTGGAGGAACAACTTTCAAGTGACGTTTTGTTGATCGAACCTGCAGCGGCGCGGGAGCAAAACCGCACCGTCCAAAGTGGAGGTCGGTGGCAATGATGTTATTGTCCAGATTCTGCCTTGCACGGAGAGATATTATGCATACAACTGGAGCTCTGAGCATATGAGGGGGTAGTACAACATGAGTGCTATGAATTCTAGGATGGGGCAGAGACCAAAGGAGCGAACAGTGCCTTGTTCAGATCGAGAAGCGATTGGAACTCGTTAGCCCGTACTGACGGGCACTCATCAGCAATCAGGTCGCAGATGCCGCGGGCGAGTGATTTGATCTGAGCAACCTGCTCCTTCTCGCTGCCGTTCGTGTCGTCGACCATATCTGCTCCTCCCGCCTCTGGCCACCTCTCGCAGAGCATCACCCACATCTTCGCGATCATACTCAGGATCTGGCCACGCCACCTTGAGATGCGGCCGGTCCCCTTCAGAGTCTGGGCAGTAGCCAGCAAAGCAGACAGGTTGGCTTTCAAGTGAGACAGATTACTCGGCATAGGAGGAATCTCGAGGGGTGCAAGAAGGGAGGGGATGGCCGCCTGCTGTCAGCTACGCTGAGGGTTATGCAAGAGCTTACCTTAAGCCACCTCGCGACGCCTGCGCCGAGCACACCGCACATTGTCTCCCAGTCCACGGCTGCCTGTATGAGCATTGCCTTGGCATCTTCCCCGCTAGCATAAGACCAGGCCGAGATGCACGCCTTATCGACGATCTCGTTCAGGATGTCAGCACGCTTCTCGCCCTTAAAGTCATCCAGGAGGAAGCCGACGATGGTGTTCAAGACGACTCCCGAGTCCTTGGCGTGGAGACTGAGCGTGTGCAATAGCGACTTGAGTAGGAGACTGTTCAGATTCCTCCGCTTCAGTTCCTCCTTGTCCATGTTCCTCAACCATCCGCTGAGCACCCAGATGCCCTTCAGCCGCCAGAATGGCTCCCAGTCGTCCATCATGGTCAGTGTCGGCGGAAGAATGAGGTTCAGCTGCTTCTCTAGCTGTATCGGGGGAAGGACAGAACTTGACCAGTGCAGGAGGTTGGCGCTGCCCCAGCCGTTCTGCGTCTTGTACGTCGACGTCTCTTGCAGGTCGTCCATAGCTTCGGCTCCTCCGAGCGGTTTCGCAACGGCCCTGTTGTTCGAGATGTACGGGTGCGGAGAGAAGAGAGGTCGCAGAACGGAGATAAGATTGTAACGTGACAGTTCCGTGGTGTCAACGCCAGACGCTGAGACAATGTCTGCGGTCAGTTACAGCGCACAATTGCACACCTCACTGTCGACCATGTCGGAGATGCCCGGGGAGGTCCAGGCATCATTTCCTCGAAGGCGAAGTATCTGCGACAAGGTAGATGCTTGCTCCTCAAACGACAGAGACGCCCAATCAGGCGACTGGATGAGAGGAAAGAGCCGCGCGAGGCACCGCTGCACTTGGTCCTTGTACGACTCGAAGACGATCGGCGCTGAGGTCAGTTTTTGGGCCGAAACGTCAACCAACAACTTACCTGCTTGTTCACTCATGAATGCTGGCAGAAGGTCTGACGGGAGGGCCATCTTCGAGGTCAGGTCCTGCAGCTTCTTCTGAAAGTCGGAGACGGGGGCGGGTGGTGCAGAGGTCGCTGCCGGAGGGGGGGGAGCAACCTTGGGTTTCCGAGGCTTCTCATCCTCCTCATCCGTGATCTCCTCGACCTTGATGGGAGACGGCGACCTCCGCTTGTCGTCCTCGATCTCCTCGATGAGCGCCATGTTGGTTAGGGGGACAAGAATGTTGACGAACCTCACTTCGATTCTCAGTGATCTGCGATTCAGCAACAGCGTCATTCTCCCACGGTCGTCAAACTTCAGGCACGACGCCCGCCAGGCAGACACGTCCATGAGGCAACTTCAGTCGTGAGCCAGCCGGTCACAACAGCAGTCTCATCACCATGTCGGCAAGGACGACGCCGAGGCGTCCGAGCGCGTCGCCCATGTCGCCGAACTCCCAGAGCTCGGGAAGCGGATGGAGTCCCGTCCCGTCTCGCCGGGGAACACGATCACGGACATCCCAGACCCTCGGAGGCTCAGCACCCTCCTACGTCCGTCGCCCGAGCACTTTGAGTGCCGTCCACCCGCCCTCCTCCGTATCAACGGCGTCCAGCGCCCGGAGGAAGTACGAACCGGCAAACGACCGAGACTGGGCGGGAATGGAGCCCGACGAGGTCTTCCGGCGGCTACCGGTCAACGAGGTCAAGCGGGTCGAGGCCAAGATGCGGACTGATGCGCTCAACAAGCAGTCCGAGCTGCGAAGCATGGTTGGGTGAGCTTCCGTTTCGGTAAGTTTAAGCTGACAACGCAGAACTCGATACCGTGATCTCTTGACGAGCGCCTCGCAAATCACGGCGTTGCATGAGTCGTCACTCCGTTTGAGCTCGAGTCTGCGGACAGTTGCTGGCGCTTGTGCGAACCCGACCGAACTGGCGAGCGGGGAAATGGTTCCCGAGCAGTCTTCAGAAGGAGAGGACGTTGCGACGTTGTTGCCGGTCGCAGCGCACATGAAGCTCTTGATCGATACGCCAGAGGCCCTCTACTCCTACCTCTCCCACCACGACTACCTCTCGGCTGCTTTCCTCTGGCTCGTAGCTCGCGTCGCCAAGGACAGCTTGTCGGACATGCCAGAAAGTGCCAACAGGGTAAGTCTACGCTAGCTGCCAGTTCAGCGAGTCCAGCTGACACACAGGCATACCTGCCGCTAATGGAGAAGCAGTGGGCGACGCTGCTCCCCTTCCGGCAACAGATCGTGCAGCGAGCGACAGCAGCACTGCGATCACGGCACAAGCTCGATGCGAAGGCTGGATCGGACACATTGCTCGCAATCATCTTACTGGACGAGACGCCGGTATCGGAGGCGCTCGACCTGCTGCTGTCTCAGCGATTGCGAGCCGTGCGTGAGATCTTACACGCCCCAACGACGTCGAAGCGGCAACGGCGGATGTCGCGGGTGGACTCGAAGCACCAGGGCGAGGACACGACCAAGGCGATCTCGGAGGCGGTGCACGTGCTCCTGGACGCCGTGACGCTGGCCAAGTCGATCTTCGAGAAACGCTTCAGCGCGGGCGAGAGCATCCTCGTCGAATCCATCCGTCTGATCCAGGTCGGCGAGGAGGTACCCGTCGTGCAGACGCAGCCAGTAGCCGCGCTGGGTCACCACCGGCGAGCCTCTCGCCTTGCATCAATTTCCCTCCCCCTCCCGCCAAGGGTAGCGCTCGGCAACGGCGCGACGCCGCCCGTCTCGGCCGTGCGCGTCATCCAGTCCCTCCCCTCCTCCCAGATTCTCCTCCGCTACCTCCCCAGCTCCGTCACGGGCTTCACGCCGTTCATCCCGCCAGCCGCCGCGCCGCAGCTGAAGGAGAAGCTCGGGCCGTGGCAATCCTCGGCCGTCGACGTGCTCCGAGAAACGGTGCCGGCTTGGGTGCAGCAGCTCTCGGCCGTGTCGGACGTGTGGTCCGTGCGCCGGTCTCTCCGCGAGATTCTCAGCGACGACGAGGTGTTCGAGGCGCAGATCGCGTCCGCCCTCGAGTCCGAGTGGGGTTCGCGCGTGCAGGAGATCTGGACGACCAAGCTCGACACGATCGTGACGTCGCTCTCGTCCAAGCTCACCGCGGCGGCGGCACAGGTCCGCAGCGGACAGGACTCGGGGCTCGACAACCACTGTGAGGCGTTCATGTTCTCGGACATTCACTTCCCGGCCGTCTCGGCGGGCACGGGCGGAACAGGGACGGAGCACTTCCTGTCGTCGCTGAAGAAGCGGGCGCTATTCCGCACCCCGCTGCTGGATGGGATCATGGGTTTGCTCGAGGACGCGGCTCAGGACATCAAGCTCGACCTCGCCGGTCTGCCCGCCAGCCTCTACGGAGATTACAGGGAGAAGCTGAAGAGCGCCCTCCACGCCCTCGTCAAGGTACTCGACGACGTACTCGCCGATGCGGGCGGCCACCGCGACGCGACGGGCAGCGTCGAGGCTGAGCTCTTCGTGGGCCGCATCGCGCTGTATCTCGTGCATGCGTCGCCGTTCCTCCCCGATCTCGTGGGCGGCACGGAAGTCGACCTCAGTGAGTTCCTCCTGCTCTTGAGCTGCCAACATTCGGTGCGTTAGCTGACAACAGGCGGCATCAAGACCGCGCTGATGGAGACCCACGCCTCCTCCCTCGTGCAGTGGCAGGGGAAGAGTGTCTCGCGCGCGCTGGCGCAGCTGAAGCCGCTCCTGAAGCTGCGGCCGGTGTCGTCCGAACTGCCCTCTCGCGTCTCGGACCCGGCCACGAAAGCCCTGATGCAGCTCAGCAGCGACGTGAAGCGGCTCGGCATCCCGCCGGGCGTACGTTTGCCGGTCGTCGAAAACCTCATGCGCGCGTTCGTGGAGAAGGCGCGGGGACTCGACTGGGCCTCAGCCGCCGACGACAGGGCAGCAGGACAGGCAGCGTTCGACCTCGCGTTCCTGTTGCGTCTCAGCGGTGTGTCTGCCTCGGAGCTGACTACGGACGCGACAGTCAGCTCGCTCCTGGATCGTGTAAGTCTCCTCACCCAGCTCACAGTCCGCGGCGTTTTAGCTGACACCACAGGCGCCCTCGGAGTTACGGGAAAAGCTCGAGAGCTCAGCCGAGGAACACCTCCGCCGGACGCAACTCACCCTCGCGCCGCTCACGCGACACCTCCCCGCCATAGCTGCGCAGACGCGGGAACGCAACGCCGCGCTGCTCCGACTCGGCGCGCCACAACTGGGCCGCGCGAGTGGCACCGAGTTCAAGTCGCCCATCGCCGTTGCGAAGCCGGGCAAGCGCTTCGGACTGCTGTCCATTGTGGCGTGAGTGAGCGTAGCGGACCGTCAGGTCCGCGAGGCGAGCGAGGCGAGCGCGGCGAGCTGCTGGGCCGTCGAGCCGCGGCCAGATCCGCGAAGGTGGGCGCGCGGAGTTGTCCACCATGTAGAATCAGTAGACACATCAGTAACCAGTAGAGCGCCCAGCACAGAGATAAGATGCATCACGTGCTCGGCTTGACAGCGACCGTGCCAACGACAGCGGCGCGCTTCCTGTCCAGCCGCTCATCCTCGCCCAGCCCCCTGATAGCCTGGTTAAGTTCGGCAAGTTTGTAGAGCTTGTCGACCTTTTTCCAGTCCACATTTGCCTCGAGCGTGTCCAGCGACGTGAGCTGGCCCTGCACAATGCTCGCGATGTGGGCGTAGAGGTCCTTCTCTGGAGGACTCGAGTCGGAGGCTATCCGCACAACGATCAGGCGCTTCGTCTTGTCCGACACCGAGTAGGCGCGCAGCGCGTCCGAGATGTTGTTGTTCGTGTTCAGCGCTAGGAGGATTTCGGAGTGGATGTTGTGCGTCTTCGTCTTCAGGGGTGGTGACTCTGGCAAAGGCTCAGATGGGGTTGGCGTAGCGGTTGAGGGTGTGGATGAGGAAGCGGGGGAGGAGGAAGTGGAAGATTGCGGGAGAGAGGTCAGGAGAGCCGTCTGAATGGCCGTGAGGAGGTGCAGGCGGGACACGATCTGGACGTCAGCTTCTTCTCACCAACGGTCTAGCTTTTCTCTTGTTCCCCTTTCCTTTCTTGCTCTTCCACCAAACCAGGCCCTCTCGGCTCAGTTCGGAGAAGAGAAAGAATGGAGAAATGAAAGAAGGAGTCATAACTCACCACGTCCCCCTCGACAAACGCAAAGTCCATCCTTCGCCGCGCCTCCTCCCCCTCCGGACCTTCCATGAGCGCACTCCGCACGAGCTCTTTCTTGATCTCCGCGCTGTTGGTCACATTGTCGAAGTACGCAATCGACAGACGGCGGTAGGCTGGCGGCAGCTGTTGCAGCGTGTACGTCTCCATTCTGCTTTGCTTCGGTGCTCAGAGTGGACGTGAGGGAGTGATAAGGCGGTCGGAAGTTCGCTCAAAATCAGACCGTGTCTAGGCGATTGAGGCAACGAGAGAGAAGTGAAGGGGAGGAATGAGTGTTGTCGAGTCGTCTAGTATTCTAGAGGTTGGTTGTTGTTGCTAGTGCTGATCGGCGCGCTTGGACATTCAAGACTCAAATTCCTGGGTCAATGACGCTGGGGTGGAGGTCGGGGTGATGCTTCCGCTAATCCTGATTAGTCACCGATTACCCCTCTTCCACGCGAGTCCACGCGAGACTATCCAAATTCTAATCAGATTACATGCATAAATGTGCTCTTATCGTACAGCCTCCTCTGAATCCTCTTCAGCTGCTCGCTCGCCGCGCTCTATTCTGCACTTCCCGCTCCCATCCGTTGCCCGGGCTGATGGGGCTGATGAAGCTAATGGGCCTTATCAACACGCCTCGCGCCGACCTCGCTCCGCTCGGCCGTCGTCTAGGCCTTATCCATGGCCTCCTTAATCCTCAGACAGCACTCGAGCAGCTGCAGCTCCTCATCACCGCCCTCGCACAAAGCCTTGTCGCACTCTGCGATCGCGAGCGCCGCATTCGACTTTGCGATCGTTGGAATGGCAGCGAGCGGGATCAGCGCATCGTGCACTTGCTCCAGGACCTGGCCTGTTGACCATCCCTCGCGACCGACGGAACGGACGGCCTTGCGCACGCCCTCGAATCCGTTCGCCAGCGTGGGATTCAGCCCCGAACCCGGCTCAATGCCCATGGAGCGCAGGAGGTTGTCGATCACGCTCGAGGAGACGACGCCCGAGATCTCGTGTACTGCTGTCAGCTCACTGGGTTTCAAGTAGCTAAGGGGGAAGAAAGCAGTGGGCAGCGCTGGCGCGCTGCTGGACTTACCACTCATCGCCGTGATTGGCGTCGGGGGGTCCGAGGCCTGGTGGAGCCTCTGCGCTGTTTGGAGGTATGTGATGGCCTTGCGGAGGTCTCCGCCCGCGAGCTGGAGGATGAGCTCAAGCACGCCCGGGTCGGCTTGGACGCCCTCGTTCTCGGCGATCATCTCCATGCGCGCCTGCGACGAGGACTGCTCCAGCGGGCGGAACCGGAACTTGGAGCAGCGCGAGGCGACGGGCTCAATAATCCTGTGCGTTAGCTCATTCTTGTCGTGTCCCGTCAAGCTCCCGTGGGCACGGGGAAGGTGAGGAAGACCCACCTCGTAACATAGTTGCACACGAGACAGAACCGCGTGATGCGCGAGTACGTCTCCATGATACGTCTGAGCGCACTCTGCGCATCCTGCGTCATGCTGTCCGCCTCGTCGAGGATGATGAGCTTGTACGGCGGGCAGGGGTACTCCTTGCCATCGCTCGCGACGCCGGGGTTGTGGCGCGGCGTCTCGCGCGCAAACGTCTTGATCTTTTCTCGGACTACGGAGATGCCGCGCTCGTCGGACGCATTCAGCTCGAGCACGCGCGATTTGAAGAGATCGGGGCCGAAGAGCTGCCGCGCGAGGGCGAGGATCGTGGACGTCTTGCCTGTTCCCGGCGGGCCGTAGAAGAGCATGTGCGGGAGCTGGAGTCAGCTTGCCATGCTCCAAAGAAAGCGATGATGGGAAGTCCGGGGGTCTGGAGGAAGGGGGAGGCATGGGAAGGTTAGGGAGACTCACATTCGTGCTCATCAGAGCCTTCCTCAGTACAGCGACCGTGTTGTCCTGACTCGACACATCGTCGATCGTCTTTGGGCGGCTGGTCGTTAGCTAACCATGCGTCGGTGGCAGCTCAAATTCGCAGGCAAGCAGCGGCCGCTGCCCTGGAGCCTGTACTCACTACTTCTCAACCCATGGCTGGAGCTTCGGGTCGATCGTATGCGTCTGCTTCTGGGTGAGTGTCGCCGCCATCGTGGTTACTGGTGCGAGTGGAGGTGTTGAGGCCAAAACGCGCTGAAGCGTCATAACGGCTGACGGTGGACGCGTCAAGTCGCGTGGACTTGACTTTCGGATTTGCTTCCGCTCCTTATGCTTCCCTCCACCATCCACCACCAGATCTCCTCCACGACCAGTCGACCAGTCCAGACGATCCACTCAGGCACGCCAACCTGCTCGCTCGGTCGGAGCGGAAGCCTGTTCGGTTCAGCAACTCGCAGTGGCACTCAACCCCCATCTCGCACCCAGTCCAGCACGCAATTTCGCCAATATAGGCGAGTATCGCATCGAGTGTGGACGAGGCAGTCTAGATCGGCGGCGAGGTAACACAAACATGTGGCATAAATAGAGGCAAACAGAGTCTACAACGGTACAACGGCGGAGGGCACTGGCAAGGGCTGGCAAGGCTGGCAGGGCTGGCGAGCCGGCGCGGCACGCGGCGCGCGCAAGGCTGAGGCGTAAAGAGGAACGAGCGAAAAGCAAAATATGGATTCGGACAAATGGAAGAAAGAGATACTGGCTGCAGTTGCTTCGGCGTGATTCAAGGATCTTGAGCTGGGCAGAGTCTAGAGAGGGCCAGCTATATTAAACTCGTGCGATAGGGTGTGGGTATGAATGTTCTTGACGTCTCGGGGGCGGTGAAACGGACTCGACAACGCTCGTGTGTAATGGTTGGGGAGTGATTCGGGGCCTAGATCTGGGGAGAAGGTGACATTGGGTGCTGGGGTGCTTTGGCAATTTTCAGACTGCTGGATTCTCGAAGCCGGTCACGACGCGTCGTTGACTCGGCTGCATCATCGTGCCAGCGGGTGCCGACTGGCTGAGGGGCACCGGGCTGGCGAGGTTGGCTGGCGGCTTGGGGACGTCCTCCCAGTCGTCTCCGAGAAGCTGTCCCGGAGTCATCGACATGGAGGGCATGATCTGTGCCTGCTGGCTGGAGGACGAAAACGACCTGTCCTGCGCCCACGAGGGAAGCTGGGTTCCCGTCGGCGAGAGAGGGAAGATCGAGTTGGAAAAGTGCCTCGGGACGAGCATGTTCGACGGGCTGTTAGCGTCGTAGTACGTTGAGGCTGGCTGAGGAGAGGCGACGGGGCCCTGCTGCACTGGGCGGAGGATGACGTTCTGAGGGAACGATTGGTCGACGGGGGAGGGCATGAGACCTTGGCCGAGCGTGTCGCCTCCTTGGGCACGCTGCGTCATCGCATGCTGCATTGATGGGCTCGGCGTGTGCTCGGCCTTCACACCATGCTGCGGCTGTTTGGAGGGATCAAAGAAAATCGGCTGGCTGAGGGGCGAGCTGTGGACACTGGCTGCCATCCGTGGCACTTCGAGGTGACCAGGCTGCGGAGTCACAATGCCGCCGGAGCCGTTCTCGTACTGGTTCACGAACTGAGGCACAGAGTAGCCGGCCTCCGGGCCCGCGCCAGGGGGAGCCATGGGAATGCGCGGCATGTTGGCGCTCTCAACACGCTGGTGCTCGGCCCAAGTCTGGCCATTCTGGCCCCCGATGGTAGCGGGGATGACCGTTGCAGCCGGTGCCGGCGAAGGCACGGGCGGCTCCTCAATGTCACACCAAACAGCCGCGAGGTCCGTGATGGTGTCGTCCGTGTACTCGTTGGTGCCCTGGACGTGTGAGAGGTACTCCGTGGGCACCTTCATGGGGGTGAACTGGTATGGCGTAGCTGCAGGTATGTTGTGATTTAGCCGTCCTCCCGCAGTGATCGGCTGGCCGTACGGGAGTGGGCGTCCAGGAACATACGCCGAGTTGCCATATCCGTTCGCCATAGTCGAGTAACCCATCATGGGGTGAGCGTCGTTGAACTCGATGCTCTGCTGCAGAGTGTCGTACGACATGTCGGACTGTGAAGCGAACATGGGCACGCTGCGCTCAACGCCGAAATCGTGGTGGTGCTCGGGTGAACTCGAGGTGCCGGGGAGAGAAAGTGCGATAGAGCCGGAACGGGAACTCGAGGGGAATTGCGTCGACATGAGGTGACCCATGAGAGGCGTTGAATGGGGCTGGGCGGCCGACATGTAAGGGGGGTAGCCGTCTGCGAAAACGTCAGCTGCCGAAAGAAATTCGAGGGTGGAGGCGTCAGCATTGCAGCCCAGCAAGCCCCGCCCTGCGATGGATGCAGGAATGTCGGCAGCAAAGCCGCCGAGGGCTTGCGGGAATGCTCTTGTGATGTTGCAGGTCATATGAGCCAGAAGAGCGCCACTCACGGTGAGGACCCAGGGTATCAAAAGGCACGCCGTGGAAGTATCCGCCCTGTTCGGAAGACAGGCTGGAGCACGAATCCGTTCGATCCATGTGCGTCGAGCCAAACTCATTGGAAGGGGAGCGTTTGTGACGCGAGTTACGACGGCGTGTAATCTTGGTGGCAGCTGTGATGAATTGTCAGGTCCCGGCTTCGTCCAGATCACAAGTCGTGCCCATTGTCCTCTGCCGCGTGTCTCAGGTCGCACCAATGACACGAATGCTATCGACAACGGACACTGAGCGCCACTGGGCCACCATCACTCACCCTTATCCCCAGCCTTAGTACGACGGCACACGTCGCGCTCGCGCTGCCTCGCCGCCTTGTGCGCCGCCTTCTCATCCTTGCGCATAGGTTGAAATTTGTAACCAGGGTAGAGTTTTTTATGCTTACAAAGTCAGCACTGCACTCCTTAATGCGTGAGATTGGTTTTGGTTGTTGCGAGCATGCGAATGCAAGTCACTTGAGTGATCTTTAAGCATTGCACAGCAACCAAAGCTGAAAGTGGGGTGACGGAATGGGGACTCACCTCCTCCTTGGCCTGGGCCGCCAGATTTTCGTAGTGGCGACGACGCTCGGGGTCTTCTCTCTTCCATAGAACGCTGATAACGCGGCTGATTTCGGCTTGGGGCAGGCCGCGACCGCCCTTGCCACCGCCAAGCTGCCCAATGAGCTCCTGTGAGCCCTTGGCCGGCGCCTTCTTGTTCGACTTCTTGGACTTCTTGCCGTCCTTCGGGTCCTCGGTGGGGTTGTCGAGCTCCTCTAACGCCGCCTCTAATCCCTCGACGGGCTTGCCCTCACTGAGGTGTTTGAGCATTTCGGAGCGGTAGAGAATCCAGGCGTTGGGAGGGCGAGCGATCTTGCCGTCCTTCTTGCGGGCGAGATCGTAGGGAGCATCCGGGTCCTGAGTAGGTCGAGACGGCTCCCCAGCAGTGGGGGGCTGCTGCTGCCAGTCTGGCAGGGTGGCAGGTGGGGGAACGGTGAAGCCATCCCATTGCTGTATCGGTGCCTTGTCGTCCTTGTACTGGTTGCTGGGGCCGGCAGCGGAGGAACCAGCAATAGGACCGAAGTAGTCCTGGTCATTTTCGCGGTGGTCCCCGGCGGATGATGATGAGGTGACCTGGGGAGAGTAGGCGGGAGCGACCATGGCAAGGTTGATGCCACCATTGACGAGAGGAGGAGGAATGGGGGCGGCGAGGAGGGAAGGGTCGATGACAGGAGCCGGGGGAAGGCTTGAAGAGCTCTCTGATGACGAGAGAGCAGCAGCTTGGGTGGAGCTGGAGGAGGGATGAGGTGTGAGGACGGTGTGCGAGGATGGGACGCGTGGCTGGAGGCATGTCAATGTGGGATATGCTTTGGCGCGTAACCCGTAGTGGGCCTGAGTTCGGAGTTGCCATGTTAAGTGGCTGGTGGAGGATTGGCGGATCTCTGTGTGAAAGTCTGTTTCGGTGTCAGATAAGCGCACAACAAACAACAGCTGATGAGGGAAGGAATGAATGAGACAGCGAAGACACAGAGAGGGACAGCGAAGAGGGACAGTGTGTGTGTGTGTAGGTGTGGATATGAAGAAGGGTGTTTGTTGACGTCAAGTTGAGAAGGTGCGCTCCGTCCTCTAGGACTATGTACTAGAGGAGTGGTCGAGGTAGGTGTGGTGCGGAAAGCTGTGGCGTCGTGGGTGGTGGCGTCGAGAAGGGGACGCCTTGGGGGTGATGGAAAGCGGAGAAGGAAGGCAGCAGGTGTAAGAGCAGCAGAGGAGAGAGCTAGAGGAGAAGAGCAGAGGAGTGAGTGGCCGGGGGAGGGGAGAGGATCGAGAGGAGATGACAGGTGCAGAAGGGGGTCGGAGGTCTGGGCGTGGCGGCGAGCAGCCAGCAGCGAAAGAGCTTCGAGGAGGAACGCGGAGACCAGCACAACGGCAGAGCGGCCGAGGCGGGCGGCGCGCAGTGAGCACAGGGGGTGGCAACACGAGGCACGATGACACAGACACGAGACACACAGCGTACTCCTCTCCACGAGGGCCGTGCGCACACCAGACCCTTCAGCACACCTCCTCGTGGTTGGATGCCCTCAAGCCTCTTTCGCCGTGTGATAGGGACGGGAATAACCGAGACGGATTGATTGAATCGCGGTCAGGCAGCACTCACTGACTGACACAAACTTCAAAGATATACTGGGGCGTTGCCGGTGGGTGCCGAAGGGGAAGAGATCGGTGTTGCTGTGGGCTGGAGTGAAGGTCGGTTGATCGACTGAGACGGCTGCGACGGTTCCGGAAGATGAGGTATGAGATCGCAGCGGCTGACCGAGAGCGGCGGGCTAGTCGGTATGCACGACGTAGGCGATGGCGTTGCCAGGTCTCACAAGTCGCTCCAGTTCGGGTTGGTGGAAGCTGTCGAGCGTGTGGCACGAGGGAATATCGAATCCGGGATGTCGAATGCGGGACGTCGACGGACGAACAGACTTCGGACCTCGTCCCTTGACTATGGCGCTCGCAGTCAGCATCGACCCAAACTCTAACTTGTTTTGCCTGTCCTATGGGCTTCCCCAGAGCGCCACTCACCTAATGGCTCAACGAGGTTGCCTTATCCGTCAGCGGCGATCTTCTCGTCGGAGACGCGGGTTTGAGCGAGAGATACCGTTCGAGTCGAGTGCCGAGAACAGAAGCCGCCTCGTTGCTTGGATGCTCCGATGGCGGATGGAGATGGCGAGGAAGAATGAGGATGGGATGGGGAGGAGGATATTGTTGATGAAGGAGACAAGAGAAAACAAAGGCTGGCTGGTCAAAAGTATATGTAGATCGACGCCTTGAGACGGACGAGGACACGGTGATGTGTTCGTTAAGCGAGACGTCACTCGGCGAAACACAGGGCCCTGTTGAGCTTGACGACCTTTGTTCTACTGCCTGTCGTGCGCACTAGACAATGACGAGCAATGTGTTTGATAGTGAGTTCGGTGCGGGGAGGACAATGGAGCGTTGATGGAATTACTTGGTCGACCACGGCTACGCCAAAAGGCCTTGGGGGGCGTTAGCTGATCGTCTGGGGCGGGTGAAGATCGTGACAAAAGAAAGTAAACAAGGGAGAAGAGATCGTTGTCAAGCATGAAGCACACAGCATATAAGGACAACTGGGCCGAGTGCGATGAGTTTCCCCTTGGCCCTTGCGACCTTACACTGCCGTCTTGTCTCGCGCCGCCTTTCTTTCAGTTCAGAGCTGAGCTGTCGTATCAAGCAGTGCTTGGTCTTCGTTGCCCTCCACAGCTGACTCGTGCATGGCCCCCTCTCCCCTCATCCCCAGAGCAAGACGGGGAGGCGCTTCTCGTGGAATGCAGCTGAGATGTTCTTTTTTCGCTGAGGAAGGAAGAGCTCGAGCGCAGTAAGCAGTGGAAGCGCAAACCCAGAGTCCCAGGTGACGAGCCCCAACGTCCGTGAGGAAACACGAGGGAGCTGCAACCCGTGCGTCGTACGCGGGCGGCCACTCGTGCGCGCAAGTGACTACTCTTGGTACCTGCGTCCCGACGCTTGGACTGGTTTCGGTGTGCACAGTCAACAGCCCTCAGCATGTCATGAGCGCATGAGCGCATGGCCGGGTCCGACCGGACAAACGGTCCGGGCTTCCAGAAGCGCCAACCACATCCCTAGGAGGCTGGGCTGGGACGGGGCAATGTCCAAGGCCCCAATCCCGGTGCCAGAATGATGAGAGAGGTCGTGCACGCAGGTGTGACTGTGACGCATGACGAGCGGAAGCCCAGACAAGCCGTGCAGGTCTGGCAAATCGCGCCAGGCGAATCTGCAGGCCAATCCCGAGAACAATAGAAGAACGGAAAAAGTGACGCGGCGTTGTGGTGCCACAGACAATTAATATCGAATGGCTCGAAATTTGTCTCTGATTTCGATCTCGTACCTAGCCAGCGTACCTGCTGCTTCGTACCTGAAGCCGTTGGTTTAGGCATGACGAGGAGGAGACGCAGTCTGGGTGTGCGCCAGACACCTGGTCCGCAGTAGATAGCAGCGCCATTGGCCGTCGCCGGCGGTGTGCCTCGGTACCTATATGGTACCTTGGCCGGCGCACTTCCGCATCTGGATATCACCGGCTGCCCACGACATCTTGGCGAGCCTCTCCCAGCTCCCCTCATGTTCGGGCTTATCACCCCACTCCTTCTCAAACGCGCCAGATGTATGGCGCAAGATCTCGCGACCTCCCCATACCACGAGCAAACGTAAGGAAGAACTGGGAGGGAGGGTAGGGAAGAACTCGTAACGGGCCAGAAGCAGCCACACCGAAACGCCAGGAGATGAGTTCTCCAGGCACCAAAGATATTCTTCTGCGTCCAGAGATAGCGCTGAAGAGCTGCAGAACGGCTCAAAGGAGGCATGCAGCTGCTCTGCGCTCGGCAGTCCATGTCATTTAAGCTTCTCTCGAGGCACGACCATCCAGGCACCCAGCCGGACACCCGCATCACCTGCTCGTACAGCAAGGAACGAGGCGGCGACGATGATAAAATCGACAATAGGAGAAACACGATACGGTACAGGGGTCAAGGGGGAACAGGAAGAGCAAAGGAGCGAGACGGAAGGAAGACGGAAACGTATGCAGGCACGGACAGGGGGCGGAACGGAGTAAACTCACTGGAACGTTGTGTGATCCGTGGGGAACGACAATCCGTTGAGCAGGCAGCAGAAGGTGATGACGCAGGTGGCAGAGAGCGATTTGCTTCTTGCGTTGCTGTAGCAGTAGATGTTGGCGTCGGGCGTTGCTGGTCGGCGTCTGGGGTGTCTGGCGTCCAGCGTCACAGGTCACCGGTCGCGGCCGGGCTATTGTTGAACGGGATCTTGTTCCACTCTGAAATCGACAATCACAGATCGCGCACTCCCAAATGTTCGGATGTCGGAGATGCGGCACCGGAATGCAGTGGTAGGAGGGCCGAGCCGCGCAGCAGACGAGACAGGTGCGGAAGGTCAGAGTCGAGGTGGATCACTGCGATGCCAGAAGGTCGATACGGTGGTTTAATTGATTGTGCCTGACCGGCAGTGTCTCGTGCGCAATGTCAATGGGAGCGTGAGACGGAGATTATTTGCAAGAGAATGGCGGGGAGGAGGGTCGAGCGTGGAGGTGCGATGGGGGAGTCAAGAGCTGGTAGAGGAAAGTCGAGATGACGACGTCGTTGTGAGGAGGGAAGGCGATGTCGGTGGCGAAAATCAATGTCTGTGCCGAATGCTGAGATGTCGCTAGGTAGGGTCAGTTGTACAGTCGGCTTTTCGAGTTGTGGTTGGCTGGATGGCAAGTTGCGACTTGCTGGGTGTAGTGCTGATTTGAATTATAGTGACGAACGTAAAGACCGCGAAACGATTCGAGTGTCGGGGCGGCTCGGTCAGTCGGAGCGACTGAGCAGCGCGTTTGAGAGGTTTCGTCAGTCGAGCTGCGCAAGTCGAGTGCCGCGCTCAAATGGTCGAGTCGAGGAACGGCGACCGCAAAACGGAAAGAGAAACGTCAAAACCATTACTATGCATGCATATCTTTTATGGAAAGTTGCAAGCTATAGATCCCACTACTTGTGACGCCCCGCAGGACGCTTGCAGACGGCGTGGCTGTCTGGAGGGCTTCGAATAGACCCGATGGCAGGTGATGACTGGATGATAGCATCTCCTGGGTGGTCCTGGCAGGTACTGGAATTGACCTCGCGATTACCTTTGAATGTTGCTCCGTATTCTCTCCTAGTCGGCCCTCGGCCAACCCAGCCTGTAGGACCTTAGACACTTTGCGGCACACACTCAGGCGTCTTGCGGGCCAACGCCCAGGCTGTTTGGCTCGCCGTGGGTGAGGCCGGACTGTGATTACGGGTCAGTCAAGAACGCGGTATGTGGAAGAGTCGATGGCGGAGGGTGTTGAGGGGTTATCTGCAGGGTAGGTGGAAGGGTCAAGATGGTGTCCGAGGGCATGACATCAGGGATCTCCTGTTGACAGCTAGCATTGCCTTGCCGATTAGCGGCCAGTCCGGTGAAGAGGATAAGGATCAAAGGTATGTGTGGAGACAAGTGACAATTTAAAAGCGCCTCAATCAGGAATTGAACCCTCAAAGCCCTTCATGTCAAGGGCATGTTTGATCATCGCCTAATAGCTAGCTGTCCAGGAGCCGGTCAGGGCGGGGCACTCTCGGCAAATCATTCACGAGGTTGCAGTGCCGACAAGCCATGACGACCTGTATATAGACAAGCCTGCTATGCTCATCTGGCGCCTCGACCGTGCAAGACCGGTCGATGGCCTGGCCGGGCAGGTACGCTAGGGTCCTCCATCGTATGACCGCTTGCTCCATTTGTTGGACAAACCGAGATTGGCAGAACACTTGATAACGGCGCAAGTTCAAGACGGTGATGGACGAGAGTATTCGATTTCGAGAAACGCCTCGCATTCCGCAAGAAAACCTTTACTCTCAGGCCGAAGCTGTAAGGGTATCTGATCCTGAGCCTGTAACGTCTGGCACATGCAGGCGGCTGTCTCCACTAGCAACCTTTGGTGCACGGCGCAGTGGGTCCGGCGTGTCGGGGGCCGGTATGACCCAATACTCTGGAACTGCAGTGGGTCCGCGGCTCTGGTTGAAAGCAAACTGCAACGTTCCGAATCGTCTGCCAAAATGGCTTCCGCTCCCCACTAACCGGACCCGACGCCTAAGGCGGAGCTATGCCCGCTCCTCTGTCAAGTGATGTTCTCTCTGGCCGTCGTGTAAACCTTGCACGTCGTCTATCTCTGCATCTTGCGAATGATTGTGTAAGAGCCTTGGAGCGTATTGAGCGAAAACACCAATTCAGTCCAGACTGCGATTCAGCCACACCCACGCCTCTGGTATATTACCAGCCCTGCCCAGCCTTACTCCGGCGCTCAAAGCATGTTAGCGGTCTTCTTCAACACTCAAGTAGCATCTGGAAGATGACGCAGACAGTATGGATATGCTGAGTTTAGGTCAAACAAAGCAAATCAGTGAGGTACGAGGATGCACAGTTGACGCGAGACTTCCGAGCGAGAGCATTGGTGAAGGAAAGCTGGAGTACACATGGCCACATCGTTTAGGCGTCCAATCTGCTATGTTTGCCGTAGGGGTTGGTACTGAAGGCGGTCGCCACCAGCGCTACCGAACAGATCGATCACAGGTTCAAATCTGACATGAAAACAGCCATGCGACCAGATCGAGCCACGAACCGTGCACGCTCCCATATGCAGCCCTGGTCAGCCATGAGAACGGCCCGTACGGCAGTAGCAGGCTGGCTACGTTCTGCCGTACTGGCGTAAACAGGCACCACCCTGCAGTCGAAGTCTTCGCTGCGTGGGAGTATCCATCCCAGAGGAGTAAGGCTTGAGGGCGGCCGCATGAGTTACCCGCAGCTCTAAGTGTTCCCTCAGCGGAATGTCTGGGAGCTTGGGCCGTGACATCAGAGCAGCACCCCTGCACCGCTCCCTCTTCCCAAACTGACAGCCTTCACTGCCTCCTCTGCTGCGCTCGGACGCACCGTCAGCCCATGGTCGTGTTGCAGGACACTCCGAGCGACGGCGATCTAAGCGAGCACACTCTTATCCCATTCACACGGCTGTGCCAGATCAGATTGAGACAAACCCTCGCTTGGTTTCGGGTTTGTCGCCAGAACGGCTCCGCCCGACCTGGTCCGGGTGACCTGGCCAACCAGCCTGACCAGAAAAGGGGTGCTCCGGGTCATCTTTGCATGCGCCACATCGTGCTTTAGCCTGAAGCATGCGAAACACAGCCTGTTTCGAAATCAACCTGTGACTTCGAAATTCAACTACCGCCGGCGACCGCAGAGCGGTGGACGACTGGTCGGTGTGCGCTCGTACGCTTACGGGCCCGCCAGCCATGAGGTGCCACATTCCGCAGGCACCTCGATGAAAACGCCACACAGCGCCACGCAACGTTGCCCTTTCCCCTTTCAACATCTTGCACTTTCTTCTTTCACCAGGCACACCTCAGGCAAACACAATCGAATCCAGCCAAGACCAACCAAGGATATCCAGTTGAGCCACAGGAACGCGACAGAGAAAGGCAGAGCTCACAGGCACGTTCTGCGGCCTGCAGGGCACACGCCCACCCACGACGCCGTGTTAGGGGTTCCAGGGAAGACACCGACGCCTTCTCTCTCCCCCAAACGCCTGCCCCGACAGCGCCAGCCCGACTGCCGAAAGGTCATGAGATCTGTCCCTCACAACCTGCAGTGAATACAGCTGCTCCCACGCATGTCTCCCAGTTCGTTCCCTTCCCTACGACCCACCGGCAGTAACTCGGTCTTCCTTCCGGTGCCGACGGACCCGGCTGGGACGAAGCCGCCACCGTCGCCGCAGTACGTAAGGGGCGGCTGGGGCACGAGGCCGTAACAGGCCGTTGAGGGTAGGCAGCCTTAACCCGACATCCCAACCGGAAGACACGAGTGACGCTAGAACCCAGCAACGACGACGCCATGCGGATCTGGCATACGGACAGACAGGGAGTTCGGAATACCGGCGTATCTTCGGAACATTACAGGCTCAGTACATCCAGGACTCCACAGCCCCGCATCTTTCCTGGCGGTGCACCCTGCAGTCGCACCGTTGTGATCCCCGAAGCCCGACTCTTCGGGGCGGACCTGTCGGGGAGGATGACCCCTGTGCGGCGTTCAGCGTGCAAGTAGTCACTACACGCTACGCCAACGTATTCGCCCAATCTCGACTCACTGACGTTCACAGAAGCGCAGGGTTGCTGAGCCTTGATAGCTGCGACAGAAGTCCGAGGCGGAAGGTGAACCCTCACTCGCTTGAACCGGCCCTTACGGGCCCTCACTGAGCCCTTGGAGAAGCGCCTCATACCGTGCAAACTTCTGAGCCTAGGTCTACCGTCGTTGTGCTGACGCAGACGAATGAGCAGGAAGAACAGCAAGCTACCGCCTTGGACGCGCTGAATAAGCTTATGTCGCAGCACATACCGCATAAGCATGCAGCAGCCTCCCGAGATCCACACGGCGGCGCACGTTTGCGAGCTCGAACAAAAGAGTCGTCTCTACGTTGCTCCGCAGGCTGTCTGTGGGGCATCAAAAGATCTGCATGACGTCGGGGCCTCTCTGAACGCTGCGGTTACGGTTCAGGATGGTCAATCAGCAGCAGTGTCCACCTGGTCATCCCACGCCGGCACCCCACTTTCATCTTCCAATTCAGCCAAAGCCACGGAACCCAGCATTCAGTCGGGCCGACCCGACGCACCGGCACGCCCGTCGCGAATGTAGCGCAGTGTGTATCGCGTGGTGAGTCCCCGCGTGACTCTCGCCGGCTGAGACTAGGTCTCACACGACGGCCGTAACTTCCGTCGGTGATCGTCGACCCACTGTTCTGGTTCCCAAGATTAAGACGCTCGCCCTCGCTGGTCACCAGCCCCGATCTGGCGCATTACGTCTCGTGGCCGGTGTGCGGGCGCCGCTGGCTCATATCTCAGTCCTATCGCATCGCATCTATGCTCCGGTAAGCCAGATCTCTCTCGTCAAGACCTGCCAGCAAAAATCGAGCGGGCAGTCAGGTGACGCCACATTCCTCGCCTCTCGCGTCCTCGCCGCTTCGTCGCACGCGCTCACGCGTCGTTTCCCGGCAGATTCCACGGATGCATTCCTCCTACCTGGCCATCTTGTGAGTGGTCCGGACATTGAGGGGAGCACTCAGCATAGATAAGTAGGCTGTCGATCGCAGCGGCGACTACGCGGGAAGCACCTTGAGCACGGTGCCCATGCTTACGAGCAACGTTTGCGTCGATCACTGGCTCAGCGGCCATTGCACTGACCGGACTGGTCCAGGCTCGAGGAGCGGCCACTCCGCTGAAAATGTCTCGATCGCATCTGCCGACTCCCACGCCAACAGGTAAACCAGCAGGTTCACCGGCGCCATCGCGGACACTGCGGGCCCGGCACCTCTCTTCCCCAGCTCGCGTCGTATCTCGACGCGAACTCGCATGGCGAGATGGGCGAGGTGGGCGCGAGCTCGAGCGTGTGCTGCAAGGCTGCCGATTCGGCCAGAGAGTGGGGCGTGATCAAGCCATGACATGCAGTAAGTGCTGCTCGGGGCGACTTGGGCGGCAGTGTGCGCCAACTTCTGGCTTGTGAGTGCTCAGATGAGTAGGGTTCTGTGAGTCTGGGTCCAGAGTTTTGGGTCCCAGAGGTTTGGGTCGATTATCCAAGACCCCTTACGGCGTGCCTCTCTGTCCTGCAGTAGATGGACACTCTTCATCGGTCCGGGACAGATACGTGTCCAGAAGCGTGTACGTGAGTGTGGACCAAAGTCTGGACCACCGCCAGCGTACGATCAAGCGGGCCCCGAGTGCTAAGTGAGGAATGTGCGGCGAATAGGTCTTCCGCAGAGCCAAGTGGCTGCGGGCAATCGCCGCTCCGCAAGTCCTTCTGTTGGGTCGAGACTGGCCGAAAGGCGCTGAAGGCCGAAAGCAAAGCCCGAAGCCCAGCCGCCAGACGCGGCCCGTAGCCCAGCCCGAAGCCCAGCTCGAGGCCCAGCGTTATTGAGTGAGTGTCGCCACCCGTCGTTAGAGGGCCGAGGTTGACTCCCTCTGACTGCTCAGTGAGTAGTGGTTGCGCGAGACAGGCTGATAGCTGGCCAAGTACTGAGCGGATAGGTTGTCGCATTCGAGTGGTATTACTGTTACATATTCCCGGCGACGCGCGTACAAAGATTGGCACGTGCCCCTTTTAAATAGATCCTTACTTATTACACCAAGCACATTCTCTTCCCTTGCTAGATTCAAACGGGGAGGCAAAAAACTAGTCTAAACCAAAACGAATTACAGCCCCGTGCTGCCCAGGAGATTCACGACGTCCCCGCCCCCATTCCCATCGAGCAGGGTACGGACATACGCCTCGGCGCTCGTCTCGCCTTTGTGTCCCTGCGAGAGATGGGCCTGGATACTGCCCGTCGGGTCCAGAATATCCAGCAAGGCCGGGTCAATGCCCTGTCCACTCCCACTGCCCCCGAGCGTGCCAAACGCGCCTCCGAAGGCGTTGGCACCATTAGGTGTCGAGCCCGAGGAAGCGTGCGATCCCGGCGTGAATGAAAAGCCGCCGTTCAGATTCATGAACCCGCCATTCGTCGCTTCGTCTATCGACATGGTGCCGCTGTTATCGTTGCTGGGGGGGAAGTAGGTGCGCGCCTGGGTCTCAAAGTCGACCGCGTCTACGCTCTCTGGTGTCTGGCCGACGGACGCCGAGGTGCCCGAGTTGCCCTTTGTCGGCGGGCTGAGCCCGGGGATAGACGTGGTCGAGGGTCCCGAGCCAGCGCTCTGTGACTGGGACTGCGACTGCGATTCGTACCCCGTACCCCCCGTTTCGGGGTTGCCGGGGCCGTCGACGGCGCCGTACCCGCTCCCACTGTTCAGCTCCCCAACACTAGAGGTGGCGCACACGTCGCGCATGCGCCGCGCACACATGTCGTCCATATGCTCCGGCTCGCCGCCTAGTTGCATGTGCACCTTGAGGAACTCGCCCAGCAACACACCGATCGAGTGCTTCGTGCCATACCGCTCCATGACGGCTTGGATGACGCCGAGGTCTGTCTTCCACCGCATGCTGTGCGCGTACGCCTCCTCCTTCCCCGCCCGGCCGATGAAGAGCGTGATGATCCGCCCCGTCGTGAACAGGCAGAAGATCAGCAGCGGCGTGAGCACGAGGCTCAGGTCGAGCTGCGACGGGATCAGGTGCAGCAGGCCGACGATCGCCTCGAACGACTTCTGTACTTGCCGCATCGCGCTGTTCTCGGGCCCCTTCCAGTCGATCAGAGGCTCGTGCAGCAGCAGCAGCGCTGTGTTCGGGAAAATGTGCAGCGACAACAGGTCCGCGTTGAACGGCGTCAGGTCCCCGCTGTCCACCAGCTTGTAGATGTTCTTGAACGCTGCAGGCACGCTGAGCTGGAACGCCATGATCTCCGCGTTCAGCTGCACGAACGACGGCGCAGAGAGCGCGTCCTGCGCGTCCCCGGCGCGCACGTGCCGTTGCTTCCATGTCCCGAGCCACTTGCTGACGCGGCCAAAGAGCATGCTCGCCTTGACGGCGAGCACAAACGCGTCGTGCACGGGATGGTGGACCATGACGTCCGCCTCGTGGGCCGTCTGCGGGTTACCGGCCATGGATGCGCCGAGGTGCTGTTTCTTTGCAAACTCGGTCGCACTAGTGGGGAGCGCATTGTAGATCGTGTCAATGTTGAAGATGGGCGTCCAGCACGCGTTCACCGCAAAGCCCACGTCGTACATGTACGTCAGCCAGATGGTGGCTAAACGCTCTTCGCGCTCCCGGTCTGTCGCCGGCGCACCCATGATGGGCGGCTTGCCCCCGGTACGCAGGTTGCGGTTCGTGATTTCCAATGCGTGGATGAGACGCACGGGAGCAGCGGACATGATCCAGGACCGGAGAGCTATGCCCTTGTTCAAATACGTCAGGGACAGGATCATGTTGGCGCGCGTCACGTCGAAGATGAACGGCCCGCTGCCCAGCATGCACGCACCCGTCTTGTGGCGGATACATCGCTCTGCCGCCTCGGTCTGGGCAGTCGCAAAGTCCTCGCAGTTCTCGAGGTCGATGCCGCTCGCGATGTGGCGCTGGCGCACGCCCTCGAGTTGCTGCGGCGGGATACTCGTCGCGACAGCGGTGTGCGGAGCCGCGGCAGCGCAGATCGCATGAAGCAGGCCGGAGAATGGGAAGTCGGGATGCGCAGGCGGCAGAGCCACGCGCGCCATCAGCGTGTCGCGGTGCAGGATGCGCGAGATTTGCGGCTCGCACTGGAAGAAGATGTCGATGAGGTGCTCGAGCACGGCGGGCGAGGGCAGGTTCTTCGGCCAGTTCATCGGCATCATGAGCAGGTTGCTAAAGTCGAAGGACTGGAATTGGCCCGCTTCCCTGGCCTCGATGGAGACGAACGGGAGCGTGTCGCTTGGCACGCCGTTGATTTGCGGAGCGGGAATCTGGAAGTTGGACAGAGGCTCGCCCCATCTGCTGTTCGACACTGAAGGCTTGTCCGACGTCGTCAACGTTGCAATTTTGGCCTCGAGCTCGGCTGCGGGTTAGCTTGCAACGGCCTCGATAGCTCACCAATGCGCGCCTTCAAGGTGTCCCTCTCTTCCTCCGCACGACGCTCGCGCTCCCGTGTGAGCTTGTCAGGTCCGCCGATTGCGGCACGCTTCGGCCCCGCCGTTGTCGACGAGACACGCTTGCGCTCTCCATTCGCGGCTGCCAGAGGCTCGGGTTCATCGTCGTCGGCGTAAGTGCACGAGAGCGGGGGCGGCTTGCTCTTGTTGCGCTGCGCGGAGCGGACGGCGTGCGCATGGCTGCGGAGACACGGGTTGCACGTCGGGCGTACTGCGTCGCACTTGACCTTGCGCTTTTTGCACTGGGGTTAGCTACGATCTTATCAAATAAGCTGGTGGGCAGGCAGAGAGCGCTCAATCGGATCGAGACCGGCGGAAAGATCCTATCTGATAACGCTCGGCCGACATCCGACGCACCTGGAGACAAGCGTGGTTGCGCTTCAGCGGCGCGAGGGTCTCGTCGTCGAGAATGTCGGTGTACTGCGCGGCCTCGTCCATGATGTCGTACAGATGATGATATCGGAGCGAGCGCGGGTTAAGAGGCTTATCGCATTTGCTTCAGCGAGAGTGCACGCTTGCGTTGGTGATCAAGTTGGCGTGCTGCGCTGCTGTGCTGGGGTCCGTGTGTTTCGCGGTTGAGCGACGGAATGGGGGCACGGGCGCCTGTCGGTCGGCAAAAGAGAAAGAGGAGGTTGGAGAAAAAGTCGCTGCGGAGTCGAGTTGGTCGATCGGTTGCAGGCTCTTTGATTGCCACAGGGCGGGAGACGGGGGGTGGAGGTGGAGCGGGGGTAGTGGGGTGGCGAGTGGATGGGGGTGGGGGGAGGAGAAGATGGGGTGGTGGTGGTGAAGAAAGAGGTGGTTGTCAAGTGGAGAGAGATGGTGGAGATGGAGGTGACTAGACCCACTTGTGAGCGCAAAGCGAGTCGTCGTACATGAAGATGAAGCAGCGTGGTGACGACTAGAACGACTCGTGGCCCTTGTGCCGTGGCCTGTCGATCGGCAGTCGAGATGACTTGAGGCCGACGGCGATGGGGGCAGTCCGCCTCGGGCATGAATGTGCGCTGCCTGCATGCCTGCAGTGAGATCTGGGCCGAGGCTCGGGTTGAGTGCACCGTGGGAGAACAGATTTCGGAACCGACATGTGACTGCCGCGTGGCAAAGTCCGAGGTGGAGGTGGAGTGCAGGGCCCCGGATATTGGATATCACCGAGAGCTAGGATGCCGCATTCTGGCTTGCGCTAAGAGACGCAGAGACGCGACCGGATGACCGCGTCTTGCAGCTTGCCGGACTAGCATGCGGGGAATGCGCGATTGAGTGAATGCAGACGGAGATGGATGGTCAGTGGAATGGACATTGCATCCCCGCACACATCTCGAGTATCAAGTAACCGGATCTCGCATCATCCGACCCTTTGGCGCCCTTCTGTGTCTGAGAGAGGTGACTGCCTTTATCAACGGCCGGCTGTCTTCTCTTCTTCTCATCCCACACTCACTCCTTTCATCTCATTCAACCAGATACACTCCTTCAAATGACACTCACGACGCAAGAAGCCAGCCGGCGAAAACTCGCCGACCTCAACGCCCTCGTCTCGGACGCCGAGGCCCTCCTCGGCCCGGCTCCGGCCGGGGACAAGGCAATCCTGTCCGCGAAGTGAGTCTTCCTCCACTCCCTTGCGATTCCATTTCTCCCGATCCAGCTGTGCGTAGCGGACACTTAAAGCTGACGGACAGAACCGCCGACATCGTAGCCAACATCAAGGCGCGCAAGGAGGGCTGGTCGTCTGAGGCCGTAACTGCTGCCTTCGTGAGTGTCGATCAGAGCTCGGGCCGTGTGCTGTGGGATGCTTCTGAACGCCCTCGGCCGCCGACGCTACGGATCCGAGAGCGGTGTTGTTGATCGGTTCGTCGGTATGCTGCGTCCGCCTGTGGTCTCGGTGTGCTTGGCGCTGCCCAGCACGGAACAAGCCGAGCGCGCTGCGGTTCAAGGCCAACTAGTGCGCGACCATCTCGGCGCATCACCGGTGGAGCGCCAGTGCTAGGTGCAATCCGTTCCATCCGACCACCAGCCCACGTTGAGCAGTCGAAGCTGACAGACAGATCCGCGCCGCCTGCGCCGCGCACAGGAAGACCAACTGTCTCACTGAGGGTGAGCTACCTGTATCGCTCAAGCTGACATCCAGCCCTCTTCACTGAAGCCCTCGAAGCCGCCCGCGCCGTGGATAAGGAACTCGCGACGGGCGTGGATGCGAGCAAGCTGGGTCCTTTCTACGGCCTGCCCTCCAGTTTCAAGGGTGAGTCTGAGAATCGGGCCGATATTGCCTACGCCGAGTGGTAGAGCGGGCGTGGCAATTCGTTGCTCCGCCTGCCAGTCCGTGACACACACGAGAGACGTGGCTCCGGAGCTTAGATGGTTCACAGGCGCTCCAGAATCTTGAGCTAATCGGGAGAAGAGGTTAGCTGACATCCAGACACGTACAATATCCTCGGCGTCGATACCTCGCTCGGCTGCTCGCCGTACTGCTTCGATCCCACCACGGACCCGGAGGAGGAAGCCAACGTGAGTGTTTCTCGGGCTAGCTTCTGCGCTAGCGGTCTAGTGAGATGAAGCGAGGTTGTCCTCGGTTCTGCCGAAGTTTGCATCAAGCTAGTGTAAACTAGCGCGTTTGATGTTCGGGGTGTATCGCTCATGGGACATTGCTGTCTGCAAACCAGGCCTCAGCCTCTCTCTTAGACCCAGGTCGGACGTTTCTGTAGCTGGCAAAGGAGCGTGGTTAGCTAACCCCCAGCTCGTCAAGCTCTTCCGCGCCGGCGGCGGCATCCCCTTCTGCAAGACTGGCGTGCCCCAGACCCTGCTCGCTTTCGAATGCTCCAACCCCGTCTTCGGTACGACGACCAACCCCTATGACTCGTCGCGTACCTGCGGCGGATCCTCGGGTGGCGAGGCGGCCCTCGTCACGCTGCGCGGAACCCCAGTCGGCTGGGGAAGCGACAGTAAGTCATCCAGTTGGCGATGTGTGTTCTCTAACTGATATCACAGTCGGCGGCTCGCTCCGCATCCCGGCGCTGTACTCTGGCTGCTGTGGCCTGAAACCGACCGTGGGTCGGTGGGCTCTGCTGGGCAACCGCCCCGTAGTTCGAGGGCAGGAGAGTATTCTGCCCACCACGGGCCCGATGGCGTCCAACGTCGACGATCTGATCTACGCGAGCAAGGCAATGATGGACCTGACGACCCGCGCGCTGGAAGACGGCAAGATGGCAGCCGAGGGTCTCCTCCCCATCCCCTGGCGCGAGAAGACGCTGCCCAAGCGCATGAAGGTCGGATACTACCGCGAGACGGGGGTGGTGCGCACGTCGCCCGCCCTCCTCCGTGCTCTGGACATTACTATCGCCAAGCTCCGCGCCGAGGGCCACGAGGTGGTCGAGTGGGACCCGCCGGCTCTGTGGAAGGTGTTCGAGGTGTTCGCGGCACTGACGAGCGCCGACGGGTACAGGCAGCTGTTGGCCAACATTGGCCCGGATCCCAAGGAACCCTCCCTCGCGCTCGTGACGGCGGGCTCGTCCGTGCCCCGCTGGCTCCTGTCTCTCGCAACGAGCCTAGTCAAGAATGTCCTCGGCGACGAGACGTTCGCGCACGTCATGGCCACTAGTCATGCCAAGTCCGCCTCAGAGTTGTTCGAATGGGTCGCCCAGCGCAACAAGCTGAACAAGGAATTCAAGACGAAAGCCTGGGAGCAGCAAGGCTTCGACTTTGTCCTGGGCCCGCCGCAGGCCGTTCCGGCCCTGGAGCATGGGCGGACCAAGATGCTCTCCCCGCTGTGTATTGGCACCTGTGTCTGGAACGTGCTCGATACCACTGCTGGCGTGATTCCCGTTACGAGGGTGAGGAAAGACTTGGACGCAGTGCCTGAGGGATGGCTGGAGATTGGGGAGGGGGAGGCGAGGAGCTCGATTCTCGAAAAGAGGGTCTATGGCGGCTCGGATCCCGCCTACGATGCGGGCAAGATGGAGGGACTGCCCGTTGGCGTGCAGATTGTGGGACGGCAGTGGGATGAGGAGGGCGTGCTGGCTGCTATGAAGCTGGTTGAGGGGCTTGTCGATTATCAGTAGGTCTCAGTAGAGGTTTGATAAGTAGGAACAACAACAGGATATGATCATTCTATACATATGTCTGCGTTGCTTATCTCTCGGCATGCATGTAAGAATCCCGGGTCCGACTCCGATATGTATCCCAACCTGCTTCTCGGTGTGGTGTCTCCCTCATTCCAGTGCATCAGCTTGGCGGCGGATCCGCACTCTCACGATACCCACAACAAAGCCCAGCATGCCAGTCCGGTTCCAGGCACCAGATAACGATATCCAGGCGGAACCTCGTCAGTCTCCAGCTCGGGTCCCCTCGGCGCCAACCTCGGCGTCGCCTTAAACCAGCCCTAAGGGGCGGCTAGCGATTCCGCGGCCTCGGCCGATTCTGTGGGCTCTGCGGGCTCTGCAGGCTCGGCGGGCTCGGCGGGCTCGGTCTCGTAGCAGGGCTCAGGATACCGCTTCTCCTCGATACGCCGCCGCCTCGTGCGCGGATTCCCCTCCTCGTCCTCCCACTCCTCGACGTGGATGAAGTTGTGATACATGGCTGCGAAGCGGCCCAATTCGCTCAGCTCGAACGGCCGCGCTACGCGCGGGGGTACTTCGTCGTCGAGCAGTGTCGTTGCGCGGGCCCTGTACCGGAGTGCGGCGAGGATGAAGGGCTGGATCTCCGCGACTGTGGGCGGGGAGAGGGGCGTGGGTATGCCTGCCCGGGCCTGCTGTCAGCGTACGACGTGTGTGGAGGGCTTGGGATACTTACGACGTCGTATACGCCCCCGATCAGCTCGTCCATATCTTCTTCCCAGTCTGCGTAGGTCATGATCGGCCGACGGGCGGGGGGGGGTTCGTACCCGCTTCGTCTGGTACCGGAGATTTCTTCCGTTAGTGACAGTGAGTGAGGGAGACTTACAGCTCAATCGCCTTGTCGTACACGCACAATTGCCAACAGTATCTGTCGATGAGGGTCCAGTCCCCGCTCTCCTCGGCTCGTTTCCAGGCGATGCTGGCTTTGTACGCCGCATAGGCTAGCTCGTACACGTACTGTCCCTCTTCATGGGGGGGGAAGCCGAAGCCGACGCCCGTCCAGTCTGTGCGGGGGAAGGTGAGCGGCATGCTTGGCGGTTTCTGCAGGAGCTTAGTGTCGGGGCTGTGACGGAGTGATGTCAGCCAGGAATGACTTGGAAGATGAAGACTGGACGGTGGAAAAGTGTGAGTGTGTTTGTGAGAGTTGTGAGTTTCCGATGTGGACGGTGTTGTTTATGTGCCGATCTGCACTATGTAGCTGCGCGCTGCGCCAGGCATGCTTCCAAACGGCTGGTGGCTGCGCCGGTTGCTACGCGCTTCGGGCGCATGATACTGAATATCGCAGCTGTTCAGACCCTATGGGGCGAAAGCCGATCAGCACTCCTTCGTCAGCCTGATGCCACCCAGCGATCCGCCACTCGATACATTGGTACCGTGTAAAGTGACGCTCCGGTCCAGCATGTACCTATCCAACAGCTAGCAACTGTCTGTCAGAGTTGGGACTGTTGCCCCTTTCATACAGTGTTAGTTGGGTGGCTTTAGGCAAGGCGCGCTGTGTACTGTGGTCGCTCGCATTGGCAGAATAAACGGCCCACGGAGCATCCTTCTGAGGGCTGATCAGGCTTCTGGCAGACAGACGTGCAAGCGTCAGCTGCGACCAAGGCTGATGCCGCAAGCCCGCAGTCTATCGAGTATGTTCAGCCTGCTCAGCCTCTCCAGCAGGTCCAGCCGGTGCGGTCTCCGCAGTCCTCGCAGCTAGCCGCATCAACGTCCCATGGTCCTACCGAGCGAAGATGCCGCTGCTGTCGAGGGGTGGCTGAAAACTTGCACTTTCAGACACGGCTGCTGACCCCGCCACACCGGATAGAAAAGGGAGAGGATCACGACCGCTGCGCTGTGGATGGAAACGCCGCGCTCCCTTTTCATGCTCTGCCATCGGCTTGTCGGTTCTGCAGGGTTAACAGGAGTCAGAATGTTCGTGAAAGCGTGCTGGTCAGATGAACACAAGAACATGTAGCAGAGAGAAGTTGTTTGCTGAAATCTACCTGTTGGCTGCAAGTGGAGGCTAAGAGCAATCTGTTCAAGCGGAGATTCCTAGAACACAGCCGCAGCGGAAGGGTTCACCTTCACCTCTCTTGGACTGTCCTTGCGCGACGCCAGCGACTCCGAGCGGCTGCCCCCAGCTGACCCTTCCTGTGCTGCATCCTCATGCCGCTCACTCGCGACGCCTGCCTTGGCCTCCTCCTTCACCTCAACAATGGTGTGAGTGAAGTATGCGGCAGCATATCGGCCCAGCTCGGCAATCTCAAACGTCCGTAAGGGAGAGGGAGGGATGGTGCGTCCCGTCTCCAGCGTCTATGGCCCGCGCGCACGCCAAGCTGGCCCGGTTCGCGGTGGAAGTAGGCTGATAGGCATACTCGTCTGGCTTGTAGGGCGGGAAGCCGAGGTAGACGCCGGTCCAGCTCGTTCTTGGGAAGGCGTACTCGGGAGGCATAGCGATCAGGTGGCGAATACAGCCGCAGCGCGGAGTTCCTCTGAGTCAGAGTGCGCCTCAGGTGGGTCCAGGCGGAGCAGAGAGACGGATGACAAGGGCTGGAGAGGGGTTGTGAGTAGGCACGCGAGGGTCCGGGCTATACCGGTTGTGGTATTGGTGGATGTGAGCATGGATAAGACACTTACGCACCCAAGTTTACAGATCAAATTCAGCTCGATGAGGGGTCCGAAGATAACCTCGGCTCCGGGCTAGAGATAAGAAAGCCACGCTATCTCAAGTGTAGCAAAGGCACCTGCAGGACCAAAGCGATGGTGACAGCATCTGTACGGCCAGCGGGAGAGCCCTTAGGAGGCATTGTAGGGAGTCTTGAACCGAACCTCAAGACGTAGACAATGGTGTATTGCACACAGGGGTGGATATCCGGATACTTTTAGCGCACCACTCATCGCGAAGTCATGGCCCCTTCTCGCATCTCGTCCTCGAGCCCCTCTTCCGAACTTTCGAGCATGTCGATGCCGTTGACGCTCCGCGAGAGGAGGTTCGCCTAGTGCGCCTTAGTTGAGTGCATGATACGAACCGAGTCGAGCCCGATCGATTCTCAGCCGACAGACATCGCGGGTCAGGAGTGAGTAGTGTTGACTCGTTGGCATGATGGCTATGACTGTGACTGTGGATCAACAATGAGAAGGCGACGGAGGGCGCATGTTAGAAGCAGTGAGATTAGCTGATAAGAGAAGGGTTGTCAGGTTAGATAGCGAGGGTTGGATGAACGCAAGCTTGAGAAGACGATGGAAAAGGTGGATCGCGTGGTGATGTTGGGAGGCACATGGCAACCGTTCGATTCCGCCGCAAATCATAGTCAGCCAAGCCAGCCAAGGCGTGATACTCTGTCCCTGCCTCCACACTGCCGGTCCCTCAAATATAGCGCGCGCCAAGGTTGTCCAACCTTGACTGAGCAAATGCGGAGAAGTCTGCAATGCTTGACGTATTACAGCAACCGAAGATCAAGTGAGGAACTGGTGTTGTCAGATTTTGCGATCAAGCAATGCCATTATCATTATCGTACAGTGGTGGCCGAATACCGACCCGTGTAGCCATCGACTACCATCTATTGCCGAAAGGCGATGAACTGGCATCGCCGAAGGAGTCAGCTGCCAACTGCAAAACGACTGCGAGGCGGCACTGTTGCCGCATGGGTCGGCTGGCCTCATTTCGCTCGGATCTTGCCCCTCCACTATCCGCTCTCCGACTCTCCGGCGGACCCTCCTCAGCGTTGCATTGGATTAACAGCGACTCACCCAGGAACTTCTCTCGTAACGCTTGCCTCGGCGCGATGTACACTTGACACGCGACAGAGCACGACGTCCACGAGCGGGCACAACCACGCGCGACCGCGCACCAGGCAGTGCGCCACAGCCCAGCTGGCATCGCCTGCCTATTCAGCCTGACTCTCCTTCCGTACAGCACGGGGCCAGCCGCCTGTCCATGTCAGGCAGGTGTCGGAGCAACTATTGCGAGAGGGTTGAGGGTCGCAGAGCCAGGGGACGTGGACAGGGAAGAGGAGTCAGGGAACGTTGCGTGGATCCGAACAAATCTTGCGCGGGGCTTCCGCGCTCGAAGCGTGGGGAGGAGCGACCTTCGGGTCGGTCGGGCGTCGCTGAGGTCGCCCCTGTGGTGCAGTTGATGATCACCCGGGCTTGCCAGGACAGTTACTTCGGATCCGAAAGATCCAGGAAATGTTGCTTCAACCTACTTTCTAGGGACGAGGCTCTGCTCTCGAGCCAGCGGTCACAACCCTATGGCCGGCCATGGCCCGGGACTTTGGTTAATTAAGTAACGTTAATCCCCCAATCAAGGTTTGTGGACGTTCTGGGGACCGACGCAGACGAAGCTAGATGAGACGGGAGTTCCATAGCACGCACACTGTTGAAGCACATTTGAAGCAGGGGGTGTGCCGGAAAGTTTGCGTTCAGGCGTTCCATAACTGGTCGGCTCCGGAGCTCTATATCGGTCGGCAAGTGGGCGATAGTTGCATTTGAGCTCGTACACGACGTGTATCAACTGGACCGGGGGTGATCGAGTGGAAATCAGCAGGGACAGCTGGGACAGGCGTGCTGGAGGCGTGCGCAGAGAGGCTCTGTGGGGGGTGTGAGATCTAGGGCAGGTAAGCGTGACGGGGCCAACATTGAATCGCATTAGCAGAAAGCGGTTGGTGGTCGGTGATGGAGGCCAATGGAGAACGAGGGGAGTGAACGGACGAAACGTGGACGGTATCCGGACCGGAAGGGTGGGTCGCTCGACTCTGCGACACTGCCCTTGAATCCATCACCATTCAAGAACGTAAGAACCTGGGATTAAGCGTACCCAGCAGCACCATCAGATGACTTGGTGACGTGAGCAGCTGATGAGAGGCGGTGGGCATTGGCGGGCTATGGATGGAATAGCGGAATCAAGCAGCCATGGCCTAGCAATTGGAAGGGTACGACGCCTGTAGGAACCAACTAGGGGCCGTCGCAAGCAAACTGCAAAGTGTGCATTAAGCGTCAGGCTTTTGGACCCAGACCTCTTGAACACTCTTTTGGTTCGTTCGAGCCAGTGCGCATTCGAACGCTTGGCAGGCACCGTTCATTTGAGTTTGTTGAGCGCGGTGTTTCGCGACCGGAGTCCGTGCCAGAAAGAGGCGAGGCTGTGACCTCGGTTCCAGAGAAGTGGGAGGAGCGATTCCGTCGATTCCAAAGCAGCTCGACAAGCGCGAGGAAGGAATGAGTAAAGAGGAACCCCATGGAGTGTTGCGCTTGTCGAGATGGAAGAGGAAAGGCAGCGGCGATGACATTCCTTTGATCGTCTGTTTGCAACGGCGCCGAGTGCGATGAAATCGATGGGGTCCGTGCGCCGACCCGACGTGACATCATGGTGATGATGATCGACATGCGGATAGTGGATAGGCGCCCCCACCTGTGTGTCTTCCTTCAGAAGTTCTTGCGATGAGTCGTCACCCGAACGGGACGGCCAATACGATATGTTAACGTTTTGTGAAGACATCGCATGGTGGGCGTTTGCCGATGACGTATGGGCAAGCGCCCCGCTGGCGGGAACGTTTGTTGTCGACGATGAAGTGACAAGAGATCGAAAGAATGGATGGAGCGGAATGAAGGAACGGAGGATGGTGATCACGGAGAACGGTTTCATGGGGTGCGTCAAGACGTCAGTGGCGGACTCGCCGGCTAACATGAGACAGAGCACGAGCACGCGAACATGAGATGGTCGTACGGTGGTGGGGATTTCAGATCGGCACGTCCGCATGCCTGGAGTTGTCTGGATCTCAAGGTTGAAACAGGTTCGGCGAGCCTTAGACGGGGAGTGAAGTGGAGTGGTGATGAGGGCGGGTGATGCAGTGTTCGGAAGGACGGAAGACATGGAACTCGGAGGTTCCTAGTGGCACGAACGATCGCAGAATTGCAACACTTGTCTCACCGCGGCTCTAACATGACTGCACACTTACACAGCGAGCACACAGGTCGTGACGCACAGCAGAGCACTCATGGCGACGCCCGCGATGGATGTCGTACCTAGAGCTGACGGGCTGGAATCTCGCTCCGAAGGTCCACGGATTAGAGACAGCCAGACAGGAAAACAAGACCAGAAGCCATCGAATGACGAAAGTTGACTTGGACACTGGCATGAAGAACCGCGTCCCAACCGTATGGTTTTGGAACACTACCAGACCTTCCCTACCCCAACACGGCACGCATTCGATGTGCACCGGCGACGGGCTGTGCCCCCATGACGCCAGTCCGAAGTGCGGTGTTTCGAAAGTTTGACGTCGCGCGCTTTCTGGTCCACAGCTTAATGAAGCATCATGCCTCCGACGACCCATCATCGGCGGGTCGGGATTATGTCGACGTTCGTCATGCCAGAGGAAGAGCCGAAACCAAGGAAGGACGATCCGAGAGAGATTGGAGCCCGAGTGCTGGAGCGGCACGGGCGGACACAGATCTGGATTCCGGTGTGCCCATGACCCGGGACGCCGGCAAGCCCGCCTGAGCAAGAGCAGCAGGGCTGCATTGCCTGCATTGAGCAAGACACGGGCAGAGAGACGCCAGTGCCTGTGCTTGTGCAGAGTCGTTGGGTCGTTGTGTGTCTCTGCGGGTTGACGTGTCTGACGTTCTGCTGAGGTCTGGGTCGGAAGCTCTGCTCCTACGCGCTGAAGAGGTCTGACCGAAGTGTGCCTCTACGCGTGTGTGCCTGAAGTGATGAGATAGAGGCTCAAGTTGATATAACCGCTCCCAACTTTATCCTCGAATGCCCTCACACCCTCCCTCGATCCCTCACTCGTCCTCCCCAGTCCTCTCCCCACCCCCTCACCCCTCACATCACTTCCCCTCACATCTTCCCTGGACGTCCCTCAATTCCTCAATCCCTCTATCCCTCAACCCCTCAATACCTCGACCCTCACGCCTCCGCCGTCCTTCCCCTCGACCCGCACCATCCAACTGCCCGCCCGTACCTGCACTTGCACCAGCACTTGCCGGCACTTGCCTGCATTCGCAGCTCACCTCCTCGTCAACTTGACTCTGCCACCTCTGTCATCTCCTTCTCTCTCACGAGCATCAACTCCTCCGGCGACGTCTGCAAAACCGCACTGGCGACAGTTTCCTGCTTTTCAATCGATCATCTATCAGTCCGGAGATCCCACTGCCCTCACTTTCGGTTCCCCGACTGGGCAACCTCCACCTCCTACAACCACCGGTGGCACTCACTTGTTTCTGGCGGCATCGCTCCTCCGACCGACCTTCCTCGACTTCCTTCCTCGCCTCTGCGTGCGCTATGTCGGAGCAGCCAGAACGCAAGAAGAGGCGTGAGTTGCTTTGTCCGTATACCTCGACCGATCACTGACATGAGCAGGCCAGAATGTAGCGTGCGACTCCTGCCGCCTTCGTCGAGTCAAGTACGTTGTCTTCCCTCCGCCCTCCTCGCTTGAGACAACCAGGTAACGTGTCTTGTTGCTGACAACACTCCGCAGGTGCGATATGCTCGCTCTCCTCACGCCCAAGGACGGCGGCCCTGAGCGTCCTCTGCACGTTCTTGTCCGCGAGAACCCCGATGTCTCCTGCACCAATTGTGTCTCGAAGGGCATTCGTTGCACGACGAACCAGATCGTCAACCCAGCAAAACCGAACAAAGGTGGAAAGCGGATCGAGGAGGCAAAGAAGATGTTCGGCAGTGACGGGTTCCAGAACACTGCGCCGACCCCCGTGCCTCAGCCTCAAGCTCGTCGTGCGAGCATGCCGCGATCGCCCAGCGTGGCAACGCCCGGCGGCAGCAGTGGATCGAGTGTGCCTCCCAATCCTCCGGCGATGATGCCCATGTTTGGTGGTCACCAGTTCAACATGACGGGACACAACGGCCATCCCGGTCCCACGGCGAGCTTTGTTCCTCCTGCACCTATCCCATCACCCACCGTTCACCCCGTCCATGGATGGAGTGCACCACCGTTTGATGACTGGACTGGACTGGCTTTTGAAGCTCAGCATGGTGTGGCCTTCTCTCACCCCATGCATGCCCCTCCTAATGCATTGGAGCTATCCACTTGGGAGACGGCCATCGTCGTGCCTCCCCCGCCACCTGGGCATGCCCACAGCCTCCCTGTTCTTCCCTCGGCCATGGGAAGTCGGTCGGTGCCTCCTCCTCCCTTGGAGCCTCTGTTCCACTCACCGCTGTCTCCTCCCCTGATGACTTCTTCCTCGTCGTCGACTGCGGCCTTCCTCCCTGCTCAGAGTTTGACAGCATCTCCAGGGGTTAACTCTGATGCGTGCCTTCCCTCTCAGCCTCCGTCCAGGTCCGACAGCGGTCAAAGCGGTCAACAGCCTCGCGTGGCGGGAAGGAAGCGAACCATTTCGGAACACGAGGACGACGACGTTCTCGAGCTCGTCCGCGACGATGAGCCCAATCAGCTCGACCCCAGCTACATGTGGGCTCCCAGAGACAAGGTAATGCGCTATCCCCAGTTCCGAGGTCTCCAGGAGCATCCGGCGGCGCAGCCACCGCGACCTGGAGAATCCCACCACCGTCCCTCTTCTTCTCGGCGTAGCTTTTCTTGACCACCTGCTGTCGTAGGAACGGGTTTACGGTCAAGGATCAGCACTCCATGTTGCTGTGGTCTGTGGTCGCGCATTTGCGCCACCAGCTCTTGAGTGGCGCAGCCCGTGTCACCCCCATCCCAGGATTTTGTCCCCTCCCTCTGAGTGTGCGGTGTGCTCCCACTTCAGGGCTTGAGCCTGGGCTGACCTTCGCAGGTGACCTGGCTTCAGGCCCGCTCGCTGCCTTGGGGCAGTCCCGTCATGAGAGTCTGTGCAGGAGCAGCCTGCGTCTGCAACGCCTCCAAGCCTTCGACGACCGTGCTCGCGACATCACTGTCGCCCACCGTGTCACCTGCGAGCCTCGCGTGACACCACATCTTCCGCAACGCTGCTTGTTTCGACATTGTATGTACAACTATCACACTTGTTCGATACGCCTTGATCATCTCGATACCAAAAGTGGAAAGAAAAAAATGATCGTGAGTGGCAGGCATCTGCGCCAACGACGTGGCTGACGATAAGATAATCTTGGTGCTCAGTCTTGCCCTCGCGGTGCAGCCTTGATTCTGCAGAGAAGTGGGAGGGGAATGCAGGCGAATCTTGCTGGAACATCATCGCTCCCAGTCGGTCCACGGGCACTGAAGGTTCGTTTTACTGATCATCGCATCTCGTCGAGTGACGTACTGACGAGCTCCAGAAATTTTCACCGCCTGACTGTGTGATCTTCTCACCTATGGGATCAGCCTAGGCTCTCGATGGAGCCTCCGCGCTGATCTTTCATGGCGCCTTGACCTTCGCTTGGTGGGCTTCTCGTGGGCCATCTGCACTGCATCGCAGTCCACTGCCCTGGCACTGCCTCCCTCTGCCTTCCTCGATTGAGCACAACCGACACTCAGTCGCCATGATAAGATTGTCCACCTCCCCCGAGTAGTGTCCATCTCCACAATCTCGGCTGTGTCGTGGGTTTGCACCGCCCATCCTCTTCCGCCAGTCTATCGCGAGTCAATCGCGAATGGCGGCCACGCACCCCTCTCCCTTGTCTCCCGCTTGTAGAGAGTCACATTCGGCGCACCAGCTGTGCAGACGACTTCGTCCGGGCAAACATCGGTCCGCTGCTGCGTGGGCCAACTGTGGCCGCACCAGCTCGTCCGAGAGCAAGGCAGTGCAGCTCCACAGCGTTGCGCCAAAAGCGGGCAATTTTTTCCAGCCTCATCGCAACCTGCGCCCTCTCTGCTCGCGGAGCTCCAGCTGGAATCAATCTGCTCCGCCTCCCTGACTCCGTCCTTGCGGGCATCCGGAAATGCACCGCTGCGCCAGAATTCTGGTGCCCGCTGCCCGTCGCAACGGTGAGCCTTTGCATACCTCGGCGGCTCTCGGCCGCCCGCAGCAGTGCCACATGACAGCATCAGGTGGACAGCCGATTCGGCCAACTGTGGTGCTGTGCTGTGCCCGTGCGATCCCATAGCGTTGGCACGCAGCCTGCATCCTGCTGCCACACGATAGACACCCGGGTCCGAGATAGGCAAGAGCGGGGATCAGAAGCCCGCTGTGACGGTTACAGACTGTGGCTCGGTGGGTGGTCCGGCCGGCCCGCCGGTTCCAAGGTTTGAGGGGCCGAGGTCGGCACGACTCCTCACTCCTCACTCCTCTCGTCTTGCTCTGTTCCACTTCCCCCATTCAGGTGTATCCATATCCCTACCCTGTCCTCCTTTCGCCTTAGTGCCCGGACACTTGTGCCTTCAATCCGCATTTCATAGAACTCCACCGATCCCAGTGTCTCGACTGGGTTCAGCTGTTCAAGCCCCACGAACAATTTTTCTGCTATTTCTTCTTAGTTTCGTAGTTCTCGTGTACTGTCACTTTCTTGCCATGTATGTACGCATATCCCAGTTGCATAGCCCCCGGAGCATAATTTGAACGTAAGTTTGGGCAGGTGGAGCAACTCTAGCGAGCACAGCAAAGGAGCGGAGCACACCTGCACCGCACGTGCCCAGGCAAGACGGGCGTGCGCGCCGAGTCACATCCCCGAGTGCCTAGCCAGATAGTTTTGGGTGCCTGTTGCTTTGGTGCCTGGGAGTTGCACAGAGTGCAGGTGCTGGTGTCGGTAGGTTGGGTTGGTTGATCTCGGATCCGAACGTTATGACGAGAGAACGTACTCCTTTCGCGTACGTTCGCGTGCGAGACGAAGGCAAGGCTCAGCAGGTCCGGCAGGCCCAAGCAGGCCCGGCAGGCCCCCGAGATCCTCGAGCTTCTCTGTAAACATTTCCGAATGTCCAGTCGTTCTGATTCCGTGGTCTAGCATTTGTGACAGACTGGCGTAAACTCGCATAAACTTGCTCCCGTGTCCCCCCCCTGTCGCATCAGTTGCGAACTTGGGTGGGTCTCGAAGATGCATGGTTATGTTTGGCTTGCTCTGGTCAGCGGAAAGGAGGTAAGGGCCGGTGCATCCGTGGTGCAATTGTGCATCCGTGGTGTGCGTGGGTCACTCTGTTCGCTAGCTCGCTGCCTCGCATGGAAGCCTGTGAGCAGGATAGAGAAAGAGTCTTCGCTAGCCTCGTTCAGAACTCAGGACGAGCTCTACAGTTGTTCGGCTTAGCTCCCCGAGCCCAGCTCCACGATCAGCGCGCAGCGCGCAGCGCCATGTACCCCGAGCGCTCGTGCGCTCGTTTCCCGGGCGCCCCGATGTCGAGCATTCATGGCCTCCCAGATGCGGGAGATTGGTATTCCCGATTCAGCTGTTGCAGCACCAGGACTCGGAAGCGGCCAGGCGAGAGGTAGGCGGTAGGTCTTGGCGCGTATCGAAGCACCTTGCACAGCCTTGTCATAATTAAAGGCCGTAATTGCGCGATAACAATCGAACGGTGTGCAAGGACTGAGATCTTATCGCATCGTTATCGCCCCGCGGCCCCATCGCCTGCAGGTGTGGGCCCCGTGATTCCAGCACTTGGGCTACGCACGCATGCACGCAAGCCACTGGGTCTGTCACCGCCAGATCAGAGCGGCGTAATGGGCTGTGCACTGACAGCTCCAAAGCATGATAATTCCGTTTAATTACGAGCGTCGCTTCGAGTTCGTCTTGGTCTTGTGCCCCTCCCGAGGTATGCGTCGCCTCGGTTTCGTGGCGGGCCGGAGCGGGCCATCGCCGGCCCGCTCTGCTTTACTCATACATAGACGAAATGAGGCACGTGAGATCTGCACGGGTACACTTTCTAGGTACGTTAGGGACGGGTGAGGGACGCAGGAGTGGGTCTGCAGGTCTGGAAGTCTGGCTGACATCGGGCACTGTGCGGAGCTCCGCTTCCCCACCCCCTTCTCGTCGACTTATGAACGTCGCGGTCTTGGCAGCCGTATCTCTGGGAACTCGTAGATGCCAGGAGACACGAAGCGGGGACGGCGCCGCCGTGGCTTGTACTTTACACCGGGGGATGCATTAGGGCTCTACCAAGAAGGAGGGAGTGACAACAGAGGAAGGGGGTCAGGTGCAGGTCAAGACAGGAGGAGGTACAGTTGGGTATTTCTACAGGTTGACTGGTGGTGGCTGATCTCATGTGGGTTGGTCGGTTGGTCGGTCGGTGGAAAGCAATGCAGGCGACAGAATGGAGAAGAGTCTAGGCGAAGTTCACACCTGTTCGTTCACCGTGTGAGGCGCGAGGTGGCATGGGCGGGAGCCACTCGCACGGCCCAGCGTTGACTTCGGGGACTCATTCGCCAGCGCTACCGCGGCAGTTTCGGGCAGCGGCATACTCTCGGGCAAGACGACATTCGCGCTATCACTGAGCGCGGGACTGGGCGGCTCGGAAATGGCCGTTTCGGCGGAGCTCGACTCGCTGGACTCGCGCGACATGATAATGTCAGACGGCAGGAGCATCGCTTTCACCGCTAGACTCATGGGGTCCTTCTTTGCGTACACAGGAAGTGGGTCGGGTACACGGGGCTCGCCGCTCTCGTCGTACAACCGCAGGAACGGCGGAGGGTTGGTGAGTCCAGAGGTCGGCATTGTCTCGGGGTGCGAGGCAAACTTGACCGCCGTCGTGAAGGTGATGGGTCGAGTCTCGGGATTGACTCCTGGAGTGCGCAGTGTGCAGAAGGTCTTGAGCACATGCGAGATGTGGACGAACGGCGTGAAAGTACCAGGCCGGGGTCGAAAGTGGCCGGGGCCGTCACGAGACGGCAACACCAGAACAACGTTGATGCGACGCCAGGTGTCGCTCAGCCCAATCCCACCATCGCTGAAGACAAAATGCCGTTGGCAACCTTCCTCCGAGAGCAAGCACGGTCGGAGCACATCCCTGCGACAACGAACGCTGGGACTGGGACAGAACACGGTCTCTTCTTGGGGAGCAAACCGTGGACCAAGCAGACTGAACTGGCTTGAGTAGGCAGGCTGCTCAAGAGGGACTGGGAAATAATCCGTGTACTGAGAGAATGGCGCAGAGCTGTAGTGTATCAACCTTCCACTTCTCCTCAGTGCGCACTCACGAAAATCTCTGCCTCTCTTCCACAATCATTCCCAACTCTGTGATATACGCTACTGTTGGGTCGGGATCGTTCATGCCACCGTGCAAAATCGCTTGACTGAGGCGATAGGCATGGTACGCTTGGGGTTGGATGCGGATTCGGATTCCGACGTTAAGGGCCCGCTCATCCCCCCAGACATCGACAACGTCGGGGACAGTGAAGGTGGCTTCGACAGGAAGAAACGCTGTACCCATGTGAATATCGTACGAGAACGTCTGTTGCTCGGTGTGAATGAAACTGCGCTGCTCAACAGAAGCGTTGGGGATGATCGCCGTCGGCATCTGGTGCCTGCGGATCGTGAACTCGGTGTACCGTGAGCACGACGACTTCTGAAGAAGGCCAGCTAGTGTATGCGTCGGGACGGCCCGGTGACCATCACACCAGCTGGTGACCGCCGTGGCAACGACGCCGTACCCGACCCCTGCGCATGAACCTCGTCCCGACACCTGAATGGACGGAGGCAGCCAACCAGGCAGGCGAAGGTCAAAGTCAAGTCGTACTGTAACGAAAGGGCTGTCGGCAGAAGCAGCATCTGCGGAGGGGATAGTTATCGGGCTATCGGCAGGGATGAGGGGCAGCGTGGTCGTGAATAGGCGAAAGGGGCTGAATCGACCTGGGTCAAGTCAGCTAAACAAGGATCCCGAAATTCACGAGGACCGTGCACCCGTATCCTGTGCAACGGGATAGCAGTCACGCACCATAATCATCCCAATACTCAGCCTTCCCCTCTAGGACTACGCTTACATCGTGGAGCAGTCGCACATACTCACGGTCGACGTCTGGCAAGGCCGGGAAGGTCAAGAAGACGGATCCTGGGAGACTGTAGGTTACTCTGCAGGCGTTAGTCATGTCAGTGGCAATGTTGACGGTTTCGGATCAGGGTATCTGGCACCGTCGGCGGATGGCCACCGGTATGTCACGCAGGCACGCATGTTTATGTTTGTCCGTTGCCGGCTTAGGGTACTCACGACATGCTCGGGCAGCCTACGATATCAACAACATCAGTTTCGAAGGAAATCTCGACGATCGCAGAGAGCGCACGGCTGATGCTTTCGGTGGAGGGTTTGGCGCTGGAGAGGACAAGTTCCTTGGTGATCGTCTGCTTGCTTCGGCGCCCTGCAGAACTGCGATGTCTGCGATGAGAGGGAGGCATGGCCAAAGAAGGTGGCTCCTCGAATATAATAGGGGCAGCTGAGGAAATCGGAGCAGGGCAGGAGTAAGGTCGAGTACCAATCGAAACTGAAGAGGTGGGATGCCGGCGGGAGGTGACCGCGCACTCGATATCGCGGGCGATGTCTGACCAGTCGTCCACGAAGGACGAGCCATCCAGTGGCAGAGGCGGGGGTACCACAGGCGCAGCGATGCCCTGGCGAGCAGATGCAATGTCGGCTGAGAGGAAAGCAGTGTCGGAGGAAGACCGTCGATGCTGGTTGGGGTTGAAGAGATGGGTGATCTTGCGACGCATATGAGTTGGTCCCAACCGAGCTCGGGGTCTTCCTTGAAATAGCTCGGTCACTGAAGTAAGGGAAGGGAACCGGTGCAATGAATAGGTGCTGTGACGCCTGGTGTTGGACGCCGCTGCATTGCTTCCCGCGTTCCCTCGACGAGTGAACAATGAGGAAGCATTACTCTCCGACAACGACATTGAGCTGCGGGGCTCGTTGGTGTGATCGGCGACCATGATGGTGGGAGGCGCAAGAAGACCTTTGGCCGCTTCCTGTGGAGGAAGGCCACTGGCGAATGCGGATCAACGAGAAGCCCGCTGCCGATCGAGGGCGATCGAGACGGCGTCGTTCTATTCTTCGTGGAAGACGGACAGCGAGAAGTCACCCTTCAGCGACGACCGATGATGGTGGACGAGTGACTAGGTAAAGTAGTTGAGTGGAAGGGCGAAACGAGTGAGGAGAGTTGCAGTGAACAGGTGATGGCGCGTGTGGTGTACGTGATATCTGTCTTGAGATCTAGAGGCATGTACCAGGCACAGCTGGCGCAGGGCTAAGGCTTGAACGAGCGGCAAGGGGCGCTACGTCGCAGTGTCGTTGTCATACAATGGCGGAGGGATGTATCACTGATCTCTGGGGAAGATGAGGATCACACCACTTAGGAGCAGCTGGGGACGCTTTGGCAAGTCGTCTTGTTGTCGTGGAAGAACCGTTTGATATGAGTGACGAAGGAGAAGCTGTGAAAGAATGAGAAACACAGTCCAGGGTGGTGATCGTTGGGACCCGTTGATTGACCATGGAGACTGGATGCAGGAGTGGGCGGGACTTCGCATGACCACCGCAGCTGGGTTAGAGACCATTAGTGGTACAAGTGGTGACGACAGACGGCAAGCGCGGCTCCATTCTCATGGCTGTACCGTCGCGCCTGCTCACGATCTGCGGACTGCATGACAGAGGCAATAGCAGTACACGCTACGTCGAGCCAACAGCGATGAATCATGGTCTCACCCAGAACTCACAAGCGCTGTTGAACCCTGCAACTCAGACCATCGGCAGCTCGAGCATCCAGGTGAATTGCAGCCTCCCCAAGCCTCAACCTAATGTGCGCACAATGCTGAGAAGTGGAACGGACATGGTAGAGAACGCCAAAACGCAATTGTGAAAGTCCAAGCCGAAGGCTTCATAGACCATGGCTGAGGCACTGTCAATCACACCCTGGCGGTCAGAGCGCGCTGATGGCTTAAACAATCGGCTCACCAAGGCCTTCGTGCGCCTGCGCTGGAGCAAGAGATTGTCCTCTCACCTGCGATCACCCGACCTGCAATCATTTTTCCGGGGTTCCTAGTGGTCTTGAGTAACTCTATCTTCAACGTATGGGCTCCAGAACCTTTGAAAAGAAAAAGTTGCGACGAGCCAGCGAGAATCCCTGAGCCCTGAGCCGGTTTTGTCGAAAGTCACTACAGTGTGAAAGTCCAGTGTGAACAAGGCGTGAAAAGTACTGCTAGGAACGATCGAGGATCGCCCAAAACCCATGCCCACAGATCCATGGCGTGTTGTCGCCTTTGTCGCATGCTTCCGCTATCAGGCGTCGTCAATGGTCGAAGAGCAATGAGCAGATTCCACAATGGAGCGGCACTGTTGTCGCTGGTCGCCGCTTCTGTCGGAGCCAGGCACCGGACGATCAAGCTGGTCCATTCGACCCCACGTCACCTTGCGTCAGCTGCGGGACCAAATCGCAGTCTCAGTAGCGGCACGTGGTCTCAGCCAAAGGAAGGCGCGTCATGTACGGAACGCGTCCAGAAGTCCACAACAAGGTGCTCATGTACTCTATCGAACCCTCCGACTTCGACTCACACCCGCAAGCCCGGCCAACCCAACGTTGACCTCGTCCGGACTCATGTCTGCTCGACAGGCATCTCAGTCCTCTTCAACCTCTTCCGTTGCAGCACCTACAGCACCTACTACACGGTCGTCCACTCGCAGTCGCCGGGATCTTCGACCGCGACGGTCTCCGCCACCGTCTGCGGTACAAAACTCAGAGACTACCGAGACTCCATCGTCACCAAAAGATGCAGGGCCTTCGCAGCCCATGCCATCAGCAATGAGCTTACAGTCGAGACGTGGCGGACTCTCGCCCACAGTGGCCTCGACTACGTCTGCGTCCAGCGTAGGGGGGAGACTTAGGGAAGATCCGTTGCTTGACTTGCTTATCGAACAGCAGAAGAAGTCGCTGCGGGAAGTCAACCCACTTGAGGGAGGCTCCTCTGACGAGGTGGAGCAGGCCGCTCGGCTCTTCCTTGGGACCAGCCGGCTATGCTTCCAGACATCCATGGACGCGATGGAGCTAGATGAAGCCGAGATGGAGAGCGATTACCGCTCCCAAGAGCGGGACAACGTCATGTCCACTTGGACTGACATGCTGTGTGAGTCCCCGGATCTATGAGTCTCGCTGACGCCAAGTGGCCGGTAGAGTATTCTTCGACTGCAACCAGTATGAAGTAGCGTCTGCCGAAGAAGTGAAGGAAGACGTACGGAAGCGTAACAATGTCCTGACCGACACGGCCGCATTCTACCTCGACAAAGCAGTAACTCTTTTCAACGCAATCGTTCTTGTCAAGAACATCAACCTCCCTGACTCCGTCGCCACCGATCTCGAGGAGCTCGGCGCTGGAACCGCTTCCGCTCGAGTGACAGCCCGCAACAGGGTGCTCAAGAACCTGTGGGCTAGTTTCTGGCACATCGTTCCGGGCGCAAGCAATGAAGAGATGGATCTTTGGGTGCAGTTTACTGTTCAGGTATGTCTGCAGGTTTCTCGAGTGCTCACGCAATCCAGCTGTCTGGCCGCTTCCAGAGTCACAGGGTTTTGGATGACGAGCGAGTCAAAGACAACGCGCTGCCTAAGCCGGCACAGGGGGGTTTCTGGGGAAAGAACGTGTTCGCAGACTACAGCAACCTCGATCACGGCAGCCCAGAATACCGAACGCTCTCGAATCTGTGGGAGCGCCTGAAAACGTCGTGGCGGCCGAAGGTAAGCCGCGCCAAAAGCTGTAGTTCTAACCACAGTCCATCAGCAAACCGCCCCTCTGGGAAACGTTCGAGGATTCGGTGTTAGAGTACATCAGGAAGAAGTCTAGCGAGCTACTCGACTTCCAGGTTGAGGAAGGGGAGGGACCGGCCGATCCGGGAGAAGCCAACAAGGACGCCGAGGGAGGTGAAGGCTCCCCCCAGGACGACGCTGAGGACGCTTCGATGGTGGAGCCGCTTGACATGGACATGTTCCTAGAACTCGCGCAAGAGATTGAAGCTGAGAAGGGGATCTCATCGCCCTTCGGTCGCTCGCCGCAACGGCCGACGTTGACGCCCTTGATACGTCTCGGCCCTGAACGGCCGACGCCGAGCTTTGACTGGAACGCCCGACAGAAGGACGCCGTGCAAATCAGCTGGGAGACCCAAGAACAGGAGTCAGAACGGCAGCGCTCGGCCTCTCAGCACTCCAGTGACGCTGACTACTATGAACTACCAGGCGAGACACAACTGCAAGGTGCAGAGGGGGCTATGAATGTCGTACCTGAAGCTTCCCAGCATGAAGACGAATCTCGTCGGGACAGCGATGAGGAGCTGCCCACGATGACTCAGTTGCAAGGTGGATCCCTCGCCCCCTTCGACCCATCCTCACCGGCTGGCGATGCTGAGGATCATGAGGCCGATCTCCCCCCAGAGTCGCTCTTGAAAGGGGAATCAGATGCGTTCGCCGAAGGCGAGGCAGTCTCGGGTAGCAGCGAGACCGGCGACATCGACAACGACAACTTCCCGACCGAGACCCAACTACACGGATATGCAGGAGCATTCACGGAGCCTCTGGATGTCCAGTCCACCATCCTGGAGGAGGACGAGGAAGAAGACGACATGCCATCGGAAACTCAACTCAACGGTCACAGTAACGCGCTCGCTCCCATCCAGCCCCTGGAACCGCTGGAGGAGGGGGAAGAGCAAGAGCGCTCAGCCCTCCCGGAAACGGACGACTTTCCCGAGCCTGATCAATTCGAGGGAGACGATGCAGCCTTCGCTACACAGGCCGCTGGAAACGGGCAGGCGGATCAATCGCAGTCGGATGTTGAGTCACGCGATAGGGAAGATCTGCCGGAGTCTGACGTTGCGGAAGAGCAGTCATCTGACGGGACTCAGAGCGGACTTCCAGATATGGATGAGCTGGCCGGTGACTATGCTGCCCTCAATGTCTCGGAGCCCGAGGAGGCAGTCGAGGCCATCGACGAAGAGGATGAGTTGCCTGAGTCAGACCCAGCCATGGGATCTAGCCAGGGTGTCTCTGAACCTGACCCAACTGGGGACGACGGCCGGGCGCCGGCTCCATCGGACATCGAGCGTGAAGGCGGTGAGGCGGAGGCTCCTGTCGGCGTGGCAGGCGATCCAGCGGACGATGTCGATGGAGATGAGCTCCCTTCCGCCGACCAACTGCAGAGTCAAGATGGTTTCTTGTCCGATGATAATGAGCTGGCCGTAGCCCACCACCTCGCCGCTGAGGCTCCTGCTCAAGCAAGCCGCGAAGAACAGTCGCCATCCGCGAGTGCACCGACTGAGCATGTCGCCCAGCGGAATTCCCAGCTCGACGCCCAAGGTACGCCCGCGGTGCAAGAGGAGACCCAGAGTGTCGATGTCAGCACCGCGGATGCTCTTCCTCAGAACGAACTGGCGGAGCCCAACACAACTCCCGCTGTCCATGGATTACCGGAGGTCATCGAAAGTGCGGTGGCAGTTGACATCCTTCACGCCGAAGCAGCGATCGCAGCTCTTTCTGACGCCGCCGAGCCGCCTCTGACGGAGCCGAAGATATCGGCCGCTGAGACTCGTCAAGCTCTGAATCCCTCGGCTGCTGGGCCAGGACCAAGACACAGTCTGCCTGCCAGATTCCTTCATCCGCGCCGCCCTGATCTCACTGAGTTTGCAACTCCTGATCCCGAGGACGGCCCCGTCGAGGACCGCCCGAGCACTTCAAATGCGGCGGCCAGACACCTTCACGGTCCGCGACGCCTGCACCGATTACGCACGGACTCGCCCACTCAGCGCTCCCACCGCTATTCACCGCCTATGCTCCTACCATTCGTTCCTCATCACGATCAGACCTCGCCCGCGATACCTAAAACACCCAGCCAGGCTCAGACCCAGGAGCCTGGATCGAGCGTCCTCGGGTCTGGCGTCATGCGCACGACCTCGACTTTGCGGAGGATCGATTCTCAAACGCCTTTGGGTGGTGTCCGGCGACAGATCGTGACGCATGTCAGATCTGAAGGTGCGGCTTCGATCGGTCCTCGTAGGGCAAGATCCAACACTGGTCGTCTGGGATACGTTGCTCCCCGAAACGACCCCTACCTGCATGATGAGGACGGCGGGCCGCTAGAGCCGGATCCGGAGTACGTCACGCCCGACGTCTACCCAACACCCCCGCAAGAGCGCGCCGAGCGAAGGACTAGGGTTCCGATGCACCGCAAATCGCGTCGCTGGACGGAGGGCGAGGCACTTCTGCTCTACCGCACCATCCAGAAGGCATGGTGGTCAGAGCGTACCGCTCAGCAGGTGGCTTGGTACCTGCACGGCGAGTGGGGTCAGATGTCTCAGCGGCTGAAGGCGTTCAGCGTGCAAAACATGAAGGATAAGATGCGCGAGATCGTCAAGACCCGAGTTCGCAACGACCGGGCCGTCGTCGGCCGCGCCCGCCACTGGCTCCCCGCCGGCCACCCCGATAGGGAGGCTTACGAAGAGGAGATGGCGGCATGGGCCGACGCCGAGAATGAGCGACTTCAGCAGGAGCAAGAGGAGGCCGAAGAAGAGGAGGAGCGCAAAGCACTCGAGGCTGCGCAGGCGGATGAAGAGGAGATGGAGGACGAGGTGGCTGCGGCTGATCTCGGCGGCAGTGCAGAGGAGCTGCCGGACGAGGAAATGGACTGGGAGGCTCATCCGGAGCTTCTTGTGGATGTGGAAGGACAGGAGCATGCTTCCGAGCTTAGCGAGCATGAGGACGGAAGGGGCGGTCCAGCAGTGCGTGAAGCCGCTCACGTTACTCGTGAACCTTCTGCCCAGCGCACAACACGAGCGGCCCGAACTTCCATCGGTGCTCGCTGGCGCACTGATAATGACGACGAAATAGACGAGCTGGAGTCCGACCAAGGCGAACCCGAACCTGCAGACGATTTCGCCGACAACATCAGTGTGGTGAGTGCAGCTGTCTCTGCTTAACTGCTTGTGGCATTCGAGCTAACCGCGCACAGGCCGATAGCGATGTAGGCATTGCCGAGCACGCGGACTTCCCGGCCCCGATTGACGTTGCGGCACTTCTCAACTCTCGCAAGCGTCGCACGACCGAGCCGCAGAGCGGTACGCCCAAGCGTAGGCATACCTTCGGTGCAGAGCCCAGGGGGCTGGTGGTGCGACCGCAGGCTCGCCCTTCGTTACCTGCGCCAAAGCGGAAGACCATTACCTATCGCAATCAAGCACGGCCACCACGTGAGCTTGAGAGCAGCGAGACCGATTCAAGTGAGGAGGAAGCTCGGTTACAGTTACCTGCACTTCGCACTCGGCCTAGCAGCGGTACGCCACGCTCTGGACCGGCAACGGCTGTGCAGCAAGCGCGACGCTCTGCCCACACGGAGCCGCGACCGCCCCGCCGTTCCACCTCTGCGGCGCGCGACGCAGCCGCTCGTGGCGTTCAATCCTCGCCACCGCAAGCTCTGCGCAACCAACACGGACCTCGGCAATCGTCCTCACATTTGGAAAGCGAGAGCTCGGACCATGATGACTTTGTTCCTAAGCGGTGGTTCAAGCTTCCTGAGATTACAAGCAAGCGCTCCACTCGAGCGTCTACAGCTTCTCAACGTCTGTCCGCTGCGGCGGAGTCTTCGTGCGATGACGAAAATACTCAGAACGCCACACTCGAACGCCATCAAGCCGACGCAGACACCTCGTCGGACGGCTTGCCGGCCGAAACGCAGGCTAGTCTCGGAGATACACAACCGGAGAAACAAGTGCCGCGCACAACCGTCGTGGCCCGGGCCCGGCGAGGGCGCGGCGGGATGAAGGGAGGGCCCTCACGCCCACTGTCCGTCGTGGCAGAGCGGACCGAGTCGGTCGAGAGCCGCATTGATCGCCTGGCCCCGGCCAGGTCAGAGAGCGCGAGTTCTGGGGTGATCCCAGAAGCTGAAACTGAGGAGGAGGCTGCTGCGGAGGAGGAGGAGGAGGTAGCTGCACCAGAGACGCCGCGGCCGAGCCAGACTTCGCGTCTGCGCGAGATTGCACGCAAGGTGATGGGAGTGTGAGTCAGCGTGCCCGCCAGTACGTTGCGTGTGTAAAAGGTGGGGGAGGCGAATGTCCAACGTGAGCTGCGCTGTTATCACGCATCGCATCGGATTCTGGAATTAAGGCGACATGGCGAGATAAGGGTTGTACAAAACGTATGTAAGACAACGGAGACTTTGTATCATAGGCCCGTTGCCCATGTGGGCATGTTCCGCGGGGATGTAACCAATGCCATGCTCATCTGTTGCATTTGCGCAGCTGTGCGCGTGTTGTCAGTGGCTCAATAGGAATCTAGGACGTTGTACGGAGGAGAGCAGGCGGTGGGTGGGGCCGGTGGGGTGGGTCATGCTCATGCCCATGATACAGCGCCTCATGGCCGCTGCATGCGCTGTATGGCCATCTTGGCCAAACTTGCTTGCCCACAGGTTCGCAGCAATTGCTGGCCGGGTACGCTCGCGCGGGGCAGCAGGGTACACCAGGGTCGAGAGAAGGGACAAGAACAGGGCTGAGGAACATTGAGGACAAAGAACAAAGGGAGAGACATCGGAGCTCGGATAGACTTCGGAACAACTGCTCGAATAGCAACAGGAACAGGCAGGTCATCATTCGCTCATTTGCTCGCGGGCCCGGGCGCCACCGGATTCCATAGATCCCAGCTGCTTGTGGCCGTGGTGGCCGGTGTGGGTTGAAGAGGGTCGCAGGGGTTGCTGGGCGCTGGGAGTCACTGGGGTTGACCGGGCGGAGTGCTGCGCTGCCAGAACCACACTGAGCACGCCCATACGCCCCGCAATTATGTTAGGGCAAGAAGCAAGCCTAACTTCCAAGCCCCGCACTCAGCCAGCCTCAGCCCAGCTCCAGCCCGGCATCAGCCCCGCTGCGCCTGGCCCGGCCGTTCCGTCAAGCCCGTATAGTCCGGTGGAGACTGCGTGCACAGTGCCCAGCGTGCCTCGCCAACTACAAGTGCGACGAACCTATAGCGGCGCACGATGCAACAACGGCGCAATGGGCGCGGAGCGGCTTGCCCACGGGCTCGTACGGGCGAACGCACTGACATCTTTGGCGGCAGGAACGGTAGGGAACAGCAGGAACGGCCCTTGTTCCAGGATCACGTACAGGAGTCGACAGGATTCTGGAGGCCGAGCGAGGCCGAGCTTGCACCAGCGACGCCGGGCTGTTGCGATGGCCCGATGGATGGTGGGTGCTGGCGCATGCTGGCGTGCATGTGCCCAATGCATTTCGGGATTGCGGGGTGCATCGCAGCATCGCAAGAATGGGCTTCTGCGCACTGCGAGGTGGTTCTGGTCCAGTCTGGCCACCTTCACTCTCTTGTCTTCTTCGCCTTCTCTCCGCCTTTGCTAAGAACACCTTGCAATCTTGGCTTACCCATCTCTACCACGTCTGCCGGCACGCCCACTCTGCTGCGACTGCGACAGAGCCCTTATCTCCAGCCGAACGACCTATCCACGGCCTACACGGCCCACCTCAGCAACCACCCCCGGATACCCCGGAACCCCACTTTGTCCCCAATCAGCGTTCGAAATTTCGACAGGAAGCCGAGAATTCCGGGCTCGGCACGTACTCCTACAACACTGGTACAATGGCAGCGTCTGACGTTTCTGACCGAAGCACTCGTCCATTCCTCTGGCACCCTTTGTCCCAATCCCTCGACGGCAACAGAATCGAACTCTACCTTGTCCCTTGCTGCTAGCTCGCAGCCCCCACTCTCGCCGCCCTCGCCCTCGCTGCACTCCCACACGCCGCCCACTGCGACCGACGTCTAGCGGCATCTCCCACCCCCTCACCTCACCTCGCCGCTCAACCACTCAGTCGCTCGGCCGCTCAATAGCCCCGGCGAACCGACCGACGGGCAAGCAGTAACCGCTGGTAGCGAACAACAGATTCCCCGGCCGCACCTAGAGCGTACCGGAACTCGCCCGACAGCCAGCGTGCGGAAACGTCTTGCCCGCTTGCTCTTGCTCCGGTAGCTCGTCAAGCTCGCCCCATTGGCAGTGCTCAGGCCGCCTTACTCGCCCGCTCGCGTCAGCACAGCTCGAGATCGAGGATCCGGGTACGAGCTTTTGCACGCACCAGTGCATTGCGCAGCAAGCACGAGAGAATAGTGACATCAGCAAAGCCAGGACAACGTCGCGACCTGCGCGACCCCGGCACGCAATAAGGTTTGACGCTGTTGCGATTCACGGCGTTCAGATTGCTGAATAACCGGCCCGAAATATCTCGTCGGTCTCCGCGCCTCTGCCTTCTGCCCTCTCGCAGCATTCAGCCCGCCGGCACCAGGCTCTATACCGTTCCTCACGCAGTACCTCGCCAGCCCCCCGAGTCTGGCCGACACCGACGCGTACCCGCTCATACGCCCCGCGCAATACGCCGCGCCCCGCCCCGCCATCCGTTTCGGTCCGTCTCGGTCTCTCGGCCCCTGTTCCTGCTCCGCTCGAGTAACAAGTTGCGACTTGCTCAACTCGGCAGTGGTGGTGGTGCCTTCATTCATTGAGTGCGCTTGAATCCGAATCCGCATCCGACCTGCACTTTGCATCTGGGTCCGACGGCCGCGGTACCAAGGCTCTTGGATGGCTCCCCAGGAACACCTGAACCAGAAACGTCGAATTGATTACGGCAATCTGGCATACCCACCCCGTCCTTGTCTGCACAACTGCACAAGCTGCACGCACTGCACGCACTGCTGCTGCCCGAGAACGAGGAGTGCTTCTCTCAGCCCCCCCTTCTGCCCCCTCTTACCCTTGCTAGCCCTGCTTTGGTGTCTTGCCTGAGTTGGCCTGAGTTCGCCCAGCCCCTTAGCGTCTAAGACAAGCTACCAGGAGAACCAATTCAGCAAGCCGCACCCAAATCCAAAGTTGGTGAAAGCATCTCTGGCACGCTCGCGAAGCGAATTCCATCCCCAGGAACACAAGTTAACAGAGCCCCTTTGCACGCCCAGCACGCCCAGCACGCCCAGCACACGACCTGAGCACCAACTGAGCACGACCCCCAGGCAAGAGCCCCAGGAGGACCCCCAGGCGGCAACTGTCCGGATAGATCCTGTCCCTCTCGTGTCCCTGCGGCAAGAGTCCAAGACAGCAAAAGAGCAATGAGCAAAATGCAAATGGAATCGCCAATGGAAATGAACAACACCGGAGTCCCCGGAGCCCCCGAGGCGGAGCCTGCGTCCGGTCTCGGTGCTGCTGGTAATGCTAGTGTTAGTAGGGGATCTAGCCCCGGGGCGCCGACCCAGTCCTCACAGCCTTCCTCTCGTCAACTAGATGAACAGCTCGACCTCGACCTGAAACTCGAGAGCCTCACGCTCGAAACGGAAACTACCCACACGGCTACTAGCACCAGCGCCGCTAGCTCAACTTCTTATCACCACTGGCAGCAGCAGCAGTCGTCGTCTTCTTCGACTGCAACTTCATCCTATAACGCATACAGGCACCACCAGGCGACGCGCGAGTTTTTGCTTTCTCTCCAATACTCGGAGCACGCGCACGCCGTCCTCACGCTCGACCAGCAGCAGCGGCACCCATACCAATCGCACGCCCGATCACACTCGCACGCCGAGCTCCCCCTGAACCCAATCTCGATCCAGCCCTCCCTCCCCCCGTCCCTCACCACGACGCCCGACAGCCCCATCGCGCGCTCCGTGCCCCTCCCCTCCGTCGAGGACGTCTTCACCTCGCGCCCGTGCTCGCCGTGGCAGGGTGACTTTCCCGACTCCCCCTCCCCTTCCCCGCGCAATCAGCCTCCTGGAGTAGGACACGAGCACTGCTGCGAGCCAGTGTACAGAAACAGGCTGCTGGACATGGTTCGTGACGAGTTTGGCTCGGCGCTCGAGCTGGATGACAACTCCAGCGTCAATAGCGGCTTGAGCGGGTCAACGCACGGATTGGAGCTCGAAGGCATGAGCCGCACAGTATCGCGCAGCGCGAGCCGCTCCGTTAGCCGCAGCAACACCATTCGGTCGGTACGCTCTGCCGTCTCGCGAGCGAGCACGAGCAGAGGCATCTCGCCGCAGCCCACAATTGTGCTGAGCCTCGAGGGCGACGACGAGGAGATGCTCCACGAGGGCACCGAGGACGACGGCAGCGCACAGCGTTCGTTTCGGCCCCTAACCGCAAGTGACATAGGGGGAAGCGGGGAAGCAGCCATCGACGCCGGCGAAGGAGTCCTGGACGCCTCCGAACCAACGACTGGTGCCCGCGAAGCCCGCGAAGCCCCCTCAGAAGCGCAGGAAACCCTCGAGGCTCAGGGAGCAAGCGAAACGTGTGCGCTCGTTGCGAGCACCCTCAGCGTGGCCGAGTTACGCACGCTGGCACTGCCCCCTTCCTGGCCCCGTGTGTCGCTTCTCTCGCCCGAGAAGCTCGTCATCGACCGGCGCGTGCACTCCGCTTCGTCCGCTCCGGCGACCGTGATCCCCGACCCAGACTTCGGGGGCATGGTGCCCCTCGACATCCCCGAGTTCCAGCTCGGCGATGCCGCCATTGACGTGAGTGCTGGTGGGTCGAGCCTTGGGTCGCAACTTGGCTCCAGTGTTGGCAGCAGTACCTCGGCGTGCTCCAGGATCAGTAGGGATAGGAAGGGTAGCATTGAGACGGCGATCACTTGCTCGAGCCTTGCTAGTTGCGCGGCCCCTGCTTGTGCAGGGACCGGTGTTGGGCAGGGGGCAGCGCAGGGCGTGCTCTTCGGAAGAGACTTTGCAGCCCGCCTCATGTTGGAACTGTACCGCGCCTCGATGCTCAAGAGCCCCATTGCGTCGCCTCTCAGCTCGCCAACTCAGTCGCCGTCGACGGGAACAGCGACGGCATGGTGGGGTGGAGGTCTGAGCGTGCGCGCTGCAGCTCGCGAGGTGCTCCGCGACGATGAGCCCTCCGAGCCCCTTCCCCAGGGTAGCAGTTCGGGCAGCCTCGGACTCGGCTTCGACGCCAACGCGCAAGAGGTCGTCCTCCCCGACTCGGACAGTGGATCCAACTGTTCCACGCCCATTGCGGCGACGGCACCTCGTAACCGGCCTGTCGTGACTACCTCCGGGTTCAGACTCGAGGGCAAGGTGTTCGAGTTCGATCCCCCCTTCGCTCCCTCCGAGGCCGAGCTGCTCTGCCGGGAGCTCCTCGAGCTCATCTCGCGCGAAGGTGTCGAAGTCGCGGGATACCATCCGCACTATCCGCCCAACTACGGCTCGCCCGAGATCAACGGGCACATTCCCTATGCGCCATGCGGCCTCAGTGCTCGACTGGCCGACCCGCGTGCTGCGTCCCTCGGACCCCTTGCGCCAGAACTCGCAACGACGCGCCCGTCCACACCCCCCGACACGCCGACGGTCGGCTGCGCCCCCCTCCCCACCCTCACGGCGCCCGTGACGCCGATCCAGACCCGACCTTCCTCGCCCACAGTCCTCCAGAAGGCCGTCGCTATCAACGCGGCCCTCCAGCAGCTGGCGCGAAACTCCGGGTCGCCCCTGGCGGGGATCAACGTGACGAACGAGCGGCCGTCAAGGCTCGAGGAGATGCGTCGGCAATCGCTCCGCGCGGCCGGCATCGCGTCCCCGAGCAGCTCGGGCGGCTCCCCCGCGCCCTCGGGGGCGCGACGCAAGTCGCTCGAGTGGGCCAAGATGACCCCGCGGTCCTCGGGCGAGTACGCGCGAGACATATTCGGCGGCCTCCTGCGCGAGTCGGCACCGAACGCGAGTGTCTCCCAGCCGTCGAGCCCCGAATTCCTGAAACGGAAACTGGCAGGATCGACGGGTGAATGGGACCTCAGCACGACCGAGTCTGCGCCCGGATCTCCGAAGAGTAGTAGAAGGAATACGCTGAGCGGCCTCGGACTGTTCCTCAGCCGGGCTAGGACGAAGCAGAAGTAGACCTCTACGCAAAAAGTGAATAGACCAAATCTGTTAGCATGAGGTAGTATAGACGGAGACGATAGAGGAGAGTGAATAGAGAGAAGGGGGAGATGTGGCATTTTTTGGGATCTCTATGCATATGATTTTTGTTTCTTCTTCGACTCTAAGATGACATGACAGATGTTGCTCCTTCCTCTCACCGGCGGTAAACGACATCGGCCTTCAGCCTCCAGCCACAGCCACCGCATTACTGGATGTCCTTCTCCGTGATCTCCGGGATAGGCAGTCCAGCGGCGGAAGCAAGGCTGAGCACCTTGAGCGCCTGCTTATAAACCGGAGCGTCAATCATAGCCCCATCGAGGGCATAAGCCCCCTTGCCCGCCTGATCATTGAGTTCGAAGGAGAACTTGACGCGCGCCGCCTTCCGGATAGCCTTGTCGGAGGGCGCGTATGCGCGCTGAATCTCCTCAACCTGGTTGGGGTGAATGGCCTGCTTGCCCGTGAATCCGAGGCGGTGGCCATCCTCGCATTCGCGCGCGAGGACCTCGGGCTGCTTAAAGTTGACACAGACGAGATCAATCGCCTGCAGACCCCACGCCTTGGCAGCCACCACGAGCCGCGACCTATGGTACAGCAACTCTTGCATAGAGGGCGTGCGCGTGATGCCCACATCGGCGCAGTAGTCCTCAGCCGCGAAGAGGAGGGAGTCGAGGTGGCCCTGTCCCGATGCAGCGATTTCGTGGATGTTCACCATCGCCTCGGCCGACTCGATCATGCCCACGATGCGCATGGGAGAGGCGCCGCCCGTCCGTCGCTCCGCCGGAGCATACTCGTTGATCCGCGAGACGAGCCAGGCAATGTGGTCCGGCGAGTTGGTCTTGGGCAGCGCGATGGCCGAGACGTTGCGCGTCGTGAGCTGGCGTCATCAGCCAGCGTCCACACTGAACTAGCAGCCCTCCGTAGCGGCTCCTGCCTTCCTGCAGCTAAGCAACCTCGAAGCCCAGCAGGCATAACGAGTAGGGCTCAGCGGCCTGCGGCCGCTTCGGAAGTACTCACCGCTGTCTTCACGTCGTCCTCCTCGAAACCGGTTCCCACCGCATTGATGCGGATCATGACCTCGCCCTTGGGCCGCTTGCCCGAGTTGAGCATGTCGGAGACGAGGCGGCGCGCCTCCGGCTTCTGCGCCGGTGCGACCGCGTCCTCGAGGTCGTACGAAATCGAGTCGGCGGGCGAGGCGAGCGACTTCTCCAGCATGCGCGGGTTCGAGCCGGGCACTGTGGTCAGGTTAGCTGGCCACCCCTTAGATATTGGCGGGCGAGCTCACGCCCTCGGTAAGGTGGGACGAGAGCCAGCGGAGTAAACTTACCGTACAGCATAGCACGGCGGAGAACCGGGGGCAGGTCGTTGGGCACGACGGCGATGCCGCGCGCGCCGAGCGGCGCCTTGAACTTGACAGCGTTGCGGGCGAACATGGTGATGTGTGGGGGAAGGAAGGAGTTATCGGAAGGGTAATATACGAGACGCTTCGGCAGGAACGTAGATCGGTGACGGTGACGGGCGACGGACCGCACACGGCGCGGCGGATGCGGGGCCAGCAAGCAAGGGAGAGATTACCGGTCCCGGGCGGGGTGAGGTGGGAATTGCCGAAAGCCGGCGGGTTACTCTTGTTGCCGACCGCGGTCCTCCTGATAATAATACAGATATCTCGAGACACATGCTATCTTTGACTTTTCTCCTCATCTACGCATCTACCAAGCACCATGCTCCGCCTCGCCCGCCCCCTCACCTCTGTCTCGAGAGCTGCCCGCCCCGTGCCCCGCTTCGCGACGCTCACTGCTCGCGCGCAGAGCACGAGCGCTGCCCAAGAATGGATCAAGGACATGACCGGCCGCCCCGCCACGGTGTCCCAGGACGACTTTGACACGCTCCGCGCCTCCCAGTTCAAGAACACGATCCCCACCCCCACCGAGGCGCCGGCCCAATACGGCGTTGCCAAAGGCGACGAGCTCCCCAAGGGCATGCACCTGATCTACTTCTCGCCGACGGACCACTTTGACGATCTCGCCAAGGACGGCACGAGTACTGTGAGTCATGCGACGCCGAGCCCGGCACTCTCTGCAGCTCTTGCCGCTCCTGACTCAGAGGCAGAACAGGAATGGAGTGGAAAGCAGTTATAGGGGGGCTCGCTAACGCTCGCTCGCAGGAGTACAACGCGCCCGAGCCGTACATCCGCCGCATGTGGGCCGGAGGCTTTATGGAGTGGAACCCGAACTCGGCGATCAAGCTCGGCGACGAGGTCGAGCAGGCCGTCAAGGTCGCGCGCGCAGAGGAGAAGGCCGGCATGATGTTCGTGTACCAGGCGCGCGAGCTGGCTCCGAAGGGCGGCGACTGGGCCGTCCGCGAGGAGCGCACCCATGTCTTCTTCCCGCCCAAGCAGGAGGAGGCCAAGGGCGGCGCGAAGCCGGGCGGTAAGAAGAAGCCTGCTGGTGAGTGACATTGGGGGCCGAGGGTCTCTAGGCCCGAGGACCGAGTCTGGTGTCTGAAACGCGGAGGCCACAGATGTGCACCTGGTGGTAGGGAAAGCTGGAGACGTTGGAACAGTGACGTCCCAACCCCCAGTGATCCAGCTTCGGAGCACTCTTCCGCACACGTCTCCCGTTCAGACTCGGACTCGGACCTGCCCGTGCTCCATCTTCCGAAACGATTGCTGACATCGGTTCCTCCGCTCTCAACGCCCACATGTTGACGCATCACTTTTCCCGATCCGTCACGGAAAATGACGCGACTCGCTTATCTTTCGGCCTCCCAACATCCTCCTGCCGCCTGCTACCGTGCTTGCTGACTGATGCTTTACGACTCGGTGGAACTAACTGTTGTCTTACGGGAATGCTCGTTCTTCGGCTTGCCCCGATGCTGCGGACCATGGTCGTTCCGTCCCTTCCCTCACTATCCGATACCCCGTTCGATGAACGCTGCGGGCCTCCGGTCCTCCGCTTCCGCCTACAGCCGAGCTGCCCAAGCCCGACCTCACGTTCAGCTACACGCCGACCTCGCCGCTGCTGTTCCGGTACAGCGCGATGACCTGGAACGGGCACAAGATCCACTACGACCGCGACTGGACGACGCAAGTCGAGGGCCACCCCGACCTCGTCGTCCATGGCCCGCTGAACGCGACCCTGCTGGTGCAGATGGCGGACCGGGCCGCGCGCGACGCGGGCGTGAAACTGACTCGCTTCGAGTACCGCGCCACGTCGCCAATGTACGTCGACAAGCCGATCAGCATCAACGCCAAGTGGGACGGGGAGAAGGGCGCGGACGGAAAGCTCCAGCTCTGGGCCGAGCAGAGCGGAAAGGTCGGCATGAAGGCGACGGCGACGTTCACTGCCTAAGGGCAGACAAGTAGTCGCATAGAACGACGTATGGCGTATGGTTTAGAAGGTATACAAAATGCATGACACGTATGTCTCTAACAGACGCCTATCCCTGCGCCTCCTCGCTGCCGTACGCCGACGACTTGTGCTTGGGCACAAAGTTGAAGCTCTCGCCGGCGGGGCCGAGGAACATTTCTGAAATCTTGATCCAATCGCTAACGAGCGGGCTAGAGAGGAGGGTTTCGAGCTCGTTCCTGCCGCGATAAGCCGGCGGCCTCTCGTTCATCATGGGCGGCATGCGCTCGAGCAGCCCAATGGGCACGTAGCGGGACTGGAAGCTGAGTGCTTCGCAGAGGAACCGGCGTGTCGTGTTCACGCCCATCGTGTCTGATCCCCAGTGGCTGAGGCCGTACTCGGCAAACTTGCGGATGCCCTCGAGACGCTCCGTGGCGGAAATGTCCCATTCGCGGCGCTCGGCGATCTCGGTGAAGATCCACGGCTTGATCAGCGCGCCGCGCGCGACCATGACGCCGTCAACGCCGCTGCGCTCCTTCTCCTCCCAGTACGACTGGGCACTGAAGCAGTCTCCGTTCCCGAAGATGGGCACACGGGGCATGTTTGCGTCGTCGCAGGACTGGTGCAGGACATCGACGCACTCGCGGACGTACTCCCAGTTCGCGAGCTTGGAGTAGCGCTGCTGCCGCGAACGGCCGTGAAGCGTCATCGCAGACGCTCCCCACTCGGTCGCAAACTTGGGGATCAGCTTGTGCGCTGTCGGCTTGTTGTGCGCGACGCCCATGCGGAACTTGACCGTGAGCGGAACTGGGGTCAGCTGGAAGAAGGTGGACAAGCTGAGGCGCAAGTTGGACTCACTCTCGCCAAGCGCGCGGTTCATGCCGACCAGAATCTTGCCCAGACGGCCGGGGTTCTCCATGACTATTCTTTGTCAGTTAACATTGCGGGAAGAAGCAACTCACGCGCACTGCCGGCGCCCTGGTTGAAGAGCAGGTCGATCGGGCATCCCTGTCTGTCAGCTAGCAAACCTCAAGAAAAGCTCACCATGTTGATATCGACAAAGTCGACGCCGCTGGGGCCGAGCTCCTTGGCAATTACCTCGGCGGCGGGCACCATGCGGTTCGGGTATCCGCCGGCGAGCTGGACGCCGAACATCTTCTCGCTGTGGTGTCGGCGGACGAGGGCCCACTCCTCCGTCTGGCCCGTGACGAGCGGCTGCGCGAGGGCCATTTCCGAGATGGTGATAGTCGCACCGTAGTCGACACAGAGGCGGCGGAAGGGCAGGTTGCCCACCGTCGTCAAGGGGGCGAGGTAGCGTCCGTTCTCCCAGTCGAGACGGCGCTTCTCCTCCGGACGCAGCGGGACGTCCATCGCCTCGCTTTCGCCGTCCACTACCCCGGCGACAGGCTCTGGAGCAGCAGGAGCGGGCGCAGCGTTCATGGCCTCCTCCTCGTTCATGTCGCCGTTCATCGCACTCTCCTCGTCCATCGCGGCCTGCTTCGCCTTCTGCTTCTTGGCGTACTTCGGGTTCGGGACCGAGCCCTTCGGAAGCGCGAGCGCGAAGGGCTTGTCCGGCTCAATCTTGGCGAGGTACTTTGTTGAGAACGTCCAGTCGAACTGATATCAGCTATGCCATGAAAGACGCAAAGCTCACCTTGTTGTGCTTCAGCCGCGTGAGCGTGTCGCTCTTCGGCCAGTTCGTCTCGTTGTACCGCTCCGTCTCCGACATGGACGACGGGTCCTTAAACCCAAGCAGATCCCACTGGTCCGCGCCCTCCTTGTCGTCGTGGTGCTTGACGTGGCCGCCAAGGAAGCGGCATCGCCATCCGTACGTGCAGTATCCCAGGTCCTTGAACACGGGACACTGCGTCGTGAGGTCGATCGTCTTGCCCATCAAGTCTTCGCCACCCATGCGGGGCGCCATGGCGCGCACAAAGGGCTCAGATTCAGCAAGCTGCGCCGCAACCTCGTGGTGGATGTCGCTCGGCTTGACCTCCCAGTATCCAGCCCATGAGTGCTGGAAGCGGCATGAGTCACCGCGGGCGCACTCCCCCGTCGTCTCCCAGGCGCGGCACATCTTGATCGCCGCCTCGCCCTGCGGCCGCGCCTTCTGCTCCGTACGCTTCTTGAAGCCGCCACCCTTGCCCGTCTTCTGGCGCTTGGCTCCAGGCTGGTCACGCGCGTCGGCGGCGCGAGTATTCCGCGAGTCGCCCCGCTCCTCGGCCGCGTCATCATCGACTACGGGCCGCGGCTTCGTCTCAACGGGGAGAAGGTACCTGAAGGTTAGCTAGTGACCCCGGGAAGATAGCTCACTCGGCCTTGATAGGGGCAATCCCGGCACGTCCGCGGAGGTCATCGTGGTTGTTGTTGGTGTTCCCGTTTGCGGCGGCGGCAGTGCCTCCCTGTGTCATGGTGCGAAGTAGTTGTTGACTGAGGTCCACGAGCAAATGCACCGAGAAGGGGGTCGGGGGGTGAGTGACTGTCTCCAACTTTTGAGAGGCAAAAGAAGTGCGGGGCCACATGTGCAGCCGCATTTACGTAAGCAATTTGGGCTGACCAAATGGCATGGCCCGCAGCGCTGGCACTTCGCGGTCGGGTTTTGGTCCCTGAGGGATGCCAGCGTGTCGCCCACTGAGCGAGCCCGCGCCAGCGCTTCATCCGCTTCCTCCTCCTCGTCCTCGCCATCTCATCTCCCATCTCTCTCCTCCCTTCTCCCACCACCGCCTTTCAAGTCCTCGTCGACACCAGGACTCCTTCTATCTCTCTCCTTCCGGTTCACGGCTCCTCCGTCCCTTCGTGGAATCTCTCGTCAAAATGGGTTGTAAGTCGCGCCTAACCTTGGTCGTGTGTAGCACTGTGCTGAAAATCCCCCTCCAGTCCGACTTCTCGAGCTCGTCCGCCCGTTCATGAGCATCCTCCCCGAGGTCACTGCTCCTGAGCGCAAGGTTGGTTGAAGCGCCCCCATTGTTGCTAACCATCAGGTCACGTTCCAGCACAAGGTCCTCTGGACTGCTACCACGCTCCTTATTTTCCTCGTCATGGCCCAGGTCCCGCTCTACGGTATCATGTCGTCTGACTCGAGCGACCCCCTTTACTGGCTCCGTGCCATCCTCGCGTCTAACCGTGGTACCCTCATGGAGCTCGGTGTCACCCCCGTCGTCACCTCGGGCATGATCATGCAGCTCCTTGCTGGTGCCCAGCTCATCGAGGTCGACTACTCTCTCAAGGACGACCGCGCCCTCTTCGGCTCGGCCCAGAAGCTCTTCGCCCTCATTATTGCTCTCGGCCAGGCTACCGTCTACGTCCTCACCGGTCTCTACGGCGCTCCCAGCTCGCTCGGCCCCGGTGTCTGTCTCCTCCTGATCCTCCAGCTTGTTGCCGCCTCGCTCATTGTCATCCTCCTTGACGAGCTCCTCACCAAGGGCTACGGTCTTGGATCGGGTATCTCGCTCTTCATCGCGACCAACATTTGCGAGTCTATCATCTGGAAGGCCTTCTCGCCCAACACTGTCAACACTGGCCGTGGCCCCGAGTTTGAGGGTGCCGTCATTGCCCTCTTCCACCTTCTCTTCACCTCGAACAACAAGACCCGCGCCCTCAAGGAGGCCTTCTTCCGCGAGCGTCTCCCCAACATGATGAACCTCATCTCCACTATTGCGGTCTTTGCTCTCGTCATCTACCTCCAGGGCTTCCGTGTCGAGATCCCTATCAAGTCGTCCAAGATGCGCGGCCAGCGTGGTACCTACCCCGTCAAGCTCTTTTACACCTCGAACATGCCCATCATGCTCGAGTCTGCGCTTACCTCGAACGTTTTCCTCATCTCGCAGATGCTCGCTTCGCGCTTCCCCAACAACCTCCTCGTCCGTCTTCTCGGTGTCTGGGAGGCTGAGGAGGGCTCGGCCCAGCTCTCTGCCGTCTCTGGTCTCTCCTACTACCTCTCGGCTCCTCACTCGCTGAAGGACGTCGTTTCCGACCCCTTCCACACTGTCGTCTACGTCGCCTTCATCGTCACTGCCTGCGCCATCTTCTCCAAGACCTGGATTGAGGTTTCCGGCTCCGGCCCCCGTGACGTTGCCAAGCAGCTCAAGGATCAGAACATGACCCTCGCCGGCCACCGCGACGCCTCGATCTACAAGGAGCTCAAGCGCATCATCCCCACTGCCGCCGCTTTCGGTGGTGCCACCCTCGGTCTCCTCTCGTTCGCCGCCGACATGATGGGCGCCCTCGGCTCGGGTACCGGTATCCTGATGGCCGTCACGATCATCTACGGCTACTGGGAGCTTTCGGCCAAGGAGAACGCCGGCCTCGAGGCGGCCGGTCTCAACGACATCTTCTAAGCGCGCCCAGCGTGCAAACTATTACACTTTGTGTGTGTGCTCAGCGATGGCAGAACTGCCGACCGCTTGGGAGCCAGGGGTGTGAGCGGGGATGTGTGGAGAAGCGGCGTGAAGACGAATAGATTCGAGCAAGTAGCAAACTCTTGGTGTGTATGTGTACCACCACCATATTCGTAGAAACCACAGGACCCTCCAGTGGGTCGGATAAAAGCAAACCCTACAGTTTCACTCTGCATCTGGAAATCCGCAAACTCTTGTACGAGGATGCAAGCATAATCAGGTTACCACCTCTAGACCCGGTGTTGAGATGTACGATTGACTGGACCGCTGTTTGGCAGCTGATAAAACTCGACGTGTCGCGACGCGCAGGTGCACAATGGAGATGACCAGTCGTCTAAGTCCGATGATACAAGGACCTGATTAAATTGCTCCCGCTAAGTCATGTTCGGCACGTCCTGACATCATCACGCTCTGGAAGTGTCTCGACGAACTTCTCGCTGATCTTACATCAACAAACGACCTAGACACGACAAAGGCGTCACCAACTATCTCCGCTCCCTCGGCTCTACTGGAAGACGCAGATCACGACTTTTAACGTTCAGCGATGAACAGCACCACCCTTTCGCCCGGGGACGTCGTCGCCGGCCCCTCGCGAACCCGCGCGCGCCCGCCCTCTCAGCCCGCCGCGTCTTCGAAAGCGGCGCCGGGGCCAACAACGCGCACGCTGAAACAGCCCATGACGCTCCGTGTCGCCGAGTCCAGCATTGCAGGCACGGGCGCGCAGGACAAGGAGGAGTACTTTCGCGCACTGAAGCGTAAGGCTGAACTTGCGCGGCGGGTTGATAAGTGGATGGACAGGGTTATGGAGGAGACGGTGGACCGGGGACCGTTCCAGAAGGCAGTGAGTGTACTTTCCCTTCTGATACTGCAGGGCCACCCTCCGCGACTGCCTAGGCGTGAGGCGAGCCATGAACTCGCCGTATATGCGGCGCTCGAGGAGATCGTGGCAGAAGCTGAGGCGCCTTGGAGATTCTAGCTGACCGCAGCTCTCCTACATGCACGCAGGACAATATGCCGAGGTCGAGCACGAGCGCCATCTGAACGGCCTCTGTTCGTACCCGCTCTGCTCAAACCCTCCCGCAGCTCCCTATCGGGCTCATAAGCGATTCCAAATCAGCGCCAGGGCCAAGACGATAAAGGAAGTAGAGGGGAACGCGGACGAAGGGTTCTGCAGCAAGAAATGCCGCGTCAAGTCCCAATGGGTACGGGAGAATCTGGGCTCGGAGGCGGCGTGGCTCAGAGGCAAAGTTGCGCCGATGGAGTTGTTGGAGGATATGGAGGAGAGGTGGGAGCTGGTCTGGGAAGGAGGGCGGAATGGACAGTATCGACGCGTTAAGCCTGCTGCTGCTGCTGGGGGCGAGGGCATGGACATCGACGGCGCCGCTGCCGCCAGCACTGGTGGCAGGAATACGATAGCTTCCCAGCCTCCGCCGTTGGCTTCGGCGGTTGGCGGCCAGACCGTGGGCGCTGCTGCTGCTACATCTGCTCCTCTTGGAGGTGCGGCTGCGGCTGTCCCTCAACCCCGCCCGGCGGCATCGCAACAGTCCTCCCGGCCCATGGCGACTCAGGCATCTGCCGCCGCCGACTCCGCATCGGCCGCACCTGCCGACGCCCCAGCCCCCGAAGCCAGCGAAGTGCACGACCTCCTCGACACGCTCGTGATCCGTGAACGCGACACGGCCCGCGACGTCCCCGTGCCGCCGACGCTGAACCCTCCTCCGGCCCAACTCGCCCCGAAACCGCCCTCAGCAACCTCAGCGCGGAAAGCGCGCAACACGTCTTCGATGATTGACGGCGCCAACTCGAAACTGGCCCAGAGCGTGCTCACGGCGCATCGGCAGATGAAGCCTGTTCTGCAACAGGAAGGGGATAGCGAGGAGGAGGAAGGGTACCAGGAGCAGGAGTGGGAGAAGGCCATGGGATGGGGAGAGGGCAAGGAGCTGGAGGCCATGTTTGAGGAGGCTAGGCGGGCGAGGGAACTGGCTGGAGAACAGTAGTGCTGGTCGAGCGAGCCGCGAGTCGTGCGAACGGCTGCGAGCACGTCCCGACCCGTATCTAGGTGGCGGCAAGCTGGTATAAGTGTTCAGAGCCCGTTCGATGGCGGCGGAAGAGTGAAAGGTCGCTCTCGGCACCCGCACCAGGCGGCGCATGCGATGCATCCGATGCATCATGTCGTCGCCAAGATCAACCCGCGACTGACTTGTGGCCAGACTTACGACTAACGACTGACGACGAGTAGATCATCCTCGACAGGAACAAAGGGCGTTGCTCCAGCGATACCGCGGAGAGTTTTCGTTCGTACCAGAAGAAGAAAGAAACGGAGGAAGAGGAACCGGCGTCTGAGCGGGAATACAGCAATCTGAGACGAACGGGGTAGCCGTCGTCGTCGTCGTGCACGTCGTATTAGTGACGCTAGTGAAGTGTGGTCCTGGGCCGGGGAATATCCAGTGCCTTTTCTTTTCTCCTTTGTAACGTCTTGTGCCTCGGACGATCCATGCGATCCAGGCATCGAGGTACCTCTCGAGCCAGCAGGTACGGCAAATGCATCGCCAAGTTGTCAAGTGGGAGTGTCTGGGCAAGGCGAGGCAGTGAGCCGGCGGTGAGCGGCTGTGAGCACGGAGCACCGGTTGTCTGGGAGGCGTCGTACACTTCGTACACCTAGTCGGCCATGGCCAGATTCCACAGCAACGGTCCCCAACACTCCCCCTATTAGCGGCGGTGCGTCGTTACGCCGCCGCAGGCTCGCGGGCTCGTGTCGTACAGCCGAAGCAGGTGAGATCGCGCTAGTGATCCCGACAACCGGTGTCGCTAGCTTCAACAACAGCAGCGTACCAACGACCTCCGTGCCTTGCCGCAAGTGTGACGCTCGGTGGCAGATGCTGGATTTCTGGATTTCTGAACCAGAACACGGGCAGGAACAGTCTTAGACCTCCTAGTCTCTCACCTGTCTGGCTGCTGGGGTACACTACTCGCGCTAGTGGTACCTGCGGCTGGGGCGGAGGGGCGAGATCCATCGATCTGTTTGAGCTGCCCCTCGGAGCAACGGACCCTCGTACCTTCGCACACTACTCGGAGGATTTAAGCTCGGCACACTGCGTGGCTAACGCTGCCTCGCTGCCTCGGTGGCACGGGCGCCGCCGGCGTCCTCGCGCGCCCTCGTGCGCCTCGGAGCGCCGGACCGCGCTAAAAGGAACTCTAACCCGACATGAATGTTTCATCGTGCCTGTGCCTCCTATCTGCTTCGTGCCTCATCTCCGCCTTGTACAGCAGGTCGAGTAGACTGGGCAATTCAAACGAACGTTTGAGCCCGGTGCGAGATGTGCGTTTTGGCTACATGAGGGGGTACAACGTTCTGGCGCGCAATTCATGTCCCTCAGGCCCTCTGTTTGCGGCGCAACTCTGAAGTCTCTGGGCTGATGGCGCCTGGAGAGTTTTGGAACAGAGTTGGACTTCGTATTCATCAGTTTTTTCGAGGTCACAACAGAGACATGGGCCAGTGCGGTGGATTTGGGCCGTGTTCTTGGAACGCATCCGTTGGAGGGTGACGGCTCCGAGACCCGAGGACCAAGGCGGGCGACGGTTGGGGACAGCTTGGGCCAGGCCATGGGACGCTCGGCTCCGTCACGTACCTCGGCCCCAGACACATTGCGTGCTGCGTCCTCGCGGTGTGCGGTTAGCATCGAACGACGGCCCGAACGACACCGCGGCATGCACTCGTCGCCACTTCCGTCTCGATCAAGACATTGGGTCTTGTGTGATCACCCAATAGCCAGTCGTGCTATTTTGGACAGCGATCGGTCGTCGTGCTGCTGCGACTTTGGACGGGTCGGTTAGTTGTCTGCGTCACCCTCCGTGTCATTTCTGGGTCGGTGCTGGCCCTGATATTCATCCCGACGAAGGAAGCACCCTGGCAGTCACGACATGCACGATAAGAGACAGGCGGCGTCGATTACTCGAAGAAGAGCGCATGCGCAGACATGTCGGAGTCTGTCGGACCAGCTTGCCAGCTGGACACGGAGACGGAGATGGACGTGCCTGCACCACACGCCCGAGCACGAGAACACGGAGTACTCTCGCCGCCCATGATACAGTTCCTTGGAGCGTTGCTAGGCCCGAGGACATTCTAAGGCCGTAACGCCATCTCCTCTCTAGACCTCTGCCATTTCTGCTGTGCCCCAAGAGAACGCTTGACAGAGGTATGGTAGATATGAGGATGCGGGGAGGCGAGTAAGCGCCACGAACTTTTAGGACGGAGGCACTCGCATCAGCCCATATTCAGTGATCGACCTGAGAACGTCATGAACCACGGGACCACACGTTAGCGGGGCCGAAGTCTGGATGATGTGGTGGCGCACAGACCAGATGCCACCGTCATCTCAGTCTGGACCTTTGGCTGAGTCACCGATCTCCTTCACTCATGAGCTGGTTGCATGTGCAACCATCTAGATCACCTCACACATGCTGGCTGACGAGATCAATGGTGATATGCCGATGCGTCAGTGGCGCTCCGCATAGCGCTTGCCCACCTGCAGGATCTGCTCCAGGCCCTCCATCGTCCGTTAGCTGTGCGGCTCGCTACGCTCGCCGCTCGCGGCTCGGGACTGGCCAAGTATTGTCCATGCATGCTTCTGACTTGCAGACTTGGTACACCCTATAATTTGATGAGAGAGAAAGATAGATTCTATGTACTTTGATAAGTGTTCAGTGATGGTGTGGTATGGTACATAGGCGACAGCCGGATATCTACGGTCTACGCAGTTCGTGAGGTGTCGTGAGCGTAGCGGAGCGTGTGTATTGCTGCATTGTTGTTTGGGGGTGGTATACAAATGAGACGGTCTGTGTGATGTGTGTGTGGGGGTGTGGTGATGAGATGTGGCGGAAGTGGTCGGAGAATGTGGGGGGGAGAAGAAGGGGGGAATGCACATGTGTTGAACAGGGACAGACGGAACGAGGCGGGCACTCTGATTGCTGACCGAGAGGCAACGGACAAGCCCCCTCGTGCCTTCGCAGAGATCTGTCGGGCACGACGAAGTAGGCGGTGGCGGGCGTTTAGAAACTGATCGCACACGCACACGTCGACTCGCAGTACTCCTCGGTTGCTCGGTGGGCGGCTCGGTCAGTTGTCGCCCATGTCCTCGTTCCAGACATGCCAGGCACATTCTTGCCGCCAGACCGCCAGATCCGCGATCCCTCGGCGATTCCCAAGAGTCGTGGGCGCTATCCTTCAGTCCTTCGGTCCGCAGTGCCGCCGGCCGTGTCCTCGTTCCTCGCTCGCAGGTATTGTTGCAGAAGCTCCGTGTGTTCCATACAAAGTGTAGTGATGAAGATTGATCCCAATTATTATCCCAAAAATAAAGGAGAATAAAAACAAGGTTGGTTGGTTGATACGTTGGTGCGGGGCGACGTTCGACGGAAGTCGGCGACAAGATTCGGTCGGCCGAGGTACGCGACAGCCGCTCGCCTGCCCAACGTCCGAGGTAGTGAGGGGAGCTTGGGGTGGTGATGCTATGCAGAACAATGGAGATGCGTCGGTGGATCGGTTGGGCCGAGCTGTCGGCCGTGGATTGTGCAAGTGGGCATGGGGTGTGCTTCTTCCGCTCTTAAGTGTTGGAATTCCTATGTCGTACAGCTGTGTGATGGTCTCGTACATGTCGTCTTTGTCTCTGCCTCGGTCCGCGTGATCGCCTGTCGCCTGTGAGGTTCGTAGCCAGTGGAGGCGGTTGGAGTCTGGGCCCCCACCTACCCGCAGCTGCGTGCGTGCGCAGTCCGGTGCATTGATGTTACACCGGCGCATGCGCCTGCACACTTGCGTCGCATGTCGCACCGACACTCAGGCACAGCCGCCTGGAGTGGTCTGCGACTGCGTGGAACGTCAGCCCTCGGCTACCCGGAGATCGGGGGCTAGGGCTGCGACTGCCTCTCGACATCTCTACTCCTCGAGGGCGTGGCGGATCATGGCACGGCGGGTCTTGATGCTGACTGCGCGGTCGGCATCGGTGCACGCGCGCTGAATGCGGATGCTGGCGTCGACAATCTGCTCCAGAATACGCCCATCAATGACGCCGCGGTCGTACAGGCGCATCAGTTCCGAATCAGCGATCGAGTCGTACTCGTGCGGCTCGAGCAGGAACAGGTCCGTGTACTGCGACGAGCGTAACGGGTGGTACGTTGTCGTGATCGGCTCCGAGTCGTGGCGCGGGAACGGCGGCGCCTCGAGAGGCTCGGGCTGCAGCGGCGGCGCCTTGGACGGCAGGCTGCACTGCCGCAGCGGCGACGTTGGCTCGGACGCAACGGTCAGCGACGTCAGAGACTCGGGCGGAAGGAACTTTGCATTGTCGGATTTCGGGGGCTGCAAACGTCAGCGAGAGTGTTCCAATGGACAGTGCACGGCGTGAAAGGGGTGGTCGGGTGTAGACAGGGGAGAGGAGCATGGATGCAGGGTGGTTGCAGTCTCGAGGTGTGACCTCAATTTCGGAAGCAAGCCTGCCAGCCAGGCCAGGAATACAGGATCGACGCCTTTTCAATACAGCGGACCCTTAGCATGGAAGTAATTAAGAAGGGGGGGTGCCACCCCGCTTCATCTTCACTCCGCAGCAGGATGGAGCTTGTCCGACGTGCGCAGAGTCCAGAAATTAAACGACGCTTTCAGGACCATGCAAGCATGAACGCGGCAGACTCGTCTGAGGGTGGTGCCTCTCTCTTCGAAGCAAGACGACCGATGAGACTAGGCTGAGACTGCGCAGAACTGGATCTGGACTCGAGACTGGGCCGGACCGTACTGCGCGCCCGGATTGGTTCTGGACACTTACAGTGATAGGCACAGGCGCAGCACCCATTGACTTGAGATCGACATGGCTATCGTTGGAATCTGGAATGCTCGGTGTCCGCGAGATCGAGTCGCTCGACGACCGCTGGCGACGGTACTCGCCATCACGGTTTGACGGTGGCTCGCTCTGTTCGGGTCAGCTTCCGAATTGCAAGATGGGGAAAGTGGGACCGGGTGAAGGAGTGCGCAGAATCAGGGAGGAAAGCGGGTTGGAAGCCCCAGTGTGACTAGCCGAGGTCATTTGGGTGGGGAGGCAAGGAAAAACAAAAGGACTCACCGAGCATCGAGAGAAGCTCTGCGGTGGCGACCCGAGAGCTGCTGTGGGCATGGCCGGCTCGTCAATGTCGACAAGGAAGAACCTAGACTGCGTTGCTGATGAAGGCCATGCAGTGCTGGGACCGGCAACCATCGGAGACGCCGCCATTGGAGACATGTTGACGGGTTTCACAGAAGGGATGAGGGGTCTGGTAGCTTCTGACGGGATTGACGTCGCAAAGGACGCCTTGTCGTGGGAGGGGAGGTGAGTGGTGGGAGGGACAGGCTGCGAAACGACGGGCATTCCCCTCGTAACACCAAAGCTGCTCCGCCGGAGGCGTTGTTGCGATTTGAGTTGCTGGGGGGACGGCCTCTGCTTGTGTCGAAGCAGACGCTCTCGGCGAAGGCGCTTGAGGAAAGGGTCGTTGACTGCTGATGCTGGTGTGTCTACAGCGTCTGCAGCTGCCTTGATTAAACGACGTTGGCGGGCAGCCGAGGCCAAACGAACGCGGTAGGAGCGACGGACAGACAGTGTGGAAGACACTTTGCCTGATGCTACAGAGTTGAACTTGCTACTTTGTAGAAAGCCAACCCGATGACCTACGTGTGTGCTGCTGCTGGCGGACGGCGCAATGTTGAACAGGTGGGGAAAGCACCGTGTGTGTGTATTATGAGTGCGCCGTGTGGTGAGCTGGGCGTCGGAAGGGCCTGGCCGTGAGAGTCGTGCAGATCGCACAGGGGCTCAGCGGGCAGCGTGACAAGGTGTGAAGGCGATGTGAACACTCGGAGAATCGTCTGATAGATTGGGTGTTCCAGTCGTTAATGGAAGCCGAGCGAGCGAGCGTTGTTGGGGGTGAGGGCGGGAACAGCTGAGTCGGGCGGTGGGGAGGGCGCCGAGGGTCGAGCTGGGGAGAGAGAGAGAGAGAGAGAGAGAGAGAGAGGATGTCGACGAGGACGGGACAAGTGAGACGGAGGAAGGAGTATGATACGGAGGAGAAGTCAAAGACGAAGTGTTGGTGTGTGTGAGAGAGATGGAAGGGAATGAGTGCGAATGGAAAGTGTCGGAGACTCGAGCGGTTGCGCGGCAGAGCGGCCAAGCGGGTTGTGCGGTTTGCGGTACGTTTGGTTGTGTGGTAACTAGGGAGGAGTCGATCTAGTAGTGAAGGCAGGTGTGATAGGAGAGCGGGGGGAGAGGGGCCATGGAATAAGGGCGACAGGGAGAGACGTCGACGAGAACCAACTCTAGTGACGGTGAGGACCTGACTGCTGGACCTGGAGGCCTGGAGGCGAGGACCTGGGAGCGTGCGTGAACCAGCGCGACGAATACTCTAGAGGGCCGCGAGAAGGCCGCGAGCAACAGCGCGAGCGAGCGAGCGGCAAGGCAAAGGGCTAGGGCGGACAGCGTTAGTGACGCATGTACGGTCCGGTGTCCAGGTGTGCGTTTGCGAGGCTCGACTATGCTCTCTCTCTCGTCTTCCTCTCGCTGCGTGCGTGCATGCGCCTGCGTCGGAGGGAGGGGGGATGAGGGTGTCAAGGGCGTGCAAGGTGTGGACCGTAAAAGCCCAGGCCGTCCCTTTGAATCTTAGAAACGAGACAGACCTAGTTCGAGACCGCGACACTCGCGACTCGCGCCTGGGGTCCCTCGGGCCGCATGCCGGGCAGAATCCTCAAGTGACTGGTCCGGCCAGGCTGACTGGGTGCAACTCGGTGGGCTGGGGGCACGCTTGGCCTCGGGTGTTGTGCCGGGCCAGACAACGCCAGACGACGCCTGGACCGCGATCCTCTTTCATCCTCTGGAAGCATGCCTTGGTGATCGTCTTTGTCCCTGCCGACCTTTGGTCCCTGCCGCACGGTTTACGAGGTCTGGCCAGCCCTCCTCAGGGTTCGGATTAAGGGTCCGATCCGTGCAGGGGCGAGTCTGGCCCTCGCCATTCCGCCCCTGATAACACCACACACCACCGTACATACACACCCTCTCTCTGCATACATGGGCGCACCATGCTCCGCCAGGCGGGGAATCTAGTCAGCCAACAGCCAGTCGAATCTCCCTCCTACGCAGGGCTTCACAGGGTGACATGGGCCGGGCTCCATCTACTCCAGGCTGGCCCCAACTTCCTCCCACTCTGGAGACTCTGGACCGCTCGGCCGTTCGGCGCGTCTGCGTGCAGATTCGCTCGCTGTCTTGCTCGCATGCTCGCGACAAACGCGACAATCCACCTTTGCGTTCTGACCTGTTGACTAGCGTGATTTAGAACCCTAATCTTCATCTTAATCGATGGAGCCATGGAGCCCAGAGCTTTTGTGCAAGTTTTCTGAGCCACTAACCGAAGCCCTTCTGCAAGGTTTCTGAGACATTTCGCGTAGCGCTTGCGCGCTTGCGGGCACGCCGCCGGCTTGGCCGCCGCCTGCAGGTGCTGCAGTGGCAGGCCGACGGGCGGGACAGCACCGCACGCACACGGCTGCTTGCGCACCTACGGTCCTTGTATGCCTGCAGTGGGTGAGACCGAGGGCCTCAGGCCTCATCGCTTGCTGCATGTCACCAGGTCACCAGGCGCACTCGTCCCTTTCACTGGCCAGTCCCGTCGCACCCCGTGATGATTTCTGACGACTTTCGGACGGGTTTCTGACAGGTTTCTGACAGCAGCCCAGCCTACCCATGAACATTCTCTGACAGCACTGCCGGAACACCGACGTTTCACCCCGACACGTGCAGGAGGCAGGTGTGCTGCGGGCGCCTGTCGTATGCGCACTTCGTCAGGGAGTGTGCTCCCATCAGCACTCCCAAGTGCATGGAGACTGCCAGGAGTCTCTTTGCTTCCATCGCATTCATGTCGTGCGAACGGCGAGCGCATGACCACGCAGTACCAGAAATGCCCCCATCGTTACCCCATATCTCCCCCATATCTCACTCAGGACGCGAGCGGAAACCTTGTTACACATTTCACAAGCTGGGCTCACTGTTGCATATGTTGGAGCGAGCACGCCTGCCTCCTGCCTCCGCTCGGAAGACTCCTGAGTGGAGCGCCATGTATTCAGTCCGATCTCTCGAACGACCACGACAGAGGTCTGGCCTGGGTCTGGGGGTTGTGTCAGATGACTGCCATGTCTCCTGGGCCGGGTGGGAGGGCGAGCTCGCTCGCAGTTCGCAGTCGGGGATCAGCTCGCCACCCTCGCGACCTTCGTGTGCGCTTGCATTGCTGCTGGACGCTGCCCGAGACCCCCTAAACCTGGCCCGTGGCTACGGCATACTCGATATGCCCCGCCATGCAGCACATGATGTGCTGCAGACTGACGCGAACATGCTTGTTTGTCGAGACCCACAGCACGTTGCTGTTACGTTGGTCCTGAGTGTTTCAGCTCGCTGTGCACACCGCTGCGCCGGTCTTTGACCGCCTCGTCGATCGTCTCCTCACCCCAGGCCCGCGCCGCTGACCGCTGCGGCGTCTGGTCTTTTATCGGCCGCGGTCGCATGATCCAGCCTGCTCACTGCCTGACATGGCCTGGTGCCAAACATAACTGCGCCGGGCAACGGCCGACGACCAGTGAGAGCGCCAGACGCAGAGAGGTAGGTACGCTTCCCCTAGCGTTTGCAGAGATTTTGGTTGGAGCTAGAAACCGGCGGGTACATCGGAGCGCTCTACGGCGCGCAACGCCGCGAGCGACGAGATAACTTTGTTTCCCACCGTGCTGCGCCAGCCGACTCTCCCAGTGCCGGTTGTCATGATGGTTTTTCGGTTCAGGTTCAGGTTCACCCAATCTTGAGCGTAAAATGGTGAAAATGGCCACATCCCCGCCATGTACCGCGGTCCTCTCCAAACCCCAGGCTCACCCAGGTTCCTAAGGTACCGTCATGTCACAGGCTCGAGGCTCCGACCAGGCCCAACCAGGCCCGACGAGTAACGGGGGGTGAGGGGTCGACTGGGTGTAGCTCAGACGTGAAGGGGTACAGATCTCGTCTCGTCTCGCCAACTGCGTATCGGAGGTATCCTCTGTGCCTTTTGGCTGTTACCGTTGGTTGCTGACGTGCGAATCATTTCGCCACGGCACACACTCGTCGACGTACCGACGTCTGCCACTTCGTCCAATAGACACTCTGCAGAGCTCTCGTAGCGTCTGTGTTTTGCATGTACCTTGTGTCACTGGGTTGCATACCTGCAGACCGGTGCAAACGACATCGATCATGCGATGAGCGTACGCAAGATAACAAGGTGCACAAAGTAGTGGATGATTACCCCGATCGTGCACGTACGTCAGACCCCGAGGCTTGTCATGGCTTGTCACGGCTCGACATTGGCCGAGAGCACGGAGGTGCTGACGTGCGAGTACCGGCTCCGCGAAGCTTTGCCTTATTGGCATTGCGTAAGTGTGTGTACGCCAGCATACCAGCAATACGCTGTGTGTAGTGCGCACAGTCCGGTACACAGTCTGCCCGATACGGACCATCACAATAGGGACAGAGTAGGGCCAAGCCTTGGTGGCTGCCACTTGGCCGCATGACCATGTCGGACACTGGGCAGCTCCGGATACCGACCGACCGGGTTTATCGCTATGCTCGCTATACGCTGCGCGCTGGCCCTCTGACGGCGCCGAGGGCGCCACGAGCCACGGCAAGGCGGCAGTGCGCACATTGCGGCGTGCAGATCCGAACAGAACACCACACTCTCAGCCGCATCGCATTCATATCCCTATGCCGACCAATATAATGAGTGCAGCCTCGCTCAGGCCCTGTTCAGCCCTGTCATGTGGATGTATTGAGGAAATACACCAGGCCAAGCCAAGCCCGAACCCGAGCGTTGGCCAGAGCTGGCTGAGCTGGCGTCAGCCAGCGGCCAGACCCAGACTTGGCTGGCCCATCGCTAGTCATGGAGACTTGGCCGCCATCGGCATACTCATCATGGATCGTTGGCTTGCTGACGAACACACATATCGCCGCCAGCGGTAGCGGTAGTTGTTCCGCTCCTCTCTGCGGCATTCAAGCTTCTGGCTAAATTACATTACATGGCTGTTGGCATCGGACATCTCCTGCTTAGACTACTTCAACGTCTCATTGAATGCCGCAGATAAAGCAGCGTAATCACGATGACATGACCCATGGCCCATCGCGGAACACCGACGGATGGAGTGACGTCCTAAGTCCCAGCGTTCTCGAACTTCTGTGACTCGCACGACCCTGCCTTTCAGTGAACTAGTGGAGCACATGGAACCAGCGCGCGGCTCCGAGACGAAAGGGTCCTGCGTGTGTATTTCAGCGCGAGAACGAGATCGCGATCTGGCCAAGATCGTGATCGTGCTCAGCGGCATGCAATGGAAGGGTCAGAGGGTCGAGCCCTATCTCCTTCTTGAGGTCTGAGGCGCGATGAGGTGGCCAAAGGCGGCCGGCGGTCAGACAGGCGCGATCGCATGCCCTATGTCAATGAGCCATGCCACCGCCCACGGCATGTCAGACATTATAGTCGAGTGCGCAAGTGCGTCAGAAGCTGCGAACCACACCAGAACACAAACACACAGATACGTTACCACACAGTCAACACACACAACGCACAAGCATCAGTGTCCGGCCGTAGTGCACACCCCTTCGACCCCTGTTGCAATCCCGGTCCCCCCAATGTTTACGGCACCCCTGAAAACTGGAACTCAGGAAAGACTCTGCGGACCCTCACTCCTCGACGCCACGGCTTGGCCAGCCTTGCCGCGCTGGGCGCGCCGGGGCTCGCTGGGGACTTGCTGGGGCTCGCTCAAGTCTCGCTTCTCGGTGAACGGTCCGGCCACCCGGCACACGGCTTCGTCCGTGGTACCGCGTGCTCGTGGAGTTTCTTGACTTTTCGAGACCTCGAGACTGAACTACCTGCCGAAATTTTGGGCGGCTCACGGCATCCCACGGCACTGGCAATTCGGCTGCCAATCGGCCTGCACATTTCCTGGTCTGGCTCTCACATAAGAGCTGAGTCACTCTGGCTTACTCGATCATTGCACGCGGAGCAGCACCCGCGCATTCCACTCACTGGCACCCGGACCAGACTGTTTCCGCGCCTTGTCCTTCGCCCGCGGAATGATCTCAAGGTGCTGGTGCGAAGCCATTCTCCCACGGCCGCAACTGGTGCGAGGTTTCCCACGCCAGCTCCACTTCCACGGTGCACGTCCCCTTCTCCCTCTACCTCCACCGAGATGTGCGGTGGAGGTATCGCTCCGCAGGTATGCATGCGAGACGCGAAGCAACCGCACCACCGCGCCGCAGCATTACACGACAGCTCGGCGCAACCACGTCTCGTCGTCCGACAAACGACCAACTAACCGCCGACGACTGACCACGCCCAAGTCGGCATACAGCTGAACTCTAATACTCGCCATCGTCGCACGATAAGCCGACGACGCCGTTCCATCCCACAGCGCCGGGGTAGTGCGAATACAAGACCGAGCGACACAGCGATTGCGGTTTAGGGCCTGTCCTCCGTATCCTTGGAAACAACGGACCTGGACAGGACTAGCCGGGGCTGTCTCCTCAAACAGGTACCGGTCGCCATCGCCTCCAGCACAGCTGGTCGCTAGTGCTTAGCCGTTGCGCACCGGACACGGCGACGTACGACCGTACTATCCCGCACGATCGCGCACACTCGTGAAGAAGACACAGCAGGCTTAGCCTCAGCCCGGGCAATTTTCCGAAGATGGCGTTCCCGATCCCCCCAATACTGCGTCGAGCACCGCCGTTCGTACCGCTCCTGCTGCTTCTGCTCGTGACGTCGCTCTTGCTCCTCGGCCACCCAACGACACGGCAGCATGTCGTCCCCTCGTCCTGGGTCGGCGGGTCAGGCCGGGGCGGACCCGTCGGAATCAGCGCGACGGACGAAGCACCATTACCGAAGGAGTACGAGCAGTGGTTCCCGTCAGGCCAGCTACCGCACGAGCTGGACGGCGAGCCGCGGCTTGGGAAGGCGCTCAAAGCCTTCCTCCGCCGGCCGGCGCTGTCGCACGACGAGGCGGCGAACCACGACCACTGCCCTGCGCACCTCGCCAAGCTGCTCGTGAACCCGGACCAGCTCAAGAATGACGGCCCATTCTGGCGTGCGCTGAAGCCCGAGGAGATTAGGCAGAAACGCGCCGAGCTCGTGCAGTATCTCGCGGCACGGCAGGCGGAGGGGTATAACCTTGTCCACTCTGATGGCGAGAACGGCAACAGCACGGGCAAGGGGCGCGGCATTGTGCTCACTGCGGGCAACAAGGACACGACCGAGCGCGCGATCACGCTCCTCCGCATGCTGAAGAGTTATGGGAATACGCTGCCGATCGAGGTGTTCCACTACGAGGGCGAGCTGACCGATGCTGGTCAGCGGAGTGCCATCGAGGAGCTCGGTGGCAAGGTCATGCAGGTGCGCAACGCGGAGAAGAAGGCTGGCCGGTGGAAGAACTGGCAGATCAAGAGCAGCGCGATGATCGAGAGTTCGTTCCGGGAAGTCCTGTCGCTGGACTCGGACAACATCCCCCTGGGGAAGGTGGAGCATCTCTTCGACGCAGACCTGTACAAGAACCACGGCGGCGCCGTCTTCTGGCCCGACATCACAAAGGACCACCCCGACAATGCGATCTGGCGCGTGGTCGGCGAGCCGTGCTCGTTCGACGAGTGGACCTTTGAGTCGGGCCAGATTGTCTTTGACAAAGCGGGCAATGGGGGACTCAACCTCGCCGCCCTCTGGCTCGCGACGGGCATGATGGCCGACGACGCGTTCTGGTTCAAGCTCTGCGGAGGCGACAAGGATACGTTCCGGTGGGCGTTCCGCGCGCTCGACATCCCCTACGCTCGCAGCCAGCGCTGGCTCTCAGCCCTCGGATACCTCCAGAACTCTGGGTCTTTCTGCGGCCACACGATGCTGCAATACGACATCACGATCCCGGAGGGGCAGGGCAACTACCCGCCCCTGTTCGTGCACAGTAACCTCCTGAAGCATCTTGGCGCGGAGCAGGAGCGGCCCATCTTCAAGCTCATCAAGAAGATGAAGGTCGACCGCGCTTCGGAGCCGAGCTTAAACTATGCCCTCCTCGACGTCAAGCTCAGTCCGTGGATGTGCACCGACCTCGCGATCCATCCCCATGTCAAGCCGGACGAGATCAAGGACAACTTTGTCGAGCTCCAGGATATCTCACAGGTCGAGGGCAACCCATTCGACGGATTCGAGAAGCTCTTCTTCGAGTCGGGAGGAATGGTTGGCGGGTGGTGAGCGGGTGAGCGAGCAAAGCGAGCTCCAAACGCATGGAGACGACAGGCTAGGGAAGGACGTGGAGGCGCGACCTAGCCTCTTCCTCACTAATCAAGACGTGCAGACGGCGCGCACGCACACATATATACCCCCCATAAGCATTGTAGCGTTTACGACCCTTTGCATTTCATGACTTGCTTGCCACCTGGAGCGCTTTCGCTGCATGAAGCAATAGAACTAAGGCTCGGGAAGATCACAAGGAGGGCTGGGTCGTTCATGGCGTCCCACGTGTCATCGGCCAGCCCCGACACATGACGGAGAACGCGCCGGAGATGCAAAGTCAGGAAGGAGTCAGGAAAGTAGTCACGGACGACTCGCGACTCGACATCTCATCGCATCAACTCCACATCCTTAACGCAGTAGGACATCGGGTGCTTACATCAGCCATACCCATCTCCTCCATCCGCTATCTATCTTGATCGCCAGCAGGTCACTCGACATTCCTCGACCACCCGCGCTTGCCCGCCTATCGACGCCCCATTCCCCATCCCCCACTCGTCCTCTTGATACTCTCCGTCCTCTCCGTCGGAACCTGAAACAGAGCGGAACGACAATGGTCCTCGACACACTCACTATTACGTTTGAGCTGGCGCAAGAGTCGCGCGACAAGTGCGCCAAGGCGTTCAAGACGGTACACTACTTCCCGAACCGGGACGAGGCGCCGCCGCGCGACGTCGTGCAGGCGACGGAAATATGGTTCTGTAATTGGCTCGGGTTGCCGGATGATGTGAGGGAGGAGGATTTGGGCAAAACGAAGATTGTGCAGCTTACCAGTGGTGAGTCCGTGCCCTGGGTTCTGTTGTAGTAGGGGCATCGCGTATCGAAGGGGCCAAGCTGGGGATAACGAGCGAGGTAAAGCAATGGGGAAGGGAGGACAACGGAGGAGTTGAAGGAGGGAGAAAGGCGAGAGCAGATCTGCAACAGAGCTGTGATCATCACGATGCAGATTAGCTGACGTCCCCAGCTGGCGCCAACATGGCGCTGAAGCATCCTGCCTTCCAGGACCCCAAGCTGGTGAAGCAGATCAAGATCTGCAACACCTCCGGTATCCACGCATACAGCATCCCGCAGTACATCATCGGCCAAATCGTCAACTGTGAGCTTCGTTTGGTTTGCAAGCTGACGTGAAGTGTACATGAACATCCACACGTCGGTGTATATTACGCGGGTGAGTAGCCTCCCTTCCTCCCTCCCTCTCCCCACACATCCCCCACCTCGGAGCAGACCACGTCGCTAACAACTCTACAGGCGGAGAAGCGCTGGCCCGCACGCAACGAGATGAAGTACCGCCCGGACCCGAACGAGGCGCCCTCTTCCTCCTTCGGCGCGACGAGCTACTACAAGATGCGCGGCCGCACGGCGGGCTTGCTCGGGTACGGCGCGATTGCGCGCGAGACGGCGCGTCTCCTGCAAGCGTTCGGGATCAAGGTCATTGCGGCGAATTCGCGCGGCGAGCGGCGCGTCGATGACGGCGTAAGTCGAGCGCACCCCGGAGTACAGTTGGGGTGCACCAGAGCTGAAATCTGTTAGAATGGAGGGTAGCTGACCCCACAGTACATCATCCCGGGCACTGGGGACAAGGAGGGCACGATCCCAGAGCAGTACTACTCGACCAGCGACCCCGAGTCGTTCAAGCAGTTCCTGAACCGGAGCGAGATCCTCATCGCGTCCCTGCCCAGCACGCCGCAGACGCACTACATGCTCACGCGCGAGCATTTCGCCCAGCTGCCCAAAGACGCCATCTTCATTAATGTCGGTCGGGGTGATCTGGCCAAGTCTGGTGAGTCCGCCGCTCCTGCCGCTCCTGCTTTCCGCTGCTATTGCTTCCGCCGCTTCTTTTGTCAGCGCGAGTTGGAGTTAGGAGTAAGTCCAGCTGACACACAGAGGACATTCTCGCCGCTCTTGACCAGCCCGAGGGCCTGCTCGCCGTCGGACTCGATGTGACCGACCCGGAACCCCTGCCGAAGGGCCATGCCCTGCTCTCGCACCCGCGCGCTGTCATCACGCCCCACAACTCGAGCGACTTTGCCGGATACTTTGACGCTGGGACGGATATGATGATTGCCAGCGTCGAGCGCGTGCGTCAGGGCGGGGAACCCATGAACGTCATCGATCCGGAGAAGGGCTACTAACCCCCCCTCCTTCTGGAGTCAGCTCTCCCGGGCGCGGGCTGTATGGTTAGTGGGTTAGATAGATTAGAAGCATATCTTGAACTTTTCTTGCGAGAATAGGAGTTTTGTCGTGGTACAGCAATCAAGTACATGCGTTATGTTGGCGCGTCGCCGTCGGCGCACGACGCGCAGGCACATAGCCTCCGAGTGTTGGAGGCCCCGAATCTATGCGGGATGACTTCTCCTCTGACTGAACAAATCCAAATCCTTCTAGTTGACATGAGTCCTCCGCCGTCATGTCCACAGTCTGCGGTCCGGCCGATCCTGACCGCGAACCTGTCGGCCGGCCGCCCGCTATCCCTTCATCATCCTTCCTGACCTTCCCTCCCTCACGTTCCGATCACGCCCGTCGCAACCAACGCTTAGAATCCACGTCCGCGTCCGCGTCCTCCGCGGGGTCCTCCTCGTCCGCGACCACGGCCACGGGGGGCGGCAGCAGCTCCCTCCTTGCGCTTCCTGGCCTTGGGCGAGTCGTCGACGAGCAGCGTGTCGAGCGGCAGCGAGTCGGGCAGGATGAAGTAGCGGATGTTGTTGCCGCGGATCGCGATCGAGTCGAGGTGCGTGCTGGGCGTGTTCGGGGCCGCGTTGCGGAGCGACATCTTGACGGACTTGAGGTGGGTGTTCATCTGGGGGTCGACGGCTGAGGGTTAGCTTAAACGCAGAGCATCATCAGCTGGGAAGACGCAGGGCTGCGCGAAGGCATATGGAATAGGGCAGGAAAGAGATGGAGGTTGTCACCTGACTTGAACAAACAACAACAATGGATCGGCGCGAGTTCCCATCCCCTCCAGATCTGCGCGCAGCTCCAATCCAGCAAGGCATTACCCACAAGTAATCGTTCCGTGGATGACCGACCCATTCTTGAGCTCGATCGTGACCGTCTCGTTGTTGAGCTTCATCAAAAATCTGTTTGTTGTCAGCTATGCTGACGGTTCGGTCAGCTCACCTGACGAGCTTCATTGTGAAAGACGGAGTCGGATGGAGGTCGTGTCCGTCAGGACTTTTGAACGGTGTCGACTCGGGAAGAGGTGGTGGAGGTTGCTGCTGGGGACAACAACAAGGGGTGGTATGCTCGAGCTCGAGCTTGCCGTCGATGTCATTGATCTCGAGCGAGCGAGCGAGCGCGTGCGGCGTACGGTGGGTGAGTGGAGGCACGGCGTTTCGGCGACAAAATTCGGTGGCAAGATGACCAGCCAGGTGCAGAAGTGCAGAGCGCGTCTTGGTCGTTCGCACGTGGCAGCCTGAGTCTGGACGCCTTGCAGCCGCGGCCCGCAGAGTCTGGGTGCGCGTCCTCTGCGCCTCTGCGGGTGGTAGAGCGCCTGCTGTCAGTGCAGTGCAGGCAGTGCTGTAGTCTTCCTCGTCATCATCCGATCCCATTAGACCCATTGGGCAGACCTCGCTACCAAAGCCTTTACATCTCGACTTCCTCTTCTCCACCTCGTCCCTCCCCTCCCCATCTCATCCTTTCCTCCCTCCCTCCCCTCTGTCGCTCTCTTTTCTTATATTCTCTTCTCACTCTCCCAAACACTCTTCTACATAAGCCATATACCCCACGCACTCTGGCCCCACTACTTGCGCTCCCCCCGACTTTGCGACCACGACCCTCGGCTCGTCTCAACTTATCGCAAAGACTAAGACCACCCGCGCCCGCGTCGTTTTCCCGATATTCAGGCAAGCTCCTGTATCGCTCGATATTAACCTCGCTCAACCCCGCTTCTCGTGCTTTAAGGTCCTCAGTGATCCATTGACACCGGGCCGGCCCCATCGTCCAGCAAGGCTCTCCCTCGACTCTTCGAACAACGAACGCCTTGGCTGACAGCCCTTCAAACCAAACCACGAATCAATCAACTCCATTAACAGCATCAGCTCCGAACTCAACTGTGTAACTCAACGAATCCCGCATCATCACAGCACACATCCTCTACTTGTTATCAAAGATCGTGCTTTAATAAGCTCTCGCCCATCGAACTAGATATCCCAGAGATCGTCTCGTCTTTGTCCTCTCGAACCATCCACCGCATCGCATCGATTACATTTTTCGTCATTTTTGGGGCTCACTATCTATAGTATTCTTGATTCTCGGTCCCGACTTGTAACAAACCGCTCCTCCCCTCAAACTCATCAGCTAAAGAACTCTTCGCGTAACCCACCATGGTCGGATTCTCGAACGGTCTCGGAAACCCCGGCCTCGGCGGCGGTCAGGGTGCCCTTGGGGGCCAGCAGACGCCGTCGAACGGCAACCAGCAGATCAAGGTGCAGCCCCTGCTCTGTGCCGGCCACACCCGGCCCGTGGTCCACCTCCAGTTCTCCAACATGTAAGCTAATAAACTTCTGGGCCGAACTAACCGATTACAGTCTGCCCGATGGAACCTACCTGATGATCTCCGCGTGCAAGGACGGAAACCCGATGCTCCGCAGCTGGCTTGGTGACTGGATCGGCACCTTCCTCGGCCACAAGGGTGCCGTGTGGTCGTCCAAGATCTCGCTCGACACTTCTCGCGCCGTCACGGGCTCGGCAGACTTCTCGGCCAAGATTTGGGACACGAACACTGGCGAGGCCCTCCACAGCTTCTCGCACAACCACATTGTCCGCTCGGTCGCCCTCAACCCCCAGGCGCAGCCGCAATATCTCCTCACTGGCGGTAACGAGAAGAAGATCCGCCTGTTCGACCTGAACCGCACCGACGCTCAGCCGTTGGTTCTGGGTAGCAACCCCGACGGCCTGTCGTGCGAGGGTGTCATCCGCAGCATCGTGTGGGACGAGGGCCAGGGCGGTGCCGTCGGCGTCAGTGCTGCCGAGGACGGCAAGGTCCGGTAAGTTTTGAGCTTGACGTCTTGGAAGCTTGACTGAGCTAACGCCGCAGTTGGTGGGACCTCCGCACTCTCGGTCAGGTCGGTGAGGTCGACCTCGGAGAGCCCGTGAGCTCGATGGAGCTCGCCCACGGCGGCGGTACCCTCTCGGTCGCGGCCGGCAAGAACGTCCACTTCCTTGACGTCATGCGCCAGCACCCCCCGGTCTCGATCAAGCTTCCCCACGAGGTCACGTCGGCGTCTCTGCACCCCTTCCTGCGCGACCGCTTCGTCGCCGGTTCCGCCGAGGACCCCTGGGTGCGCGTCTACGATCTGGACTCGGGCAAGGAGCGTGAGGTGTACAAGGGCCACCACGGTCCCGTGCTCTGCGCATCCTACTCTCCCGACGGCGAGGTCTACGCCTCTGGAAGCGAGGACGGCACGATCAGGCTGTGGCAGACGCAGCCTGGCAAGTCTTACGGACTCTGGCAGACTCAGGACTAGGAGCCTGCGATGCGATTAGTAGATAGATTCGATAGGGTGGAGTGGAGCGGAGCGGTTGGAAGTGTCTGGCGGATGATTTAGCGTACGATGGACTTGGATACCGGAGCGGAGTGCGAGTGCCGTGGTGATGAGTTGTTTGTACTAGTCCATGCAGAAGGCAGTTGGTAGCAGTGCAAAGTGCGATGGGGGCGCGTCGCGTCGACGCAAGACATCGCATTCACATTCATGATTTTCCTTTCCCGCGCGATTCAGCGCCGATCTCCACGACGATCGACCCAAGGCGGGGGGAGGTGGAGGCGGGAGGTCGGGGTGAAGTGGAGGTCGAAGACCTTCTTATAGGCGCCCGAGCACGTGGCACCCATATCACACGCCTAACCGAACTTCCAACTTCCTCCTCCGCCAGTCTGACTTTTCAATACCGCCATCCACAGCGAGGTAGAAGTTCCGATCTCGACCACCTCACCCCTACTTCAGTTCTCAGCATGATCCCGACATCAGTGACGCGCGGCGCCTCGCGCCTGCCGCTGACGACGAAGCGCGGCAACAAGGACTTTTACAAGGGCACGCGCCAGGCCGTCACCCCCGGTGCTGGACCCCGGACGGGCGCGCCCGGAAAGCACGTTATCCGCGGAAAGGCAAAGTACAGGCTGCTCGATAGCCGTGTGCGTGTGTTTGTTGGACCGGGAATTGAGGCTATTGAGTCGAGCTCGGTGAGTCATTGCGCGTGGTGGTGGGAGAGAATGGGAGGGGGGGTGCGTGGTTGTGTTGGCGTGGCTGTGGCGATGACGAAGGCGCTTTCGTCTAGCTGAGAGTTTCTCTTCAGCATTAAGGCGTATCTGAGGAGGAGCTTTCCATTGGTGCGCGGAGCTCGGTATCGATTAATGGAACTCCTTCCGATGATGTGACGTGGGGCAGAGCGACCTCTCTTCCTCGTGCAGTATCAACCCACGTCCTCCTCTCTCTCCCTTCGTCTTCTCCGCACCCCCAGCAGCTTAGGAGCTCGTCAAGCTAACCCCCAGCTCAAACCCTACGTCTCCTCCAAGGCGACCGTGCCGGAGCAGACTCTCCCTCCCTTCGGCCCGTGGCCCAAGACCTCGTCCGGCGTCGCCCCGCAGCAGCGCGACTTCAAGCACTTCTCCAAGGCATACAATGCGCTCTCGCCCGACGAGCGCAACGCCCTCATCATGCAGGCCCGTCGGGAATGGTACGCCGCCCTCACCTCCACGGCCGTCGAGAAGGGACAGCAGGAGGCGCACACGCAGGAGGTCGAGGGCCAGGCGAAGCAGTAAAATCGCTCCCTCCCTCTTTCTGTGTTCTTAATCTCCCCCTCTACATCTCACGACGGCTCCGCCTGACGGCCTGACGGCTCGTTTGGCCCCGGTCGCACCTATGTTAGTCTCTTAGCATTATTCTGGGCTTCATCCCTTATATCAAAGCAAGCATCGCTCCCCTCAATGCATCATGTACTTCTTCTGTTCGTGGAATCAGGGTCGCAGCGGTCCCGCTCAGTGCTCGCTCCGCGCTTCGCGCGTCGCTCACTGCCTATCCTATATCTTAATCCATGCTCTCCGGAATACATATACTACGGGTGGTGGTCTAACCTTGTGCTGCTTCCTGTTTTAAATTAAGTCTAGCTGGTGGAAGCGCCAACGGCAAGCCGCTTGAGGTGCTCCATGAAGACCTGGAGCGAGACGTCGTCGGTGAAGATGGCCTGTCCGCCGGCGCCGGCGCCGTAGCCCGTGCCGCTCGTGTGCGTCGTGGACGGGTTGAGCTTGGCCATGAGGAAACGCGCCTGCGAGCCGCCCTGGTCGCACACGACGTAACGGGGGATCGGGAGGCGGTCCTCGAGCAGCTCCTGCGCGTCCGCGACCGGCGCCTCGAGCAGCTCCTTGAAGTTGGCGTAGTCCTCCTGGTCCTGGTAGTTGGCCTTGCGCCACTGCGCAATCGTCTCGCCGTGGAAGATGAGGATGTGGAAGAACGTGTCGAGCAGCAGGATGACGTCCGGGCGGATCGACACCGAGTCGAGCAGCACCGGGTGGGGCTCCTGGTCGAACGTGTACGACATGAGCGTGGGCTGGATCATGATGAGCGAATTGTTCACGTCCGCGTCGTTCAGCACGTGTCGGTAGAACGCAGTCTCGTCAGGAGAGTTGTTGAACACCTGCAGGAACTGCGATCGACGAAGGTGGAACATGAACTGCGGGTAGATCGAGAAGTTCGGGCTGAGCTGGAAGCTCGACGGGTCCTCCTTCCTGTAGTCGGCAAACTTCTGGCACAGACGGATGAGCATACGGTCAAGCCACCTAAGAACGTCCGGCGCATCGTCAATCTCCGCCTTGAACGTGGCGATACGGGCCATGAGGACGGCAGCGGCCTCCTGGTCGAACTGCGCGGCAATATTGGGGTGGCCACCCTCGTGGAGCGTCCGCGCGACCGTGGTGACGCGAAGGCGGTAGAAGCCAGACGAGTGCTGGTAGTGCGTGACGAACTGGATGAGACCGTTCTGGTTCGGTTGCAGGGGCTGGCCAGCAGGCGTGACAACCTCAAAGTACACACCGAGCGACGTCTTGTCCGTGAGAGAGCAGATCTTCCAGGCCGACGTGCCTCCGATACCAATCTCGGTCTCTCCGACACAGGGCGACTTCTTGTTCGCCGAAATAACATGTCCGATGACTCCCGAGATCTTCAGCTCCTTCGTCGTCTGGACATCGAAAGTGCCGTTGAAGCCCATCTTCAGGAAGCCCTGGTCGTCCTTGTTGAAGGTTCGCAGGAAGCTCTGCTTGAAGATGGCGGTCATGAACGAGTCGGAAATGACCATGAAGCCGTTCGTCGAGTTTGGCAGCGACTTCATCTCGAGGAGACCGACCTGGTCCAGACAGCCGGCGTAAATGTCGACCGCGTGTCCGTTGACCGACGCCCGCTTCGAAAGACCCTCGTAGTACTTCGTCGCCTTCTTGAAATGCTTGACGCTGTCGCGCTCAATGTCGTGGTGGGAACGGATGGGCTCGCGCAGCTCGGGGCCGACGACCATGCCGGGACCCTCGGTACAGGGGCCACCAGAGAAGAGCATGATGCGCGCGCCAGTGTTCGGGAACGCCGACTCGAGGAGCGAGGTAGCGACACCGAGGGCGACACCAGTGCAACGCAGGGGACGCCTGTTGTCCGCGACAGGCCAGGGGTCACGCTGGAGGTTCTCCAGAATGTTGTTGAGCTGGAACTCGCACGCCTGCTGGGGCATGAGGAACCTCGACGCGGCGGGAGCGGGCATGGGCTGTCCAGGGCGCATACCAGCCATGGGGCGGTTCGAGGGGTTGAGGCCGAGCATGTCCGCGATCTGCTTCGGCTGGTACTCCTTCGATCCCCGGAAGACGTAGGACTTCGGGCACTCGGCGTAAGCGAGCTCATGAACCATAGCCTAAAACGTTAGCTTCTCTCAGGTCCTGCAGGGTGTCGAACTGACCATGGTGCCGAAGGTGATCAGGCCAACGAGGGCGTTGGCGGGGAGGAGGTTGATGGAAACCATGAGCGTCTCCTTGAGCGCCGTGAGCTCATCCTCGTCAACGCAAGTGTCCACGACGTAAAGGAAGATGGGAGGGACGGGGACAGGTCGCGTCAGAGTGTACTCGATGGTGGTGTATTTCGGGAGCAGCTCGGCAGGGAGGTTGGTCTGCGAGATGTCCTTGTAGTGGGGAGGGAAGGGGTTGCGCTGAAGACAGAACGGACAGATCCACATCTTTCCTCGAACATCGATTTGGCTGACGATGTCAGAACGTTGTTATCTCATGTCGCGCTCACCAGTAAGGGTTCAGGATGGCCTTGCATGGCGCCTTGCAAGTAACGGGCTCGTAATGCACCGGCGGCAGGTCATCGCGCTCCTTGAGAGGCGTGTAGAGGGCAGAGATGGGGACGACGGTACGAGTTGCCTCGATGCGGCCCGAAGGCCAAGCGTTCCAGGAGAAGCGGACGCCTGCGAAAGATCAGCAACATGTCCACATGCGATTAGGTCATGGCGTGTCCGAACACTGCGTTTCCGCATCGGGCTCCGCCCTAAACGGGCTCACCATCGCGGTCCTCGACGTCCTCGAAGTTGGCTCCGTTCATTTTGCGCGCTCGAGGGGGTGGAGATGAACGGTGGAGGAACGAGAACGCGGTTGGAAGGTGATTGAGTTGACTTCGGTGCTGGCGTGCGTGTCGATGACTGGTGGCCTCGCTGGCGCCCGCGGCCTTGCTGGCGACACTGGCGCTCCTTCGTCACTTTGAGCGGGAGCAAATACGCTCTCCCACGGGTGATATGGAAGATCGATCGCCTGATTAACCTTGATTAAAATTTGGACGCTATAACGCACGTGGCTTCTGTTTAGTGAGAAGAACTAATGCTCCCTCTAAATCACGTGACGCTTCTAGGCTTGGCCACACGAGTGCTGAAACGAACATGACGTCGATCTCTCGATCTCCATGTCACCCTGACGTTCTTTCCGGGCAGGACCCAACCTTAATGGGTTGGAAACCCCCCGTGAGAAACGTTGAACGCAACCCTGCGATCCAACAACAGATATAGCACTGCCAGGCATGTCGGTCGACACTTCGTATCCGATGTTACAAGAAAACCTGGGAGTGTGGGACATCTTTTCAGTGCGCCCTGGTCGGTGGGCGGTCATGTCGGGGTTCACCTGTGAATGTGTCACTGGTGACGTAAAATGAGTGGCCAGAAGTCGGGCGCCGGAGGGCTGGCATCGGGTTTTTGGAGCAGGATCTGCTCAAGCTCTTGGTCGTTACGCTTCTCAAGAATAAGCAGCTGCTGCTGCTGTTAAAAGCGACAAACGGGCACGCGTCAGTCTCTTCTTATCCTGACTTCTACTCCGCGGCAAATCTGCACCACCTGCAGTATGTGTATCAATTCCAGTTATCAAATGCTGTTCCTCTGTTCCTAACTTTTGTCGGGGTCCGCACCACTGTTTACGTTGCAGTGGCGCTTGGCAGACGCCACTGGGGTAGCATGCGATCTGGAGGTGTTCCGGGCCGTCCCCGCCCGAACCCTGTCCGCCCAGGGGATCGTCTGCGACATCGTTCTCGTCACGACCGCCGCAGCATTACGACTGCGCTGCGGAACGCCAAAGCGGTTTGCGATGCGGCAGTGGCTTGTGGGGGATGTGCATGGTTTAAAAGATAGCGGGGTCAGCCGCGGCATTGCCTTCCCACCGACACACACATACACCCATTGCACACACACTATGATCAGTTGGGCCCTCACCAGCGCCTTAGTGGGTAACGCGTACGCCGCTCATGGAGAGAGCTACCTCAACTCCTCGGTTGGCTACCAGAACGGTAGCCTCGGAGGCTCTCCATATCAGACTTTCGTTTCGTCCCCTTCAAAACCGTGAGTGCTGCGGAACGAGGAACCACATACTGATCAGCCCAGCGTGCAGTTCAACGTCCAGCAGTTCCCCAGTACGCCACCCGCAGCCGGATATATCTTCATTGCACCTCGTGGTACCTCTGTCGAGGCCCCCGGAGCGTACATCTTCAGCGGCGATGGTGAGCTCATCTGGGATGGTAGCGAGTTCGGCCAAGCCATGTCCTTCACGCCCAAGATGTATAAGGGCGAACCCGTCATTGCAATGTGGCAGGGCGAGTTCAACGGCAATGGTTACGGAATGGGACATGGACTTCTCATCAATCAGTCCTACCAGGTCGTCGCGAACATGTAAGTGAAAAAGCGGCCGTTGGGCGCACCTCAACACAGCGGGCGCGGCTGACCGTTACAGCTCCGCTCAGGTCGAGAATGCCCTGATGGACTTCCACGAAGTGAGTGCTCCGATACGAGTGCGTTTAATGCGGTGCTGACTCGATGAAAGTTCACGTTGACGGAGAACGGCACCGCGCTCTTCACCGCATACCCTGTGCAGTCGTATGACCTGTCCTCCTACGAGACGGGCCTGCAAGACCCCACCAATGGCTTCATCATGCAGGGCGTTGCACAAGAGATCGACATTGAGAGTGGGAACGTCATCTTCACTTGGCATTCCCTGGATCACGTTGATCCGCATTCCTGTTTCACCACGCCTGCAGACACCGGCGGCAGCTCAGACAACCCGTGGGACTACTTTCACATCAATTCGATCGAGAAGGACAGCAAGGGCAACTATCTCATCTCATCCAGACATTGCTCGGCGCTCTATTATGTCTCTGGTGCTGATGGCTCGATCATCTGGACGCTTGGCGGCCAGAACTCGTCCTTCACGATGGGTGAGAACACGACGTTCTGGTATCAGCACGACGCCCGGTGGCGCGATGATGAGACGACCATCTCGCTGTTTGACAACGCCGCAACTGGTTGGGACGCTCGCGAGGACACCGCCCGCGGCCTACTCCTGAACATCGACTTTGACAACAAGACAGTCGAAGTTAACACAGAGTTTCTTCCGTTCAACCGCACGCCCTCTCCCAGCCAGGGCTCGACCGAGCTGCAACCAAACGGCAACTGGCTTTGCGGCTGGGGTCAGATCCCCTATTTCAGCGAGTACTCGCCTACTGGGGAGCTGCTCTGGGCGGTTCAGTTCGGTGTAGGTGATGTGCAAGGCTATAGGGCGCACCGCGCAAACTGGACGGGCCAGCCGACGACGCAGCCGAACCTCGCCCTGCAGAACGGCAACAGCACAGAGGAGCACACTCTCTACATGTCGTGGAATGGAGCGACCGAGGTCAAGACGTGGGAGGTGCTCGGTGCCAACGACACGAGTGCCCAGCCCGAGTCGCTGTGGAACGTTACCCGCGACGGCTTCGAGAGCGAGTTCAGCCTCCTGAATCCAGGTCTTAACTTGTTCATGGTCCGCGCACGTCACGACAATGGAACCGTCCTCGGCCAATCCAACTACATCTCCCGCAACGGTTCTGATGTGGGCGCCGGTCCCTCCCCGAGTGCCCAGGGTGCAACCAACGTCGATAACGTGGCCAGTGGATCTCAGGAACCTTCGGGACAGACTTCATCTGCTGCAGCTGCAGGTGCTACCACGTCTGGGAAGGACGGCAGTAACGCGGCCCCTGCACTGTCTGGCTCTCTTGTTGCTCTTCTGTTTGGCATCTCCGTTGCCGCGCTCGCTTAAACTGAGGAAGCCTTCCTTCCAGAGGGCAAAACGTCCAGTCTAGAGGGCGCTCCCTACGAAAGACAAGGATCCGTAGACAAACTTGTATCCCATTGCATGTAGCCTGATTACGCATTCCCACCCCCTGCTCCTCTGCTGCACGCCGTACATCGATGACACTCCCCAGTAAACAGAACTGAGAAACTTTGGGCTGCCAGATCCTAGTCCATCTCACTCCCTACCAAACATCGAAGGCCGCTTAGCTCAGCTGGTTAGAGCATCGTACTAATAATCTGTTGATTATCAGTCCATGCGGAGGTCGGCAGTTCGATCCTGTCAGTGGTCATTCATTTTTGGCCTTTTCTGCTCCTGCAGAATGCAAGAAACTTGTTTTGGACGTGCAGAAGCGTTGGGAGTAGCAGAATCACTCGTAAAGAAGAGAAAACAGGGTTGAAGTGCCACAGCGCTAGGGCGCAGCGAGGGCGCAACACAGGAACGGCCTAGACCATTAGCGCGTTGATGGGCGGATGAATCTCGGCTGGTCGGTAACCTACACCGGGCCGGATGAGCCGAGTGATCCACCACCCCCACTCACTTTGCGCTAATGTGCACACCTCAGAAATGCACATCCACTCACGCTGTCGCCATGGGAGTCGCCGGATCGGAGCATTCGACCCTCTACGCCGCGCCACCAGGCCACCTGACGCTGATCATGGCAGCGCGGAAGAGCGCTTCGTACACTCTTCCCTCCGACCCTCGCTTTAGCTTCTACGTGTACACCCCGCGCAGCCATCCGATCACGCGCCGAGCTCGCGGCGAGGACGTCGGCGTCGACGGGGTCGTGACGGGCCCAAAGACGGTATCTCTGACCGACTCACCAATGAAGGGCACGTTCGTGTTCGGACGCGGTGCAGGACCGAAGGGCTTCGGGCTCATGGTCGCCATCCACGACTCGAAGCGGGACGCGGAGAAGTTACGTGATGAGTGGGCGGACATTGCGGAGGAGGAGGGGTGCATCCTTCTCTCGCCGTGCTTCCCGTGTGATATCAAGGTGAGTAGCTTCTTTCCCTGTTGTGCACAGGTCGCGAACCCCGTCGGCGATCCAGGACATGTGCTGAGCACCTGATCGTGGTCGTGGCTTGCCGTGGCTGACGTACGCGACACCCGCTGACTGGCAGTTCCCCGATGGTCCGGACAACTTCAAGAAGCTCGAGTGGGAGACGGCATCAGGAGAGATCATCCTATACGACGAGGTGCTCCTGCAGATGATCGACACGGTCGAGCGCGAGTGGGGCTGCGTCGACACGCGGACCTTTGCGCTGATCGGCTTCTCGGGAGGAGGCCAGTTCGTCCACCGCTTCCTGTACCTGTACCCGGAGCGGCTGCATGCCGTGTCCATCGGTGCCCCCGGGCGAGCAACGCCGCTCATCGACGAGCCGTGGCCGGTCGGCATCGTTGGCGCCCCGACACGGAAAGACGGCTCCAGAATCGACCCAAAGAAGATCGCGGAGAGAACACAAAGCGGAGAGACGGTCGTGCAGCTGCTCATCGGCGATCAGGATCACTGGCGACCCGTGCAGCCTGATGGGTCACTTGCTCCCATGTCTCGTTTGGACTGCACGAACGCCCTCAAGGCTAGCTTCGATGCACACGGCATCAAGTACGGGTTCAAGCTCGTCCCTGGCGTCAAGCACGATGCGGCCGAGATCCGAGCCGTCGCCAAGCCCTGGATCAGAAAATACGTGCGGTGAGTTGACATCCCTGGTTACGGCAAGCTGACAACAGACGAGCAGACAACCTGTCGCCAGTATGGTAGCTAATAGATCAATGTGCAAGATGCATTGAATGAATAATCCTATACAAGTTCTAGTTGAGCTCCTCACCCTCGATCGCCATGTCGTCAAAGTTCTCAAGGAGCTCGTCGAGCTCGATCTCGGGGAAGTCCTCCTCCTCAGTTCCGTCGTCGTCCTCGTCGGCGATGTTGCCGTCCTCGACCTCCATGGCAGCGGCGGCCTGGGCGGCGGCGCCTCCACGGCGCTTTCCGCCGCGCATGCCCGAGCCCTTCTGGCCGCCCATGGCGACGTCTCCATCGTCGTCCTCCATGTCCTGAGCGTCGTCGGCGCGGTACAGGTTGACGGCGGCGCGCATCTCCTTGTCCTCCTCGAGGTCGCGGAGGAAGAGCTCATAGTCGCGCTCGACGTTCTTCTGGTCCACACCACCGCGGCGACCGAGCGCACCGCGTCCCACCGTCGTGTCCTCCTCGGCCTCCTTGGCGATCGACTTGAGCTTCCAGTTGCGGGGGCGGTTCTTCTTTCGGCGGTTCGGGTACGTCTTCTTCACGAGGATCACGTGCGGTATCCGGTGCGGGTCGATGCCCTCGAACGCGTCGTTGTTGAAGTTGGTGTGCGTCAGGTCGTAGCCGAGAACAGTGTCTCCCGGCTGCAAAATGGCGCCGAGGTGCGTTCGCACGTGGTAGATTCCGTCGTCGCCCATACCGTCCGCATCGGCCGCCTGTCCTGATCCAGAAGCACGAGTGATCTGGGCGTCGGCGAGGACCCAGCGTCCACGCTGGACTCCGGTCGGCTCAATGTCGAGCACGACAAACTCGACCAGGTCCGAGGTCTGAGCCAGAGACTCGAACGGCTGGCGCCAGTACACGGGGGCGGTCACGTCCGTCTGCTGCAGCGTCAGGGGGTCGAGGAGGTGGAGGGTGTTGCCGACGCGCGAGCAGATCGTCAGCTGCGAGATGTTGCCCCACTGGCGAGCGAGGTTCTTCGGGATACAGACGAGGTCGTCCTTACAAATCGGCACAATCTCGACCGAGTAGGTGAACTTGTAGTTGGCAGTACCGTTGTGCGTGTCTTGCGAGATGAGCTGCTCGGAGCCCTTCACGCGGACGGGAACAACGGACGCAAGGAACTCAACCATCTTGATGGCATTGTTGCGCTCCGTGTAGAAGAAGTCGAGACCATCGCGCTTCTCGTTGATGTTCGTGCAGTCCTTGTGGGCGTTGTGCTTGAGGATGAGCTGCTCGAGGAACAGGAAGGTACGCTTGTGGGTGACCTTCTGGCGGACCTGAACGCTAGCCTTCCAGGTGTTCTTGGCGGCGAGACGAGTACAGGCGGGGCACTGACCGGTCTGGACGACGAGGGTCAGGACAAAGGTCTGCTGGAGAACGGTGTTGGCGAGAACCTCCTTCTGGATCGTGATCTTGAGCTTGATACGGCGCGAGTGAGGCTCCGTCCAGATGAACTGGGCATCGATCAGGCGAACCTTGAGGAGAGGCTTGGCGATCTTCTTCAGACAGATGGCTGCCGGTCAGCGATCGTCGGTCAAATCCTTATGACGCAAGGTACTCACCAAGAAGCTCGCGAGACTCGGGCTGACAGGCAACCCAGGTGTTGGGCGGAGACAGGAAGCGCTCACAGCCCTTGCAGAAGTTGACAACCGACTCTTTCGGGATACCGTCGGTGATGTCGACTGAGTTACGGAGACATCCCACACCTATAACAGTCAGCGCATCGCTCGTGTGATGTGTCAGCAGCCACTCTGCGGTACGCACACAGTCCAGAGCCGTTCGCCGAGGAAATGACAGTACCACAGTCGGCACAGAGAATATAGCTTTCTTGTCCAGCCGCGTCGGGTTCGTACTCCATTTTGCTGATGTGTTGCACGAAGGAGTTGGTAAAGTTAAGAAGTAGAGACGCCGCTCTACGTTCGTTGTCGTTCTAAAGGTGCTCAGAAATTATTGCAACTGCCCCGCACGAGCCCTGAAACGTCTGGGCATGGTGGCAAAATCAACAGCAATCCCACGTCATTCCTCCACGTGACCTTGGGAAGACATTGCGCGGCTTATCAGTTTCCGAGCCTGTAGCCGATGTACGTCAGTAGATTTGCAGGGGACAGGGGGGTCTTCGTGCTTGCTCTCCAACCCTCTTGCACTCCTCGCATCCTTCGGCTCTTCAACAGGCCTCCGAGTCACTGCCTGATCCACTCAACAGGACAGCGCTTAAGTGATAAGCTGCTGATCAGGCAGAATGGCGTCCTCCGGGCGAGCTATGGCTCACCTCCTCGCCCCGCGCCTCCTGGCTCCTCTCCGCGCCAGCACCTCGACCTCCTCACGGTCTGCTTGGACTCTCTCATCACATCCTGTGCGCCAGGCCCATACCGATCGCTATACCACTATCCACGCCTTCTTCACGAGACACGGGAGGACGTCAACCAAAGCTCACTCACCACCCTCCATACCCCGCCACTTCCCGCCCGCCTCGCGGAGGTGGAACACCAACGCGTCCATTCCTCCGAAGCCGCGGAAGGATGGTGCCGAGGGTGGAACGACACCTCCGTCGAAGCAACCCGCATCGTCAGCGTCATCGTCCTCGTCAACGCCGACGTCAACAACGCAGCCGCCAACATGTCCTCGATGCCAGGTAACCCCCCCTGTAATACCCAAGACCCAGGTACCGAGCGCCAGTCAAGCGCACCCTGTACATATCTCCGAATACTCGCCCTTCATTCGCCGCCTCATCAACAGGAGCTCGGAACTCTCGCACAATCTGCCGCATCGACTCACGAAGGAGGATCTGCTGAACGCAGCTGAGAGTTGGTGGCAACGTCTTCGCATTCGTCTGAAGTGGTTCTTCATTCGAGGTTGGCGTCGATTCAACACGGACGACCTCAGTGCCTTCTTCAGTTGGTTCGTCGTTGGAAACAGTGAGTGCAGCGACAAGTGTTTGGGCCTTCAATCTGACGTTTAGCTCTATGGGTCATCCTGGGTACCACTACCTTCGTATCCGCGGTCTTTGCCACGCTCAACTCTCTCCAACTGCAAGAGCACGTTGCCCGCTGGATCTCGGACTATCTCACTGCGGAAACGGGCGTGACAGTCATGTGGGTTCCATGTTTTGGTTTGTGCTGACAGGCAGCTTCGAGTCCGCCATCGTACCTAAGTGGGGTGCGTCGAAGATCACCTTCCGCAATGTCTACGTTTCGCGTCGTCCTCAAGACCCTCAAAGTGACCCGAAGTCGCACAAAACTCAGAAGGGCGACAAGTCGACGCAGCCGAGCCCGATCCCCTACTTGTCTTCGCTGATTCCTCCTGATACGTATCTCCACCCACCGAAGGCTGCAGAAGCCGACAACTACACGATGTTTGACCTCAACTTTGACGAAATCGACGTGACACTCAGTTTCACGCGGTGGTTGGACGGAAAGGGTCTCGTAAAGGATGCCAAGATCAAGGGTGTCCGTGGCGTGATTGACCGCCGATCTGTATGGTGGGACACTACAAAGTCGCTTGAGCCGGCAGACTATCGTCACCCCAGCGGCCCTGGAGACTTTGAACTCGAGAACTTCATTATCGAGGACTTCTTGGTCACTGTCTATCATCCGGGCGGCCAACGACCTTTCAACGTTTCCATCTTCAACGCAAGGTTCAAGCCTTTCCGCAAGCGCTGGCTCTTCTACGACATGCTCAGCGCCGAGTCTATGACCGGCCAGTACGACAACTGCCTCTTCAGTCTGCACATGCCGCAAAAGCTGGGCGGTCCCCATGGAGACCACAGCGACAGCAGTCACTCCGTCAAGCGCATGGCTCGTTTCCGCATCGACGGGTTGCCTATCGAGCACGCCCAGTTCGCCTCCGGAAACACCGGTGCCATCTCCTGGATCACATCTGGAAAGCTGGACGCTGTGCTGGATATCAAGTTCCCGTTCCATCCCGACGACGACGACGTCGACATCATGGCCATCTTCGAGGAGATTGGCCGCAACGTCGCGACGATCACGCATTCTGGCATCCATCCCGACGATGCTGCAGGAGACCACATGTCGGACACGATAGCAGCCATCGACTCGTGTGGTCCTGGGGCTCTGATCCCCGGTCAGGCGAGGCTGGCCCGTCCCCCTCTCCGAGCTCCCGGGTCGGATTCGGATGAGCAGGATGAAACCAAGCGTCAGGTTGTAATCGACATCGACCTGCGCTTCCGTGATCTCAAGGCTGCAGTGCCCGTATTCACCAGTGACCTGAGTGTCACCAACAACGCTCTCATCCGGCCTATTGTGGCGTTTATCAACGCGAATCGGACCTTGATCCCGATCCACTGTCAGGTGAGGGCAGAACTGAAGGACTTCGATGGCTCCTGGACGCTATTCGAAGCTGGTCTCATGACCTCAATCTCCAATCAAATTTACTCCGCTCTCGCTCATCATGTCTCGTCTGAGGCTGCCAACTCGAAACGACTCCGCCAAGTTAGTGTATGGGGCATTCAGCGCGGTGCTGAAGTGCTCTTGGAAGCCCTCAAGAACATGGTTGATCCGTTTAATCATCAAGTGGCCACTTTGTAGAATAACATGTTGCATTATTAACGACCATAGATTCCCTGCATGCATTTCCGGTTCATCAGTGCTCGACGATTCGCTGCATATCGCGATCAGCGCGGCCTAGAACGCGTCTGTTAAGCTGTCGTAACGTGGGGCCACACTTTCAAATTTGCCTCCGCGGACCGATATTCAAGCGTCAAGAGGTTGACGCGAACGTCACAAGCAAGACCACAAACAACTTCCCGCCATCGACCTGCGCAGATATTGTTCCCCACGAAACCTTAGCCCTTCACCGTGCTCCGATCCTCTTCGCCATAGATGGGGTCGGGTTGGTCGAAGATGAGCGCCGATCCCAGCGCTGAACACGTTACCACGAGCAAACCCACCGACGTGCCGCCTGGAACGGACAACCCTTCTGGGTCCACCGCATCCGATGTTGCAGCTTTAAGAGCTGCCGTCTTGAAGTCAGCTCTCCACAAGCGCCGCACCGAAAAGCCTCAAGAAGGAGACAAGGAAGACGGAGAAATCAGTGAAGGCGATGACGGCAAAGCCACCAGCACGACGCCGTCGACGATGGTCGGAGGGAAGACGTCGCCGCTGGCGACAGTCTTAAAATCAGGGCGCCCCGAGTCTGCAACTAAGGCTGGCTCGTTGCCCGATTCACCCAAGGAGCAGATCAAACGTTCGACCGTAGTCACAATCAGCAACAATGCCGGAGAAGTGAAACGGACGTTGCCAGTTCCCGGTGGCAAGAGTACGTCCGAATTTCATTGTCTTCCACTAACCATCCAGTCATGTCTGAAGACGACGAGAACCAATATCTAGACATAATTCGTAACCTACTGCACGACGGTGTTCAGCCCGACACTCTCATCGATAATGGCGCTCCGTCCGCTTTGGTGACGCGTGTCTGTGAGGAGATCGTGGCTGGCAGCAAGTCGCGCCAGACACTCTGGCATCAAGCTCGATCGCCGATCAGGGAGGACTCAGAGGCGCGAAGCGCGACGGCTGGCTTAACCCTCGAGTCATCACAGCCTGCTTCCTCGGAGATTCCCAGTCCGTCGTCAAGCATTGAGGTTGCGGTCCACAGCATCCGACAGAGTTCCGAATCGGAAAGCGAGAATGAAGCTGCCGTCGAACGAATGACTGCCCCTTCCGCTCCTTCGCGCCGACCTAGCATCCCGCGGATCATTCCCACGTCGAGTTGGACGCCCTCACAGGGCCCAATGTCTGGAGGAGCTGTCCGGATACAGTCCTACAGACCCCCTTCGAGACCTACCTCGGCAATGAGCACGCCCATCGGCCCCAGCCCCCTTGTCCCCAGCCCATTATCCACTCTTCCTCACTTTGCCGCTTTCCGTCCTCCGCCGCCAACACTACCTTCCTTCCCCCCACCACCCCCACCTCAGCAATCAAAGCGAACGAAGCGACACAGGGACTACGACAGTGTTAAGGACCACGCGACGTACCTGAATTATGGCGACGAGGATGCGTCGCCTGCTCCTTCCCCGTCGACATCCTCGACCGTGGGCTCCGTCAATGGAGTGCCGGCGGCTCGTCCTGCCAATGACCAGGGTGGTCAAACGTCCACCGCGGCTCCTACAGTCACCGGGTCGGTCGAGCGCTCGACACCTGCGGCGCTTGCGGTCCCCGATATGGCCAGCAAAGCTAGCGGGGATCCTCCCTCTACCAGTTCGCAAGCTACGGTTGTCTCTCCTGCCTCATCATCCGACCTTGCGGAAGTGCGAAGGAAGGCATTGGAGAGTATGCGTTTAAGTCTGAAGAAGAAGAAGGCGCTCCCGGTGACTACCGCTCCTCCTGTTCCGACACTCGCTGAGCAGGCTGCCAAGTTGGAACGCGAAGTCACTGGCTCATCGGCGGAGGTGCCCATGGACATTGACGATGATGAACCCGAGGAAGGGGAGATTGAGGACAGTCCCGCAGCCGGTTCGGCGGCATCGACGCCCGTTTCTAGCGTTGCTCCCACACCTCCTGTGGTCGTCACCTCCACTAGCCTGCGGCGAACCGCGTCCTCACGGGGAGTCAAGCGACCCCTCGCAGAAGACCTGAACGACAATTCCGGAAGACCAAAATCGGTGGCTCGTGTGATGCTTAATCGCCGTGCGTTTGGTGCGCCCCAGCGTTCTACCAGGCTTATTATCTCTCTCGACGACGACAGTGACAGCGACGGTAGTTCAGATGAGGACACTCCGCAACCAGCTGTCGTCGTTCCTCGCATCGTCATTCCTTCCCCGTTCCCTGAACCAGACACTGCTGCTCTTCTGGCCGCCAAGGCAGAAAGCATCCGCAAATTGAAGGAGCAGATTGCCGCCCGAATGCTCGCGAAGAAGAGTTCTCGCAGCACGCCTGTCGCTTCAACATCGAGTACCCCAGCGCCCGCTGAGGACGCCCGGCGAGTGGAGGAGGCAGTGGCAGCGGCTCAGAACGTTGGAGTCGAGGGCCTTTCCTCAGACGTTGTGGAGGCCGCCGTGCTCGCGGCAGCAGAGGAGCGCAAGCAGTCAGACGAGGCTGGCGCCCGGCGTAGGGGAAAAGGCAAAGGCAAAGGGAAGGCCGTGGACCAAATTCCAGCCTCTTCTTCAAGTAATGTGGACCAAGATGGCGGTAGGTGTCGCTGCCGCTGCTGGCTGACCCTGCAGATGACGCCGTCATGATTGATGCCGCGCCCACTAGTTTGTTCAATGTTCCGCTCCCCACTCCGTTTGCTGACCCGACAGATGACGTTGAAGTTCCTCAAGCTACTGGTGACTGCTGTTTCTCCCTCGTGTACTGACAGACAGAAGCTCTGGCAGTTACCCCGAGCAGCAACGTAGGTAGCGCTTGCCTGTGGACACTGAGCCGCCCAGAATTTCCACGCCTATCGTCCCCTGCTGCCGTCGTATCCACAACTTGCCGCTTCCTCGCTTGACTTGCTGCCCAAGGAAGATGAGCCCAGAAGCCTTGACGTAGACTGGAACCTGGTTTCTTCCATCATACTAACATGCCGCCTGCAGAAGGACCCCGCTGCGTCGATATGTCGCTCGGAAGCTGCCGGAGGGTCGTGCGCAGATCCTGCGTGCGAAGACGTGCACATTTTGCGCAGTGAACCTACTGGTGTGTTCTGACCGTTGCGGAGTTCTGTTGCCAGTGCCGTTTTCTGATGCTTTCTTCACTTGCAGATGACGACATTCTCACGTACGCCACTCGTTTGGCAGCGCTTCAAGGATCGAAAGTCTCCAAGAAGCTGGACCGCGCAGCCGCCCTGAAGCAAGCCAAGGCCGAGGTCATGGCCAGCAATGTAGCTGCCATGGACACTGAGGAGGCTGAGGCGCGTTGGGCCAATGCTGAAAACTTAACCGCCCTAGTTGACTTGACTGCCCAGCGACTGCGGGCTAGGTGAGACCCGAACACTCTGAGCTCGACGCTACACTCGCTCCTCGTGCGGACGTTGTGTGGAAGTCGGGCGGCAGAACAAGAAACAATAAACGACTGTTCCGCAATCCGCACCGCATTCCTCACTTGCAACATTGCACACACCCTTTCACATACTTGTGTTTCCCTTCATTCATTTTCATTTTTTTCACACTCAGCCATCATTATTTTGCATGTTACTGTTGGGCATCTGTACTCTTCATTGTGAATCCGTGACATGCACGAATGTTTCTCAGCCCGGTCACGCAGCTGCACTTGAACCTGACTGACTGGCACCGTTCCGGAGTTGTGGCCCAGCCAAGTCTCCGTCCTGTCCAAAGGAGGGTTGACCTTGCAGGCACCGGAGGTTCTGCCTAAAATGCAATTGATGGACATAATGTCAGGCTGCCCCATCACGTACTTGTCTGACAGTGTGAGGAGAATATATACGCAGTATACGACTTTTGGGGTACAGAGTGGGCTCTTCCCGCAGCATGCGACGAGGAAAACATCAGCGCGTGCGGCGCATGATGTAATGATGAAGCGGATAGAAGCCCATGCGGAACCAAGGTTAGTAACTGGATCACTTGAGCCCTGTGCCCCGCTCGTCTCGGTGTCTCGACAAGCTCGACTGGCTCGCCAGCGTCCCGCGTCCATGTCGCCATGTCGGAGGTTACGGTGAATGGGCTAGGGGCCATGACAGGGTTCCTCCTTTTGATCCCCTTTGATCCCCTTAGTGCAGGGCCTTCGGAGAGAGGACAGGGGTATCCTTGATGACACAGGGGTGGCACCTAAGGGTGTTGCTGATTCCTGTACGGAGCTTCAGAATGTGCATATTGCGGATATGGCGGCGCGCATCGGGATAGTGAGGCCGCCGCGAACGCAGTTGACTCGTTTAACAGACATAGAGGTGGGAAGCATGTGCTCATGCTTCGTCATTATGAGAATGCAAAGTGATGGGGAAGAGGGGGCCTACTATGCCTCCCCTTTGCTGGAGCTCCTATTCCCCGATCGCAATCCGATCACCTATACGTCACACTCGCTGTCTGTCTGACCAGAGCTCTGGAGCTGCAGCTGTGAGAAGGAAGTAGTGGCAATCATGTCTCTGACACCTGGGAGGAGGAGTAAACGTCTCTGTGCTAGCTGTGTGAGGACCGCATAGGTTGTCGGAAGCGGGAGGCAGCGCAACAAAACAAGCGAGGGGAGATTGTGCCGAGGAACGGCCAGCGGCATGTGTATAGGATGAGTATGCCGTACCTCCCCTTGCACCGGGCTCGAATAAGACTCAGCTTATTATAGCACTAAAAACAGGAAATGTCATCGCGACTGATCTCGGCGCCGGCTTGAGATCTCTGCAAAGGGGAATGCATACCGGTGTCAACTGGGAGGACTGTAGGTCCACAAGCTTTGTCCTTACAAAGGACCTGAAGCGCTAGCTGAAGCCGGCAGCGGATTGTGGCGATCCGTATATCCAGCTGCTGTCGACCGCAGGCGGATGTGCGATACGAACCATTAGAAGGCGCGGAGGCGCACATCTTTTGTCCCGCATCGCTGGACAGACGTGAGGTCATGCGCCGCCGAGCGCAGTCGACGTAGCTGAACACTGTTAGGCGTTGCACCGGGTCACTCCAAGCTCCAACATCGACCGCTCCACTAAATGCCCCAATACCAGTGTCCTCGCCGTTTGGACAACCGCGGACCTTTCCCACCGACACCGGAAACTCTCCATTATTGCACGTCTTGCACATTATGGGCATGACTGGGTCAATGAGGGCTCGGAACAGTCTGGCGAGGGTTAGGCGCCGCCCAACACCTGACCTTCCACAAAATCGCGCTGTTAGGGCGCGCGTGCGCACCGCACCGATCTATTGCCAACCCAGGGCTAGTCCAGTCGTATAAGGGCGCCGGCTACCGTCTTGTGCTGAAGTCAATTTTCAACAATTAATAATCTTTCATTTCCGTCTGGAACCGTTCTGCTCAAGTCGCGTAGCCGGCGACATTAACGGGTTACGGTTAGTATCTGAGACAAGCGGAGTCAAGTTCAAAGGTGAGTAAACATGTCTCGGCGGGCTGTCGATCGGCTTGTGGTGAGTTGTCTAACCGCCGGATTTCGAGCTTGCGATGCCGTGTGGGCAGACCGTGGTTCACTCCACAAGCTCAAATGTCGACAGGCGTATGCGCTGAATGCAGCAGGTTAACGGCCTCGTGTTGTGGTGTGTTGCGGAACAACTCGACTGCGAATGGCGGAGGACTCCTCATCTCTGACGGACACGACTCGAACGTCTGGTAAACTCCAATACTCCAGATCGGGACGGCGCACAGATGGTCCAGACAGCGCTCGAAGGACGATGCACGAAATGGCTAGTCACCTCGGAATCACAAGGAAGCCTTGAGGACAAGTCGCGGAGGCGGGGCGGAGGCGCGTCGAGGGCGGCGAAATTTGGGAGGACAGAACCACTCGATCCGTGACCACACAAACATTGTCGATGAGTCAACGATGGTCCGCCTCAAACTGAATTATGGTAGTTCTTCCGACGTCTGATGTTCAACGGGCGGGGCGCACTAGTCTGGACTGCGCAATGCGGATTCCACATTGCCGCCGAGACCTGTTCGTTGCCGATCGATCTGGGTTGCGGACACAGCGCGCATCACGCATTCTGTTCGTTCCCACAGTCTGGTGCCCTCCAATGTTTTCTTCAGACGATAGTCGGGGTTCGTATGGTGCCATTGAGGGCGGAAGTGAGTCGCAATAGGCGGACCTGCAAACGTGTTGGTGCGGAAGTCCAGCGGGATTTCCGTAGGTGCGCCACCTCCGTCAACTTCCTTTCCCGTCCCCGGAAAAGACGCCGTAAAGGTAGCTTGAGAGAGTCCAGAATGGCAGTCGCGCGGGACCAGACAGTTGGAGTCAGGCCCATTGTGGAAAGGTGTCCGCGAGGTGTCCGATGGATGTTCGTTAGCTCGTCGGGCTAGCCCTGCTCTGTCCGAACAACCCCACATGATAGGTCAAAAGACCAACTGTGAGGTTATGCAGACCCATGGCTGTGGCACGTAGCTGCATGTGACCCCGCTTGGGCAACGGGGGACTGTCAGCGTCCCGCAGCTTCTCGTAATTCGTTAGCCGTGGCTAATGGTTCCCTTAGCCGTGGCAGCGTCAGTCCGTTGACGGGCCAACAAAGCTGGCTCTGAGGTAATTTCTGTCTCAAAGGGTCCAAGCAGCGCTGTCCAGCATCAGCGTGCGTACTCTTAGGTGGAACAGGCAGTGTTGGACTTACAGGCGTTAGACTATCCAGGTGGGTATGCAGAGTCGTATCGAGGCAAGCGTCAGCTAGATTAATTATAATGAAATTATCAATGAATTAATTAGCTGGTCTGTCGTAGCATGTCCTGGTTCAGTGGGTCAAACTATTAGAACTGCTTCACAGAAAGCAAAGCTCTCGTTGCAGAGATGGGAGTGGCGGAGTGGTGTTCGAGCTGGTTGGGTAGTGGGTCCTGCTGGGCCAGCCAGCCAGTCAACACACAAGCGCCACGCTGGAGCTTCCGCGGCCGCCGTGACGCGATTCTTTCACCAATGCTGGCCATCGGCAGCAGCAAGCATGTTTTCATCCGTGACCTGCTTCGATTTGCCGAGTCGATGCTTGCTGTGCGAGGGAACTTCGGTGGGTCACTCTCAATCGTCTGGCGTTGTTTCGAGAGGTGTCATCCTTGTACGCGTTGCACGTCTCTAAGTCGAAGTCCACGCCAGTTCCATCTGAGACTCAGCGGTCGGCTGTAAAAGGCTGAGAGCGCACATACGAGTCTGCGAGGCTGGTGGGTCAATCATCGTGGTTGCATGCCATTTGCGCTCGCGCGCGGACAGGCACGCACAACAATCTTAACAAGGTTGATCGACGCCCTCAGACCATGAGCGAAACACACCCTTGCGGTCAAAGTATGCCCCGCACCTTGTCTGATCGCCTGGAAGGGATGAAGCAGGAAAATCTTGAGAGCCTTGCTCTCGAACTGAAAATGGAGCGTGCAACAGCTGTGCCCTTCGCGGGTAATGAAATGGGGTCAAGTGCGTCCAGCTGCCTTCCCGCCGTGCCAAATTGTTCTCCAGAGTGGCGATAGAACCAAGCCGTATCTCACCAGATCTCGTCCTACACGGATCGCAGTTACCTTGCGCCACAGGCAAGTAGCGAAGGGGAGATCCGAGCTTGTCACGGTGAGTGGGTCAGCGGATGATTAGTTGACTGATCCCGAAACGGTTGCAGTTCACAGCCCATCTTCTTCCTTGCGAATGTTCCCGAAAGTCTTCAAGTCAGCGCCGGCGTTTAGCATGTCAGCTTTGCTGATGCTCTTTCCCAACGAAGAGTTGTTGAAGGGGCCATCATGCAGAGTAAACAGCACAAGGGCGCGGGGAAGGTGTGGCCAAGTGGCAGGCTCGATTCGAACAGGGCAGGCTTGGAATTAGACCGCGTTTCGGAGGCAGAGTCTGATTAGGAATGAATTGAGCAAGTCGAGAGCCGAACGGGCTGACTCGGAAAACTGTCTCAAAGTCGAATACGGCGACGATCATGAGATCTGGAGAGTTGAGATGTGATGGGGAAAGAGCAAAGCTAATGACAATGAAAGGTGAGTGGATGGAAAGCATGAGGAGGCGAGTAGGCTAGCAGGAATGGCGCGGACGGTCATGAAAGTTGAGAAGGGGCCAGGGCTCGGTGTAATAGCCTGGGTCCAGGTCTTGGTTCTCGTCCGTTCTCGGGTGGTACGGTGGTCGGCTCTCGAGGGAACGGGCCCCTTTCTGGTACGTTGTGACAAGTGTTGCGCATGAAGGGGCAATCAATGGTCAAGCGATGAGGCAATGCACTCGGCACGCTCTGCGTCGAAAGACGGAGGGTTCGAGGCGGGGGCGTGGCGACGGAGGGGAGGGTGTGACACATCTCGACGAGCCAAAGGCGCTAAAGCCCCGCCGCGCCCGCCGCCCAATAAGCACCACAACAGCTTCCTCCATTAGCCGCGGTTACCAGTAAATGCATCAGCCGTATCAGCCGGTTCCTTCCTTGCATCCCTCGCCGCTGCGCCGACTCTTCCTTCCCTGGCCTGCAGGTGCGATCCTGCGTTCCTGTATGAACTCCGTATCCGTCATGGCCCTGCCCAGCTGCCCAGCTCAGCTGGGAGCTTCCTCCTCTGCCTTGATGTGCTTCAAGCCCACCGGGGCCGCCGCGCCGCCGCGACCTTTTGCCTGCCGCCCACGGCCTGCACATCGGCTGTTAGTCAAACACCACCGTGCTCATCCTACCTTTTCCTGACGTCCCACACATCCCATCCTTCCACAGTTCTCTTCCCCTGTCCTGCTTCCTGCGCGCCTGCGCCCTGGCCCTGGTGTGCTCAGTCGTGTCCATCCCTCCCAGCCCTCCTGGGCTCCTAGCCTCCTCAGCGCCCCAGACAGTCCAGGCGCTACCCTGGCTATCCATTCCACCGGTGTCAGCTGCCTGAGCCGCCTGATTGACCTTGGATGCGCCTGAGGCTTTAGATGCTATCTGAATGCGACCGTAATCGTCCATCCGCGGCGGCGCTATCTTGACCATCGCGGACAGCTATACAACCGACTCTATTCACTCGCTGTCCGTTGGGCTTTGACATCCCTCACCTTCCTCGCCGTCATCGTTTACCTCACCGCCCCTTCTCCCTCTCCATCGCCCGTTACTTTGCTGTCTTCACTTCGACCCCCATCCCAGCTTGTGGTTCTGCAGCAAACCTTCCGTGTAACTATCGCCCGGCCTCCACTCGGTTTCTGCGAACCTCCTTTGTTGGAGGACATCGGTGACATTGCCCCTCCTTGGCAGTTGCCCTTTTCTTCCTCCTCGTCCAATCTTGCATCAACAGACGACACTTTTCCGGTTGCGACCTTCAACCCCGTGCATTGGTGAGTGACCGAAACTAGGTTTGCCCACCCCCCCCCACCCTCCTATAAGTGACTCGCTCCATGGACAGTCCGGGACCGCCTGCAGAGGCTGTGCCGGCGTATCGCACGGTCCACGGGGGGAACGGCAGAGGCCGCTTTGTCAGTCCCAAAGTGTTCTTCCTCATGGCGCGAGGGCCATATGTTCAGAGGGCGGGGCTCGCTGCGCGACTCTCCAGTCTGTCTGCGCCGCTTGGAGGCTGTCCACATTCCGCGTCATGATCTTCCTCCACCCCCCCTCACGTGCTGGAATACACGCGGTTCTGATGGCCTGAGGCGAAGTTCCTCCAGCATCCCACGCCGTGACACGGGCGATGTCGTCTACAGATGTTGCAGATGCCGTCCAACGATCCCGTCACCGTTGGGAGAACGAATGACGCTCTCCGAGATAGAGAGTGTGCTCGGTCCTGAAACCGTTCTGCGAACTCTTGTCACCTCTCAGGTGATGCGCTGCGGGCGTCGGCGTTGTCTGCACGGTCAACCAAGTGAATGTGGACAAGGCAACGCCAACAGTTAGTCACTAGGGCGTTCCACTCTTGGATGACCCTATCGTCATCCAGACTGCTGCTGACTTGGCCGATATTAGCGTTGCCAACGCCCCCACTCGAGGGCCTCAGCCGATAAAGCTGGAAACTCAGAACGGGGCCCAGATAGGGCAGAGCTATGGATCCTGCAGCCGCTGTTAATGCGGCGTCTGTCACTCAGCCGAGCCAAGCACTGTCCTTGCCTTCTTCCAACACTATCATTTCATCCCCGCGCCCTATGGGTCAACTACTCGACGGTGGTGCTGACAGAGATGCAGGTGAAAAGTGACCTTGTTGAATAGCCGAATCCACAGGTCCCACCTCGTTGCTACGGTGTACGGTTTCAGGCTCTACTGAATCTCATCTCTGTATTGTCGGCGTTCTATCAGCCACTTTTCGCAACAACAATATCCAGAGACCAACTACGCTCAAAGTGTTTCAACTCTCGTCTCTCGAAGACCCGGTCAGTTGTTCGGCGTTGAGTCTACTTCCAGAAGGTATCCGACCGTTCCCCTTTCCGATCAATCAGCGTCGCCCACCCCACAGTGACTGCGGAAACTCGAACTTGAAGAACAATTCCGGCCCGCACAACGCGCAGCCGATCTAGAAGGTTCCTGCGGAAGAGCAAGCGTCTTCTCTGTGTCCACTGCACGTTCGACCATAATCAGCGCACACTACGGCGGACAGCTGCGCATCGAGACCGTCAGAAGTGTCACCCGAATCGGTGAAACTTCAGGAACAACAACCAGCAGCACCTTCCTCCTTGTCGGCACACCCGGGACAGCACTAGCAAGTGCGCCGTTTCGGAATACACAGACCTCGGCGTTGACCATTTCAAGAGGCCCTCAGGTGTGTATCGGTTTCTCTCGCAGGTGGGTGGTGCTGGTTTTGTAACTCAGCTTGCGGGCTTCTACAACAGGGCCCGAAGCTATTGCTAATCGTTCGTAATTGGACCATGTGTGCGGGCACTGATACCAGGTGCATCACGTCACCACACAAACATCCCCGCCAGGAACAACTCCAGACGATCCTTGAATACCTCCACCCTCGTGCTCTCCGCTGGGCTCCGGAACCGCTTCGAAAGCGTATCAGGTGCGTGATCTTTTATGGTGTTGCTGTGCATGGACGGTCTATCCCATACTCCCTCTATTCTCAAGAGCGCATCCCATCTCAGTCCCATTGCATGGTGCAACGGATCAGAGTGACGGCATGTGATTGAAATAACCACCGTCACCCAGACGCCCCCTTTAGGTTTGTCCTATTCGGCTCACCGTGGCGCTGGATTTGGACCAGTCGGCACAATTGGCCCATAGGACTGTCACCCCACCCTAACTGCTCTGGACTTCGACGACTTTTCCCTCCTGCCTCTCCTCTGCATTGTTGCAACAACTCCCTCTCCTCCATGTCTCGCTCGGCCCCACCATTATTTCTCACATCGCAACGCACGGCTTAACATGCTTACTCTAGCTGCCGGCAAATCTCATTATCTACCCACTTCTCCCCACCGACCTCTACCCTGCCCTCGTCTACGCCAACCGACCTCCACCCTTACCGACCCTTTACGCTCTCAGACATCCCTGCGCCTACCTGGCCGCCGCGCCCACAGGGCACCGACATTGAGACGCCCTCTCCACATAAATGTGGAAACAGTTTCTGCCGAGCCTGCAGTTCTGATCGACCAGCGATAGAGCTGCGTTTATCATACGCGCCGCCCTCGACGCCCTCGCGTCATATCCACCTTTTGCCGTGCCCCGTCCTGTGTATCCCTTCACTGGATCTCAGGTTTCGTCGTTGAAGTAGTCTACTTCCTTCCAGTCGCGCTGAGCCTAACAATTACGTCTGATAGCAGTCTGGTGCGCGCCAAGGTCGTCGTAAACGGCACCGCGGTATATCCTCTCACCGCTGCAAGGCTTTCGCTCATCTCCCCCTGCCGTGACTAAGATGGGCGGTCGACCTGGCGACTCTGCACGTTTGCCGGCACCAGATCGACCTTCTCACCAATCACCAGTCTCAACACCATATCACCACTTTTCACCACACCATCCATCGCAAGATCTGCACCCTTCGAAGGACGGCGCGTCGACCGAACACGGTTCCCAATCCCTCCCGTCAAGTTCGAGGTCTGGGCGGTCGGATCACCCTTCGCATGCGCCACACTATCACCCAACATCGGCTGAAGATCGCCGGCCGAGGGACGTTCCGACACGGTATGAGCGTGGACGCAGCGACAGAAGAAGTGCATCGCCTATCTATCCTGCCAGCTCTGCTGTGAGACCACGCTCGTCGTCACCCCCATTCCGCGATCGGAGCGTACGGACAGCAGAAGGCGACGCGCAAAGGTTTCCCGGCGGATCGGTAGATTCGGAGGGTTTTGAAGGCTCCGGGAGATCAGACGACCCTCAATCGTACCACGCAGACGGAGACCGCAGGCAACAAGGAAGCCGAGGGGAAGCCGAATCCTACCAGCCGCCAGAGGATGGAGCGGCTACAATCTCATCAATCTCTGAGCCGGCGAGCAGGCCAAGATCCCCACACAAGCGCCGGACTCGCATGCTCATGTCTCGCAATCAATGGCAAGCTCTCAGCCGACTATGGGACAGGGTAAGCCCAGGTTACAGTGACAGTCGATTGCTAACGTTTTCCTAGACAATCTTCCCCGCCACGGCAGAGCGCGAGGCACTTGCTCGAGAAATTGGCCTGACTCCTCGACAAGTGCAAGTGTGGTTTCAGGTATGAGGATTTGCCCCGACCTCGCTGACAGCTGCAGAATCAGAGACAGAAGCGTCGCCGGGAGCGGGAGACCGATGCAGCCAATGCTGCTCTCGTCGCGTCTTCCCCCTACTTCGCTGCGGCGAGGACGGCGGAGCTTCCTCACGGCTGGAACGGAGGACCTCCTCCACGTCACTGGCCAGAAGCCGAAGACTATCGCTCCTACGGTTCTTCAAGTTCTCGACAGCCCGGCATGTCTGCCCCACATTTGCACAACGGCTTCGATCATCGTCCGCAGGACGGGAGCCGAGTAAGCCATGGCTATGGACCTGCACGCCACGATGAACATCCTCGTCAAGGGTGGCCTGAGCTGAATTCTCAACGATGGCGAGGCAGTCATCTGATATCCCGAGATAGAGACCCAGAGCGCGAATTTGACGAGAGGTCCCTGGACAGGGAACGGCCTTATGAGCGAGGACGTCAGTTTGTCCGGGAGCTCACCAGTGAGCGCGATGACAGCCTACAAACCCGCCCGCGCGGTTACTATTACGCTGGGCCACCACCTTCGGTGATGCAGGAGGACCGTTGGCAGCCCGCGCCCCGGCCAACGCTTTCGCCGCATCATTCGTACCCGCCGCCCCCTCTGCCCCCTCAGCCTCACTATTCTGGTCGCGACTCTCGATCTCCTCATCCTCCGTGGCAACCCGGCGAGCCTAGCCTGATAGCTGCAACGGAGAGAACCGCTTCCCCCGGAGGACCTGCGACACCGGGTAGCGGACGGCATCCTTACTATTATCCGCCAGACTCTCGTCGCTCTCCGATGGACGATCAACAGCGGCCTATACACTCAGCCTCCAGTCCCGGCTCCGGGCGACAGCGGGGCCATTCGTATCTGCCTCCCTCGCTGAGTGCACTGGCCATAGATGGGCCATTGGAACGCGACATTCGAGAGAGTCGCATACCTTCCTCATACATGGGCGACGGTGGTCGTGAAACAGTTGGGCCGGCTCATCCTGGCCTCCAAGGTCGGAACGCTTCTCCTTACGCGCACCCTCCTTCATCTCGTCCGCATCATCCGTCTTCTCCCGGGCCGGGAAGCTCGCGTCCGCCGCACTCTCGTAAGCCTCATCAGTCCGACTCAAAGCGTCCGGGTGAAACGACCTCTCCGCCAAGATTACCCAGTCTTAGCTCTCTGCTGCACTAGCTGCGAAGCCTTGGCGTTCGGCGTAACCTGTCCCTCCGTCCACATTGGACGAGATTCTAGCCGGCTGAACTGGGCACCGATCCTCCTTCCACCTCCCCTGCATTGGCATATTTTCCACGTCACCACTGGTGGCTTCTTCTCGGACACATCAAACGTTTTGGGCTTCTGTTGTTTCGTCTCTCCAACACACCTCTGAAGTCGCCCTTGAACCCAGGCTCCGGAATCCTGAGCTGTGCCTTTGGGTGGCGCAAACGGTGTCGTCGAGGCTTGTTAACCCTGCATACGAAGTACGTTCAGACAGACGTGATGCATTGCACAGATTTTACGGCCCTGTGGGCATGACTCACCGCAGGTCGACCCATGTTTGCAAATCGAGTGCCAACGCTACTGACAGAACTCCGTGGTCTTGCACCTGGGCTCTCGGACCTGGCGACTGATGGGAATGGTCCAAGTGGCAGACAGAGCCGGCGGTCCGCCGGTCTCGGATGTTTATCCCAGGCACACGCCAGGGCCGCCGAAGGCGTGGATAGTGGGCTCGACAGCTGGGGATGCGAGTTGCGTCGGTCGTCTGTCCACCTGGGGCCCAGGATTTGAGCAAGCATGATGGAATAGTGGGGCGGCCGAAAGGGCGGACGAAGGGTGTATAACCGGCGTGCCAGAGGCCTTGAGAAGAAGCAAGGGATGACGATACCCCTCAAAGCGCGTTCTTCTGGAGCGAACGGCGGATCAGAGGCTCGCAAAGGTCTGCACGGCTCGGTTGACACTGCCTGTCAAGTGGTGGGCATGCGTGCGTGACGGGCGGGATGAGAGCGGGTGAGGGACGCGAACGGCCGGCCGAAGGAGACAAGGGTTAGTATCTGCGAACGCGATGGCGTTCTGGGCACTGACCTGCAGGGCTGACGTAGGGACCGCCCGGGCCTGATCTGGCTTTACTCTGCGGAATGCTGGAATCTTATGTTGGCTCCCCCCTGCATATCCCTAGCTTTACTTGGGCCTGACGGGCTGGACGACGAGATGCGGCGCAGTTTGCATCTACCCTTGCGCCGAACCGGAGGAGACATGCTCGGCATGGGCATGGACACAACTCCACCCATCGGCCATCCGACGACCGACCGCATGACCCACGGCCTCCTCGATCATGCATGCATTGCCTGCAAGCGCAGGGCAGGTGAGACATCTACGGCATGAGGCGGCGTTTGCGTCAGCCCCCAAGGCTTACACATGTCACGAAGTCCAAGGCAGAACGTTAATTAATCTATTAAACCGTCAATGAAACTGCAGGTACGCTGACGGAATGCGCATTCCGCGCACGCCGCATAGCGCACCAACGGCGTCGGCGCACCGTCTCTTACGACGTGCAACACCTCATGACCCCCCAGGACCGGCAAGATTACCGTCGCCGTTTTGTAAGCGCAGCAGCGCTGCTAGACAAGTTTGCTCATATACCGGATCGGAGGTCACGCATCACGCACCGGCTTATTCGAATTCATCAAGCTGAAGCATGTCCAGGTATACGGACCGGACCACGAAGAGCCACTTGCTGAAATTGTCGAGTCGGAGATGAGCTTGCATGCACGTGCCAAACTGACTGACTGTGGTTGACCGCTGACTGGCTCCCGGCTGCTGGCTATACTGATATCGAACAGAGGTGCGAGCGATATGCTGCGCAGTAATCTCGGATCCTCGTCACGGGCGCCGCACAGATATCAAGGGTGCAAGTAAGGGAGTGGGCTGAGGGAGGGCAGGATTTGAGGGCCGGTATACCGGTGTGCGTCGATTCGGCGTCGCACTCCTTCCAGACGTCCAGACTTGGCAGCGGCGACGGCAATGGCGACTCGACTCGAAATCCATCTACCGGATGAAGTTTGTCCTCCTCTTGGGCATGTGTCTGTCCCATAGCCCTCAGCGGCGCCGCTGCAGGACCCAGAGGCTGGACCCAGTGGTACCGAACAGGCTTGGGATGCCCAGCCAGGTCAAAGTCAGGTTCGCCGAGGTGCGGCGCTGGACGTGGAGGTGCGGAACCTGCCCATTTCTCTCGGCTCTCGCCGCCACGGGGCCGGCCTAGTGCGAGCGATAACTCGGCGACGATGACTTTGGGACACATCAGGAGATCGACGGAACGGTGCTGATTCGTCAACGAGGGATTTGGATCAATTGCGGCCGAGTCCGCGGCGAGGGTGGGCGGAGAAACTGCCCGGGTGGCCGTGTCGCCGCGCACCGGATCGCTGAATACGCGCATACACGCACGGGCGGAGCCTTAGGGGCTCGGCGTAACCACGAGATCAGTGGCGACGAGGAACCCCAAGGAACACAATACGACAATACGACGAGCACGCTCGTAGTCCTGGAAACTTCAACAAATGTCCTAAAGTTGGATCCCTCGTCCCTGCAGTGTCGAGGTCGGTGTCATGCACATGGAACGCCCAAGGGTGCTCGCTGACATCAGATGCCAGGTACATCGGCGCCGCATGCGTCTGTGGCGCCCGTCGGCGGCGCAGCAGCCCTGGACGTGTGTCACCGAGGGCGTCGCACCATGTGCGACCGTCGCCACTGGACGCAGCGCACGTCCCGAGCGTCGAGAGATGCCGCATGCATAGTCCCGCAGTACTTTCTCCGCACGGCGACAACTCCGCCGTCCCAACCAGGCCAACACATCGTCAGCTCGCGTTTCTCGACCCAGATGCTTCCGAGTACACACACCTCGAATATCACCCCTAGCGATTGCGTACATGTGCTGCAGCTTACTGCAGGTACGAGGTACGGAGGTACGGTAGGAACGCCGGCCCCCGGTCCGGTGTCCGATGAGTGGAGCTGGGTGTTTCTCTGCACCTTTGCACAATCGTCGTCGAAAGTCCAACTCGTGCATTAGCAGAGAACATCTCCCGAAATAGCACTTCGGTCATCAGAAGGCATTAGCCCCGCTTCGGGCCGTAGCCTTTCCCGAACGCTCCACCGAAAAGCAAATGCCGAAGCATAAGACCGACGCAGCGGCCGGAGACGGCTCTCGGTCACGGACGTCTTGGAGTGCCTGCTGTGCCTGTGTACTATTGCAGGCATAGGCAGGCCGAGCCTGCGTACGCATTGTTGGCATCTTCGTTGCTTTCTCTAGACATGATTACTGATCACGAACCACTGATCACAGACAGAAAAGGACACTTTCCGCAGCTCGCAGCAGCCAGAACTTTGGGGCAGGTCGATCCCGCCGATCCTGCGACCCGCGCTCCACCAGCGGGCCGCGGGAGATGTGCGCGATGTGCGTCAGACCTGCGATCGGAGCGATCGGCGCGAAGTTCATATTGCTTAGTCTTTCGTGACGTATGGTTTCAAGTCGGATGCCGGAAGCGAGCAAGGCGACCAGGAGGATATAGCAGGTCGCGCCGTCGTAAATCTGACTGTCGCTTATCGTCTATTTGCATCTTCCCTTGCTCGTTCGTGCGCAGCTTCAATAGCTCAGGAAGTGAGGCGGCATGCCGGAATCCGCGCGCAGTTGCTTCCCGCTTTTCCGCATCAGAACATCATCCTCGACTCGGTGCAAGAAGAGTGGTGACCACTGATGGAAGGAGGAGGGGGCAGTGCGGGCAACGCCGGAACCAATCAGCGCTCGTCAACCTGTGAGCTGCGCGTGATCAATACTCGCAGGGGACTTGGGGATCTGACATCGAGAATTAACGAAGACAGAATTGTTCTCAGAGTATTCAGCACAGGCCGCAGTGTTGAAAGCGCGGAAGAGCGTTACGTTAATTCAGGCTCTCTCGAACTCTGGCCAGATCCAGGATAGTGGTGTGATTGTTCCCTCTTGCAAATCCGTGCCGTCGCAGTCCTTTGACCCCCAAGACAATGCTCCAAATCAACGCGGGCATCGGTCGCCCACCTCCGTGTCGCCAGTAAGGTCGACCTCTCGGCTAGACAACTGTCTCCTCGCCTGTGACCCAGCCTACGCAGACAGCGATCCTGACAAGCCTGACCGACAGCCATGCAGCTCACCGGACGTTGTTCGCCTCCGGGCTTTTTGTTCCACTTGTTCCAGACGTTCCAGGACGGCGCGGCGTTCCTGCAATTCGGCGCTCGGCGCGACTGTGGCAGTGGGCAGAGAAATGGTGCGATTGACACATGGCACGGTGCGATGCTCGCCGTGCGACAATGGCCCACCCATGATCTTGGCGTTTGTGTCAGTCACCAGCTTCTTGGCAGGCGCAGTCACATCAGATAGAGTGCAGATGGGTTGGTGTTCTACCGCGGTGCAAGGGCCGATTTTGCCGTATCTATCATGTTGTGGCTTGCATGATTTCAAGTTCTACCGAGTGGTGAGTCGCCTGGTGCGGCATTGTTCCGCAGAACAACCGCGGCTGCGAGCGACTCAGCGGCCTCCAGCGCCAGATGAGCTTGACGCTCCACTTCCTTCAATCCTCCACACCTTGATGACCCCGCTCCGGTCAGCGCTGACGATGCAGCTCGAGAATGGCGTTTCCACCATGCCCAAGCAGCAGATCGAGTCGTAATGCGGGCGCAGCGGTTGCCGCTGACCCATCCCCGCACCCGCACCACCTCCTTGCGGAGACGTGCCAGCGACGCCTTGCCCGCCAGTGCCCCCAGCCACAGCGCCGCCGCGACCCCCGCCAGCCGCACCACCCCTCTCGGCTCCACCATCATTATTGTTGGGCGCACGGCCCGCAGATCCACCTCCGCCATGGGCGCCACCAGGGTGGTGTGGCGCGCGGGCGTTAGGGAGCGTGTAGTAAAGCTGAGGGGTGGCCTGCGTCGCTTTGAAACTGACATCTTTCTCCCGAGGAGAGCCACAGATGACGAACCCGCCCCCATTGCCAGCGAGGTCCCAGTAGCGGATGACACGATCGTCTCCGGCCGTCACCATCCATGAGTTGGCACCTGGGTCTTGAGCAGGTGATGCCAGGGAGGCGAAGCCTTGGCCAACGAGAAGCGATTGGACGCTCGGCTCGTCCACCGAGTCTGCTGAGATATGTGCAAGGCCGCCCATACCACCAGCCAACTCCGCGATGAGCTCAGACTTGGTCTGAAGGACGTCTCGAGATGGGGGAATGGCCGGACGCTGGGGTGGTCGTGTTGAGCGGACCTCAAATACCTCAACGAGCTTTGACGTCTCAATGTCGTACGTCTCGACAAGGGGCGCCTCTGACGAAGAACGTGATCCCGAATCGCCTGGGTCGTCTCGGTCTACGGACACCATGATCCAGCGCCCACGGCCGCGAGACGGGTGGATCGCACAGGACGTGATGCCACCTCGCGCTGCCCAGGACTTCAGCAGCAGCCCGAAGCGCAGATCCCATAGGCTGAGAGCACCAGTGACCGTTCCAATGACCACCCAGTGAGTCGATGGGCACACCGCAGAAATAGGGCCGAGCTCGAGGGGATGCTGGAACCGCGTTTTGAGCTCCATCGACCTCATATCGAGCACCCCAATCGTTCCAGTGCTTGTCACGATGAGCAATGACGATTCTGTGATCAGCTCATGCAATCCAAATCTTACTCACCTTGCAGGTGAGATATCTTGATGACATAGCCATCTTCGGGGGCTGTTCTCCAGGTCCTGATGCAATCGATGCTCTTATACTTCGTTGTCGAGGCCCCGGGTGAGGCGTGGACGCGCAACACATGGACGGCGCCATCTTCGCTTGCAGCAGCAAGGCAGTGTGTCTCCTCAATCCGGCACATCGTTGACACCGGCGCCTCCATTCGATATGTCAAACGCGGACGAGCTGCTACACTGCGCTCGAGGCGGGGGATGTCCCAGATCAGGATCGATGAGTCCTCAGAAGCGGTTGCGAAGAACATTTGATCGGGAGCAGTCACGATTGCAGTCACTGCACCGGTATGCTGGGGTAGGTGTGCAATCATTGTTGCCTGTTGAGGAGAAGCGGACCTTGGTCGCGGTCCTCGCTTCCGATGGCTCGCTACCACGCGCGGTCCGAAGTCCAGGAGTGGTTCACGATAATTCTCCAAATCTACTTGCTCGAGGAATGCTCTCACGCCTGGATCAGCTCCCTCGTATGTGCTGCTGTACGGCGCCAGCGGTCCAACATGGCCGCCAGCCAGATTGCCGGGAACGGGCGTGCTTTGCCCAGAGCGTGAGTCCTCGTGTACGCTCGTTGTCCCCGTCGCAGTGGCGTGGCTTGTGACAGCAGGTAGAGCTTTCGAGTTGTGGCGAACGTGGCCCTTGGTAACTCCAGGGCTACCGTCGACAGCAGATGAGATGACGGAGTCGGATGCGGCCGCCTCGGACCGAGGCACCGGGGCCTTTGTGGGAGAAGTAGAGAGTTCATGTTGACCGATGAGACGTTTGCGAATTTCTTCTGCAGGGTTGTCCCCTCGGTTACTGCGACTGGCAAACGACGAGCGCCGACTGGAGGATTCTCCGATCAGATCTGGCCGGAGGCGTCTGAGCTCCAACTTCGCATCGACTACTCCCACGGTCCGTGGAGAAATGAAGACGGTCTGCGGCGTGACGCCTAGATTCGTCAAGGAGATGGATTTGCCTGAGGTGAGCGCCGCCTCCGGTGGTGTCGGCGCCTCTACTGATTCGCGTCTGCACGTTAGCACGAACGTAATGCGTGACTTACGCTCGAGAGGACTCTGCTTGCTTGTAGATGAAGTCCTTCATTGCGACAACCTTCTTCTCATCCTTAGCTGTGATGCCCTTGTCCTTCAGGAGATGTGAGTCGCTCTTGCTGGAAGAGCTCGAACGGCTGCTCAATGACGACTTGTTCGCATACCGTGGATCGCACGAATCCCAGAAGCCTGGCGGTGACCTCTGCAGAGCGGCGGATTTGGCCAGCTGCAGCGACGCACGAGACAACTGAGGGTCAGTATTTCAATGAAGCGCGATACTCACAGGCGGTGAGAGGGCATTGAGAATGGAGTCCTCGTCCAACGTTACGATGTCCGACCGAAGGGACGACCGCAAAGATGGGTACAAAATGCACCAGACATCCGACGTGGGCAAGTTGCGAGCGGCTGCCGCGATGAAGCCTGCTGTGCTCTGGCGAATCCACGTATTCGGGTGGTACAGGAAGCCCAGAACTCGGTGATAAACGTCCCAGAGATACATTCGCTTCAAAAGTCCCAGGGAAGCGAGACTGGACAGAGATGCGATCACTCGGGCGACAACTGCTTCCTCGGAATCTGTGGTTAGCCTCTTCATGCAATGCAAACTCACCGGCGAGAGCCTGCAGCATGAGCGGCAGGACGTACTCGTGGATAGCTCGGATGCCGATGAATGCCCCTACTGTGACAATGCCGTCGAAGAAAGCCAACCGCAATTGCCAGTCGCGGTCGTTGAGATACGTCATGATGTGGCTTAGGACCGCATCGCTTGATTTCTGGCGGCCGAAGAAGAGACAGAGATCCGAGATGGAGGCCAGCATGCTCCGTTTGACGTTACTGTTCGAGTCCACAAGCAACATCGTGGCCTGCTCCTCGATAACGTTTTGGATTTCTGCAAGCATGCTGTCGTAGTCCGAGTCTGGAAGTTTTGGCAGATCCTTCCTCGACTCTGGTTGTGAGGCATGACTGATCTCCAGCATACGAACAGCAGCGTCCGCCAGACGGACGAGCGCTCGAGCGTACGTTGCCCTTACAAACACGTCTGGATCGTTCGCAAGCCTGTGAGTCTGCGGTAGCAGGTATTCTGGGAGGAAGGTGGCGTTGTGAACGGTGATAGAGTCGACCGATTCCACCTACAACGTCAGCAACAACCAGTTATAAATGAGCTCACGATTGTGACCAGAGTTCGACACGCCTCTGCACGGACGATGGGGACGTCGTCGGACAGCAATTCCACCACGAAGGGTACAACACGATCCACCTTGTGCTCATCCACAAGGAAGGGGCAGAGCTTCAGGAAGAGTTGCAAGCCGTGAAGCCTCGAACTGGGTGAGAGGCAGTTTCTGATGCTGGAGGTCACGACATTAAGGAGCAGCAGAGCCGGCCCATCTGATGTCAGTTGGTCAATGAAATGGACTCGACTCACGTTCGTTCGTGCCCTGTCCTTCCAGATGAACACTCAAAGAGTCCCATTGTTCCAGCATTTGGTCGACTTTGGTCCCAGGAACTCCGCACACTCGTCGAAGGAAGTCGGGCTCGGGACTGTCCGGCAACTCAGATAGATCGGTGATGTAATCCTTGAGGAAGGTGTAGAAGTATTCGGGGAATACGGTGCCCCGGAAGGTGTTGAGAATGCGATCAAATGTCGGTCGGTCGCTTGGGTTTCTCGACAGCATCTGAGCAATCATTTCCTGTCTCGTCAGCGCTGATGAGAGCGTGTGAACTCACTTTAACATTCTTGTCCTCCAGATTATCCAGAATGCCGTCCAAGCCCAGCTGTCCGTCCTTGTACGCGAATAGCTCACTCAGGTTGAATACCGTGCGGCCATCGGTCCACGTCTCTGCCAGTACGCACCCAGCAGAGAAGACATCCATCTCTTCAGTAACCTTCCCCGTCCTCTTCTCCCACGGTGCGCTACCATCGCTCGCGGCTTCACCCACAGCCTCGGCCTTCTCCTGCGCGATCTTCGAATCCGCGCCATAGAAGCGCTCCGGTGCGATGTAACATGTTCGTCGCGCAGACGTGTCGAAGAAGAATGAAAAGTCGGCCGGGTCATCTATCGGTAGATACGTTGGCTTGAAGGAAGACGAGAAGTCGGTCACGAGGACAGTGAGATCGGTTGTGATCAGGACATTGTCGGACTTGATGTCGCCATGTGAGACCTTGTTCATCCGCGCATCCCGTAGAGATGTAAGGAGCTGAAACGCAATCCACTTCTTCTCAATGTCTGTGAGATATGGCTGGGTGCTGATGTGAGATTACGCCCTTTGATGTGGACTTACCTGAGACGATCATAGAGACTCGATCCGACCCACTGTCTGATGAGATAGCCGGCCTTCTCAGTCTCGATGAACGTAGAGTAGGGATGCACGTTGCTCACACTCGCAAGCGCGTCCCGCTCACCTGCCCATGTTAGCCTTGCCCACGAAGCTGACTCACTCTTCAGTCGCCGCTGAATTACTCTGAGACTCATCGAGCTGTCGGGCTTGATGAAGATCTTTAGCACGAGGGGGCCATACTTGTGCCGTGCAACAATGCTCTTCATGAATCTCGAGGACGACAAGCTGTGAATTAGCTTCTGCGCTGACCAAAGATCTCACCTCTTCTCGTAGGATATGTCTGTGCCGAGTTCGGAGACATACGAGTCTAGAGCCGTGGAGCTTCTGTCAGCGTTGTGCAGCCTTCCCACTCACGCTCTCGCCATAGAACTGATGTTTCCCATCGTGTATCACAAACGTCCATGCTACTGGGAGTAGCCAGAACAGATTGATGAATACCGATGGTGGCAAAGTGGATGAGTTTGAATCGAAAGATACGATCGGGAGTCCAAGCATCATGGTGTGACGCTTGCCGGTGCGGGGACCCCACAAACACCAGTCAGAGTTCGCAACATCCCTCACATGGTGATTCGGGTCATCTGGGAAATACAGTGTGATGCATATGCCACAGAAGCACTACTTATCGACCTAGAACGGCGGAACATTGCCCCAAGCATGCTCTTTCAGCCACTCCGAGCCTTTCTCATCGTATTCCGCTCGGGTGACCAGGGCGGAGCGACCCTCGGGTGATCGAGCCCACTCCGCCATTCCGCGCCATGCCTCCAATCGGGGATCATCTCCACCGACCGCACCGTAGATCTTCAACGGCTTCCGGTACGGAAGCATGGGTGTCAACGTGTTGCGGGTACGCTGCAGCAACCCAGGAAGCTTCGTCGAGCCGCCGGAAAGGACGATACACTGAGGCGTCAGTATCACCGCGGAGATAGAGCTCGAAAACCTACCTGCATGAGGCGCTCGCGAATATCGGGCTCGAATCCATTCAGGATCCACCCCGACATCTCACCAATACCAGCGGAGTCCATGCCGAACATGGACGGCTGGAACCAGGTCTCCGGAACACGGATTCGCTCCACATTCAAGTGGACCTGGTAGCTCTGCTCCACGCTCTCCTCGTCATAACGACCGCCTGTACCGCCTCGGACAAAGTTATTGAGGAGAGCGTTCTTGCGACGCACACGGCCCTCCATGGTGTCGTCCTCAGTAAAGCTTGGGTCAAATTCGAGAAGACGAGCTTCTATGCTCTCCAGAGCAGCTGCGTCATCCTCCTCGGCATCGGAGTCTTCGTCGTCGGCCTAAGGTCAGCCCCTGCGAGTCTCTGTCACTCACGATCTCGCGGTAGGCATTCCAGTCGCTGTCGTCTCGCCCAAACCCATCATCCTTTTCTGGTTGTCAGTTTGATTCGCTCACACACACATACCTTCGTCCCCCTTTTTCCGCTTACGCCCGCCGTTGCTGTCGGCTGCCAATGCAGCGATCGACTTCATGCGATTCTGGGCAGCCGCCGACTTGCGGTCGCCGAGCTGCGCCTGTCGCTTCTTCCGCTCCTTCATACGCTCGATCACCTCGTCCTGCTCTTTCCGCAGTTTGGCTGACCACCGCTCGAGATTATTGGTCCTCTCCTCGATCTCCAATCGCTCCAGCTCAGCCTGGACATGTTAGCGACCACTTACAGAATCACAACTCACCAGGCGCTCCTTCTCCTTCTGCTTTTCGTTGCGGGCTTTGACACGAGCCTCCCAGCCAGCCTTCATGAGACGCTGCTTGCGTTTCTCCTTCAGTTCCTCTTCGTTCAGCTCCTCGTCTGGCCGGTCCACAAGCGGGAATGTCGGCTCTTCTTCGGGCTCCGGGTCTTCCCCGAGATCCTTTCGCTGCTTCCGCTTGATTTCGGCTTCAGTCTTCTTGATGTATGCCTCAACTTCAGCTTCCGTCTCAAAAGGCGTCGAGTCGTAGATGCGCTGGGCAAACTCGGCCTTCTTCATTGAGCCACGCTCGGCCAGAAGCGCCTTGAACTCCTCCACCTCAGCAATCTTGGCAGCCAGCTTCTCAGCACGCTGCTTCGCTTGCATCTCTTGAAGTCTCCGACCCTGCTCCTTCCTGCGGGCCAGGGCAGCCGCAATTTCTGCCTCCGACTTCTCGACAACCTCGGGCTGAGTAAAGGGGAACTGAACGATCTTGGTCATCTCGGCCATCTCGACCGGATCCTCGAGTGATCGGAGCTCCGACTCATAGTCCGATGAGAAGTAGCATGTTTCGTGGTACATGTACTGCGGTCAGTTGTGCGGTAGATGGATGCAGCTCACAGTCGCCTGGCCGCCGGTAATCTTCAAGGGGAAGGACGGATACTTGAGTTGGACCAGTTTCAGCATGAGCTCCGAAGCCTGTGCTCCTCCGAATGGTATCCTAACTGTTAGCTATGACGGCCAAGGCTAAACTCACCGCTTAGCACGTGAGATGATTCCTCTCCCATCCACAACGGGGATGACGGTGCTCGCGTTGTGGCCCATGTGAATCGAGAGACCATCCTTCTGATGATGGCGCGAAAACGCAAACAGAGAATCGATGCCGTAGGACACTTCCGGCGCTCCATAAAGCTCGAAGAGAAGCTCAGACGTCACTGAATGTCAGCTCATATTTGAGAGCTTGACTCACTGGCTCTCGTGAACAGCGGGTTCGTCAGGCGTTCCGTCATAACGATCGGCTGCTCTATCCGATCCGAGTCGATGCCAAGGGTAAGGAACGTGTAGTCGAGGGCACATTCCTACAGCGTCAGCACACCCTTGGACACATTGGCTCACCAAAAGATCACCATGGATCAGAAGGTCACCGTCGAACATGTTTCTCGTGTTCGAACGCGAGTTGGCGTCCGCGTCGACGTAGTTGCCGAAGAGGAGCATGTTCTTGCCGATCTTCCGTTCGCGATACCTAGCGATAACATTAGGATTGTCGATGTAGGGCTTCGACATCGTAGAGAAGCCGGCGCGCCATGAGTGAGACCCTGTTCCGTCAGCGCTTCTAGCATTGGGGCCACTAACCATTGTCGATACAAATAACCGGGTCCTGGCCATCGAGGGAGTGGTAGTCGAACGGTGGCTGAGGTTCGGGGTTGAAGGTTCCCTCGGGAAAGTGGATGACCTTGCTGCCAGAGGTGGCAAGGTCCTGGTCGCTGCTCATGGTTGGGGATGTGGTGGAACGAAAGAGGATTGGATTGAACCGTCGTTGATGACTTTGGTTTGTAGGACCCGATGCCGTGCCTGAATCGACAATCATCCACGAACCTCCACTCTCGCATCCACCCTCTTGCCTATCGCTCTTGCGTGCAGTGATCGTGGAAACCCTCCTCTATGCTTAGCCGCTTGGGTCCGCGAGCGCGACACTGTGTTATCGGACCCTTGGCTCTTCCTCGAGGAACTCCGGTCTCCTTTGGTCGACTGCTGCGGCCCAAGTATGCGTCATCGAGATCGGGTGGTCGTCGCAAGAAGGAGGTACTGGCGTTTGAGGACTTGCCCGTGTCTGCAACGACACTACAGGAAGACCTGACGGTCGGCCCTGTAGAGCCTTATCTCGAATCATCAAAACCGAAACGCAAGCGAAAGTCCAAATCGGGTGAGTCAGTGAGGACATTCGTGCAGCTGATCGCGTAGAGACACCTCAGCCTGGCGACGATGTTGTGCGCGCGGAGTATGTCGACATCTCGCCTGAAGAGCAAGCCGAGTACGAGGCCGCACTGAAAGCTGGAGAGATTCCCGAAACGCCGCTTTCCAAGCTTGTCTGGCTGAACTGGAAACGCTTCCCGGACTGCATTTTGCTGACGCAGGTCGGCAACTTCTATGAGGTAGGTGCGTCTCTGCGTGGGAGGCTCACAATCCCAGTCCTACTTTCAACCGGCGATCGAGGTGTCTTCCCTCCTCGGCATCAAACTGACCAGCAAAACTTACAAGACTGGTCAGTTCCCCTTCACTGGCTTCCCCATCCATCAGATCGACAAGTACTTGAAGCTCCTCGTGCAAGACCTTGGCTACACTGTCGCCCTCGTCGAGGAGGCGAAGGATCCCCTGCAGCTCCGGGACCCGCGGGACGAGGTGAAGAGGAAGGTCACCAGAGTCGTGACTCCTGGAACTCTTGTCAGCGAGTCATGGGTTTCGGGCCAGGAAAGCAGATACCTGCTAGCCCTGGCAGTCGGAGCGCACGCCAAGGGTGATGCTGGGCTGCCAGTATACATGGCGTACGCAGACGTGTCGACGGGTGAGTTTTTCACCAAGGACACGAATGTAAACGACATCGAGGACGAATTGACCCGCATCTCACCGAAGGAGATAGTACTCGATTCAACATACCGAGACGCTTGGCTTCAGGGAACAGAGGCGGTTGATCTCGACGCGGACGTCGGGGAGTTTCTGGGCCTTCTGCGTGTCCTGGGTGTCCATGTGTCGTTTGCAAGTACCGGCGAGGAAGACACGACCTTACAACGGAGAACCGCACCGAAACCATCCAGCGCCCTGACACTGGAGCGCCGAGCCATCACCCTCCTCCGTCGTCATCTGGAGTATGCGCTCCGAGATTCGATGCCGGCGATGCCGACACAGCCGGAAGAGTTCAACCGCGAGTCTGAACAGCATCAAATGCACATCGACGCTCCGACTCTTCAAGCTCTTGAGATCCGTCACGCCTTGCGACCCGGCGGCTTGATGCCCATCAGCACTATCCCCTCGCATCTACGATCCCCACTCAGTGTCAAGGGCACCCTCCTAAGTGTTATCTCGCGCACTGTGACGGACTCTGGCCAGCGCCTACTGCGGCGCACTCTGTCAGCTCCGTCCACTTCGCTGCCGCACATCAACGCACGTCTGGCCCTCGTGGCGTCCCTCGTCGACAACGAGGATCTCCGCCTCCGCCTGCGTGAACAGATGAGGGAGCTGTCCGACGTAATGCGTACGGTTCAAAAGTTCCGCTCGTACCAAGGCGACGGCAGTGACGTGTGGGACGTCGCTCGCTGGATCCGGATCGTGGAGCAGATCTTGGCTCGCATCCAGGAGACGGTGCGCGAGAAGCGGCGGAAACCGGTCCCCACTGGCGAGCAAGCGGAGGGGCGCGAGCGCCTCCGTCAGTTCGTCGAGGCTTTCAAGCCGCTTAGCGAGCTCGCGGACACGATAGAAGGCGCGATCGACGAGACGGCGTTGAACGTGCTGCAGATCGCGGACGAGTCTGATCCCGAACCTAGCCCAAGGGCAACCAAAGGCGAAGAGGAAGACCGAAAACGAGCGGAGCGCGAGCGCGCGCTATGGTGGATCCGGCCTAGGTGAGCTTTCGATGACGAGGTTGATAGCTGACAGCAGCTTCTCGACGGAACTGTCAGATCTGCACAAGCAGATCGAGCGTCTCAAGACGCAGAGAGATAAGCTCGAGGCTCGTTTGAGGGAAGAGATGGCGGCGCCGACACTGAGCTTGGGCCAGAATGTGCGCGGCGCCTTCGTCGTCAACGTCAAGCGCAAGACGGAGATTGGCAAGCTCGACCGGTCTCCCGACTTTTACGTCATGAGCGAGACGCGAGCGTCCAAAACGTTCGCCAACAATGTAAGTGGCCGTGCGAGCTAGAAAATCCCTTCCGTCGAGCTGACAGCAGGAATGGTCGCTGCTGGGCGCGAAACTGGCGCGCGCGCATCAGGAGCTCGAGGTCGCACACTCGCGCGCTCTGAACCGATTGCGCGCGATCGTGATCGAGCATTCAGGGACCGTTCAGCACAACGCAGAGCTCGTGGACGAGCTAGACGTCTCTGCCGGCTTTGCGCAGGCCGCAGTCGAGCTGAACTACGTCCGTCCCGTGCTTGACGCGGGGTAAGCTGTCTCGGTCGCCCAAAAGCTGACTCCAGCACCGAGCTACACGTCGAAGCAGGCCGACACCCCTCGGTCGAGTCTGGCCTTCTCGCCGCCTCGCGCGCATTCACCCCCAACTCGACGCACATGACGCCCTCAGCGTACCTGCACGTCGTGACCGGCCCCAACCAAGGCGGCAAGTCGACGCTGCTGCGGCAGACGGCCGTGCTGGCGATTCTGGCGCAGAGCGGCTCCTTCGTGCCCGCCAACAGCGCGCGGATCGGGATAGTCGACAAGGTCTTCTCGCGCATCGGCGCGCGCGACGATCTCTATAGGGACAGGAGCACGTTCATGCTCGAGATGGTCGAGACGGCGACTATACTCAAGAGCGCAACACCGCGCTCCCTCGTCATCATGGATGAGTGAGTATGCGGAGCGCGGAGCGCAGCAGCGCGGGGCCCGAAGCGCATGGACATGACGCTAGATGCAGGTCAGCTGACTCCAGAATCGGCCGCGGGACAACCCTCAATGCAGGCATCAGTATCGCATACGCGACCCTCGACTACATCCTGCGGCACATCGGGTGTCGCACCCTCTTCGCGACGCATTACCACGAGCTAGCGCACATGCTCGGTGCGCCGCGCTCGCCTACCTCCAAGAGCGACGTGCGCCCCGGCGTCGCCTTCTTCTGCACCGACGTCGACGTCGATGCGGCCAGTGGCGCGTTTGCGTACTCGTACGCGCTCAAGCCCGGGATCAACTATGACTCGCATGCTATTGTGAGCTTCGTCAAGGGAGGTGTAGCTGACGTGCAGAAAGCGGCGCAGCTCGCTGGCATGCCGGCCGACTTCTTGGAGATTGCGAGTGAGACGCTGAAGCGCCTCGACGCTACGAAGCCCGAGTCGTCTTGAGGTCTTGACACCGCTCTGTACACAATGTACATATACATCTAAGTCGGTATTACAACAGTTGTCACTATGCTACATGAGGAAAGCTAGAGGCATTTGGCCCAGTTGACGTGCTCGGTGCTCCACGCCTGAGCTTCGTGGAACGCGTCGAGCTGGCACAGACCAAACTCGGTCAGCGCAGAGGAGCGGCACGCGATATGATCGACGCGCATCGGGCGGTCGCTGCTGTCAGTTCGGGACTCAACGAGCAACTCACTTGACGAGGACGCGGACAAACGTGTTGCGGCGCTGCCAGTTGGCGTCCGTCTCGCCGTCGTGGCGGGAGAGCCCGCAGCGCACGCGTTCAAAGGCCCAGCGCGCCCCAAATGGCACAAGTTCGGAGAGCACAAACTGCTTGTGCTTGGGTATGTGCGTCGTGGGCAGCTTCTGGTCCATCGTCAGGACGCCCATCGCCGTCATGATCTCGACAATTTCGTTATCGTGGGAGAAGTCCTGCGTGTCAGCTGGAAAGGTATCCTCTAACTCACGACAAAAAGCCGGTGTCCGCCCCGTGGAAAGGTTTCCGCGTTGTCGTTCAGCGTGTGGTTTGTAGTGGTGGAGTCTTCAGGCGCTCGGTCGAACAAACGTGCCAGCAGTTCGTTCACGTATCCTGCGCCCATGGTCTTCCCGTACAGCTGATGTCAGTTCCGGTTCCACGCGTGCCACTTACACTGCCTTCCCCGACACTGTACCACCTCTCTGCGTCGGCGATGTGTCCGACTGCCTCCCACTCGGAGCGCTTCAGCATGTTACACCAACTGCTCCAGCCTCTCCAACGAGGGGCTGCAGCGCTGTCGTAGCCGCACATATGCCCGAGGTGGACGACATCGAGCGGTGTGAGAGGAGGATGGGGTTGGAGAATTCCATTCAGACGCCTGGCGGCAGACTTCAGGATGGGCAACAATACTTCCCTCTCATCAGTCCCGAAAGGCGGGTCGGCTGACATGAACCCGCGGCAGTTATGCACCGACAGAGTGTTGTTGCTATGCTGGATCGTCAGCTGCGGGATTCGGATCTCTGCTCACCGGGCCTTCCTCGATGATAACATCAGGACTATGCGTCTTGTTCGAGCCAAACTTGATACCGTTGTATCCCTGAAGCCAGTACTGCCCAGTCTCAAGAACGCGGCCACTATCCGTGCTGCGAGTGAACAGTTTGAAGGGATAGCGCTTCGCAATGTTGTAACCCGACTCCCAAGCACTGTTGTCAGTTCAATTCCAATGTCATCACCCACTCCCAGCGACCTTGGTCGGTCAGTTCGCCCATATCCCACCCCTCGAGGTCAAGATTGGCACCGGGGAGGAAACCCAACTCGCGGTGATCGGGGTATTTGACTTGTCGTGCAGCGATCTTTGCGAGAGTCTTCTTCAGGCGTTTGGCGGCGGACTCTGTGGGATACCTGGCGGTGTGACGGTGCAGCTGTAATGTCAGCGAGATAACGCGGAACTACGCACGATCGACACCTGATCTACCTTGCACGTTGCGGGAGGGCTCTGGTAGCGTTGTTCTCGGAACGGGGCATATGTGCCAGTGTTCCTGGCCAGAACGTCACTGAAGCTCTCGCTGCACAGATGAGGAATACCGCATGGCACCTTGGAGAGAGACCAGGCGGCGACGGTAACCGTGAACAGGATGACGGCAATGAGGGCAGGCAAGTAGTGAATGGGCGGCGCTTTCCTACGGCGGGACCCTCTACTGCTCACGGAGAAGTCAGAGGTACGCCTATGGAGAAGAGGAGACCGAGGTGTGGATGGAGAATAGTCGGGCGGCAAAGATACCTTGGAAGGGCTGCGGCTGAGGTGCGTGTAGGGAAGAGGCGTGTAGGGAAGAGAGAGCGTGTTGTAGTCCGTGCTGCGGTAGGTCGTGGCGAAGGGTGTTTTGGGAGGGTGATGCCCCTGCTCAACATCCATTCCGGGCATGATGGATGACTCGAAAGGCTTCTGAGCTTGGCGAAAGTTTGTTGCTGATGTTGGGGAAGGAAGGCAAGCCAAAAGAGAGCAACATGAATGAGAACAGGTTGACTGAGTCAAGGCTAAACTAGCGCACGTTGGCTCATGACCGCGACACCTTGTGGGGGCTCCGCAGTCAGGGACGCCTATCTGCTATCAAGATAACCTGACGGGATGTGGGTGGCCGAGGCAAGCGGGACGACAAGTGTGCTTCAGACATGCATCAACTTGCACTCGTTTCTACCTAATGCGACTTTCAATCGTAATCTTCGATGACGGAGCCAAGCCCCAGCTTCTCTGCCTGATCGAGGACGGTCTGCGCAATAGCCACATCCTGGACACCGAGACCGACGCTCTTGAACATTGTCACATCGCCAGCCTGCTTGATCGGATCGGCCTTAGACTTGTCCTTGACGACCTTTCCGATCTCAACCATCTGGTCCTCGGTCAGGTTATGCAACTCTCCAGCCTCTGCCTCGCACGCCTCCTTTGAGTCGACCAGAACGATGCCCGCTCGCTTGACGAGGTCATCCTCGACCTCGCGCATGTGCTTCTTGTATGAGCCGATCAGGCACATGTGAGCACCCGGCTTGACGTCCTTCGAAGCGAACAGAGCCTGAGTGGATGAGGTCATCGTGCAGATGATGTCGGCGTCCTTGACCGTTTCGGAGAGCTTGAAGTCATTCTCAGACGTGATTCCGAGGCACACCTCGACCTTCGGGAACGCCTTCACAAGAGCATCAACGAGGTGAGCCGCCCTCTCAGTCGGTCTTCGATTGACAACGGTGCACTTGGTAATGCTCGGATAAAGTCCGAGGAACATGCGAGCGTGGGCCTCAGCTTGCGCTCCAGATCCAAAGAGGACAATGTTGGTGGGCTTGCCGTTGCCAAGGAGCTGGTAGGAGAGCACCGATCCTGAATGTCAGCTCGATTAAGTGGAAGCAGACTCACCAGCGGCGTTTCTCTGAGCCGTAAGGCGTCGAGCATTGACGACTGCGCGAACCCGTCCGCTGACCTCATCCATGATGAGCGTGGTCCCGGGAAGGCCGTCACCGCCGGACGTGGGAACGGACACGATTTTGATAGCTGTTTTACGGTCGACCCTTCCAGGCATGAACAGCATCGTTTGATCCGGCGAAGTCAAGACATGACGAAGTGGGAGCTGCAGGGAAGGAACGCCAGGAGCTGGGACGTCAACGCAAACTCACGCCGCCATCTTACCGTCCGTTGTCTTTGGGCCGGAGTATGCTTCAAAGACGGCCGCCTGCGAGTCTACAGCAGCCTGTAAGTCGAGAGCATCGAGGATTTTGTCGACGTCTTTACGGGTGAGGATCTTGAGTGCCATTGTGGATGGTTGGTAGATGGTGCATCAGCCATGACGTTGCTGTTGTCATGACGGTGGGCACGAGTGAGCGCTTAGCGTAATATCGGCGGCAAGGCCGGCACGCTGGATCTGAGATCTGTCTCCGGTGCCTGAGAGGAATGCACGTGAAGCGGGGAAGACAGCGAACTCCACTGGAGCGCGACCCGACTGAATGCTCGCGCGGCGCGCAGCCGGATCAGCCGGGAGCTTGTTACGCGTTTGCAGTAGCCTAACGATTGACGATTGTACTCGAACCGGCATGTCAGGCGCGCTGGCGCGGGGGGCTGGACGGAGACGGTCACGCTTTCACGCTTGTGGAGCCAAATTCACTCTGGCTGTAACAGGGCATGCGCCATGCGGGCAGGAATGCATAAAGGGCGATGCGGGGTGAATGCTGAGAGATGAGTGCGCCAGCAGCTCAAAGGGGCCAAAAGGCGTAGGGCGTGACGCTTGGACCGCTCAACCGATGCAACCGATTTCCATGGGCGGCTCAGGAACGTGTAACGTCTTCCGAGGACCAGCGCGCGGAATGGGTCCACCCAGGCGCGACTCCCAGGGGTTGTCGGAGAGGCGAGTGTTGTGTCGCCACCGTTGCCGACGAGGCGACAGTCGACGCTCCCGCCGACGAATGTCGACTGCACCAGATATGACAGATTGAGGATGGGAACAGTCACCATGGCTAGTGGCTTGGGTGCGAGTCGAGCGTGGAGGGCGTTAGGCGCACTGGGGGGCATGCATGCATCCATCACTGCCATGCTGCCAACGCGACTCTGGGACAGCCAAGTGATTCAATTGAACGTTAATATCCGCTAGCCAATCGCCTAGCAATTCAGTCCCACCAGCCAAAGCTACCTCTTAAAGGCCGTCGTGGCCGTCTCCACTGCGGCGAGCTCACCAACTGCTGCAGTTCCCTGCCGTGATGCAATTTACCCTCCAGCCAAGGGCTGCGGCGTTGTGCAATGTGGTGAGCATGAGAAGAGGATGGAGGAACGGGGCTGCTTTCATGATATCAGCCAGAGTCGGAGGTCCGGCGATTCACGATTCGGCAGCAGCAGCCAGTCACTTAAAGGTGAGCGGGCTGCCAGCGCCGAGGGAAGCGAGGGAAAATGACGAGATAGTTCTCCTTGGGAGCTTGCACACCCTGACAACTGTGTGGTTGAAGTGAGCATGGAGCGACGGTAACCGACAACCTCCGCAAAGAACTCTGATACGTATTCGGCATCGAAGACGTCTGAGTGTCGAGGAGTGAGAACACCAAACGTCGTTCTCGAAGGCGGCATTGCGCACAGGTTCCTGTGTACGACATGTTGTCAACAAAGTTCGTACGTTGCAGGTGCCTGCATGTACGCACGAGATCCAATAGATGGATGGACATGACGGAAAGAGGAATCGAAAAAGGGTTGGTTCCAGGCCACACACACTGGAAGTCCCTGAGGCAGGAGAGCCAGCCCTGCGATTTGACTCTGCACCGTAGGCGAATACAACCCGATTACAAACGTTGCGCGACGACCAATTGCAATGAATGGTGGGCTTATCCTTTGTGGTGAACGCGCAGCCCTGGCCGTTACCGTTAATATGATGTGATGTGCACCCCCTCGTCCTCGGCTCTGGTGCGCTGTTGCCGTGCGTCAGTCCCAGACAGCGAGCTGCGATCCTCCCACCACCACCAGCGTTCATTCCTCGTCTCCGTCTTCCTCCAGCGGCACTCCAGTCCAGTCACCCACCATCACTGCGTCCTTCGCTACCTCCATCTTCCTACTCTTCCTTCGACAACAGATACCCGTTCTCTTCTTCGACCTAGAGCATCCAAAGTTTCACGCATTGTACTCTTAAAACGCCTCGTAATCATCAAATTCAACGGACGAAATCAGGAAGCGAGGACCCTCCATTAGCTCGCACCGTGCACCGTCATCCTAGCAGTCCTGGCCCGCCTTCGCCCCGCCAACCAGACGCCCGCCCGATCTGTCATCTGACACCTGCACCGTCGTCCGTCACCTCCTTGTCTCGCTCGAGCAACGCACACACGCACCGACACGCATTCAGCACACGGACGCCAGCATCGCGAGCATCTCTTGTCCAAACATCGTACTCATAGCATAGAAATCGAAACCAAGTGAACGGCTGCCCGACTGCTGGCCTCGATTGCAATAGGGTCCACCCATCACAGCTCGGTCCGCAATCGTATCGTCCGTTTCCCAGACGACCATCCTGAGACTACCTGCGACCATTCGCTTTCCCACTCTTCATATCCACACATCACCCGGCTTCCACATCGAATCTCTGCCAGGAGTCTGCTTGCTTATCGCACGTCACTGCGCCGAAGTTGTCGTGTGCAGCCGGTAGTGCACCCATCGGTTCCCAGGAAGTACCTGCTGCCGAGGGCATCCGACTAGTTAGGTTCTCCGACACCAAGAACCTGACGCCTGGCGCCGCCTCCGAAGATTCCCTACTCTACATTGTGGCCGTAAACATCAAAGCCGCCCAGTGAAGAATACCCAGGGCCTATCTGACAGATCCACAAGCAGTTGCGCTCTTTGGACAAGTCAAGGGTAGTGCCCGTGCCCACCACAATAGGACGTGAGTACCCCCTTAATCTCCCTCCCATCCATTGTTCGCTCCCTCCCGCTCTTCGTCGTCGTCTCCCAAAGTCTCCAAACATTCGCATGCGTCGCACGCAAGAACTGGAAGCCCCCTCACACATACCGAAGCTCTGCTCGACACTCTCGCTGCTGTGCAAGGATCGGTCGACCATCTGTGGACAGGGAACGGCACTGTGAACCTCCACCTCACCAGCCATCAACCCCTAACCTCGCACTGGGCGAAGGGAAGCGCCGCGTGGTCCCACAAGCCTGTTGTTGATCTGAAGAGCAAACAAGAGCTGTTGTCTGACAGTTCACAGTGGTATCGCCTGATCGACGCAAAAACAATGAACGGTGGTGTCCTCTGCGAGACCAACGCTCAGCTCCCATCAGCACCAGTGCTTAAACAGGAGCTCATCACGGAGCACTACGCTATCACTGCGAAGCGCCCAGCCGCCAAAGAGAAGGAGAAGGAAAAGTGCGTGCATCATTGACATGTTTGTGCAAGTTTTATGACTGACAACGAAAGGATGAACCGACCACCGAAGATCAACACTACTCTCGCTGTCGACAGCCCGCCGCAATTCATCCACACCCCGGTCGGCATTCCACCTCATCAGCAGTACTCACCGTATGCGAACGGCTCCCCGCAACCCTACTTCCCACCACCCCAGCACTCTCCCCAGTATTATCCCTACCCTGCGCAACAGCACGGAACGCCAGTTGCCGGCCCCTCTAGAATCGTTCACCAGCAGCATCTGTACCCGCCTTTCGACCCGAACGCCCAGTTTGCCGCGCCCCCACCGCCCGCTTGGGAGACTCAGTCGGTTGCATCTGTCACCTCTGGAGCATCTGGACATAAGCGCAAACGCTCCGGATCGACCAAGGATGAACTGATCGGATCCCGTCGGAACTCTGTGCAGCCACAGCAGGCCGTTGGGGTACCGCCGAACGGGATTGCTGCTCAACTTCCCACACCACCGTCGACCTCGGGTTTGGCTGGAACTCCATCTCAAAACGCCGGTTCGCTCCCCGAAGAAGCACCGCCTGTGCATGGCGTCTATGTGACAACGACGAAGGAGGAAGGTCGGAAGCTGGGGCTGCTCCAGAACTCAACCGGCAATGAGGCCGTCGAAGACCTGCCGACTCGTGGACCTCCGCGAACGACAACTGCGACAGTGCTGTCGGTGAACCCTTCGGGAGTTGCGACCCTGGGCAGTGGGGCCGTGCTGGAGTCTGATCTGGCGCTGCTGGACGACAAGCCCTCCGATGACCCCAAAACTCCGACGATGGCAAGCGGAGCCCTTCCCGAGGTCGACGATACCCCCAGAACGAAGGAGGACAAGACCAAGAAGCGGCTGGACGCCTTCAGCACGACTTCCCGCCCGACTGAGCCAATGTTCTCCATCCGCGTCGACATGGGGCAAGGTCCTACTCGACTTGCGCTTCGGAAGGACATCGCCCTAGCGTTCATCGGATACGACAAGCGTGACGGTGTGGTGGAGGAGACCCGCGGGGTGGATCAGGACAGCTGGGTGTTGTCAGCTGTCGGTGGACCGCGGGCCCCGATACGTCCTCAGTGGCCAGACGACGAGGCGCCATGGAAGCTCGGATCCGGACGAAGAGCAAGACAAGCGCGCGAGGAGAAGGAACGGACGGCTCTGTTACGCCGATACCTCGAGACTTCGAGCGACGACTCTGACGACGACGGAGCCGCCCGCTTCCCGATGCGACGGCCGGCGAAGCGAGGACGACCGCCTGCGCCTCCCGGAACAGCGAACAACCACTGGGACGGCGATGCGACTGATGCTCGTGCAGCTCTTCGTAGCGCCATGGGACGGGTCCCTCACCAGAAAATGGCAGCCCCTCAACACCTGCCTGCGGTCATTCCCGCGGGTGTGATTGCCTGCCCCTGCAAGCAGACCGGGCCCGCTGCCGGCTCGATGCTCGCCTGCACATCTTGCAAATCGTGGTTCCACATGGGCTGTATCGGGTTAGAGGACATGTCGCTTGCGTCGTCATGGGTCTGCGAGCCTTGCGTCCGGCAGGCTGGACGGACGTTCGTCACTCCGTCCCACCTGCAAACGCCTGCCTACTTTGGATCACACGAGCGGGCATTCCGCGGTGACCAGGCTCTTGCGCTCGCGCCTTCTCCGATGTTTGCTGGGGAGGCTGTGCGGGCTGCCGGAAGCAGCGGTACGCTGGAGACGCGCACGCCGAGTTCCCCGACCCGGTCGGCACAGCGTGCTCGCGTCCTCTCGTACGGCAACGACCTGTGGGGTGTCACAGAGGAGGCGCCCTCGACGCCAGTTGCTGCTCCTCGTGCTCCCGGCTTCTACTCGACTCCTCGCCCGGAGGACCTGTTCGATGTGAACTCGACGCCGTCGCGGCATCTCAACACCGACCCACGCATGGCCGGCGAGTTCAACAGCACGCTGTTCTCGATGACGCCTCTGGTTGGCCGGTCGCGCAACGCCTCGAACCCGTTAATCGGCGGGGATACTCCTGCAGCCATGATCTCCCGGGCTGGCAGGAACATTGCTGGCGTGACGCCGTTATCGGAAGGCATCACGAGCCGGCATGAGTTTCTGCAAGGGTTGGCGGGGGGCGAGAAGCGCGGCACATTCACCGAGGGCCCCGTGTCCCCTTCCAGGCGCGTGGTTCCTCTCGGCAACCCCGAGTCGCCCTCGCCATACGGCAGCATCGGCCTTGGGCCCCGCGGCAATCGCTTCTCGCACATGCGAACAAGTTCAAAGGCGCGCGCGGCGGGACTCGGTCTTGGCGTGCCGCACGATGAGGACGAGGATGAGGCGTTTGCGACGGGTTCGGCTGTGCGCGTTGACGATGAGGATGACTGAGGAGGAAGTGAGAAGTGGAGGTTGTATACTATACCTGGGCTAAAGGTGCTAGCGACCGCGAGTCGCTGTGTATTGTGTAGGCCATTTGTTGGGCGACGATCCAAGTTGCTCTTGATTATATATACCCTAAGGTTGTCCTTGCGATGGCCGCATAAGAGGTCGAGAACGTTCCCTCTTCAGTATTTTGTATGACCATTACGTACATGGTGGTAGTGGTATGAACTTTGATAATCATCGGCTGGGGTAGTGAGATTGATCGCTGGGAGGGTGAAGTGATGTGGAGTGGAGCATCGGCTTGCGCGAGTCGGAAGCGATGACGATATCTGCGATGAGTGTGAAGGCCGCAAGTAATGAATGGTAGGAGGGCGAGACGTCATGGAATGTCGAAGGTCAAGCGTCAGGAGTAAGGAGTATCGGGGACCGTCGAGATGAAGCGAGATGATGAGATGAACGGATGTGGGAAGGCAAAAGGAAGGGATGACAGAGAAAGAGAAGAACAGATAAAGATGTATGTCTGGATGCAAGAAGGAAGGGAGCGAGAAGGCGACGACGCGTTGTGTCGAGAGCGCGCGCAGAGCATCCGCAGATGTGCAGACGTGCAATCGCGCCGCGACGCGGTATCGCACTTGTGCACGGCCCAGCCAACCCGACGGCACTTGAGCGACCTGCTGCATACTCCGAACAAGGCAAGAAATGGTAACGACGCGTTTGGATATGCATTCACGCGTCCTGCGCGTCCTGTGTCGTTTCGCCTGGAGTGTGTTGGGACGGTTTCCGGGGTTCGACCAACGATTAGTCGCGTTGCAAGTCGCGCAAGTCGCGACGCGTCGAGGATTTCCGGATCAGTCGGTCAAGCGGCCACCCCGCCACCAACTGGGTGTCATGCGTGCCCTATCATGCCTCTCAGTCCTCCCAATCCTGGTATGGCTGGGTAGGTCCTGGGAGAGCAACCACTCAGCAGCAGCAGAGGACTCCAGAGGAGGTTGCGTTCCTGCCTTGTCCCTCGATCCGGGTCTTTGGGCCCTGCTTTCTGGCGCCCAGCTGGGGCAAGGTACCGCGCAGGTCAAGGTCACGAAGGTCACTCGACCACGGCACGACCAAGAACGCGGTATGGGCCGCTGACGCACCAATGGCGGGCCTGGCTGGGTGGCGCCACAAAGCGGCCCCGGATGCGAGTGATACGATGCTGACGTGGGATTCGAACCAGGATCCAGCACAGCGGTGACGAACGCTGAATGGCAAGCAAATCGCACTGACAATCCGTGCATTTCCAATATGCGCACGTGGGACACCCTTACCTTTGTCGCTCGCATCTCACTGTACGCCGTGTGCGCCGTACGCCGGACACCCTGGAGTCGGCTGGGACATTCGACTCGGAAATAACCATGCTACGATCACGCCACTGCTCAGCCTTGCCCAGCGCTTGCCTGCTTGCCTGCCAGGCGAACCCCGCCTCACGGCGCCGTCTTACCGGCCCGGGTGCTCAGCGACAAAGACAACGCAGCATGACAATTGTCGGACATACTCTTCCAACTCTCATCTCTCTCACAAACCACTGACCTACTCGGGCCTTCCTCGTTTTCAACAACACGAAAGGCTCTCGTTCTGCACCCTCCTCTGGAACCCCCTCTGGAGATCCCCGCTCAAACACGCTTCAACCTCCCTTTTCCCCCGATACCCGATTCTGACTGGCAGACCAGTTCAGCGCCATGACGTCCCCTACACCCACGCCGTCGTCGCCCGGCGAGTCCTCGCTCGCGACGAGCATCTACGACTCCAAGTCTGAGGACGAGAGCTTTGAGGAGCGTGCCCAGAAATGGCACTTTGCGACGCAGGTTGTTGCGACCGACTCGTCTCAGAACCAGTACGGCGCCTCGAGCACGCCCATCTTCCAGACCGCTACGTTCAAGGGCATGGAGGGCCCGTACGACTACACGCGGTCGGGCAACCCCACCCGTGGTGGGCTCGAGTCCCACCTCGCGCGCATCTACAGCGCGACCCAGGCGTTCGCCCTCTCCACGGGCATGACCTGTCTCGACGTTATCCTGCGTCTTGTCAAGCCCGGAGAGACCGTGCTCGCGGGAGACGACCTGTACGGCGGCACGAACCGTCTCCTGACCTACGCCAAGAGCCATGGCCAGGTCGATGTCAGGCACGTTGACACGACCAACGTCGACGCCATCCGCCCTCACCTCACCAAGGACAACAAGATCAAGATGGTCCTCCTTGAGAGCCCGACGAACCCCCTGCTGAAGATTGCCGACATTGCCGCTGTCTCCAAGGCCGTCAAGGAGGTTGCGCCCAACGCCATCATCGTCGTCGACAACACCATGATGTCGCCGTACCTCCAGCGCCCCCTTGAGATTGGCGCCGATATTGTCTACGACTCGGGAACCAAGTACCTCTCTGGCCACCACGACCTGATGGCCGGTATCATTGCGGTCGGCCGCCCCGAGCTCGCGCAGGAGGTCGCCTGGCTCATCAACGCGATGGGCACTGGTCTCGCGCCGTTCGACTCGTTCCTGCTCATGCGCGGCGTCAAGACCCTGGCGCTCCGCATGGACAAGCAGCAGGCCAACTGCATCCTGATTGCAAACTACCTCGACGCCCTCGGATTCCTCGTCCACTACCCCAACCTGAAGCACCACCCGAAGCGCGACGTGCACTTCCGCCAGAGCTCGGGCTCGGGCGCGGTCCTCTCCTTCGTCACGGGCGACAAGGAGCTGTCCGAGCGCATCGTCAGCACGACGCGCCTCTGGGGCGTGTCCGTCTCGTTCGGTGCCGTCAACTCGCTTATTTCCATGCCCTGCCTCATGTCCCACGCCTCCATCTCCCCCGCTGTTCGTGCTGAGCGTGGTCTTCCCGAGAACCTCATCCGTCTCTGTGTCGGTATCGAGGACCCCCGCGACCTTCTCGACGACCTCGAGTTCGCCCTCGTCTCTTCCGGTGCCATCGTCCCAGCCAACGGCGTCGACCTCATGAGCTCCGACAAGCTCGCCCAGCTCTACAAGAGCGACGCTCCCCAGTGGGCCATCGAGCGCGCCCGCGCCTTCCGCCGTCCTCAGGAGGAGGGTCTCGTCGAGGGCGTCAACCGCTCCCTCAACCTCGGCAACGACACGATCGACGGCGACATTGTCGTCTCCGCCCCCGGCAAGGTTATTCTCTTCGGCGAGCACGCCGTCGTGCACGGAGTGGTGGGTGATCAATCTGCGTAGTTAGGTGTTGTTCTTACCACATTTCCGTCCGAACCCGCTTCTGTATTATACCCATATTCTTAACAACAACACGCAAACTCAACAAACATCACAACTGCATACCCCTTATCGAAACCCCCACTGTAACCGACTCTTCCCCAAACAGACCGCCATTGCGACCAGTCTCAACCTCCGCTGCTACGGCGTCCTCTCGCCGCGCAACGACGGCAAGGTCGCTATCCAGGCGCCTGACCTCGAGGCCGAGTGCGAGTGGGACATCAGCCAGCTTCCCTGGGACGCGGTTCCCGCTGGTGCTGGCGGCTCAAAAGCCCCGACCGACCTGGACGAGACGCTTCTGAAGCGCATCGAGGACATCGTCGCCGAGGGCCACCCCTCCAGCACTGGCTTCCGCGGCTCCGTCGCCTGGCTGTACATGTACATGATCATGGCCGGATCGCGCGAGAATGCGTAAGTTGTCCCGGAGGCCTTCATGAACTGACCCCAGTCTCTCCGTCACGCTCACCGTGTCCGCGAACCTGCCCGTCGGCGCTGGCCTCGGCTCCTCTGCCGCCTTCAGCGCGTGTGTCGGCTCTTCCCTCCTCATCGCTCACAAGCACGTCTCTGCCACGAGCACCGTGAGCAAGCAGGCGATCGACCTGATCGACGCCTGGGCCTTCTTGTCCGAGAAGGTGCTGCACGGCACGCCGTCTGGCATCGACAACGCCGTCTCCGTTCGCGGCGGCGCCGTCGCCTTCACCCGCACCCCCGCCGGAAACAGGCTGCACGACATCCGCGGCTTTGACAGCATCCGTCTCCTGCTCACCAACACGGGCGTGCCGCGGAACACGAAGCAGCTCGTCGCAGGCGTGGCGGCCAAGAAGGCCGCCGAGCCGCACATTGTCAACCCGGTGCTCGAGGAGATCCAGGCGATCAGCGACGAGGCCCAGGCCCTTCTGGACGGCACGACGGTCGTTGAGCGTGCCGAGTTCGTCGGCCGTCTCGAGGAGCTCATGCGCCAGAATCACGCCCACCTCCGCACGCTCGGTGTCTCCCACCCCAGTCTCGAGGCCATTGTCGACACCACCGCCAAGCACGGTCTCACGACCAAGCTGACCGGTGCCGGCGGCGGTGGCTGCGCCGTCACCCTCGTCCCTGACCAGTACGAGGAGAGCGAGCTCGACAAAGTCCTCGCCGAGCTGGCCAAGCTGGGCGCCGAGCCGCACCTCACCTCCCTCGGAGGACCGGGCGTTGGCGTCCTCTCGGGCCAGGAGAGGCGCAATGCCAGCCACGCCCTCAAGGTCGCAGGCCCCAAGGGTCTGCACGCGTGGTCCGAGGCGCTTGACGGTACTTGGATCCACTCGTAAGAGTCAGCCGGAGGCAGCCGCCAGGCTGCCGCATGACCCTTCCCTCCCCTCCCACCCAACCCAATCTCCCACGTTGCAGTGGCCCCCAATACCCCCCTTTTATCATTGATTGTATCACAACGAGTCCAACCTCATCTTTACTTTTATTGCATTTTTCCAACAGCAAGCAAGCAGCCAATATGAAACGCAAGAGTCCAACCTTTTGTAAGAAACCCCTCCTCCCAAGAACCAACCCATTATTTAGAGTCCAACCTCACATAGAAAGACAAGAAAAGGGCGCAGCGAGTTCCAACATTCGCTTCCTTGAACGCCTCGTGTTGTTTAGAACCTTTGTATATCAGAAAACATAAACCTTATCTTATGCAGAAGTGAAGCTAACTCTTAGCGGGCAGCGGAAAGCGGACCAACTGTTGGTAGTAGGGTGTTGGTGGGCCGGACAGCTGCTGATTGACAGCGCCGTTGTGCTTCCGCATGATGCGGGAGAGGCTACGGACTGTTGGAAGATTCACGGCGACCTCCCCTAGAGCACACAGGTCAAGGCTCACATCTAAACTACACAGCTCATGCGTTCTTTCCCTGTTTACGACGAACTGGTCGGAATATTCACATACACGCAAGTGCATTCGCGAGTTTGCTTGCGCCCAGTCTGACTGGTGAGTACCGCAGCTACGCTTACCACGGCTGCTTCCCAAAGCGTTGGCCACGAAGTTACAAGGGAATACTGCAATTATCCTGCATCTATCCCGCATATCGTTTACCTGAGCCCGAACACCCAGAGCAGACTCACACGTGCAGTAGGCGGGCCTAGCAGCACGCTCGCACACAGGAAATGTCCTGCGTTGGGAGGAGTGATAACCTGGCCAAACTCCATGTAACGACCGCGGCACTGAAAGTCTCACGCTGCTTCGAAACCTTGTTATCCAGGTATTCTGAACCGAGCAATGACTGGTGTAAGAGTGCAGCAAGACCACTACTGGAGCCCATCTGCTTCAGCCCGATGTCGCACCCCAATCCTCCATCGTGCACCTTCTGCCACAACCCAAATGTGTCATCACGTGACATAGGATCAGGTTCGAATCACATCACAGTCCCCCTCAGGTGTTTAGGCGCCTGAACCACCCACGTTGTGGGGCCGCATTCACAAGATTACCTCTTTCTCTGCAACCGTCCCATGCATTAGAGTCGCTCAACTTGGAGTGCACTCGTCTTCTCCACCCTCAAAGACCTATCCGGACACTTTTGATGCGAGTGTTGCATGCATGGAGCAAAGTTGATATAACGGGTGGATGGTGCCACAGTGGGTTCACGAAGGAAATAACCCCGCTCGGACTGGATTCATTTGCTCCCGCTGGTTCCCCTGTCGGAGTGGTGGTGTCCTTCCCACCTGTATCCTAACGCGCGTGGTTGCTCGTTGTTGCTATTGCCGCGCGACGCATCCACCACCGACAACAACATCCTCCACCCCCGCGTCACTCCGGCATCACGTCCCGCCGAGCAGCATTCCCTCCAACCACCGTGCGCCATGACTGACGCCGGGGCCTCACCCGCTACGGCGCCCGTCGCCGCCCCTTCCCCCGCAGCCTCCGCACATGGCCAACCACCGACACCAGGTGCCGCCGGCCCGCGCCAAATGCAGTCGCCCATGGTGCTTGACGACGACAAGAAGCGCGAGCTCATCGCAAACATGGATCAGGGAAGAGTCAACGCGCTCCGCAAGGTATGTCACCACCACTTATTTCTATGGATGCATTGCATTTCCCCCGCTTACATGCACCAGCGCGCCCAGGAGCTCTCGCAGGCAGGCCATACAAAGGAGAACTCGACTGAGCTTGCCCGCGCGCTCGCCATTCTCCAGATGCACCACCGCGCCGTCCAGATCGAGGAGATGAAGAAAAAGCACCAGGCCAACGAGGCTAACGCGGGCAACGCCGCTGCCGGACCGAGTGCTCGTACGTTTACATATACACTTCTTTGTCTGCATCACTGACGCGTCAGAACAACCAGCTGGCCAGCATGTCTCCCTCACCCCGGCCCAGATCGCGCAGGTCCGCACCCAGGCCCAGAGCTACCACCTACTCTCCCGAAACCAGCCCGTTCCCGCCTACCTCCAGCAGGCCGCGCAGGGCCAGTCCCCGAGTCCAGCAGCTTCCAGCGGCGAGGGCAAGGTCGCCGACAAGACGGTCGAGGCCGTCGTTGATGCGAGCGCCCCTGATCAGCCATATGCGATGGAGCTCGACCAATCCTCAATCATCTACCCTTACAACGCCTACCAGCACCCGAGCATATACGCCAACCGCAAGTTTGACGAGGAGATCACGAACCCAACGAACAAGCTGCAGCGCCTGCTCGTCCCGTCCGTCGCCCCGCAGGGACTCGACCCGTATATCCTGATGGAGGAGCGCAACCGCTTCGTCGAGACGCGAATGGCATGGCGCATGAAGGAGCTAGAGGAGCTCGACTCGACGACAGGCCTCGGCGAGCCCGGCGCCGCCGAGGTCCCCGGCGTGACGGACGAGAAGCCTGGAAGCAAGCTCGGCATCCAGGCCCGCATCGAGCTGCTGTCGCTGCGACTCCTCGGCAAGCAGCGACTGCTTCGCGAGGATCTCGTCCGGGCGATGCACGGCGCTACCCAGATCCCCGCCGATCGCTCTCAGTTCCGACGCTTCCGCACGCACACACTCCGCGATGCGCGCGCGACGGAGAATGCCGAGCGGAAACAGCGGACAGAGCGCGAGCAGCGCGGCAAGCAGCGCCACCTCGCCTACATCAACTCCATTATCGAGCACGGCCAGCAGATCATCCAGACCGGCGCTTCCAACCCCCGCGGATCGCGCGCCGACAACAACCGAAGACTCGGCCGCTGGGTGCTCCGCACGCACAACGAGATCGAAAAGGACGAGCAGCGCCGTATCGAGCGTCTCGCAAAGGAGCGTCTCAAGGCGCTCAAGAACGACGACGAAGATGCGTACCTCGCCCTTCTCGGCGAGGCCAAGGACTCGCGTATCGGACACCTGCTCAAGCAGACCGACCAGTACCTCGAGACCCTCGCGGCCGCCGTTGTGGAGCAGCAGAACGACCCGCAGTTCAAAGAGCAGCTCGCGAGCATGGGCCCGTTCGACCCGTCGATGGAGGAGGGTGCGTCCGAGGCCATGTTCGGCGCGAGGCGCCAGGACGGCGAGGAAGACGACGCCGAGCGCAAGGCTGGCAAGGTCGATTACTATGCCGTCGCGCATCGCATTAAGGAGCCCGTCACGAAGCAGGCCTCGATTCTTACTGGTGGTACGCTCAAGGACTACCAGATCAAGGGTCTGCAGTGGATGATCTCGCTGTACAACAACCGACTGAACGGTATCCTGGCCGACGAGATGGGTCTCGGAAAGACGATCCAGACCATCTCCCTCATTACCTACCTCATCGAGCAGAAGCACCAGCCTGGTCCCTTCCTTGTCATTGTCCCCTTGTCCACCCTGACCAACTGGACGCTCGAGTTTGAGCGCTGGGCTCCGGCCGTCAAGACTCTTATCCTCAAGGGTTCCCCGACGGTTCGTCGTGAGCTCTACCCCCGCATTCGTGCCGGCGACTTCCAGGTGTGCTTGACCACCTACGAGTACATTATTAAGGAGCGCCCTCTCCTCGCCAAGATCAAGTGGGTGCACATGATCATCGACGAGGGTCACCGTCTGAAGAACATCAAGTCCAAGCTGTCGCAGACGCTCAACGAGTACTACTCGACGAGGCATCGTCTGATTCTTACGGGTACGCCGCTGCAGAACAACCTGCCCGAACTGTGGGCGCTGCTCAACTTCGTCCTGCCTAAGATTTTCAACTCGGTCAAGTCGTTCGACGAGTGGTTCAACGCTCCCTTCGCCAACACGGGTGGCCAGGAGAAGATGGAGATGAACGAAGAAGAGGCGCTGCTTGTCGTCAAGCGTCTGCACAAGGTGCTGCGTCCCTTCCTTCTCCGTCGTCTCAAGAAGGATGTCGAGAGCGAGCTGCCCGACAAGGTCGAAAAGGTCATCTACACCAAGATGTCGGCGCTCCAGTGGAAGCTGTACGAAAGTGTCAAGAAGTACAAGACGCTCCCGACCGACCTGTCGTCGGGCAAGCCGCGTCGCCAGGCCAACCTGCAGAACGCCATCATGCAGCTCCGAAAGATCTGTAACCACCCCTTCGTCTTCCGCGAGGTCGACGAGGACTTCTCCGTCGGCAACACGGTCGACGAGCAGATTGTGCGCACGTCGGGCAAGTTTGAGCTTCTCGACCGTCTCCTGCCCAAGTTATTCGCGACCGGACACAAGGTCCTCATTTTCTTCCAGATGACCGAGATCATGTCCATCATTGCCGACTACTTTGACTATCGCGGATGGAAGTACTGCCGTCTCGACGGTTCGACCAAGGCCGAGGAGCGTCAGCAGCTGCTGTCTACCTTCAACGACCCCGACTCGCCGTACCAGGTGTTCATCCTGTCGACTCGTGCCGGTGGTCTCGGTCTCAACCTGCAATCTGCCGACACGGTTATCATCTACGACACGGACTGGAACCCGCACGCCGATTTGCAGGCGCAGGACCGTGCGCACCGTATCGGACAGAAGAAGGAGGTGCGCGTTCTCCGATTGATTTCTAGTGGAACCGTCGAAGAACTCGTGCTGCAGCGTGCGCAGGCCAAGCTCGAGATCGACGGCAAGGTCATCCAGGCCGGAAAGTTCGACGAGGTCACCAACACAGCCGACTACGAGGCGCTGCTCGCCAAGGCATTCGAGCAGGCTGCCGACGAGGAGGAAGAGGAGACCAACGAGCTCGACGACGATGAGCTGAACGAGCTGCTCGCGCGTGGTGAGGAGGAGCTCTCCATCTTCCAGCGCATGGACAAGGAGCGCAAGGAGGCGCAGGAGCGTGAGTGGCAGGATGCGGGCAACAAGGGCCCTCTCCCGCCTCCGCTCATGCGGGAGATGGAGCTCCCGCCCTTCTACCGCCGCGACATTGGCCAAGAGATGGCCGAGCAGATGCAGCACGACGAGGACCAGGGCCGCGGACGAAGGGCCAAGGCCGACGTGCGGTACACGGACGGCCTCACCGACGACCAGTTCATCAACGCGCTCGAGGACTCGGACGACGACGTTGACGCCGCGGCGAACCGCAAGCGGCAGCGTGCCGAGCGCAAGGCGGAGCGCAAGCGACAAAACGAGATTCTTGCGCGCGCCGAGGCCGAGGGCAAGCCGCTGTCTGCGTCCATCACTGCTCTCCAGGCAGAGGCCGGCATCGAGACACCTGTCAAGAAGAAGCGCGGACGGCCGAGCAAGAGCGCTACCCCCGCCGCCGAGGACACGCCGGCCAAGCGACGCAAGGTCGGCGGCGCGTCGTCCGAGGAGACGGCCATGGTGAAGAAGCTGTTCGAGGAGGTCAACGGTCTCAAGGACGAGGCGTCGGGCGAGCACTGGAACATATACTTCAAGTCTCCTGTCGACCGCAAGATCTACCCCGACTACTACAGCATCATCTCCCAGCCCATTGCCATGTCGCAGATCAAGCGCAAGTTTGGCCAAGCAGCCTACGGGCTGTCCCAGCTGCGCGCGGACCTGAAGCTCCTCTGGAACAATGCGCGAACGTACAACACGGAGGGCTCGTGGGTGTACAACGCGGCCGAGGAGATGGAGTCGTACTTTGACCGGCGGTTCGCCGAGGAGGCGCCGCGGTTCGCAGATGTCAAGACGGAGAATGGCAACGGCGAGCTCACGACCGAGAGCAACACGCCCGCGCAGAGCGGCCAGTCGACGCCCATGTACAAGCCGCCCCCCGGCGTCGGCACCAAGATCAAGCTCAACGTCGGCGCGGCCTCGAGGCGCAAGGAGATCATCGACTCGGACGAGGAGAGCGCGCCCGAGCCCGAACGCGGCGCCAGCGCCAATGGGGGAGACGACGATGACGACGATTACTAGATTTTCCAAAATATAGTCGAGTGTGCGACTGGGACGAGTGCAGCGGTAGTTCGTAGTGCAGCCCGTGACAAGTGTATAGAAATCCCATAGGATTATTTGATTCATGTATTAGTTTCGCAGAGAAGAGAACGCTGCAGGGGAGACGCAGGGTGCAGAGAACTGAACGCCAGGTCCTCACTGCCATCCGCTGATCGAAAAGCACCTCAAGCTTAAAAGCTTAACGCAACAGGACTGCTGTACTGTCAGTCTATTGGTCCGGAGAGTGGACTTAAGAGGTGTGCACCATATGGGCTCAAGGTATAGCAAGAGATGCATCAAAGCCGATCGGCGAAGCGCTCCTCGTGGAGATTGGCGGAGCCTCGGTCCGACGGCCGGGCACGTGCTCACTGCCAAAAGTGGCGATTCACGCGAAGGTAGCAGAAATTACTCTCGAGGGATCCTTCTCATCCTCATCGACCGGAGGATCTGCAGACTGTTGCAAACTGGGGACCAGACGCATCGCTGCTGATTCAAAGAACTCCGAGGCGCTGATAGTGCGGCCTACTCCCCGGAGTTGAAGATGGACGTCCTACAAAGTGGCCCTTGCACTTTTGCGTGCACCTGTTAATATTAGGTTTGCCTGAAACGCTGCCCCCCTTTATTGACGACTCAACTCATGGCCTTCGGCATGGGCACAGCGAGAGTGTCCACATTGGCCAAGGATGCGCAAAGGAACCTACCCTAGGATCAGGATAGGCTGTGCCAAAATCCATTACTTTCATTACGTCTCGCTACGACAGAGGACTCTTCTCCCCATCCATGACACCCTTCCCCTTCTGCTGCCGGGACAGAGGCTGCTGCGGCTGCGGCTTCTCGTCCGAGGACGGAGAAGACCGGTCCGCCAGCCGAGGGTCGCTGTTGTCCTTCAACAGGTGCTCCGTCGTCTCCGCCCCGCTTGCCTCCTCTGACGAGATGCCCGGTGAGCTCGCGCCGCCCGGGTGGCCGAGATACTTGAGCTCTTCGGTCGTGAAGTCGCCATGATGCGCCTGGTTGGAACTCGGTGTGGGGGTCGTGACCGGTGGACCGAGGTACTTGATCTCCTCGGACGTGATGTCCTGTCTCCTCGAGAGACTTGGCGTCCTGCTCGGCCTTGGTCCGGTCGGTCGCCTCCGGCGGTTGCGACTGCCAGGCTCGTTCCACTCCTCGCGGTACACTGGTGGGAGAATGTCGACGTCGATATCGTCGTCGGACAGGGAGCCAGCGTCCTCCTCGTGATGCACTATCCGTTGTCGTTGGGCACCGTCGGGTGGGGCCCGTGGCGCCTTGCTGTCGGCTTCGATACCACTCATGTTGTCCTCGATGGTACCATCGCCAGTTGGGGCGACGTACGGCGACACTGCAGTGTCGTCTTGTATCTTCTCGTCCAGAACTTCGGAGTGGTCCCGCCTTCGGCGTCGGCGCCGAATGGCCCATATCGCTAGGGCGACAAGTGCGAGGAGACCGAGCACAACGCCAACCACTATGCCTGCGATTGCGCCGCCGCTCAACCCCTTGCGACCAGAGATCGCCGCCGCACTAGCAGCCTCTGCATCGTCTGAGGCAGCGGTAGATGTCGTAGACGCATCACCGCCTGTGGCAGCTGTGCTTGCATTCTCCGGCTTGATGGGGCCACTTGAGCGGAGTCAGCCTTGCATTCGAAGGTACGATGGACTTACGCTTTCCATAACTGGATGCTGTCGAAAGTACAGGTGGTCGGGAGGTCCGGACGTGTTTCATTGGCAGTTCCCCTTGTCCCATTGACGATGGCGAACTTGTAACGTATTTCGGGATCCAGCTGCCAGTCAAGTAGGTGCACGAATTTAACGCGGTCCGTTCCGTTGTTGGGCTGAGGACTGCCAGTTCTCGGGATCTGATCGACAGGCTGCTTCCAATCCATCGCGTAGGAGATGTTGACGCCCTTAGGATTTCCAGTATGGAAACTCATGTACGGTGGCTTTATCCCACCGTTGGGACCCCATCCTGAATCCAGTGGGGGATCGAAAACGATGCGGCACTCTCCCCCGTAACCGGGCTGGAGGTAGCGAGTGCCTAGAACGGACACGAAAGAGATATTCTGAGGGAGGGTCACGACGTGTCCCGTCGACTTCGTCAGCTCCTCGAGGTCGTCGGTGAAGTTGCCCATGAGTGGATCGCGTGTCCCCGACAAGGCATTAGATAGCCAGGGCTCGCTACTCCCATTCACCGATACGGGAGTAATAACGGGGTTGTCGTCACCGGTCTCACCGGAGCCCGGATCGTACTCAGTCATAGTCAGTTTTTCATCCCTGTCGCTGTTAGATGGTCCGGAGCCAAGTGCGAATGTAAGCTTACGGTGAGAGAGGGAGCTTGTAGTAGACAGAGATGGAATCGATTGTCAACCACATCGAGGGAGGAAAGCGGATGAGTGCGTGCCAAGTAGCTTGTGGAGCTTCCGTCATATTGGTCACCACTGTCATTCGCGTGGAAGCGATCCAGCGTGTATCAGCTTCGACGCTCTTCGATGGCGTGGTGTCCGTTCTAAACGTCGTCACGAGATCAGACAAGAGCGACGACTCCGAGGCGCCGAACACTCTGGTGGTAAAGTCGACACCTATGCCATTATATTGGAACTGGAACTGCGGTTTCGTGATACTCTTGTTGAACCCAGTGAAATTTATTTGCCAGTCCGAAGAATTCACTCCTGGGAGAGGATTCCCGACGTTGTCGAAGGCGGTTGAAAGGAACTGCTGTGCCAAGTGGGACGTAATCATCGGGTCGATGCCAGAGAGCTCTCGGACGAAGTTCGCGGGCGGACTGATGACAGAGACGCCATCGTGCCATGTCTCGTCTGCGCTGGACCTCTGTGCGAGCGCCATTGTGGTGTGCGTGTGTGAACGTGATGATAGTAGAAACGCAAGATTATCTTCGTAGTGTACAAGGCGTCTCATGAGTTTCGCCTCCGCATCGATTAAGAAGAGCAAGTTCCAGAGACTTCATGGGGAGGATGACTCTGGAGGAGACGGAATATTCCCAGGGCCTTCATCGCCCATAACCTTATCGCGAAACTTCCCTATCTTTTGGACTGCTTAGGGGCTCAAGTGAACGACGTTACTGCCGCATCGTACGCTGCATCGCACAAGCTCTTTCAGGAAACTGAAACGCACGGGGATATGCGATCCCCGCGCGTGATTTCCCCAAGTTCCCCACTTGAAGTAAGCGATGGAAGAGACAGTAGGGATGTGTCGAGGGACTTATGGCAGGCGAACGGCATTTTCCGTGAATAGATACTTAATTTAGCGACTCGCTCTCGGCATTCTGGACAATCGCATGGGTTTGTTCGCCATCGGGCGAAAGGCTCTACTAAGAGCAGGATCATCGGACTTAGCAGTTGAACCCCCGGCACGACAGTGCAGCCGAGTTCCTGCTTCGTATCCGGTAGCCTGAGTGTATAGATGAGATGACGCTTTGGAAATGCAGTCAGGGCTGATTGAAGGCTATCATGAGAGGCACGGCCGGAAAAGCCTGTCTGTGAGAGTTAATATACATGTCGAGCTAATGTACAGTCTATGAGTCTTCCGCAAGTTCGCGCTCGAGCTCCCTCAGCTCTTCCTCAGACATGAGACAGCTCTCGTCGACCTCGACGCTGGTTCCAATATCCTCAACCTTTTCATCGACCTTCTCCTTAACTTCGTAGCTCCTCTCCTTCGCAGGCAGAGGACGAGCAGCCCCCGTGCGCGCGAGGTGGTCCGCAGCCTCATTGCCCGCCTCGCCAATGTGGCCTCGGACATACGACAGGCGTACGGGGGCCTTGCGGCTGGAGACCAGGTGCAGCAAGTATCGGATCATGTCGACGTTCTTGACGGCCTGGCCCGAGGCCGTCTTCCATCCGCGCGCGATCCAGCTTGGCGCCCATTTGGTGATGCCTGGTGTGAGCGGGTCTACTTACACGCGGTAGCCATGGAGTGTTAGGAATTGGACCGATGACGTTCAGGCGAGAAGACGTCGAGCCGCAAGGTTGAACATCATGGCCACAGACCAGAGCAGGGAATACTCACACTGGATCGAGTACTGCGAGTCCGTCCGGATCTCCATCGGAAACTTTGGGTATGGGTCATTCTCGAGCGCGATGATGATGCTCTGGACAGTCAGCTTGACCGCCGACGGGCCTCCTTTCGTCCCCTTCCTCAATCATGAAGCTCAGGGAGAAACTGTATACTCACAAGCAATTCGCCCCTGTTGTTCGTCTGCACCGGTCCGCTTACGCGCTCAGCGACGTTCAACTCTTTGGCTTCTCCAGAGTGTCCATAGTAGACGCCGGCACCCGCGGCCGCTCCCTTGGTACCGTTCGCCAGTGATGAGCCGTCCGTATAAACAACAAAATGTCCCTTGTGAACCTTGAAGCCTTTGTATGTGAGCGGGTGAGGGGGGCCTCTTGAGACCGAGCGCACCACATACGGCGGCGCTCCTCCGCCTGCCGTGGTCACCTTTGCGACGCCGCTCATAAGCGCTCCTCCGTGTCCGTGACCAGAGGAGGAGGCAGCAGAAGCATTCGGAGGAACGAACGTCGGAGGAGTGCCGCTGGCAACGAACGCCTTCGCCTCCGCTTCCGTGGGGAACTTCTTGAACTTGGCACTGGTGGTGAGGACGGAGCGTTTGGCTGAACTCACGCTGGGTAGCCTTTCACCTGCGCCTCGCACTCAGCCCAGGTCGCATAAATTCCCGGAGCACGACCCTTGGCCACTGCGTAGTAGCCTTTGCTGGCCTTCGGCCTAGACGTCAGCTCATTCCTATCAGCATTGTCAACTCGACACCTTCCTTCCCCCTTACGTTCCGACCCTCATTCTCTTGCCTCATTCTGTTGTCCAAAAGCAGGAGATTGGCCGAGAGCAGGAAACGAGGGCAGTCGGTTGAAAGGTACACAAATACGCACATACTGCGAGTCAGTGTTAGTGCACTGACAGGGCGACCGAGGCGTGTCAGCGATAGCATTGTGCAGAAGAGACCCATGATGCTGAACTCGCGATTGTTGTGAAGCTCTCGACGTGACGTAACCTGCTGCACGTGACGAACTGTCCGTGGAAAGCACATGAAACTCGCGTGTCAAAATATAGCATCACCTGACCTCCACCAAGATTTTGACTCACTTCGGCTCCGCACACAGGTTTCTAATATGATAGCCCACGCGGGCAACGGTCATAACCTCGGTCCACCAGATAGGAGCGAAGTCTGGTCAGACGAGCAGCGACGCAAGCTATGCGTTTGCGACAGCGAGAGGAACGAGCAAAGTGGGGAATGATGTGTATCGGCTGCGAGTTTCATGCGTCAGAAGGGCGGTCATGCCTCGTCATGAGCGGTCGTGACTAACAGATTGGGCTCCGCGAACAACATACATGACCATCAGCGATTTGGACAGACTCATGGATCTTTGGAACCAGCAAGATACTCCATGGATCGTGCAGTCGCTGGGACCGACGAAGGATCTTGGCCCCATGGTCTCGTCTATCCTCGGCCGAGCCCATGCCCAGCCCAGAACTGAGGTGTTTCCGCGCTCACATGACTGCAGAGAGTCAGTCATGTGAGCGCGGAAACACCGACTCTTTTCGGGGTGACACATACTCCTGGCAGGGTCCCGTCGACGCCAAGGTACCTGGAACATGAAAAACTAAGGCGCTCTTCGTTCTTTTTTTCCGCCCGCTCTCCAGGATAAGTCTGACCGAACTTGGCGTTCTAAAGATCCAGAGCTGCTCCATGAGAGGCTCTGGCACCCGCCGCTATTGTCTGTTGAGAGTTGCGTAATGCCTCCTGTGGCCATAAGCAAATGACAACAGCACGGACAGACTAGATTGGGGTCACTCCAGTGGCACCGGGAGCAGATGCATATCAGTAGTTTCTCCCGATCGAAGGCACCGAAAAGCGTGGAGCGCGTATTGAGAGCTTGCTAAGAGTGCTGAAGAGCAAAGGGATGAAATGGTGTTGTAATCCCAATCTTCTGGTCCTCGACTACTCTGGCAGCCGGGGAAGCTAGCTCTTCGGCGGGGTGCCGTCGCGAGCCTGTTGATGGTTACAGAGGTCTCCACAGGGCAGCCTCACAGTTTTGGGCTCCACCCAGGCAAAACAGTTAGGTTTGCGTACGTCTTGGATCGTGTCGAGAGCCTTTGCGCACTTGGACCGCAGCAGGCCAAGAAGTCCCCGATCTCGAAGTTGGGGAACGCCAAGCCATAGCTGCTGCGGCGCCGCCGGCGACCGGCGACTGATGCGCATGGCCTGGCCATGTGGGTTTGCGGGGTTCAGTCCGGAATATGCCGTTGCGCCGTCGGCGGTTCCAGTCACCGATTCCAACGGCGTCGGCAAGCGCCGACGAGCGACTACTCAGTAACGTGCACACCGACACGAGGGCATCGAAGGGAGGGCCCCGGTCGTCGTGGGCAGCTACTTGGAAGGACGCGTGCCGCACTTAACTGTACCATAACCCACGCAGAGTGCCCCTGCGCTCCTTCTTGGCCAAGCCGGATCTGCATTGCCAGACATCATCGTGGATCTGTTGGCGTCTTTGACGTGGATTGCGGCTGCCGGTGACTTCAGCAGGAGCTATCGCGGGGCTCAGCTCAGCTGCTCGCCTGACTTGCCTTTCGGGCAGCGGACAGATCTTCACCCCGATTAGGACAACCCCGAACTTTTCTAATTCACGGGAGGTGTGTCCAAGTGGAGCAGCAGCTAGGCTGGGAATAATGCGGCAGCATACCGTCATCTGGGTTCCTGGACCGGGTACCCCGAAAAGCAAGAGGGATTGAGACGCTGGGCTGCTGCAGGAGTCAACGCCCGCATTGATGTGCCTCTCAGGTGCCTGCCAGTGCCTCGGCTTGTCTCTTGTTGCCTCTGAGGCGCTTGTTAATCCTGGCCGCCACGTGGCATAGCCAGGGATTACTGCAATAATCTCGAGGTATTTCGGCAATTGGCTCCCCGCTAGCACTCCGTCAGCTAAAGGACCGGTGGACTCCTTCGAGCCTGGCGCAATCGCTAGTGTAGCCTGGGGCTATTCCTGGGCAGCGCGCTATAAGCTAATGGTGCTTTTGCAGGTTTGCTCCAGCTTGACCAGCGCGTCTGCAAGACTGCTTGGACGCCTTGCGCACCTTGTCATACCCGCTAGCGTGGTCGATCGGGCCTGGGCCCCGCTGACAGACTTTTCTAATTGGATTAGCAAACGACGGATCGAAAGAGCCAATGCCCGGTTAAGAAAAAGTGTTGTTTGTACGTATTCCATTTTTTTGAGGCCCCAGGTTCCTTACCCTGCATACGCGCTCCACGCAATGTATCTGCCCCCAGCAGCCTTGCAACGATTGCATGTCCGCCAAAGGCATTTCTGCAGCACTGACCCAGCGTCGATACGCGTCGAGGCTGTACCGGGATTTGGCACGAGAGGGTACGCGGTGCCTCTGTTCCTCCTTTTGTGCCTATGTGCCTTTGTGCCTGGACTTCTATGGGTCTTCAGGCAGTAAACCCAAGTCCCACACCACCGAGCAGGGGTAGCAACCGCGCCAGATAGGGAAGGCAGGCCGTGCATGCCGAGCGAAGCCGGAGCAAGCGCCGTGAGGTGCATGGGGCCAGAGGCCGGTAGGGGTCAACACGAAAAATGACCCGTGCCGACGTTCCGTCCGCAGAAGGCCAGAGACACAAAGGGTGTGTAGGGCAGAGGGTAAGCAGAGCGCGCGTCCCCCTCCGGACGCACGTCGCCCCCTCTCGAAGACTGATGCACGCAGGCGATGCGGCCGCGTCACCCGAACATGCAAAGCACCGACGCGGGCGCTGGACGGTCGCCGCACCTGTGCACACGCACACACAGCATGCAGAGCTTGGCACATCACACGTCGTGCGCGGCTTCGAGCCTGCAGGCGATGCGTTGATGGGCGATTTAGCGGCCGCGCAGTCTTCAGCGCCATGACCGCGCAGGCTGTGGCCTATGACATACGCCCAGCCAGCCCGTGACGCCGCTGCAGATGCCTTCCCCCTGACTCAGCCAGCACACACAGCCAGACTCAGGCGCTCAGTCAGCCTCAGACGACGAGTGCTGCGCCCAGAAAACGCCATCGAGGCGTCGATCTGACGCGCCGACGGTGGCGCCCGGTAGAGTGGTGGGGCGCTACATGGTCTGCTGCTGGCTTCTATCGCATTTGAGGTCAGCGTAAGCCACCAAGCAGCCCACGTCGTGGTCGATGAGCCCGAACGCGAGAGCTCAGGCTGCGTGACGCCGAAGTCGTGTCAACTGCACCACAGATATCGTTCAACGCAAAGCAGTGATGTAGGGGCCTGCTCGTGGATCTTATCAAGCTGTCCGTGCATTGGTCGCGAGGCGTGATCGGTCTTGGAGGGTCGACATCGATGCCAAGAGTCACGCTCATACTAAATCGAGAAATTGTTAGGGAGCGGGCGTTTCAAAACCAACGCCAAGTCCTCCTTATCGCTATCTGTCGATCATCGCCGATGCAGTGGTACTTTTATAACATTTGGGATCCGGTCCCAGTGCATAGAACTCGCCGCGGCAGCAGCCAGCCACTGCTCAAATAACTAATACCCTACAGATAGTCTACAATCTGGTGGATCCAGCCAAAAGAAGGAGACTGGTTTCGAAGGAAAGGTTGCGATGCGAGGACGTGCTAAAACCCAAGTAACAAGGAATTGATGATAAGGCGGTTAATGTGACTTAACCGAGGATCTGCCACTCGACCTCAAGCTCTCCGGGGTCGTTGCTGGGCTGGTCGTCGCTGTCAAAGGGGATCGTGACGATGTTCTGGAGCTGGTTGAAAACGTTGGGCGAGACGTCAATGTCGCCTTGGTTGTGGCACGAAGGGCAAGAGTCAAGGATGGAAGCATCGACAGTGGCGCCGGTCTTCTTGTTGGTGATCCTGACCGTCTTGCCGCAGAAGCCGCTGACGCCCTCGGACGAGAGGCCACCTTGCTTGTACAGAGACGACTCCAGAGCAACCCAGTTGCCCTGGAGACCGCCGTACATGCTCCACTTGTAGTCCTTGCCGCAGTGGGGGTCGTCCATGTCGCTACCACCCATGGCCTTGTCCGTGCCGTCCCAAGGAGTGAAGTGAGTAGCAATGCCGGTGCGGACCTCGCCGCCGCCCTGGTTGCCCTTGTTCTCCTCCTGCTTAGGCTCCTCCTTCTTGGCCTCCTCGGTGGGGGAGGGCTTGGGGGCCTCAGTCGAGGTGGACGAAGGAGCGGCGGAAGACGAGGCGCCGGCGTCAAAGTACTCGGCGCCAGCGTTGTCGCCGGGCTGAGCAGCGTCGGAGGTGGCAGCGGGGGCAGAGGCGGAGGAAGCCGAAGGAACGGCGCTGGACTTGGAGTCGTTCTTCTTGACACGCTCCTCGGCAGCGGCAATGGCCTCGGCACCGGGCCAGCAGCGGTCCTTGCCGTTGTTCTTGTACCACTTCTCGACGTCGCCGCCGACGGACTCAAGGTCACCCTTCTTCAGAGGACGGCAGCAGTCCTGGAAAAAGCCGGTCTGGTCGTTGTGCTTGTCCGGGCAGCTAGAGGCGAGGCAGCGGGTGTGGTACTGGGCGTAGTCCTCGAGGTTGTCGTTCTTGTTGGCATAGTCGCGCGCCTGCAGAGGGGCAGCGGCAACCGACGAAGCGGCAAGGGCGATAGTAAGAAGAGAGGCGTACATGTTGATAGATTTGTTGGTTTTGTGTGGAGTAGGTTGCTGTAAAGCGAGTGTGTTTCGAACCTGCGAAAAGACTGTGGGGGTTGAAAGAGAATGTGTGAGCTTCGAGCTCTTTTTCGGTACAAGGAAGGTAGGGTAGAAAGAGATTTGTCGGTTGAGGGTTGAGGGAAGACAACTTACGAGTAGAGTCAGCCTTTATATACACTGTCGGAGCGATAGCTGTCAAAGGTGGAAGACGAGAGAGTCGGGTGCTGTACCTAAGGAGGGTGGGTGGGAGAAGTCGGGCGATAAGGAAGGTGAGGAGAGGAACGAGAGGCTTGGGAGGTCGAAAGAGAACGAAGAATGAGGGGGTTTGTGCAGGAGGAGAGAGAACGAGCGACCCGTTGGCGTTTAATAGGGCGTTAAGGCAAACTGATTCCGAGGGTGCTGAGCATAAACACGTACGCGCGCTGAAGCCTGAGTGTGCGGTGGTCAGGGCCCGAGTTGAGGGTGCGACCCGCGAGCGGCCCGGTGCCCAGCATGCCCAGCTGCCGGTGTGCTATTCTGGAGTCGTTCTGGCACTTGCGCTACGGGAGATGGAGTCTTAGTGCGTCTCGGGTTGATGGAGTCAAGAATGAAAGAGAATCTGCACAGAATGGCACCCCAACCCTGAGCATAGGAACTGGAGACCCTGGCTGGAAAGCCATGAGGGACATCCTTTTCCCGAAAAAGGAACACTCGCGCGTCTGTACCCCCGGTAGTCCCTGGCGTTCCTGTCTTCTGGACGAAACCCTAACACTTAGCGTGCTGACGAGAGCACGCTCGCAAATCCATGCGGCTCTCGAGGCATGGGAGGCAGAGGTAGTCTGTTCTGAGTCTCCGGAGTCTGGACCGCTGAAAAGCACGCTTCGTATTGACTGTGCAATCTGGGGTCACGCGTGGATCCTATTCACCCTTGCGCACTCCGCAAGCCCTAGCGCCAACGACCCAGGACACCCCTCCATCCAAGACCTCTGTAGCACTGCACCCTTGCCGGATAGCGACCCATCGTCAGCCAAGCTCACCTTCGGCCGTTCGTTTACAAAGCGAACGCCAACGACTAGTGAGCCCCTAAACAGAATCCAGGCTCGGCGTTGCACCCGCTGCCTTATGGATCAATCGCAGCCCCCGATTTCGAACAAGGTGGTGCAGACCGGTCAGCGGCCGGCACCGCGTGCGTCGATGCTAGTGGGAGGAAGGCTCCGCCCAAGCGGTCATTCGGACGGCCGATGCGGTTCGCGGGTAGGAGACCAGGAGATGAGGTCGCACCGCTGGACGGACGGCAGACGCTCTGATGCAATCTGGCCGCTGGTCGCTCGGAGGAGTGTATGCAATCAACAGGGGAAGATGGCACCGTTAGCACTGCCTGTATGGAAACTTGTTCGAATTGGATCAGACTTCTGGGTTGGAGCCCAGCTGACTAATGGAAACGCATATGTTTAATTCCCCTGCAAACTATACCATGAAATGTTGCATCGGATGGACCGCCTCTATATCGAGCACATCAGTGGCTGTCCCCCAACCCCTACCAAGCCGCCTCGGCGTGTTATTTTAGGCCCTGGGCTGATGGTCGGGAACACCTTGGCTCGCAGCCGTTGGTGCGAGAAGTCTGCAGATCGGCGATCAGTGCGTTGAAGGCATCTGAACAACCTATGACGCCTGCTGACCATCCAGTATGCGATATCGAAGAGCCACAACACGCATAGGTACGCAGCCTGTTCGCGGTGTAGTTGTCGGCTGGCATAGATTTAGAAGCAATTAAGGATTTCCTATTTACTGTCCTCCACAGCCCCACCATTGCCTCCGCACTAGGGGTTCTTGCACCCGCTCTGGTATCGACTACCGGACCAGTCAGCCAGGCAGGGTATAGGCATGCGATGACGGGGCAGTGGCACGCACGCTGCCTCACAGAACAGCCTCAGTCGAGCTCAACCTCATCGCCCTCCCGCCCGTCCCCTTTGCCTCGGCGTGCAAGTGGTCTGGACGATCTGGCTCCGTGCACTGCCGGCCTGTGCAAAACCCTTGCCATCTCCGTCTGCAAGAGATGCCACCCTAAACTCCTCGCGCTCCTCGCTGCTGGTCTCCCCAGGTCGCACCGGTACGCGTTTCCGAGAGAGCGGGGCTGTACAAAAGGGGGTGCTCGTAACCGCATACAATGACGGTAAACAAGCCATGTATGTGACCACCCGCGTCTGATTTTGAGGACCTCAAGAACCACTTTTGTCATTCGCAATTCATGATCTGTTATGCGACTCCCACGACCTCAGACCAAGAGCAACATCGTGTCCTGCCAAGAGAAGCGATGTCGTTGTACCATGGGAACGGGCACCAGGCACAGTTCATGTTGACCGGTACCTCGTGTCTGAACCTCTGATCGTATCCCGGATGAAAGTCAGTATCGCAACGTCACACTGTGTTAAGGATCCCGGAAACTCTAAAACGAACCACACCGCGTTCTTTCTTCGACACCCTCACTTGTGCGATGGCTGTGTTTAGTGGTTTCAGCCCACCGGCGACCAGCCGGCGAACGTCCTGAACTCGCGGTGCACGAGATGTCCACCAACGAGCTGCAACCGCTATGGCGTACCCGCCGCAAGCTGAACCCTCATCCGACCTGGCAGGGAAAGATGGGACACCAGAACGCAGTAGAGTTCGGTCAGTGGGTGTTTGGATGTTTGCAAGGTGACAGCCAAGCGCAGGATTGATGATCGACGCCCTTCGGTTGTTCTCGAACACGTTCAGAGTGTGCTGGAGCTCGTTGCGTGGGGAGGCCGCCCCAGACGCACGCCTTCAACTTTGCATGGACGGATGGCTCTTATGGCTCTGTAAGCGGCCTTGTAGATTCCCAGACCGGTAGAGAACCTGCGAACCTCGGCCATCTGTGCGGACTTGTGAGCATGGGAAGATGAGACGTGATGAACTCCCGCAGGACGTGCACTCTGAAACAGCAAGTAGCACCGATGAGAGCGAGCAGTTGGTGCGCTGAAGGGGATGTCTGGCGATCTCACCCTCCCGGCATGCCGGGTACCTCATGGCGGGTAGTACTCGTCTCCGAGGACCGCAGACCGGCACCACTGGTAACCCGGGAGTTGCAGGAACTTGCAGTGTCCGCGACGTAACTCAGCTCTGCTTGGGCATGTGCAAGTCCGATGGCCTGGTAGCACGCCTAGGCGTCCTACCGTCATCGTCAATGCGCATGTCCTATAGCATTCAGTGTATCTTGTTGTCCAAATACCAAGTCGCAAGATCACCAGGGCTCACAAGTACGGCACTTGGTGGTATTACGATTAGTTGTTCTACTTCAAAAGCACTTTGAAAACCTGCCCTGCACCTCTGCAGACAGAGACCGACGCAATAGTCCTGTGCGCTGGACGAATATAAATCACGTGAATGATATCACGTGGCTGCCCCCCCGGTCCCCAACTTCCGAAGCCCAGCACCAGATCGACAGCCGGCCCGCCCTTGGCTATCAGCTAGTTACAATGCATGCCGCATGTGGTCGGTTGTCTAGTGCATGGCAGAAATCTGATACGATGCTGTGTATCGTAATCCCCTTTGCCGGCATGTTCTGATCTTAGTGTGCAGGGTATTTTGTGACAGCCCGCCCTCTGGATCGCCTGTCGGACCTCCACCGGGGTAATCCGACGGAACGTCATTGCCATAAGTACGGGGCTGAAGCGAGCGCGACTGCAACCTTCCCCCTCCCCCTGTCTCTTCTTCGTCCACACTCAACATGGCCGCTGCTGTATCCAGCGGCAACGTGTCCCATTTCGCCCTCGCTGGTGCCCACAACTTCGCTGCCATGTCCGCCGCTCAGCCCATCCACATCGCGACTGTGAACATGTAAGTGGCAAAGCTGGCGGCGGGGGCGCACGGGTCATCTTAGCTTCCTCGGCTCGACGAGCGTTACGCACGCCCTTCCTCCCATCGGCCGACCGAGCAATCACGACTGCACACTTCCACTGATTAAGAATGATGCACTGACTCCCCAGTCGCTACGATGGCAACCGCGACAACCCCGTCCCCATCCCCGAAACTGGCGTGATAAACCCGCCGGACAGCGGCGGTGACCCATACCGCGAGTTCCCCTGGGCTGTGCGCCGCTCACGCCTTGTGGACGCCCTGCTCTCCACTGGTGATCTCGATATCATCGGCTTCCAGGAGGTATTGCACAATCAGATTCTGGATCTGAACGAACTGCTTGGCGAGGATTGGAACTTTGTCGGTGTCGGTCGCGACGATGGCAAGGAGGCTGGCGAATACAGCCCGATCTTCTACGACCAGTGAGTCTAATTACTGACGCAATCCAAACTCGGCGTTGCAAAGACGGGGTCGCCCGCCATCTGCTGCGTACGACGCCCTTCTGAAGGCTGAGGCTGACGACCAGCACGCGCTTCGAGCAGCTGAACTACAAGTCCATCTGGTTGAGCGACCACCCCGATCAGCCCGGATCGATTGGCTGGGACGCGGGACAAACACGTATCGCAACTCTGCTCACTCTCAAAGACGGCGACGGCGCTGTGCACGTTGTCAACACTCACTACGACGACCGCGGCGTGCAAGCACGTGCGCAATCCAGTTTGCTTATCCGCCAGGCTATCAAGGAGTTTGTCAACGAGTCCGAGTCCAAGGGAGCGCCCAAGAACGGCCCCGTCCTGCTGTTCGGAGACTTCAGTGAGTATATGTCTGAATCTCGGCCATGGTGTGATCCGCACCGGAGCTCGATCGATGCGCGACTGCGCATTAGGCTTTAACCTCTTAGCTCCGGAGAAATCTGGAGGGGGACCCTTCAACACAACCTGAAACGTTTCCAATGCACACACCGGCGCACGTGTGGCTGTGCAGCATGCCCTGCCCGCGCGTGCTTTCCTTCGTTTCTTCGAACGTTCCACCTTGCTTTTGAGTGATGACCGATGGCGTCCGCGCTGGTACGCCGACATGCGGAAACGTGCCGATGCGCAGATCTATTCTGGGCGGAAGCGATGGACGCTATGGATAGGCTCGGTCCGCTCGGCGCCGCCCTCCTTGCATCTGGCGTCGGGAAGCATGATACCGGAGCGGCCTTGGGAAAGAGCCCGCCCCGAAAGGCCGCCCTCGCCATGAAACTGAAACATTTTCGCATCACCGCGCGCATGGCGTCCAACTCGGCGCTTCGTCACTTCCAGAGAGAGAGAGACGGCGTCGGTGGCTGCCCGCGCTAGGCCCATGCAGACGCGTATGACGTTCGCGAGTGGAAGCTTGCTCTGCGATCGGGATATGACATTGTTCGAGCTTCCGATTGCTGGCCGCTGCGGCCATAATCACTTCACCGCTTGACACCTGAACGAGGGACACGTTCGCTGACTCCAGACTCGCCTGATAACGAGGACGGCTACAAGAACATTGTGTCCCAGAACCCGCTGCCGAACGGGAAAGACTCGTTCTCGTTCCTCGACACGTTCAAGCACGTTGAGCTGCGACAGAAGGGCAAGCGCGGCGGTCAGAGCGCGCCTTACGGCCCCCTGGTCACTTGGACTGGCTTCACGGCGCCGGGGCAGACGCAAACGACCCGCATCGACTTCATCATGATGGGCGCTGACGTTGGAAGCAACGTTGCCCGCGGAGGCTGGAAGTGCACGCAGTACTCGGTCATCGATAACTGGATCGAGGAGGGCGACAGCTTTGGGTGGACTGGGCGATGGAGCGACCACCGCGCCGTTCGCGCTACCATCAGCCCGTAGGTCTGCGCCATCCTCCGCCAGAGTAGTAGAGAGCCGGCTGCAGCGTAGTCGCTCCGTAAGTGTTCGCCGTATACCGCCTTCTGTGGAACTTTTCCACGTCGGAGTCAGTATCCCTTCATCGACGTTAGTTTTTAGACCCATATGCAGCAGAAAGTGAGAAGTGTTCCAAATTCCATCAAAGGCGTTTCGTTCGTCTTTCGTTACTGCTTGTCATTGTTCGTGGTTTGCCCCCGCGTCAAGGCTCACTTGATCACGAGGTCAACGTCGTCGAGCTTCCTATCCTTCTCCTCGTCCCCTTCCACGGTGACCTTGATACCAACGCCCGACGGGATGCACTGCTTGCCAAACTCGTCGATGAGCTTGCCCCTAGCCTCGACGCCGGTGCAGTGCAGGGGGACGATCCAGTCGGGGCGGGGGCTCATGCGCTTGCCGAGGAAGTTGACAGTCTCGGCGACGGGTTGCGTCTCGATCGGGATCAGGTGCAGCCCGCCAACGACCATGTGCACAGGGCGCTTGTTGAATACGTCCGGCGTCGAGGAGATAACGTTGCAAATGCCTGCGTGCGAGCACGCCGAGAACAGCACCAGGCCGTGTCCCTTCACGTCGACGGCGACGTAGCGTTCATCCTTGAGCAGCTCGTCCGTCACCCACCCGCCTCTCGGTTTGGCCGCCTGCGCCTCAGAGCCAGAGGTAGGCATGGCCTCCTCCCCCTTCGCCTTGGAGCCATCGGCGTCCTTCTCATCTTCGTTCAGCATCCACGTCACAGCCCCAGGCAACCCCTTCTCGAACGGGTGCACGCGCGGGATCTCGCCAGAGACGTACACGCCCGTCCCCTTGCCTGCGGCATTCTTGATTTCGTGTCCCTCGGCATGCAGGTCTGGGGCTCCGTTCAGAGCCCGCATCTCGCTGAAGCTTGGGTCGGGAAGCCAGTTCGTGATCGGAACGTACTTCGGGCCAGGGGCGAGACCTCGTCTGATCGGCCGATCCGGGTGCAGGTCCAGCTTCAGCGGAGTCTGCGCACCCTGCGCATTGCGCATCTTCAGAGTCTCCAGGATGCCTCCGGAGTCTACATGTCAGCTGTACTAGCCTCCGTCGGAGGTTTGGAGGAAGGAAGGTGCAGGGCCGTGGGGTCCACTCACGGTCGCGGTGCCAGTGGCTCAAGACGAAGGCGTCGAGCTTGGTCAGGTCGACGTCCAGGGCCTCAACGTTGCGGCGGATGCTGAGGCCTTCGGGGCCCGTGTCGAACAGAACCTGGAATTGCTCATCGCCTATCGTCGTCTTCTGTCTCCGTCAGCTTACCGTGGGGTACCATGTAGCTCACGATAAGTATGCTCAGGCCGTGGGCGCCGCAGCAGAAATCTTCGAACCGCGTGAGAGGAAGGCCAGTTAGCTCGTCCACAGGATTCAGGTGGTGGTGCAAATGCTGGGGCAGCTCATGGCTGAACCCTGGGGGGAGGCGTTGCAGACGCTCGATGCCTGGCGTCAGCTGGCCACAGTCGGGACGTAGCGTCAACAGATGGTGGTGAAATAAGAGGCTAATTGCTGCGGAAGTGAACTCACTGTTGTCCACGAGGACGAGGAACTCGAGCTTGTCGACACGCTGAGCCATGATGTGCTGTCAAGTTGCGAGAGGACGATCCATGCTTGAGTACGCCCAGATCCAACTTGCCCAGCAGCCTCTGGTGGAGGTATTCGTAAGGCTGAACTGATCGCCATTCGGAGTTCGATACCCCACACCCGACTTTCGGAGATGGCCGGGCGCGCGGTCATGTATAGTGGCGAACCAAACAACATGCATGCTAACAACAATGTGGATTTGTGAACGGTGCAGACTCTTTGAGCTGAAGCAAACAAGGCTACGGAACAGAATATGAGTTTTGAATACAGGCCCATAAGCTATGGGTACTGTAGAGTGACGAACCGAGGTTGGTTAGCGGGGGAAAGGCTTGAGATCGTCTGCAAGGTCGGCGGCAAGGCGACGTCTTTGAGTCGCGATCCTGCGCCGGAGATCTGCTGCTTGGGCATCGAGCTCATCTCTTTCGGATCCACGAGAGAGCTGGACTGTCGTGGGTTGAGGCGGGATCTTTAGGAGCCGTCCGACTTGGCGACGCTTGAACTTGGCCGGTGGCGTACGAGAGACCTTGTCTTCGGTCGTGATCGTAGCTGCACGTTTGAGGGACCTGAGATGCTGGGAGGATCGACGCTTCTCGCTGAGGCGATGACGACTGAGGAAGCTCCCCCGCTTCTTATAGTTGCCGTAAGTGCGAGCGTTGGAAGGAGAAGCTTCAGTCGACCTAGCAGATCCAGCGGAGCGGGCGGCCCTCGCGGACCTGGCAGACATGGATGAAGCGGCACTGAAGAGTCGGGACCGGAGGGGAGGGCGCGGGGCTCGCTTGGCGCCGAGGGTTGACATCTCATGCTCAGTATCCTCGACATAGCCGGAGGTGGTCGATGCGGGTCGGCGGCGACTGCGCACCATCAAGGGGTGGAGGAAGGTGAAGCGATCGAGGAACATTTGTATGGTCAATGGGGTGGTCAACTTTGAGGGTGAGTGAGAGCAGCCGGCAGCGTTTGAGGCAAGTCGTGAGGACAAGGACGGAGGGCAGACAAACAGAGGTCCAACAGATCTGTGGGAAGGTTAAACGATGCGGTGAAGATAGCAGGAGGGAACGCTTGAGCTGCAGGTGGTGAAACACTAACGACGGCGAGACTGTCAGGCCCCAAGCAACAGAGAGCAGAGGGGAGCTAATGACCTATCCAATCGACATGTTCGATAAGCAGACCGTCAATTAGCGATCTGTTATTATTATCACCACTAGGGGCGGCGGACTTCCGCAGGAACGAGCATCGCTCACGGCTGCCAGATCCACCGCTGCTGAACGCGAAATTGCTATCGCTCTCTGGTCAAGAGTCCATCGCACACGCACGCTGCCAAACTTGCTAGCATGCTGGATGGCTTCAGTCGGAGCCCCGAAAGTCCAGTATGCCGCTGACCACCCATCCAGCAATCTACCGGGTTGGCAACTTAAATGTCAATCTCTGAGCACTGCGGCAAGCTTGCCAAGACCGCCATGCCGAGCGATCGAGGCCCAGATCGAGGATCGAGCCGGTCGCACTCGGAACCGCCGGGAGGTGCATTCACGAGGCCACCTGTTAGGTCACGGGCAATGATGACATTCCAGAGATCTGTGGGGTCGTCTCAATCAGTGTGCAGGCTCTGGAATAGTGGGAATACGCCCGAACGGTTCAGGTACCATGCACCACGGCAGATTGTCAGTCACCGTGAGCGCCCTCCTTGTATCAGTAGCATAACGTCGTGAATCAGGCGAGATCGGTCCGGTTCTTCCGCCATGCAGCTGGGCATCCGGGACGATCAGCGCAGTGACCGTGTCATGTCAGTGAGCTGCGCCATCGACGTGGAGCTGAGAGTCGCATCTAAGGTGTCTAAGTTAAGCCGAAGGGCCGGGTGTAGGGGTCTGGGTTCGCGGAGTGCCATTGCCGGTAGCCGGTGTGTTGGCGCCGCTGGGACCGAACGACGAGACGGCAGGGATCTCGTTCTGGTCCCCTCCCTCCGCCATGGTATTGATGTAGGCGCTACGGGTCAGCTTCGAGGCAACGGTAGAAATCATTCAACGCACTTGAGGAAGTGCCTCCAGCTCGCCTTGGACGGCGTGAAGTGGCCACCAGTGTGGTGCTCAACTCGTCCGTTCAGAGTGGCGTCAATGAGAGACTGACTGCGCTCAGGGGTGACGACAACATCGTTGTCTCCCAGCACATGCAGAACCGGCAGTGATTCGGAGAGCGGGAAGTAATTTGAGAAATCCGGGTTCTTGGGCTCGGGCTTGAAACCACCGACAGCAATAATGACTGTGAAAGTCAGAACCGCAGGATTATGTACTGCATGCTGTATGCAGTGTACTTACACTTCGGCTTCGGAAGACCTTCGGGGAAGTTTGGGTGGAGCCCGGGCTTCTCGAGCTGGAGCGTTAGTTACCGGCCGAAGCCGCCTCTCACCAAAGCACCCAGAACAGCAGCCATGCAAGCTCCCTGAGAGAATCCCATAATACCGTCGAAGGGCCCGTTCTTCTGCATGAAGTCGTACACGTAGGACACCGTCTCGTCAAAATCTGCCAATATCAGCGTCGCTCTGGATGACCACGGCTTGCTCGGAGCCGCCGACTCCGAGATTTGCTTAGCGATTGGAGTCTGAGCGCTAACAGCCGCCTCATGAATCTGCAGCAAGCTACGATTCCGAGCTTGCCGGCCCACATACGATGGCACCCCTACTCACGCTTGTATACGCTCCTGTCACCCGGGCTCAGCCACCAAGCTCGAGGCGTGGTCTCAGGCGTCTGCTCGGCCTCCTCGGTCGTCGCCGACGAAGCAAAGTCATCGAGGCGCTGGTTCCACGGCATGTCCGCCTTCTGAACAATGACAGGGGGCTCCAAGAATACGAACTCGGCATTCTTGCACGTTTTCCGGATTGCGCCGAGCTGCTCGTTAGCGAGAAAGCTCGAATGGGTGCCTGTGGACCGGCGTATGCATCGACCTCGTTCTGGAAGTTCGAAGAGACAAGAGCAATGTGGAACGCAGCGTCGCCGAGCCAACGCTCAAACTCTGACACCTGTCTCGGGCATGTCGTCAGGCCACAACAAGATGGCGCCGAGATCTACCCAGTGCGCAAGTCCCGAGCCGATACCATTTGCCATTGCCGCCGGACGCTTGAACGTGCTCACCTGTTTGGAGTAGATGGTCGCATTTTGCGTGAAGCCACAGAGGGCGAGGATTTTGATAGTCATGGTGGATGAGTCGACGTGATGACCAAGAATTGTGGGAATGGCAAAATCGTGATCCCCGTACGGTTGCGGGGTAGATGCTGAAACGCTTGGATAGTCCGGAAATACGCCGAGCGCCGCGCCTCCACTCAAACAGTGACTGCCGCGTCCTGGATAAGCACACACAGCGTGCGGTGGGCTACACAACTTTGTCGGCAGCTACGACACTCAAGAGCGTGCCAGGGCGCTCAGCGCGCTGACTCAACACCGCACTGCAACGCGTCTGCACATTCCGTTCGTTTAACCTGCTATCCGAGCGACGCATCGCCGTTGCCCACGTTCAGCCGTCGTGATATAATGCTGGTCCAGAGAGACTATGTCTGTTGACTTCCATCGATCATCGCAATACATTGCAACTCGTCGGTCACGGCACGAGGCTGCCGAGCATCAGAGCCTCCACCGCCTTCTCTCCTGCAAGAGATCATCCCCCTTCTTCGTCCTGCAAGTGAATTACGCCTTCCTTCGTCGAGCGCCATCGCGCCAAGCGCCGTACCCCTGCTTCACTGGAGCCCCACAACCACGTGGCGTTAACTCTTTGCTCGACGTCCAAGCTGAAAGCCTGATTTCCGCCCTTCGCTCGACTTTTGATTTCCTCTCCAGAGCCAGCACCGCGAGCGATACACGCCCGAAACACGACCACGATGGCGCCCTCTGAAGACGTTACCATGGACGGCAAGAATGAAGTCAAGTGAGTGGACTTGCGGCATTCTATCTGCTCTCGTGACTGACTGTGATCAGGAAACCCGTCGAGGATGGCGAGAACAAGTGAGCTGGCTGGCTTTCGGCCCGCAGGCGTCTAACAGTGCAGGTAAGACTTCTACTTCACCTTCTACAGCAGCCTCCAGAACCAGTACGTGCAAACCCTCCCTCACAGCAGAGAGTTGACCTCTTCGCAGGGCGAACATGATCGGCGACGTGTCAAGAACTGGCACCTACCGCAAGGCTATCCTTGGAAATGCTGCTGCGGCTATTCGCGACAAGGTCGTGCTGGACGTTGGAGCCGGTACGTCACTGAACTTGATGGAGCTCGCGGCTGACTTGCAACAGGTTCCGGTATCCTGTCTTACATGGCGGCTCAGGCCGGCGCGAAGGCTGTCGTTGCCCTCGAGGCGTCGAGCATGGCGGAGAAAATTCAGATTGTGTGTTTCAGCCTGTTATGGTGGATAGATCACTAACTCTCCAGCTCGTTGATCAGGCCAACAAGGACGAGACCAACCCGCATCTGCGCAACCGAGTCCGCGTGGTGAAGGGCATGGTCGAGGACAAGAAGGTCCAGGAAGACGTGATGAAGACGGGAAAGGTTGACACGATCATCTCTGAGCCCATTGGCGTTATGCTGCTTCACGAGCGGATGGTACATTTCATTGGCGGCGACTGCTGACGGCGCACAGGTGGAGACTTTCCTCCTCGCTCGCGACCTCTTCCTTAAGCCCGGCGGCAGCATCCTGCCCTCGGCCGGTCACATCTTCTTCTGCCCCTTCTCGGACGAGGGGCTGTTCAACGAGACTGAGCAGAAGGTATCTGCTTATCCTGGATTTTGCTGACATGCCAGGCCCAGTTCTTCAACCAGACCCTCTTCGGTACCGACTTCACCGCACTTTACGAGCCGGCTCGAACGGAGGTCTTCGCGCAGCCTGTTGTCGGAATCTTCCCTCCGACCTCGCTGATGTCGGCGCCAATGGCCCCCAAGACGTTTGACTTCTACACCTGCAAGCTCGACGACCTGCTTGACTTTGAGATCCCGATTGAGTTCATCGCGTCGCGGACTGCTGTCATGCACGGGCTGGCATCGTGGTTCGACCTCGACTTTGAGCCGAGCCCGCCGAACCAGCCGGCTGATGAGACGGAGGAGGAGCTCGTGCGTCAGTGGGACTACCCGGTTGGACAGGCGTCTGCCAACTGGCTGTGGATGCCGGGAGAGCTGCCGCTGAACCCGGGTCCGACGCCGGAACCGCCACGCAAGGGCCTGAAGGTCACGCTGTCGACGGGACCCAACGGTGAGTACAGCTGCGCAGGTTAGGACTGACGCTCAGCCGTTCGGACGCACTGGCAGCAGGCGCGCTTGCTGCTTCCGGAGCCGCTGGCCGTGAACCGGAACGAAAAGGTCGTCGGCTCGATCAAGTTTAAGGTGAACGCGTCACGGAGCTACGACCTGACGCTCGATATTGCTGTCGACCGTCCGGGCCACGCTGCGCAGCCCAATCCCCTGCAGCGAGTCGCGACCTACAACCTGTCCCAGCAGACCTTCAAGTGAGTGTTCGACTGAGTGTGGGGTTAACGGCAGCTACTCCTACACCGGCGAGCAAACGGCCGGCGTTGTTTAGACACGCGCAACGATCTTGACTGGCCCACTCTCACGGGAGACTTGACCACCCCTTCCTCATCTCGATGAGGTACTCCGCCTCTCATGTGTACTTCGACTCTCCTCTCCGTTCAGCTTCTTCTCCATCTCATAACTACTCACGCTACACCATCCGATACCCGCTGGCCGCGTTCCCTCCGCTTTGTCATTCCGTTTTCATTCAGATTCTGTTCATAGAGGCTAACTTGCATTCCACTTCCATTTCACACCATCGGTTCGTTTCTAGTTATCAATAGCCACATAGCTCGATGCCATCGCCACTACCACCGCCATCACCTGCACTCGTACCGGCCAACAGCCATACCGGGCTATCAGGAAAGGTACTCGTGCGTAGATAAGGAAGCGGCGGGCCGAGGCCGCGCCAGCGCCATTTGGTACGGCGATAAGGTGGTCAAGATGGTGCGATAAGAGAAGGTTCGTCAAGGCAACGTGCCATGCCTCCGTCCCCGGCGCCTTCTGACAGCGCCTGAGCATGGCCAGACACGGCCCACGGAGCCCAGCTCGCCTGCTCCACATCCTGCGGCCGTCCCAGGCTCATTCATGTGCTCAGCCAAGCGCCGCGCCGCTCGTCGTGAAGAAGCCTTGCAGCGATGCTGTGCCGCTCCACAGGCGAAGCCTTATCGGTGCTCCACATGGGCCTGGAGTGACAATGCTGTTCTTCCGCCAGGCCCGCCAGATCCGTCACGGCACCCACCTGACAAGTGACAAGGTTGCCGCCGAGGGCGAGATGTGCGCTCCGATGTTCCGACGTTCTATGCTCCAATCCTCCGCTTTCCGAGCTGGAGCCCAGAGGGGCCCAGAGCATCTCGCCACTCCGAGATGACGAGAATGCCTCCTCGCAAGCACTTTGCCACACCCAGTGACGGCCACGAGCGGTGACATACCGGCTACACACACCCCGATGCAGATGAAGTCACTGCGGGCACCTAATGTGCCCGCCACTCAGCGCTGCAGCCTGGGTTGAGCTGACGCCATACCGACACGCAACAGCTGCACACTGCGACAGTCTTTCATTAACGATCAGTTACGAACCTTGTGAACCTTGTGTTTATGCGAGCAGTGGATCCTCGCTCCGGGGTACCGGGGTGGAGTCGCGTGTCCTCGTATGTCATCCCCTTCTGTGTCCGATCCTGACGTCTGGTTCGCCGAGCGACGTGAGGGCTGTCTATCACATGATGTGGCTAGCAGAGATAGGCGATAAGCCGTCCCGCTTTGGCGCTGTGGTGGCATGTGACCGCACCCCGGTTGTTAGATACCGGCTCTTTTCATTCTATCATTTGACCTACCTGCCGCCAGGCCGAAGTCCAGATGGAGAGGTGGCATTTGACCTCGCTCGAGGCTCAGCACGTACCGTCAACGAAAGAGGTAAAGAACAAACAAGGTGAGGGAGGCGGGTCCATACGGACCAGCTTGTACCGTATCGGTCAGTCAGGATAGACAGCGATTCAGCGTGATTCCCACACTTGGGCTCGACGATCACGTCGGACGTGCATGTCGGACTGTCGGCCTAGGACAATGTGAACGGGACGCCCGATCGAGACGGTGATATTGGGACCCCGAAACACCATATTCCCTGCATCGACAAGCTCAGAGTAGCAGCAATTGCTTCAACTCGTTGAGCTCGATGAGAGTGAGAGGTAGCGGAGCAAACCGACACACCGTGGTACTAATTCGTCCGTCGCTGGTTACTCTTACTGCACTCTGGCACATTGCATGCCTCGCGTAAGTGTGCCCAGGGCTCAGCGTCGTGGGAATTGGCGTGCCTCGCGTCGTGTGTTCCTCACGCTACGTGCCTGGTCCCCCTCCTGCCCCGCTGCCCCGCCGCAGTGTAAGCGGTGGGGGTGCGGAGAGTAGTGCCTGTGCCTGGACCGACGACCCGTCAGCGCAGACGAGTGCAGACGGAGAAGACAAGCAAGGGTACCGAACAACGAGCCGTCGTTTGTCTCGGATCGTCGACTGTCCTCCTTTTGAGGCCCCGTCGTCCAACAGGCGACTGCTGCTGACGACGAACGTGGTCGGTATAGCGCAAGAAGCGCGTGCTGGAATCGACCTCCTCCTATGCCTGTACTCGTAGCCTTCGCATCTGCGCGTCGATCAAATTAGTTTAAGATAGAGTTCTGCACATTTCACCGCATCAGAATTGTTTGTAACGTCGGATGCACCGACGCACGCCTCGCTGAACTCTGTGTGCTTTTCTGGCGTGCGTCGTAATACAAACTCGAGACTTTGGTGCGTGCGCTAGTTTACTCTCCCTTGCATCGTATGAGGTTTGACGACGCAGACGCCGAGGACGGACAGACTGCTGTGCACATTTCCTTGGAACCGCGGAGCATCAGATATCCCGTTCTGTCACGTTCTTGACGGCGATCGTCGGCTGCGCGCAGGGCTGCACGAGTACATCGGAGTGGACGATCAAGCAGTTTATGCACAGCCGTGCTCTTCGCTTCCTTAATCGTGAGTGTGACACGCGCACCGCACGCGGAGGTCTGCTGCGCCGGGACGGTTCTTGCGACTCTGCAGTCACCTATTGCATCATGCTCACTGCCACCTTGGCCCTCGATGTCATCATTGATGGCCCTACTCACGATCCTCGGCGCCCTTGATGACATATGCATGTTCATATTGGTCGAGGGTCACTCAGCTTTCAGTGCCTTCAGGCAATAGGCAGTGTGGTGCGGACGTGCCTGCGGCACTGTCGACCTTGTGCCTCTGACTATCGCTCCATGCCGCCGGGGTGCATTTCTCCGCCTTCTTTTCGCCTTCTGCCTCTTCCGGTCACTGCGATGCAGCAGCTGGCGAATATAGCGACGAACGATCACGAGCGTGAAGGCCATCACGAATGCAATTTACCCCGGAAGTCGCAGTGACGGTCCTGCCGGTGTCGCGACGGGATGCCAGGATAGCACACACAGACCCGGGCTGTCCGGACGCGTCGACCCTTTCCTTCCCCGCGTCGTGTGGTGCGTGTGGTCTGGGAGACTCCGCGTTCCATTCTCGGTCAGCGGGGTGCTCCTCTCCACATCCTCGGTGTGAGACCTATCGTACACGTCGCTCATTGCGTCAGATAGTCGCCGATGGGCATTTCGGCGCCCGGCTGCCTCATCATTTCGAAGGTGCCGGCACCTCGGTGCGCGGCGGATAAGAATGCCTGAGTGGAAGGTAGCCCGCCCCTCCGGTCTGCTCAATGTGTGCTGCGCCGTAAAAGAGGGAGTCGAGGAGAAAGAGCGGGGTGCATATCGGAGGGTCGTTACTTGAAACAGCAACCTACGCTGTAAAGCCGCGCATTAGTGCCGTCTTCTTCGTACCTTGGCGACTTGATTTTTGCCTTTCTGTGTGCCGAGAACTGAGGGCGCTCTTCGCTTTACTGGTATCAGCCGTAGAACACGATCCAGGAGCTTCCATTGGAGATGGCGGGTACCACGAGGCAAGGAGTGATCAGCAGGGCCGGAGATAGAGCCCAGGCTGAAACGTTGAGACCTCAGTTGCGGGTTGCGGCTCCGTTCTTGGATGTCCTGCGTGGCGTGCTCTTGGTCTCTCTCAGTCGCATGGTAATTGGTGTCGAGCAGCAGCTGGAATAAGCGAAAGGCGGCGTTTCAGAAGAAGCACCTCTGACTCTTGGAAATGCTCATGAATATCGGAAACACTTAAATGAAGCAAGGGGGCAGGGGTAATCGTCACAGCTGCATCGCGTCTGCTACAACCGCAACCGCAATTGCGGCCGCTATCGCGATCTGCGTTGACCCTGTTATACACCGAAGCAACGATGAGTGGAGGAGCAGTGGGTTAGCCGCGGTTAGGACAGCGTATCGCGTAGAAGCTGCTGCACAACGTAAACTGTCCATAACTGAACAAGCGGTCGGTTCGGTGAGACATGCGGGTCACCATGGGCACGGGAACTGGCGGCACATTCGGCAGCGGCATAACGACAACGGCATCGTCGACCCACCGAACTTACCCCGCATTCTGTCCCCTATGCACCCTCCTTTCGTTGACAAGAGCTCAAGCGAGGCATTTCTGCCTGATAGAGATGGCAACCCTCTGCACATCTGCTGATCCGCTCAGCGCGGTGTCTGACAGTCTCCCGTGCCTGCATCCGTCCAGCCCTCGTCGGTGTCTTCGTCAGCCAGTCCGAAGCCACGACCATAGCCACAGTGCGCACTTCTGGTCCTTCATTGTGTCAGTTGTTAGGACGACTGCGGGCGTTGAATGTGTCGGACCTCAAGCGCCGCATGCGCCGCAGGTGAACCGAGTAAGCAGAGGAACCAGAGGAACGTCGAATGGACAGCTGGGCCGTCCGCCGCACTGCGCGTCCGCGGTGCGCGCCGTAATCATGAAAGGCCCAGTCCCTGCATGTCGAGAGTTGATGAATTCCAGGACCGTACGACTGGCTCCGTGATGAATGAGCCGAGAGTTGTTGCGGCGCTGTGGATTTCCCGATGAAAAGCCTGTTCTGCGCCTGGCGGAGAAATGCAGTGGACGCGGCTTGGGTATAGGCTGGATCCAGCAGATGACAACGTTGCGATAGACGCACAAAGGCAAGATGAGGAACTCAGGCGAGCTCAGGCCAGAACGGCGGATGTGACTGATGAATGGTCACGGGCTGGGAGCGTGACGGGTGTACGGCGTCGAAGTTGACGAAGAGTGCCTCGTCTCGTTGCATGCAACGCACATGTCGACACTGGCAGAACAGGTCCAGATGGCGCAGACCTCAGGGGCACGCGAGGGAACCCGCCGCCTCTGCCCTTATCCCTCCGTGTCCTCTGCCTATCTGAGGTAGCGGTTAAGCGCCTGGCCCTCGGCCTCGTGAGCCTTTCGGCCCCCAGCCCTGAGATTCCCCTTGCCTTTGTTCTCTGGTCTTCCGCCTTCAACCTCGTGGCCAGCCAGGGGGCCGAGGCTACAGAGGTCCTCTGGTGGTATGCCTTCACGCTCTCGGTGCGTGCTGCGTTGTGGCCTTGGCGCTAGACCCCCAAGTTTGGTACCTGAACAGGATCAGCTCGCGCGCTAAACTGCTGCAGACCATGCAGAGAGTGAGTGAAGGAGCTGGCCTCGATGCCCCTGCAGGAGCCGCGGGCCATCCACCGGTCGGTCAGCGAGTGCATGCAACGAGCAAGACGTTGCGACTGCATGCAGCAAGACGAGATCAAAGACGTGCCTTGCCCTTGGGTGAGCGAGCTTGAGCGTGAGTACAGCATACCTGCCAGGTCAGACCTTCCTGTCAGGTCCAAGTCATGACTGCAAGACACCACCAGTTCCAACTTCGCTCTGCCTTGTTCTTCCCACCCGGCTATCGGCCACCGGCCCTCGAGACTACCACACTCTGCAACCGCTCATCCTCTCTAGTCACCAGCCGTTCCTGCTCCTCGTGCTCCCTGGCGGTTTGTCTGCGTCCTGCGTCCTGCTCCTTGGCGCTTCCTTGACCCCGCACTCTATACGCACACTGCACACCTACGACTATTGCATCCACTTTTGTCTTTTGTCACCATCTCATCCTCCGCAAACACCTCGGCCAAAGCCAACCAGCAGTCTTCGCGCACGCCACCGTCGACTCTCTGGCCATCTGTCACCAGCCGGGCCCTACGCCACCACCACTCCGGCCCTCCGCCCTCCGCCCCTCCCTGCGCCCACGCCTGAGTCTCAATCCTGGTGTCCTGCTGTCCTGTGTCCCCAGCCGACGCCTTCCCTTCCATCTTTCCTCTTCAATTTTCCTCCATCCGTCTGTCAGACCAAGCTCGCTTCCCAGGGCCGCCGTCCGACCCGTTCTTCGACCTTCGACCTTCCGTCGCGGCTCTGGCTTCTTTTCCCACCGTTGCCACGTCCCGTCGCATCCTTCCCGCACATCTCGCTCCGCATCTCCCCCGGCCCTCAACGTTGCAACGCATAACGACGCCTCCTGTCGCTTTCGACTTGACTTGATCGGAATTCCCGGCGTCATTCCTCTGACACCTCATCGACCTTGATCCATCCGATCCGTCAATCCGTTGATCAGTGCGAGTCTTCGACGCATCAATCTTCGAATTTCATCAGCGGCATCGAATCCGGTTCATCTCAATTGACATCTGTCTGTATGGTTCTCGACATTGTGTCCGACGAAACAGCATATTAGGTCCGCAACCTCGTCGATACACGCCGTTCCTTGAACCCCGTGGTTGACCCTCGCCGCAAAGCAAATTCCGTCTTCCCTTTACCTTTCAAAGAGGACGTCAACCCATTCCATCTCTACCTTCGACTTTCACATCGTCATTTCTCTCTTCATACCGGTCCGTCTTCACCAGTCGTCCACCATCCAGGCAATCCACGACAGAACCTAAAGCTCGGTAGAGGCTGGGATGGACTCCTGGTCAACGTCATCCCCATTCTCGACAGACTCTACAATACCCTCTTCTCCTGAAAGATCCGGCGGCAACAACGGCAATCGTAACACGTCCTCCGGCCCGTGCCCACCACCTGTCTTCCCTGCCACCTCTGGCTATCCATTCATGCAGGGCATGCAGGCCCTCCTCAGTAACCTTGCTGGATCGTGAGTAATCCACCTCTCTAGTGGACGAATAGCGCTGACTAGGTTCAGGTCACCGTTCGGTTCAGGTTCCTTTTCGGCCTCACCGGGGGGCGTTCAACCTAATGCCAATAAGGCCATTACGAACGATGCCAAGTCAGCTCTCCCAGTGAACATTCAGCAGCGCGTCGGCGTCCAGTCCGTTCCTCCTCCGAGCATGACCTCCTCAGCGCATGGAGGCTCGCGAACGGAGCCACCGAAACGCATTTACGACGTCGAGGGCCTCACGCTCTCGACCCCCACCATCGATGACGTTGCATCGTCATACCCTGCGTGAGTCTACTTCTTCTGCGACGGCGGCCGTGCATCGCGATTCTTTCAACTGACGACTGCAGACGCAACAAGATTCTGCTGCAGGGCGACCCCCAGCACATCCAAAAACAGCGTGTCGAGACCGCCATCCGTGTAATCATTGACATTCTCCGCACCATCCCTCCGTCTCCCTCCAATCCTAATGTCTCCCCCTCCATCGCGACTCTTCTTCCCCAAGACCCCGCCGGCAATATCCTCGCCTCTTTTGAGCGCTTAGCGAACTTTCGAGGACTGCGCCTGCAGGCAGGAACGACGACCAAGGCGAGCTCGAAGAAGCAACTCGCCGCCGGAGCGGTGCCTGCGCACCAGCTGGCGTATCTGGAGACTGCGGTCTACATGAGCGGAGAGAATGGCAAGCGTGTGTATGCTTGTAAGCGGTGCCGTGGGCGCGAGGAGAGGCGGCGAATGAACAAGGACGCCGCTCGCAAGAAGCAGATCACGCCCGCCGTTGATCCGACCACACCAGCTCCGCAGCCGAAGCCGTCACAGCACCCTCCGACGGAGGACTACATCACGGGTGTCAACTCGGCCCAGTACGACCCCCACCGCGTCACGCAGGTAGTTGAGGAACCGCCGTGGGATCCGGCGGTCCCCGACTGGCGACATGAGATCGTTCTATTCAACTCGGCTCCGGAGATGCCCATGAAGGATGGCAGCTGCTATTGGCTCCCATTCCGCGTCATCTGCTACTGCAAGTGTCACGGCGAGAAGGTCGGATTCCGCATCAAGTTCACCCTTCGCACTTTTGACGGCCGGATCATCGCCTCGGAGATGACGAATCCGATCAAGATCACCGATGACCACAAGACCGACGCAAAGTCTAAGCCTCGCGCGGACCGTCTGGCGTCTGCGACTCCGGCGCCTTCGCGCCCGCGCAAGGGCCGCATGAGCACCGCGTCTTCGCAGCGGCAATCGCCCGCTCCGTCTGAGAGCGAGATGAGTGTCGCATCTGAGGTTGGTCCTAGCGTCCAGAAGCAGACTCCTCAGGTACGCCAGAACAAGCCTTACGATCGTCCGCCTTCGCAATCGCCCGCCGTCCAGTCCTCAAACCTTCCTCCGTTTGACTTCATGTCTCAGATCAACAATGAGCGACCAAGGCTCTCGCGAGAGCCGTCTGCGTCGTCTTATGCGTCACCAGCGGACATCACGAACTGGACCGACGCACTGCAGCAGGTGACTGTCAGCCCTGACGCACTCCGACGACCTGACTTTGCGGGATTGACGGCGCTGAACCTCAACGCTCACAACATGGGTGTGAATGGTGTGAATGGTCACGCCAACGGCCAGCGCATGGGAAGCACAGACTTTGGTACCATGCCCAACGGTCTTGGTGGCACCGGTGTCTCACATCAGAACGATCTCTACGGCAGCGGTCTCAACTCGAACAGTCTCACCTCTGGCAGCCTGAACTCGGCGGGCAGCCCCCTCGACCTGTCGTCCCTGAGTGCAGGTATGCCTTCTGTGCAGCCCATGATGTTCGGCAACAACAACAGGAACGGTGCGAACGATGTCGACATGGGAAATAATGTGAACCTCGAGAACATGCTCTTCAACCCCGGTCACTCGACGCAGAACTCGATCTCTTCGAGTTATCAGGACGACCAGTCTTCCGTGTTCTCTGGATTCCAGCAGGGCAGCCTGTACAGCGAGAGCGGATTGCCTCCGGAGAGCGCCCTCGACGACATGATCGACTACTCGGGCGGCGAGAGCACGGGGGCTGTCAGCCCGATGCAGCACCTCAATCTCTCCCCGACCGCGCCCATGGGCCAGCTCGACCTTTCGGGAGTCAACGGCCACCAGTCGCCGTACGGACAAGCTAGTGGCTTGCCTCCTGCGGCGACTCAGGCCGAAGCCGAGGCTCAGACTCGCGCCCTGCTCCAGATGCTTGGTCGCCCGCAACAGCCATCTGTACCCACTCCGACTGTGTCCCACGTCATTCCTGCCGAGGGAGACATGGCGGGTGGAACCCCTGTTGCTATCGCTGGCTCCGGCTTCACTCGCGAGACTGTCATTGTGTTTGGTGGACGTCCCGCGACTACTTCGTTCGTGTCCGACTCCTTCCTGCAGTGCACGCTCCCCCCTAGCCCGGTTCCTGGAGAGGTGCCCGTCACGGTCCAGAACGTCACTGCTGTGTCGGTTGGACCGGGCATGATGTTCAAGTACACCGGTATGGACAAGGAGATGATGCGCCTCATGCTTGAAGTTCGTCAGCTTCATGGCTCACAGGACCCCGCCGTCCGCCTCGTCGATCACATCGCCCGCTCAAACCACAACAGCGACATGTCCGACCGCTCCAGCCCCAACGGCAACAACTCGTCGCCGTTTGACTCGGACGCTCCTAAGAAGGCTCGCCGTCCGTCTGCCCCGAAGAAGGACCTGCAGACTACGCTTATCGAGTGTCTGGAGATCATGGATGAGTCGTCGCCTGGCTCGCTCCGCCGCTCCGGTGTCGTCAACCACGCCAACAAGGCTCAGCAGACCCTTCTGCACGTTGCTGCCGTCATGGGTTTCCACCGCCTCCTTCGCCGCCTGGTCGTTGTCGGTGCGCACCTCAACACCCAGGACATCAACGGATTCACTCCTCTCGCGTTTGCCGCTCTTTGCGGACAGCCGCAGTGCGCGCGCGTGCTCCTCGAGGCTGGTGCTTCGTACGACGTTCCGACCTCGCTCGGCGAGATGCCTTTGGACCTTGCCAAGCTCGCCGATGGCAACCCTGTCGAGAGCATCCTGCTCTCTGCCGTCTGGGCCACCGCTGTTCCCGAGGAGGAGGACGACCATGCTTCCATCATGTCGTTCGACGACAAGAGCGAGATCGACGACGACAACCCGAGCTCGGACGACTCGGACGGTGCTAACAGCACGTCGGACGCTAGCCGCATTCTCCGCCAGCGCAGGATCTCCCGCAAGGCGAAGAGCAGGGCGAAGCGCAGGATGTCGTCGGTGCAACACACTGTCAACCACCGCCGTGCTACCCACGAGGACATCACCCACGACGTCGACGGAACGGTTATCCCTATGCCTCACGAAGACCCGCCTCCTTACACGCCCCCGAACCAGCCCTCGTGGATGTCGAGGACCATCTCGAACATCTCGCACCCGATCCAGGACAAGGTTCTGCACAACTTGCCGTTCTTCAACGGGGACAAGGTCTCTCTTCCAAATGGCTGGGTTGCTTTCCCGGCTCCTCCCTCTTGGGACACCCTGAAGAACATCACCAATCCGGAGGACATCAAGCTTTTCACCCAGGCAATGGCGGCTGCGGCCTTCAACGCTGTCGTGCAGTCTGGCGCCACTACGTCTTCCAAGCTCGACGAGAGCTCCCCGTCGACTCGCTCTCCCAAGAAGTGGCGTCGTCGCCGCTCCAGCGTCGACTCGCGCTCGTCGCGTGACATTCAGGCGACTCAGGTCGTGAAGCAGGTCAAGCAGGACCGGATGCTCTACTTGTTCTGGCTCCCCGTTCTGCTGTTCGTCGGCTTCTGGCTGCTGGTGACTGCGCTGCCCATCGCTACCGGCTTTTGCTTACTCTACGCTCGGCAGATCAGTCGCGCGATCAAGCAGCGCCTATAATAGACTTCCCTTTTACTCTTTTCATTTTTCATTCTCTGTCAGTTAGAATACATGTAGGTCGGCGAGTGTGAGGTGGGGAGGCGAGCGCAAGGGGAGGTTGAATGTTGATTTTGGTATCAGGAGAGGGGTTAATAATATCGTCAACCATTTGTAACCATGCCTATGTTAGCATTTATCGCAATACATTCTTCTGTGTAGCAAGAGTCGAGGCCTGACGCATGCGTGTGTGGTGTTGTCAGATATTGATGGAAGCGGCACTGGTTCGCTGCGCAATACTCGCGGATTGGTGCCAAGTCCAGGTAGTACACAGCATCAAGTCCGCCAGGCACGTCGCCTGAGGCTCCGGGTGAGTCTGTGATGGAAACATTACTAATTGACGAGAGGTTCGCAGTGTGACGAGGGCAGGGTGCGCACGAGCGCAGAGGGAAAAAGCATCCGCTTTCACTTCTGGGACACGGGGTGTGATGGCTGTCCAGCGCTGGACCCTCAATCCGTCATGCACAGCAAAACACAGGCCAGTGCCCCCTGCTTCTTCCATCCGCATACATAGCTCACGAGCTTCTCCTCTCCTCACCTCACCTATCTCTACCATATCAAACCTACTCTGTGAGTTATAGGCACTTTATGCGGCGTCCAGAATGCGTTCCGAAAGCTGACATAGAGCAGAACGACAACAGTCGCAACCAGAGCTGCCTCTGCGCTTTGTTTACACAAACAGTATCCTAGGGAAGGACCAACCGCCCGGACACAAACAACACCAACCATGGCTTGTAAGTTGCGTATCCCGATCACAACTGACACTGCAGTGGAGGGAATGAAAGAAAAGCTGTCGGCCGGCACAGCAAAGCTGAGCAAGGCGGCCAAGCTGCGCAAGTCCGACACGCAACTAATGAAGCTGTCGAACGCTGCTGTCGAGGAGCGAGAAGCCCGTAACCGGGGCGGCGAGCCCAGTTTAAACCGTCTGCAGATTGGCGCCCACCTCGGCATCCTCTTCTTCACCTTTCTGAGCATCTGTCTCATGGCTGCTGTCGCGGCTTTCCAGGCCAAGTGGATCAAGGTTTGTGAGTATCTGCATCTTGGAGAGAATGAGCGGTGCACTGACGCCCAACAGCCGGAGGAGTCGGCTTCTCGCTGTTCATCCTTCTATTCAACTTTGTGCTCGCTGCATGCCTACTCGCCATTCCGCTTGCTTATGACCGGTGAGTCTCATATCGCACGAGTAGCTTTGGTGGAAGAGCGCAAGTTTGGGCATTGTTGTGATCGGTCCGTGGTATATCGGGTGGCTGGTCGTTTGCCCCTGAGGAAAATCAAAATCACACGCGCTCCCCTAGTGTGAAACTACCATGTCGCCCATTCCCAACGTCACACCGAACCATCCTTCCGCACATCCACGCATGCACTTGGAGCTAGCATGTAGCGCTTTGTGCATAAGCTGACCATACCTAGATGGGACAAGTGCAAGCGTGCTGCCCAGTTCCTGGCTCAGCCCCGTTCCCACGTCATCCTGAACTCCTTCGGTGCTCTGCTCCAGATCATTGTCACTCTGATCACGACCATCAGCGGCTTCGGCAACCCCGGCTGCAAGAACCCGGACAACGACCCCAGCGCGGACGACGACCGCGGCGATGACTACAAGGATGCCCTCCCTGGCTGGTGCAAGACGAAGCAGGCCTCGGCCATCTTTGACTGGTTCACCCTCGCGTGCTGGCTTGTCTTAGTCGCTCTCTCTGCCATTGCTTTCCGTGACGAGCGCCGCCGCCTGCGCCGCGAGCCGCGCTTCATTCCTCCCGAGGAGGAGGACGACACGGACCTCGAGATCGCAACGGGTGGCTACGCCAAGGTGGGCCACGACGACGTCTTCGACGACAAGCACCAGGAGCGCCCCCCGATGCCCACGGTCGACTACTCTGGTCACGCCGCCCCCGCGCCGCGCGTGAACCCCGCCGTGCAGCAGATGCAGCAGTCGGCCCTCGCCCGCCCCAGCGTGGACGTCTACGGCGCCTTTGACGGCGACATGCCCGGCGCCCAGGCGCAGAGCCGCACGATGCAGATGGCCTATGCCGACCCGTACGCCCAGGTCCGCGCCAGCCTCGACACGCCGTACCAGATGCCGGCGCAGTATGCTCCGCCCCAGTCCTATGGCTCGCCCGCGTACGGCTACCAGCAGAGGTAACCGCGGGTGCGCGTTAACGCCCGCAAGCCAGCGTGCTGTAGTGTGACGACGAGTGTACGACCAACCCCACCCCGTATGAGGAGCAAGGGAACCTGTGAGATTATGAACTGTACAGTCATGATTCGTGTTGTAGCGACGATTTCCCTGCACCTCTGCCCCCCTTCTTGTCCATGATCTGTGACTTGAGTGCGCTGTGCGCCAGCTGCCCGAGTCTAAGCCTTTGGACTCTGCTCTTCTTCGAGCAACCCCGACTGTTAGAATCCCGCGATAGACATTAGTTTAAGCGATGCAGTGTATTGTGCTTCCTCTCATACGATGCTTTAATGATTCATTTCTTAGATTAAGCCGAGATAGCGAGGCCGAGGGTGGTCAGGGCGATCAGGGAGACGGCGTTGAGGGCCGACGAGATGCCGTGGTAGAGCTGGAAGCGGGTGTTGGCGTTCTGGAGCTCGGTAGACGCGGCAGGCGACGAGGCGTCCTTGCCCTCGACCTTCTCGAGGCCGGCGCGGTCAATGGCGGCACGGGCGCAGGCGGGGCCGACAATGAGCGCGTTGATGAGGGTCGGGGCCCAGGCGCCGAGGACGAGGAGGGCCTGGACACCCTCCTCGTGCTGCCACCACTTGTGGGTGTGGAGGAGCGAGCGGTGGAAGTTCAGGTGGGTGCCGAGGAGGAGGGTGGTGAGGGTGACCTGGGTCTGGAGGTAGAGGGGCTGCTGAACCGACGAGAGGAGGGAGAAGGTCTCCTTGGGGACGGAGGAGTAGGCCTTGAAGCCGGACTGAAGTTAGCGAGACTCTTACAGAGGATAAGAGCAAGAGCGGCGCGAGGAGAAAAGGGATGAAACTGAGCAGCAGAGAGCACTGCCCGTCATGAGCATTGGGTGACAGGACAGCCGCACTCAAGCCCCAGCATCGACGCGGGAGTGGCAACGTGAGGACCGTAATGTACGAGATCTCAAAGTCTCATAATCCAGCACCATCAGGGTAGAATGCTAGCATATAGCAAGGGGGCACGCCGGCATGGCACCATCCGGCAAATGGAAAGCACACGCGCATCGGAAAGAGAGAGGAACGTGCGAGCCGAGCGCTGCCATGTGCATCGGCATCATCGAGCTCCGTCTCCACCCCCCCTCGCCTGTTGCGTCCAGGCCGGCATCCACATCTCCGGGCTGTAGTCCAGCGATCCAACATTCCTCCTGCTCTGCTCATGCCCTCGTCGTAGCGTCGGGGTTGATAACTGGGTCAAAAGGGAGGAATGAGTCCCCCCTTCCTCACGCTTGATGTGAACTCACGATGGTGTTCCAGACGTTGGAGCCGAGAGCGTTGCCCCACGTGAGGAGGTAGAAGCCCTTGAGGGTGAATGGAGCGAGGGAGCCCATGGTGCAAGTCGACTTGAGCAGAAGGATGCTTGGGACGCAGACGAGTGAGTGGAGAAAAAGAAAAACAAACCGAGCCAGCGAGCGAGCGAGCGTGCCCGGTGCAGTGCCGTGCAGCGCTGCGACGCAACGCAGCGGCGGCCTGGCCGGCACAGCGGCCACAGCGCGTCTGGCTCTGGCTCTCGTCGTGATGCACCGTGTGAAGGGACCAGGTGACCAATCGAGGACCGGGTTTCTCCTAATCCGCCCCCCTCCTCTGGGTCATGCACGTGTGACGTCATGCTCACTGTGAGAGGGTGGAGGAAGGGCAACGTGCGATTCCGAAGTCTCACTGGGTGCATGTGCGCGGGGTGTTCCAAAGGACAGAGCATGTGTACATGCCTCGATCGAAACGCGGTGCTTGACGCGACTAGCGCCTAACACGAGGGACAACATATCATGTGTTTCCGGAGAGGAGGGGAGGAAGGCAGCTGAAGGCAAAGGGCAGTGAGGTCGCTGGCAGGTTGGCTAACTGCAGCCCGGGGAGCCGAGATAAGGCGATTACATCCAACTGTTGCTCTCTTCTGCCCGCTGACATTGCTCACACTTCTGTATGAAGGGAACGTCTTTGTCGGATCCAAGCGCATGGCTAACAACAAGTTGGCTTTATTTATCGCTACTGAGACTGGACTCTGGCCGCGGAAAGCAATACGGTCCCCCACCTTACCGCCGGACTAATGTTCCGCGACGTTCCGACTGACCGAGCCTATGATATTGCGATCGACATCACGCCTCAGCCTGCGCCAGCGCCTGTCACAGCCACAGACCACCAAACGACAGCCTCGAGCAGGACTTCGTGGGCCTTCGGTGTCTTCCTCGGCGTCCATTATAGAACTGATATCACAGGCAGAGGCGTACCAAGAGCGGCCCCTCACCCTACCAAGTGCAACTGACGAGTACGCAGGCTGAGATCACCGAGCGACGAGTGTAATGATGTCGGTCTCCATCATCACATCACTCGTGCCGCACAACGTACGCCCTGCTACGCCCCTGCTGCACTGGCCCATGCAGGCCTGAAGTAAATTGTCTTCGGCATGTCGGTGGTACCTTAGTGATCTGCAAGCGGTTGCGGGCCAACATGACAGACTAGGGGACCGCGATCCGCGTGCCTCGCCCGGTGGTACCGAAGCCATGCGACCGCTATCATCAGTTCAGACGGCGGATGAGTGGGCCTACACATGCCGTTCTGGGCCTCTCTGTCTCCGTCATATTCACCTCTGGCGGTAGGCGACGGCGGTCTACGCCATCGGTGCGAGCTTGGGTATGTTGTGTCATGCTGCTGGTTGGGGAACTGGGTGGGACGAGTGTTGTTCCCTCACATTCTTGCTGGCTCGCCGAGCTCCCATCGCACTCAGCGGAGCGCGGGGAGCTCGGCAACGGCTCTCCTCTGCAGTGTACCTCCCACTTAACACCCCCCTGGACCAGCAAGTATAAGAGGCAGGAGTTGACATGGTCTGATCTCCATCCCTCAAGCACTCTCCAAAGTCCCAACCCAACGAACACACCCATCCGCAATGACTCCCGCTCGTCTCGTCGCCCTCCGCGCCGCCGCCGCGCGCCCCGTCATGACCCGCTGCAGCGCCCGCGCCTTCGGCACCTCCGCCGTCCGCGCCGATGACAGCCTGCCGAAGAACTGGAACGAGGCGATCCAGCAGGTGAACAAGAGCGTGAGTTATCCCTTGAGCCTTTCCAACTGAACCGGAACTGATTCCCAGTTCAACGCCGGTGTCAAGGACGCCGCCAGCGCGATGGAGTCGTCTCTCGATGACATCTCCAAGAACGCCAAGCCATACGCTGAGGACATTGCCAACCGCCTCAAGGCCGTGTTCGGGGACAAGGCGCCCTCGGCCAAGGACGTCCAGAAGGAGCTTGAGCAGTCGGCCAAGCAGGCGTACCAGGCTGTCGAGGAGACCGCCAAGGAGGTCTCCGGCGACGCCAACACTGCGTCCAAGCTCGACAGCCAATTCGCCAGTGACTTCAGCAAGGCCGCCAACCAGCGCGCCAGCGACCTCAAGAAGGCCCTCAACTCCAACAACTAAGTCTGTAGTTGAAGATAGTTGACGATCGTAATCGTGAAAGAATGTTAGAAGTTTTGAAGTCACCTACTGCTGCACGGGTACTGCCCAGCTGGCGCCTCTCTCTGCTGTCAGATCATCCTGGGACCCGGTTAGTGCCCCGTCAGTCCTCCCGCGCGCTCCGCGCAGACATGATTACGTGTTACATGATGGAACGAATCCGTAGCGTAAAACTAAGCGCCTAGTTGCGCGCGACATTGGCTGCTCTCGGTTGTGGTGCCGGCGGCTGCGAGAACGGCCGGGCTAAGGTCAGCTACGCCATCCACATACGACTGATCCCACCTAACGATGAGGAGCTCAGCGCACCTGGTGCGCCGCTGCTTGCTGACATAGCCGGAGGTGCCGGGGCACCCTTGGAGCCCGCGTTCTGCGCCGCCGAAGAGTTCAGAAGATGGTGCTGGAAAGAGTTCTGCGGAGGCGTGGCCGACCCACTCAGATAGTCGGCCAACCCTGGGAAGCGGGCAGACGCGTTCGCCCGCTCGCCACCGCTGCCCCCTTGCTGGGAACCCTGTATTGACGGCTTCACGTCGCCGCCCAATGACGGCTGGCTGGACGGACCATGTCCGCCCCCTAACGGCTGCTGAGAATGCCCGTTGACGTGCTGCTTGTCACCGCCGCCATTGGTCTGCGGCACGACCTCCCTTCGAGGCACGGCGAAGGCTTCTGTGCCTAACGTCTTTCGTGAGGGACCACTCTGCGGTAATGAGGACGACGACGACGCGACCGATCGAGATGGTGCAGATGGTTCCGCCTGGACGTTGGGCTGCATTTGTCGGTGCTGCTGGCGCGGCACCTGCACAGGCGCGCTATAATGATGATGCCGCCGCGGGTCATCGTCGATGTGCAGGTGCGAAGCAGGGTGCTGGCCGGGGGCTTGATAACCGTAGGCGGAGGTCGAGGGACCCGCATATCCTCCGTACATCGCTGGTGACGCATGACGTGACAGCTGCTGCTGTTGCTGCTGTTGGCGAGCGGCCTATGACCCGTTAGCGGGTGTCCAGATACTACACTTACGTCTATCGCACTGAGGTCGGCCAAGCCTTGTTCCGTCGTCAGGCGAGATGGCACAGGTCCCGGAGACCAGTCGAATGGTTTCGGCGGCTTCTCGACTTTGGGAACGGGACGCTGAACTTTTGGTGTCTCGATCTCATTCTTCTCGCGAGCCAACCGCCGGCGCTTGCTCCAAGTCTGCTCGAACTCCTCCCAGTGCATCTGGTCACGCTGATCCTTAAAACATTAGCACCGATCGAGTCCACAAGCCGTCAACTCACAGTCCAGGTTTGCCATGAGATCTTTGTTTCAACATCGCGCCAAATCTTGAGATCGGCCAAACTCTCCTCATATCGACGAAGAGCAATCTCGTGAAGCCGCTCGCGGCGTGCCTCTACGATTTTGTTGAGCTGCAGGAGCGCCGGATGTGTGCCTATGCGTCAGCCTACTTCCTCCGCCATAGTGAAGACTCACCATTGAGGATCATCTCCTCCTCCTTGGCAGCTTCCTCCAATCTTTCCACGTAAAGTCGGTCACGGAGAGCAGCGAACTTCACTTCCAGAGCAACCATAGCACGGATGGCTGCCGTACTGGGGCCGGGAGCGTGAGACGAGTGGTGACCTGACGCGCGTGATGGGGCAGCTGATGCTGAGTCTGATGTCAGCGAAATCCATGCAAGGGAACGAACGCACCTTCAACTTCGACCTCTGCAGCAGCTTCCTCCTCGTCTGCGGCTGGCTCTTCCTCGGGCTCGGCAGCGTCTTCGACATCGGCCTCATTCTCGGTCACTGCAGCCGTGATCGTTCCCTCCGCGTCGTCGGCCGCCTCCTCGTTGTCCTCAGCACGCATGGTGATGTCGCCATCCGCCTCGGGCTCATCGTCGGCTGGATGCGACTCCTCTTCCTTGACGACAGGCTCCGCTGGAGCAGTCTCCGGATCTTCCTCGGCGCCTTCCTCGAGCATCGGCTCGTCGTCATCGTCGCCTTCCTTGTCCATAGGTGAGGAGGGAAGGTTGTCGTTGTGGGGAGGGTCCGAAGGGGGCGGTGGCGTCAGCGAAGGGGACGGCGACGCTTGCCGTTTGGACGGCCTGCACACATCAGCACCACAACCATCATGCATTCACTTACCGCTTTCCGACCGGTGTCTCGTCAGCAGTGTCTTCTGGTGCCGGCGCGTCGGCTTCCTCCTCGTCCTGGGCATCGTTGCCTGGCTCCTCAGCCGTACCATCAGCCTGCTGGGGGACATCATCAACGTCATCCTCGTCATCGGTGAGCTCGCTGTCGGTTAAAGGCTCCGTTAAGGTTGTCGGGCTGCTCCCTCCGACCAGGTCGCCTTCATCGTTGTCATTGTCCAGGATGTCGGCGGCGGGACCAAGGTGGAGGGGTGCGGGAGGCGGGTCACCGTTCGCGGTCGGCTCCTGCACCGGTGACGGCGACGCCGACGACAGTGGAGAGGAAGACCTCCGCTGTTCCGACATGGATGCGAGCGGGGCAGTCGACTGGGGCGGGCAGAGTCGCGGAGCTGTGCAGCTCTTATCGAGTGAGAGCCGCCGTGGGGGAAAGGATGAAGGAGGTCGGAGAGCTGTGAGGGAGGTATGGGGGACGGAAAGAAACAGAGCACAGTGAAATAGAGGTTGATTAGGAGGGTCGGGACAGAGTAGAGGTAGCTGAACAGTGTGTTGGTGGGATGGATGACGGTGGGAGAAGGTTGTCCAACGCGTAGGAGCAGCCAGTTGGTGGCCGGTGCCGGTTGAGCGGACAAGGTGGGACTAGACGCCCACGCCTAACATCGGGAATCGACATGACCTCATGCGTTGCTCAGATTTTAGCTTCCGCACGCCTAAACCAAGCCAACCGTTGTTTTGTTAGCCGACCAGGTACATGTCTCACCACCGTGGCCAGACATCGCGTGCACCTAGGCTGGCGCATTCAAGGCGCTCAATAGATGGGTGCACCACATCTCATTGATCGGCGCATTCAGAAGACGCACGCCCAACCACAGATCGCAGACGCCGCGCGCCGCGCAGGGCACATAGCTGGGCGTAACTGTACACGCCTTGATACTGCAACCTGTGTGTTCGGCATGTCCTGGCGTTGCGACTGTGCGCGAAAGGCTAGCCACTGTACGCACGAGTTGAACTGGGGCACCGGCGCTCACAGTGTAACAGCGAAATCTTACACCCAAAAAGCCCAACATGCATAATTATACAACAAAGATCTGGTACACAGCTGCCATGTCAATGCCCTCGATGCCCATGTGTAATGAATAAGAGTCGCTCTCGTCGCCTCGCCGCCTCGCCGCTCACTCGTCCGGAATGTCATGAGGCTTGCGGATACCTCGCGACAGCTTGTAGTAGACGACAGTGGAATCGGGGTCATTGATCGCGACGTAAAGGGTGTCGGGATCAAAGGTGTCGTTCACCTCGGACGACTCGGGCTCCTCGTCGACCTCCTGCTTCTCGCCAGTCTTGTCCGCCAACTGGATCCGGAGGTCGGCCATACTGGGCGCGAGGGGAGGGAGAGCCTCAGGCAGCGAGTCAACAGTGATCTCAAGCAGAGACGCGAAGATGGTCCGCAGCTCCTTGGGAGTGAGGGCGGTCGTGTGCAGAGGCAACGGAAGCACGGCGCGGAGGGGGTCCTGACAGTCAGTTTCCAAGAAGCGGAAGGAGATAACGATTAGTACGGGATCGTAAGTCCGATTCCGGTCAACTCACGTCCTTCCTCTTGCGTCCAACAACGGCAACCCACTGGGTGCCGGGGAGCTGCAACGGATGGAGCTCACACCATTGCACGGCGAGAGAGAGGTCGCAGAGAGCAGTGGACAGCGGGCCAGCCTGCAAGGGCGAGGCCGCCGTGAGGTGGGCGATGTGAGGCGCCAAAACTTGAGGTGCGATCATGCTGGTCTGGCTGTCTGGCTGTCTAGCTGTCTGGCGGACTGGATCAACGAACGCTAGACGCTGAGTGATCTTTATTTTGCGGTGATCGGAGAATGCAACTTGGATATCGGCTTGAACGAGCGGCTGTGGACGACAACACTCCGGCTCGGAAATGGAAATTATCTCTTAGATAGGGGTTCACGTGACGCGGATTCGAAATCTGGCAGGCTGACGGACAGCCCGCTCCGCGATCCCCAGTGGAGGACTCAGGGAATGTGATGCAGAATATGGCAGGCTCTGGCAGGGCTCACCCAAAGCAAGCCCCGGTTTTGGTGGGATTCTCGAGGGGAGTGCCGCGCCTGGCTGCCGCCGCTGCCGCACTGCCGTGCCGAGCCGGGGCTGACGGCCCGCAACCCAGCGTCTTCCCCCACCCCACAGACTGGTGCAAGACCGACTGACCTCACCGGCGACATAACATCGACCAAGACTTTTCTTCTCATCCTCATCACATCCTCCATCCACACCATGGCGTCCCGCTCAGCCATTTCTCGTCTGACCCCCCGGGCCCTCGCCCCTCGCGTCGCCGTCCCCCGGCAGCTCAGCACCGCGGCGGCCGTCTCCCGCGCCGCCGTGGCTACCACCCCCATGGCCCGCGTCACCGCCTCCCCGTCCCGCTACCTCCTCAGCTCTATCCAGCAGCAGCGCCGCATGGCCAGCTCCGAGGCTGAGGGCGGTGGTGAGTCCATGGTGAGTCTATCCCGAGAAGCCCAGCGCACCGGAGTTCGCCTGGGCGGCGCACGACCATTGCCGCCGGCCCCGCACCTTGGGATAATTGGGCCATCGGCTTTTTCACAGGGCACTCCTTCTGGGCGTCTGGTTTCGATGTATGCATGCGCTAACCCGTTCAGACTGTCCGTGAGGCTCTCAACGCCGCCATGGAGGAGGAGATGAACCGCAACGACAAGGTTTTCGTCATGGGAGAGGAGGTCGCTCGTTACAACGGTGCCTACAAGGTCACTAAGGGTCTTCTGGACAAGTTCGGTGAGGAGCGTGTTATCGACGTGAGTTGCGCCCGTTTCTGGTGACAATTTTGATCTAATCTCTTTAGACCCCCATCACTGAGTCTGGATTCGCCGGTCTCGCTGTCGGCGCTGCCCTCGGAGGTCTTCACCCCGTGTGCGAGTTCAGTGAGTTTTGCGAAATCCCTTCACGGGAATTAGCGGACATGACCGTCCGCTAGGGTCATGACGTCGCCAGCCACTAACCATCCTCAGTGACCTGGAACTTCGCGATGCAGGCCATCGACCAGATCATCAACTCTGCTGGCAAGCTCTACTACATGTCCGGTGGCACTGTCCACTGCCCCGTCACCTTCCGTGGCCCCAACGGTGCCGCTGCCGGTGTTGCCGCCCAGCACTCTCAGGTGAGTTACTACCTAAACTCCGTCCATTACCGCGCCTTCCCTGGCCCGATGCTCGAGCGTCCGGGGCACGGAACTGTTCCCAGTCTCGATGCTGTGGCGACTGCGATGCCGGTACTTGTGGTGCTATTGCAGTCTGAGGACACTGGCGTTCACCATACCTCCGACCTGCTCCTCCGCCTTCCTGCTTCCTCTTCTCGTACCTTCCTTCCTCTTCCTTCTGTTGACGCGGCGTCGCTAACGGGCAGTGCTACGCCGCTTGGTACGGAAGCGTTCCCGGCCTTAAGGTCGTCTCTCCCTGGTCTTCTGCCGACGCCAAGGGTCTCCTGAAGGCCTGTATCCGTGAGCCCGGACCCACGGTCTGTCTCGAGAACGAGCTCCTTTACGGTTCGTCGTTCCCGATGACCAAGGAGGAGATGTCCGACGACTTTGTCATCCCCATTGGCAAGGCCAAGGTCGAGCGTGAGGGTACCGACATCACTCTTGTCGCCCACTCGAAGGCTGTCGGAGACTCGCTCGAGGCCGCCAAGGCTCTTGAGAAGAAGGGCATCAGCGCCGAGGTCATCAACCTCCGCTCGATCCGCCCGCTCGACATCGACACCATCATCAAGTCGGTGAAGAAGACGAACCACCTCATCACGGTTGAGGGTGGCTTCCCCGCGTTCGGTGTTGGATCGGAGATCATCGCCCAGGTGTGCGAGTCGCCCGCCTTCGACTTCCTCGACGCTCCCCCTGAGCGCATCACTGGTGCCGACGTCCCGACCCCGTACGCTCAGACGCTTGAGGAGCTCGCGTTCCCGGACGCCAACGTTGTCGCGAAGGCGGCTGAGCGTCACCTGTTCAAGCAGTAAATATTTGTATCAACCGCTTAATAGACGATGTATAGTCGGATCAGGCGGGCCGTAGTTTAATGCATCATGGGCTAGTTACCATTGTACAGGACTTTCTACTCTTTTGCCATACGTATGTGTGTGTTTCCAGGCTGCATTATTGTTCTCTGCCGTCGCAACTGTTGGACCTCTTGCTGTCGTAGCCGCGTAGCTCAAAGTTGGAAACGAAACGGATGCCCAGGCGGTTGGTGGGAAGGTTTGACGCACACGCCACCGACCCCTGGGCAAATCCGATCTCCCACGTGGGCTCATCTCACCAATCGCTAAATTGACCCTAGATACGGAGCGACGTACCGAGGAGTATGAGACCGCGACCGACTCGATCTCGTCTTGAACCTCGACTCATCTCGCTAGCGCCGTACCGCATCGAACGCCGGGCGGGCCACAGCTCGCTCACTCCCTCGATACTTGAGAGTTTCTGCCAGTTTTCTGGGCGGCGACTCCCAACATTACGGCAACACACTTGCATATCTCGTTTCCCCGCCTCCACATCCTTTGCCACCGTCGCATCACGAACAACCTACGGTGCTCGGCAGCACCAGAAGCAAGTGAGTCTGCCACTCTGAAAGACTGTCCGCAAGCTTGGGAGTACAAGGTGGCGCTCCCTTGTGGCTTCAGACCGCAGGATCATCCTCACAGGGGCATAGCTGACAGCCAGTGCTCCCCGCTCTCTCCACTGCGTACCGAATATCGTAACCATACCCGTACCTCTGATTCTACGGCGGGGGCCACGCATGGCAGTCTCCCCGCGCGCGAGCAAGGGCGTCGCGAGTGCCGCGGCGACAATACCCGTCGAGGGTTCGTCGTCAGCATACGCGTTCAGCCCACCCCACGCCGCCCAACGACAGCCTGACTCGGCGTCAGCAGTCTCGTCATCCTACGGCTCCTCGCTTTCCCTCACTGAGCCGCGACCCTCACCATGGCACGCCATAGCGGACAGTCTGCAGACGACGCCGTCCCTAACCCCGGCGCCGTCGGCACTGACCTCCTCCGCCCTGCGCGAGTGGGAGCGTCAGCTCGCCGGCGCCGACGCGGTGCGCCACCTCCTTTTCCCGGGGCGCGGGTCGCCGAAACTCTCAGCCGAGCGAGACCGCGACGGCCACGTCGAATACAAGCTGAAACTCATCGACCCCGAACCCGAGCGTTTCGACCGGCTCGTGACGCAGATGATGTGGCGGCTGAAGCAGGGCCGGAATGAGGCGATCTACGAGCTCGGCCTGGGCGACGACGGAAGCGTGATTGGCCTAACGCGGCCTGAGATGGACGCCTCCTTGAGCACGCTGGAACGCATGGCGAGCGAGGTCGGCGCGACGGTGCTGGTGCTCAAGGAGATTGTCCTGACCGAGTTTTCCGACTCGGACTCGGCCGCCTCGAGCGTCTCAGGTTGGAGTGGGAGTGCAGGCGCATGCAGCGGGAGCTGGAAGGCGCGCCGGCCCGATCTGGACGAGTTCGGGCGCCCGAGAAGAGGCACCAAGAGCCTCGATGCGTCCGCGCCCACGAAGGAGAAGAAGAAGTACGCCGCCGGCAGCTACATCGGCGGCAATGCCGGGGTGAAGAAGAGCAGCGACAAGCGCCGCCGCGCCGCGCAAAGGCAGGAGAGGAGGCGCATGGAGCTCATGCGCGGAGACGGCATGAGCCCGACGCCGTTCGACTCGTTCTTCGACGAGGGCGAGCAGTCCCCGTCGCCGAGCGGGCTCAGTGGGAGCAGCCCTGCTAATGGCCTGAACGGTGGGAGCGGCCCCAGCTCGCGACCAGGCAGCACGCTCAGCCATCGGTTCGACCACCTCGAGCCTTCCTCCTCGGGACGCTCCAGCGTTGCGGCACATCTCGACGACAGCCCAGGCGAGGGCACGCCCGACGACACCTTCGTCGACGGGCTGCGCATACCGCTCGACTCGTTATCGCTCTCTTTTGCAGATGTTATCGAGGACCAGCCGTCGCCGCGCTCACCGCGGTCCCGGTCGCCCGCTGGGTTCAGGCTCCCCGCCAGCCAGACGCAGGAGGAGGGAGGCGATGAGGGAGGCGATGGCGCGGTGGAGGAGCTCGTATGCGTCGAGGCGCTTGTTGTGAGGAAGGCGGGGCTAGAGGGCGAGTACTTCCTCCCTGAGGATGGGTGGGGCTTTGGCGAGTAGAGCCGCGCAGAATGCTTTTTGAGCAGCTTCATGAGAGGAAACAGTAGAGAGCAACAGTTACACCAGTAGACGTATCAGTAGAAGAAGAACCAAGTAGCCAGTACCATCATGTATCGAAGTCCGCGACACAGAGAGAAGCAGTCTGGCCTTTGCAGGGGCTCGCTGGTGTCGCCGTTGGGGGCCATCAACAATCCTATGTAGTGTGCGAGCGCGCGAGTTGCGGCATATATTTACATCTCATGGCATGGCAGGATACGATAGCCAAACTTTACGGGGTAGGGCCCTGTATCGGCCCAGGACGGGGTAGTGGTGCATAGGCGTAGAGTTTAGAGTAGATGGTTAGGCGATGATGGAGCTTTGATTCTCGGCGATGAGCGCGAGAGTTCGAGGAGTACGGAGCCATGGGTAGTGAGGGGAGCGATGGCGTTGAGTGGGTGAGGAAGAGGAAGTGGAGGGAGGAGATGGGGTGTAGAGAGCTTGGCTTGGTTAGACTATATACGCAGATAAAAAGGAAAGGAGAAAAGCGCAGATGAGTTGACCCGTTTGAAGAAAAGAGAAAATGAAGTGACCCCTTGGGTTCCACCTTCGGCAGAGGCCAGAGGGGGGCAGAAATGTCCTCGAGACTTGTGTATGCGGTAAACTAGCTGTATGGTGGTCGTTGGTGGTTTGCTTTGATACTTGATGCGTAGGGATCTTCCAGTAGTGACGCCCGAATACGTCTCGAGAGCGCCGAAAGAGACCGAGAGAGCCGAGAGCGGCGGGGATTCTTGTGGCGGAGAGCGCAGTGCTGACCGAGTTGGAGAGAGGCTGCACTAGTTGGCGCTCGAGGAGCCACGGCGGCCGCGAGGCTGGCGCGGAGGAGCGCGAGAGCGACACAACTCGGTGCGCTGCATGTGCATGAGGAGCTTGTCCTTGCGAGCCTGTGGTTAGTTCTTCACGTCCGCAAGGGGCAACTCACAAAGGCATGGCCGCAGACGGGACACACGAAGGGCTTCTCGCCGGCTGTTTGTTAGCTTTCCGATCAGTGGGCTTCCAGCTTCATTGCACCGCTTGTCTCGAAGGGGGCATGCTTCCGGCGCACCCAGACGGATGAGGTCATGCCGACCGGATCGCAGCCACGGGCCTCCGCTTCGGCAATCCTCGGCGTTGTGCCGCCACACCCGCCACCTTCGACACCAGAAGATCACCCATCACTGCACGACGTCGTACTCACTGTGTTTCCGGCGGTGCCGCTGCTCTGTCAGCTAATTTCACCATGCGCAAGCTAGTCTACGCACCTGCAGATCGTTCCGGCGAGTGAACGCCTCGCCGCAGTCGTCGCACTGGAACCGTCGCTGCTTGTCAGCTTTCCTCCAGTCGTTTCGGGCAGCCTCGCTCTCACCTTGTTGACGGGACTCACCGTGGTGGGAGCGCTAGCCATGCGCCTGGTGGGGCTCTTGTTCTCTCCGCTCTGGCTAGGTCCGGCGGTGGGGGGGCCGTTCTTGCTGTGGTTCGCGAGCGGCGGCGGCATCGAGCCTCCCGCGTGCCCGGCAGGTGCGCCAGGGTTGGAGTGGATGAGGCCGAGACCGAGCGAGTTCATGCCCCCGCCAGGCAGCTGCTGGTCCTGCATGCTGGGCGAGTGGGAGTGGCTTCCCTGCTGGTGCTGGTGCTGGGCGTGGTGGTGGTTCCACTCGTGGAAGCCGTTCGTGTACTGCTCGTCCCAGAGGCGCTGGCTCGGCGCCGGACGCAGGCGCGGCGGCACGTACCCGTCAATCGTGGGCGCTTGAGCCGTGGGGTAGCGGTACTCGCCCGGCGCGCCGGGTGCGTTGCCGTAATACTCGTAGCTGCCCCCGTAGTCGTAGTTGGGGTCGTCGTGGTTCAGGCCGTTCTCCCTGTACTGCTGCCCGCTGCTGCCGCTGCCACTGCCACTGCCGGTCACGCTGGGGCCGGGGCGAGTGGGTGCAGAGTGCTGCTCGTACTTCCTGTCAGTCGGGGAAGGGTGCGTGTGCACAAAGTGGTTCTGGCCACCGGTCTCGGGGTAGCGAGCGTCACGGCGCCGCGAGTTGTAGCCCATGGGGAACATGAGCAAGGGGTCCGTCGGCTGCTGCTGTTGATGCTGAGACTGGTGCTGAGGGTGCTGAGAGTGCTGCTGGTGAGCACGCGAGAACTCGAGCGCCGGGTCGAGTGCAGAGCCCCACACTCCGCCAGAGAAGTACATCCCGTTCATGTGAGGAGGGGGAGGAGGCGCAAACGTCCCCGCGGTGGGCGGGTAGAGCTGGTGGCTGCCCGGCTGGCCGGACTGGCCAGGCTGGTGGTGACCGTGCTGCTGCTGGCCGGGCTGAGACTGCTGCTGCTGCTGCTGTCCCTGCTGCTGTTGACCTTGCTGGGGCTGCTGACCGGTCTGTGGCTGCTGACCAGGCTGAGCCAGAGTGTGCTGGGTGTGCAACTGGGGAGGAGAATGCTGCTGCTGGGAGTGCGACGACTGCTGTGTCTGCTGAGTCTGCTGAGTCGGCGCATGGAGCACTCCAGGGGTGCCATCGGGTGCACCCATGTTCGCAGTCACTGGCGTACCGGGCGTCTGCTGCTGCTGCTGCTGCTGAGGGGTCTGGTGCTGGGGAGTCTGCTGCGGCGCCGACTGAGCAGGCTGGGTCTGCTGCGAGGGCGCGGGCTCGAGGCCATCCATGGTGGCGGACTGGACCGAGGGCGTCGAGTTGCCAGTGCCAGCGCCTCCCGTGCCGCCAGTGCCGGTGCCGTCGACCGGCGACGACGGCGCAGAGTCGGGCGACGTGATCCGCCCGTAGCTCGAGAAGCCGTACATTGGCCCTTTCTCTCGGTCTGGCAGTGGCTCAGAGTTTCGATTAAATCGAGGATACTCGTGATCGCTGCTGCGTCAGCGAATGCGAACAGGCTACGGAGGGCGAGCTGCTTAAGGCTGTCAAAAGTGTTCAGTGGGGGCCCGGTTGATGATCTCCCGTCGCTTGGCGGGGATGAGGGGCGAACAAGATGATAGGGGCAAAGGATGACAACGATAGTAAAAATGGGGAAGAAGAGGTCGTGGAAGACGACGGCGTCGACAGGCGTAGCTGCGAACGAACGCCAGCAGCGCCAGGCGTAGCGGTTGCTAGGGTAAGAGGGAGAAAGACGTACCGGGCGTGGATGTCGAGGAGGGTCGACCCAGGTTTAATCGCGGGCGACTGGAGGGGCGATGAGGGGTGAAGGGGAGGGGCGAGGGGGGGCTGCGCTGCGGAGCTGGATACGTTTATGAACGAAGAGCAGTGATGCTGAGTGAGCAGACTGGGCTGGTGGGAGGCGTTGGACGTCTGGACGTCGGTGAGGCGAAGGCGTTGAGGGCGAGGCGCTCAAGAACACTTGTTATCCTTGAGCATGGAGAGGACGAGGGAGAGGGCACTGGCGAGTTCTCTCTGTTGCTGTCTGAGTCATGACCTGTGCCGCTGTGCCCACATACTCTTGTGATGATGACGCCCCTCTGAGTGTTGGGTGGGTGTTCTTCTGTTGTTTTGCCGGGCGGTGGGAGTGAGTGGTGGGGGAAAATCGAGGTGGCATGCCCTATGCCCTCGGCCGCCCAGTTGTTGCGAGGATGTGCGCTGCGTGCGTTGATCTAGCCACTCGGCGTATTGCGCAAGGCCCATGAGGCAAAGGGAGGCGAGGACGTGCTCACGGCGGTGTTGGGGACAGTGTGAGGGGGGTGTACGAGGCTGTTTGTCGTGCTCTCGCTCCCTCTCCTCCGTGTGTCCACTCATCCCCCCCTCTCGCTCCGCTTCCCTCGGGTCTTCCAGCGGGTCACCAGCGCGCCCGCAGTAAGTCGCCTCCCGGCCCCAGAGCCGCAGAGCCGGGCAGGCATCTGGAGCACGCGGCGCAATGTCGATGATCCGAACGGGTCTGACTGACTTCTAGACAGACGAGCGAAGATGTGCAGATACGCCCTCCCTTTGGCTCCTTCGTCTCTCTGGTCGCCCGCCTTGCGCTCCTTTCCACTCGGCGCGCATCGTTTCGCTTCCCCCCGATCCTCCCCCTTCATCGTTCCTCATCGTTCCTCACGACTCCTGGATCCCCGGCGCCCCTCATGCCCTTCAGAACGATTGTCCGTCATTCGCGACGCCCCGCCCGCAGCCGCCGAGTCGTGTTGAACACCTCGACACGGTATTTGGCCCGAGGGGCGCGTCATCTGGTGGAGAGGGCCTCGAAGTCCCCCTGCGCCCCCGTGAACCCAGGAAGGAAGGGGCGACAGGGAGCCTACGGAGGAATCGAGCTCTGTGTGGTCGCAGCGATCAATTTGTGTCTGTTGCCGCCGATCCGTTAGAGTGTGAGTGCGTGTGCGGGGGTGCGCAGGTGTGCGCAGGTGCGTGGGTCTTGAATCTGCAGCTCTTGAGCGTGTGGGCTGCGTAACGTCAGTCCAGTGAATCATGTCAGTCCCCAGGATGAGCCAAGCGTGTGTGCACGGCTGTACAGTACGACAGTTGTGTGGACAAGGCGGCGATGCAGTGATGCGCACCCAGGTGATACGCAAGTGCTTGCGTGAGTCAAAGTCAGACGCCGGGCTCGGTGCAATCGACCTGCCGCAAACTGATCGCATCAGTGTTGGCCCCCTTCGATGGATCTGGTGTCAGTTGGTCCGTCCGGGGCAGTGAGTCCGCAGAGTCTGCGAGAGTGACGGTGTGACCAGTGCTTGGAACTGGAGCTGGAACGAGAAAGGTGTCGTTTTCCCGGCCCACCTGGGCCCACCCGGAACTGCCGCTGGCGCCGCTAAGTGTTAGTGCTGACGGCTGTCTTGTGCGGCGACGCACTTAATCCCTCACCGCATTGCTCTGCGTCATCGTCTCCCTCCGCTGTCGACTACCCTCTTCCTCATCCATGTGTCTCGCCTGACCTCCACACTCGGCACGAGTAAGCGATCTGGTGTGGTATGCACACGGACATCGTGATGATGGCACGTTGTCGCATCATAGAACCGTACAACAATACATAATAGCCAACACACGCATTCACTGCATAGCCTCACGCGTCGCATCCGTGCTCGTCTGCTTCGCTGCGAGCCGATCCGAAGCGATAGGGGAGGGAAATGGACAGCGTGGTGAGGCTTGGTCATCGCGTAATCATGAGAGGTGTGGGTGGGTGAAATGATCAGATCGAATTGCCAACGAGAGTGTGTGGTCTGTGGGATATCTCTTGGGGAATAGGGGTGTGAGCTTAGCGGGCTAGGTAGTGGGTAGGAAAGACATGGCACTGGCGTGCGAGATGTGGTGGCTCAGACATCGGTGCCGCGCAGCGGCGTGCGTTCGTCCAACGCCGGACGCGCCGGTGGCGCATTGTCACCCCGGACGATGGCGCGCAAGCTGTCGTTCACGGACGAGACCGCCGCGCCTGCCCGGGCGATCGCACGGTCACGCATTTGGCCGAGCCAGGCGAGCCGAGAGCCTCCGTCCGGCGCCTCGGCGCCCTCACCGGCGACTGTTCCGGTCGCGCCGTAGTCCGTGCGAGCAGCCTGCGCGTCGACAACGGGCGTCAAAGTGGTCGAAGCCGACATGTCCCCCGGAGACACAGTGACGTCTGCACGGCATGTAGGGCACTGAAATAGGTCAGCGGCGTTCACTGGCTGAGACGTCATCAGTTGCACTCCGGACTCACAAGCTTGCGCCACTTCAGCAGCCACTCATCACACTCGTCCTTGTGGAACACGTGGCCGCAGGGCAGAATGCGCACGATCTCGCCGCGGCTAAAGTTCTCCATGCAGATCGCACACTCGTCCTTCGAGTAGTACCGCTTGCTCTTCCGTCGCTGCTTGCCTGTGCGGCGGTGAGGAGGAGAAGTCGCCGAGTCGATTGCCGGGATCGTCTCCACCACAATGCCACTGGTACCAGGAACAATGTCGTCGCCGGAAAGCGGTTCGCCTGCCGAAGTCGAGCGATGGAGCTCATTCTCCGGGGACTTCGGCGCCTGCTCCGAGTCATCGGGCTTGCGATGCTCGTCGTCCAGCCCAGCATCTGAGTCGTCCGTCTCGTCCTTCTCCCATACAATGTCTGGCGTCCACACTCGCTCAGGGAGAGATAACACGACCGTCGGAGGGGCACGGTTTGCCTCGCGCTGCCTGAGACTGTGTTAGGAATTGCCATGTTCAATCTTCTCCGCAAAGACGTACCGGTGGATGCGCACACGATGCGCAGCAATCGTAGCAAGAAGGAACAACGAGGGCATCAGGAGGGCAAATGTCAGAAGACTGCCTAGAGTGCTGAATTGTCAGCTTACACAAGGCGAGGCCCCTTGGGAGCTGGTACACTCACTTGCCGTCGTCGTCGGCTTCTCCAACTTCCACCTTCAACTTGGTGTGGTTGCTGAGCATGTCCCGCAGGGTAAGGTAGCTCGCTCGAGACACGAAGACAGATGGGATGATAATGTTGGTCGTGTCCTCCGGTGAGTACATCGTGATGAGATTCTCCCGTTTCCGACCCTCCTCGTCTGTCTCACCGGCCCGAGCAGGGCTGTCACCCACGACTACGGCTGCTGCCCCCCGCTCCTGAGCAGCCAGGACCTTGGTAGCGAAGTCACAGTCCCCCCTCTCCACCAAGGCGACGACATAGGGCGGCTGGGGCGGCGAGGGGCGGATGGGTGGCCAAGCTGGGGGCACACACGCGCGCTGTGGAGGGTGGTCTGAGCGGGGCCGTGATAACGGGCGGTTGTTCTCATGCGCTTCAGAGTCGATCGCGCTGAAGCCCGAGCTCGCGCCTGTAGCGCCTGCCCTCCATCCCGATGAGCCGGTCGACCGAAGTCGGAGCTGGTGAAGATCGGACTTGGGGTCTGGGAGGTCCTGGAACGCTACCATCGTTCCGTTGACTGGAAGCTCAGTGTCCGGTCGAAGGAAAGTCGGGAACGCAGCAGGTCGGTGTGGGAGCGTGATGTTGGAGTCACCGAGCTGAGACAGTCAGTTTCAGATTCAGCCAGCAACACTCACGTAGACAGTCAAAGTTCCCTCACCACCCATCGAGAACCAGTGCGAGATCCAGCCCGTGTCCGGCTCAGCTGCAGCCTTGACGTAGGACATGCTCCACGGCTCGACCGGGTCGGCAATGCGTGCCCACGCCTCGCGGACGATGCGGTTGTAGTCGTCCTCGTCCGAGTATCCTGCATCAGGTCCGGCATTGTCGAGGAGACCCTGGGTCGGGGCGGCTAGTGTTGGTGATGGGAAGAGTGCTGCAAAGGTGACGATCGAGAGGGTCGCGAGCGCCCAGAGGTGCCTTGGCCGAACGGGACCGCGGAGAGCGGGCAACCGTGCAGGCATCGGTTGGAAAGTCTATGCCGCGAGGGTCGCGACTTGAAGACAGTGATCGGTAGGTATGGTCGTGTGGAAGGTGGAAGGGAGATTGCAAGGCTCACATTGACGTCGAGTCCGTCGGTACATGGGTGGCGGCTCTAAGCTCTGTGTAAGCGTTCGTGCACCAGCGTTTGCCGCCTGCGCGCCTGCCGCCTCCTGGATCCAGGTCCCACCCAGCACCAGCATTCTGGCCACCGCACGTGAGCCTCGATCGTCACCCAGCGTTTGCGCCGGAGACGGACTTCATCATCATCGCATAATCTGCAATTGTCACGCAACCATGCACGCTAGTGCGGGCACTACAGTGCACCATCCGACCCACGCCGCAACCACAGAAAAGTACAAGTACATGCATGTCAGGTTTACTAGCTCATGCAGCCTCATCCAGCGACGCAGGCAAAATCGGCCCGCTTCGTCAGCCCAGCCGCGCAAGTCACTCCATAGCTCGGTCCGGATCAGGGTGACACCGAGCGACGGCGTTCTAACAGTATTTATCGCTGCATTGTTAGCTTGCACGAGCAACCACTCCCAGCTTACCTCTTCATCTTGGATCGCCGATCCAGCATAGCCTCGGCAACACGCCCATCCTTCTTCGCGCGCTTCAGCTCGCGTCGGTCCTTGTCAGAAACCTTGTGCACGCCGCCACCCCAAGCCTGATATTGGGAGCTGAGATGTCAGCTCAGCTGTCGCTCATACGTAAAGCCGTCGATAAAAGCTAACACTCACTTTCGCCTCAGCTCATCCTCAACACTTCCCTCCTCTGGACCGTCAGGTTCGAGAAGTCGCCGTTTGCTGCTATCCTTGCCGTCGAGCTGTTGCAAGCGAACCTTCAGCACGAACTCGCGCTGGCATTTAACCCGGATGCCACCCTGTGGCTCATCCCCGTCGCACCGGATCTCCGTCTTCTTAGCGAGCACCGTCTCCTTGTCCGGCTTGTCAGCGAGAAGGAACTTGCCACTTGGCTCGGACTTGAGCGCGAAGCCGGGGAAAGCAGAGTCAGAGGGGATGACTTCGGTGATGAATGATTCGAGAGGTCCGCGACTCGCAGACACATCCAGCTTGCCGCTCGGCAGTGCGGATAGGAAACCGCCCGTCGCGCTTCGGAGAGACACGCCGTTACTTCCCGCCAGCCGAGAGACAACCCAGACGTGGTTGACGTCGGACGGCTCGACGAAGCTGAGCACCTCGGAGGGGGACAGCTCGTTGAAGCCCTCCGGTGCTTCCGGCAGGTCGAGCGGTGCCGCGCATACTCGCTCTCGCGTCGGATCCCACTGCACGTCAGCTGATCAGCCCTTCTCTAAACTCAGGAAACAGCCGCACGGGAATAACTACTCACAGCAAGACAGCTCAGCGGTTCAGTCGGGAGCAGCACAAGCGTTGGGCCAGTCACCTCGTCACTCTTCGCAGGGAACATCCATCCTGACAGTTAGCTGTCACTGAAAATAGAGAGCCAGTCCGCGCAGAGCAACTCACCCCTTGGGTCCTCCCTAGCCAGAGCATCAAGCTCATCGCCATCGTCACGCTTCTCACGGTGAGAGCGCTTCTTCTTCTTCGACTTCTCTCCCTTAAACTTGAGGCGGCCTACACCGGACATGATACAGAAGAGATCACGTTATCTTGCTAGAGTGAGGTCTCTTTCGGAGTAGTTCCAGGTACGTGGCCAATCGGTATTCGCTGACAAAGGAGTTTCGACGACTAGTTGATGCTGCTGCTTTCGAAGAGGATGAGATGAAGGTAATCAGCGCAGATAAACATTTCGTCATGACGGCGACAGGGCTAAGTGGTGGAGCGGACTTTGACATCTGTCCGCTCACCGTGCGGTCAACTCCGGTTGGCGACTTCAGCGGCTTACTGACGAACTCTGATGTTGTTGCTCATCATTCCAGCCTCTACGTCGCCATGCCTCTGCTCGAAGCCAAGTGCGTATTGCTGATCTGCTGACGTCTCCGTCAAGCTACTCGTGGACAGCCCACAACTCTCACTTTGTTGATCCTGTGCTCATACTGACGTCCGCAACCCCCGTGCCGTCAACGCGCTGAACAGCACGTCCGCCCCGGCCAACACCTTCCTCGTGTTTTACAGCAACGTCGAGAACGGACAGATGTGGTGCCCTGTAAGTGTAGCACCTGCGCCCAGAGTCGTGCTCAACTGATCCCAGGACTGCCGAGACGTGGAGGACGTTGTCAAGAACGCTTTCGACGCCGAGGACAAGCCGAGTACGTATATGGCGCATGACGACCGAGCATTCTTGCTTAGGCTACGAAGAGGAGAGAGCTCATCAACTGGCTACCTGAGCTGACGTATCAGAGGCCGCCATCTACTGGGTCGGCTCCCGTGATCAGTGAGCTTTCTCTTGATCGAGGAACCTAGCTCACTCGCAGGTGGCGCGACAAGAACAACGGCGCGCGTGTTGACTTCAACGTCAACTCTGTCCCGACCATTATCCGATACACGGACGTGAGTGCAGATACAAACGTCTCTTCGTTTTCATCTGACAGCACAGGGTACCGAGACCGGCCGTCTCGTCGAGGGCGAGATCCTCGACTCGAGCAAGTTCAAGGACTTTGTCGCCGGACAGTAGACGCAGCAGAACCCAGTCTGCAGCCAGATATTACATGCATAACCATAAGCACGTCATATAGATGCAATGTGAGCCGTTGGAGTCGCAGAATGCTAGGGGTCCGTGACCTGATGGTGATTCGCCGAGGATGATCCGGGCGGGCTGGCGCGCAACGCGTCGTAAGATGTCAGGAGCCGGTGGAGGTGCCTTCCTCGCGAACATTTCGGTCTTCCTCGTCTCCTTCCTCGATCAACAATTCAACAGCAAGCCGGCAAGCGAAATGTCCTGCCCTCTGTCCTCGATCTTGGGCAAGGACTGCGGCATCACGCAGCGTCTGGACTGCATCCAGCGGCAGCTGCACCCGACCGCGGTATGGGAGCAGATCACTACCATGCCGCCGTGGAAGGTCGCCGTCGTCGTGATCGTCCTCATTGCCAAGTTGCCTGTCTTCCTCGCCTGGCTGAAGAACTGGACTACCAGCCGGACCGCCGTCAAATTCAACTGGCCGGTGCCTCCCGTGAGCTTGGGATCTCGGCGCTAGCTGACAGTCCAGGAAGCGTCGCCTGAGTGGAAGGGCAAGGTTATCCAGAACCCGGACCTGTTCGCGCACGAGCGCGATGCCTCGCTCCTCCCCGCCGGCGCGGACACGAAGGCACAATATCTCACCTGCTACGACCCGTCGACTGGCTCGCACATCGAAACCATTCGCCTCGAGAACGAAGCTGAGATCCTCGCTCGCCTGCAGAAGGCATGGGCCGCTCAGCCCTCGCTGGCCGCGAGCTCATTTGCGCAGCGACGTCGCTTCCTGACATCGCTGAAGGCATGGATCCTGGCGCACATGAGCGACATTGTCGCCGTCGCGGTGCGGGACACGGGCAAGACGCGGGTCGATGCCGTTTTTGGCGAGATCCTGACGACACTGGCGAAGATCGACTGGCTCATCTCGGACGGCGAGGCGGCTCTCGCTCCTTCGAAGCGGAAACGCACTTTACTCCTGGCGCACAAGAACAGCGAGGTTGTGTACGAGCCTCTCGGTCTCGTCGCCGCGCTCGTCAGCTGGAACTACTCGTTCCACAACGCTCTCGGCCCGATCCTCGCCGCCATCTTCAGCGGGAACGCCATCGTCGTCAAGGGCTCGGAACAAGTCGCCTGGAGCTCGCGTTGGTTCATCGGCGCAGTGCGCGCCTGTCTGTCCGCAACAGGCTTCGACCCAGAACTTGTTCAGCTGGCGATCTGCCTCCCCGGCCTCGCCGAGAAGTGCATCACGACAAACCCCGACGTCCGCCACATCACGTTCATCGGCAGCGAGCCCGTCGGCAAGCTCGTCGCCAAGGCGGCCGCGCAGAATCTGACCCCGACCTGCATCGAGCTCGGCGGTAAGGATCCCGCCTTCATCATGCCCGACGCCGACATGAACTTCTTCCAGAGCACGTGGATGCGGGGCGCGTTCCAGTCCGCCGGCCAGAACTGCATCGGCATCGAGCTCTTCATGGCAAGTTTCCATCTCTTCTGGGCTAGCTGACGACCAGGTCCCCCGCTCGCGACAGCAGGAGTTCATCGACCTCCTCCTCCCCCGCGTGCGCGCTCTCAGGCTGGGGAAGGATGTAGGCTCCCTGATCTCGCACGCTCCGATCGCGCGACTCGAGAAGCTCATCGCGGAAGCGGTCAAGCAGGGCGCGACGCTGCACTGTGGCGGCGAGCGGGCCGTGCTCCCTGACAGGCCGGAGGGCGCGTACTTCACGCCGACGCTCATCTCGGACGTGCGCATGGACATGGCGCTCGCGACCGAGGAGCTCTTCGCGCCCGTGATGACGGTGGTGCCGTACGACAGTGTGGAGGAGGCGGTAGCCTGGCTGAAGAAGCAGCGTTTCGGCCTCGGCGCAGGCGTGTACGGCGGCAAGCGCGCCGAGTGCGTCCGTGTCGCGCGCGGACTCGAGTGCGGCATGGTCTCCATCAACGAGTGAGTGTACCCCGCTGACGAGAGGCTGATGCCAGCTTTGGCGTGTTCTACCTCAACCAGTCGATGCCTTTTGGCGGCGTCAAGGCCTCGGGCCACTCGCGCTTCGCCGGCCCAGAGGGGCTGCGCTCGCTCTGCAACCCCAAGGCGCTGATTCAGGACACGGTGTTCAAGGTGCGCACGTCGATTCCGCCGGCACTCGACTATCCCATCAAGAACGAGGACAAGGCGTGGGGATTCCTCCACGGGCTCGTTGGACTGGGTTTCGGCGGCATCGGGGGGAAGGTCAAGGGTATCTTCGAGCTGGTCCGGAACGGGTAGAAGGGCAGATGCAAGCATTATACATTTGGGCAAACGATGTAGTGTAGATAAGTGTACAGAGATGGGTACAGACAGAATGCGTAGACAGTCGGGGTGGCAGTGTAAGGCCTTCCCCCCATTTGCAACCAAGTGTCCTAGTTCATGACCTGCGAGATGGCGAGGTTGGCGAGATTCTCCTCGGAGAAGATGTCCGCGTCGCTGCGGACGCCGTTCGTGCGCATGTCGACTGTGCGCACGACGTCGAGCATGAGGCTGATAGCCGAGGGCGGGAGGGTGATCCGCGCATCCGAGTCGGTCGCGAAGATGGTCAGCCCCGCCGAGTTCATCTCCGGCTCCTGCGGCGAGGGATGGTACATGCTCAGCCGCTCGCGGGGGGGCATGGGTGCTCTGCGGCGCGGCGGCTCTTCTTCCGAGTACACGCTCTCGTCGGCGTCCGAGCCGCCCGTGGCTGTGGTGAAGGATGTGTCGATGGCGAGGGAGCGGGACTTGGCCGGGCCCACATCGCGCTCGGCACCAGAGACGGGGACAGAGTTCGCCCTCTGCGACTGCTTCGTCGCCAGCGGGGGTGTTCCGCCCACTCGCTCGTCGCGGAGCTGGCCGACGACGCCGCGCAGGGCGCCGATCTCGCTGCGCAGTGCACTCAGCTCGTCACGCAGCCCCGAATTCGGTACTGAGCGGTCGGGCAGCGTCGCGCCCAGGTCGGGGAATAGTCGCAGCAGCTGCGCCTTCACGTGTGCGGCCCAGGCATCGTCCTGCTCCTCGAAGGAGGGGTAATCGCTCCGCGCACTGCTCGATGATCGGGTGTGCGTCGGCGGCGTCTGCGGAATGGCGTGGCTCTGCGCCGAGTCGGAGTATCGCGGCTGCCGTCCCAAGTGAACGGGAGAGGTTGGCGAGCCTGCGCGCCCGTTTGTGCTGCTTGCGGCGCTCGCGACGCTAGCGGAGCTACCTGGACGGAGAGGGGCGGTGGTCGGCTCCTCCCGCGCGAGCTGCATCGTCTTGCTAACCTTGCGGGCCTGGCTCCGGGGCGGGCGCGACCAGCGCGCCTGCTCTTGCGCCTGCGCCTGTTCCTGGTCCTGCGCCCCTTGTTTCTCTTCGGTCATCGTTGGAGGCAGTTCTCGCTGTGCCGGAACCGGAGCGGAGTGAGGCTGAGACGGCGGGTGGGAAAGGCGGGAGGCGTGGGACTCGTAGGAGGTAGGCGACTGCTGCTGTTCTCCCAGGCTCGCAAGGGAGAGCCGGGATGCGAGCGAGCGGGGCGACGCCGGCTGACCGTTCTCAGAGAAAGCTTGGGAACGGCCGGCGCTCTCGGTCTCTGGGGTCTCGGTGTGGCTCGGAAGCGAGGAGGGCGGCTTGGATTCTTGCGCCGATGGTTCCCGCCGCGGATGACCCTTGCCAAGCAGCAGGGTGCGGCGTCTCGGCGGCGGCGTGGGCGGCAGCGGAGTCTGCATCGCTGCGACGAGCGCCGTCTGCGCCTGCGGTTGCGGTGGTGATGGCGGCCCGGAGCCGCCAGAGGATACGGGGGTGAGGAGCATCTCGTCCTCTGCCGTGTGGTCGAGACTGGGGTTGTCGGCTGGGTCGACGGGTCGGTCGTAGGGGAGATCGATGTGCTCCGACGCTGGAGAGGCAGAGTGTGCAGTCTTGAAGCTGGCGACAGAGGCGAGCGACGACACACTCGTTGAGCGGTTGTGCGATCTCTGAACCGTCATGCTGGCTGGCGTGCGACTCTGGCGTCGGTTTGCTGTTGGCTGGCTGGTCGGCTGGGCAAGGTGAAACACTGCGTCTGCCTGCAGCTCGGCGGCGGCCTTGCGCTAACGGCGCAGATAGGAACAGGAACTACCGTGCGCCGGGGTGTACCGGGGGAGGCGGGGTCGAGAATGAAGGGCGTGGGAGGGTGAGAGGGTGAGAGGGGTAGCGGGCAGCGGGGTGTGCGGGACGAGGTTATTGCGGCTTTGTTCTGGCGCAGAAGGAAGAGACAACAACAATTGGCCGGGCGCGTGTGCTTGGGCTCTTGGGTGAGGGTACTCGGTGCCTGGCTTTTCATGTTTTGCGGTTGACCTTGCACCCACGAACAACCTCCGTTACACTATCAGAACTGCTGGACTGTGCACTGGGCGGTGGCTGTGGCTTTTCATGCATGGATACTCTAGCTTGGCTGCGGCGGCGCTGCGCTGCAGTGGGCCAGACCTTATCGTGGGCCGCCGTAGTCACCAGAACACGCAAGCTCCATAGAACGAGGATGCGTATGTTGATGCATAAACCTTGGCCTGGACGCTGCCGCGCTGTCCCTTCAGCACAGGGGAGGGCAGGGGGCCTGGTTCCTTGATTTCTACTGTAAACTCTCGGCACAACTGTTAACAGTCTACATCGCATGGTTTTGCGGGAGGGGGTCGGTCGCAGGACAATCGTCGGCGGCGCGAACGGCAACCGTCATCCGCTGTGAAGCTCTTGTTCCCCTCACTGATGTCCTGGAGGCAGTCCTGGGCTAAATTTGAGGTGCGAACAGAGTTACGCTGTCAGTTGGGCATGCAAGCTGCCATGCGAGTAGGAGCGCCTCGAACCTTACACTCTTCTTACAGCAGCGAGTTTAGGGTGCACAGGGCTGCAAAGGGCAGGACAGGGCGAGCCGCTCCCGGGAATCTGGCTGGACCAGGTTCGCATTTACCAGCCTTTCAGTTGCGAAACATGCTTTAGGGAGAGGATGGAGCGTTGTCGTCGTTCTGGAATCTGGAACGTACAATCTCTCCCGTAACAAGCATGATTGGAGTCAGGTCGAGCGGAATGAAGCGAGTTTGTTGGAGTCATCCATCAAGTGGGCATGCACGGCTTGACGGTAGTCAGATGGGAGTGACGGTGACACCCCTGCTACTCCTCTGTACACGGTGTCGCAGTCACTGTGTGCCTCTTCCACAAACAGGCACTCGAGCACGTGCTGTCCGCGCTCCTTCTCGGCAGGTGTCCAGCCTGCTGCCTGCTTCTTCGAGCATCGAGCAATTTACCGGCTGACTTGCATTCAGTAATGTAAATGATCTGCTGACTAGGCAGCCTAGAGCGGGCAGCTGACAGGATCGGTGCTATCTGTTGTTGTTGATGCTATTACGAAAGCAATACGTCATAGATGCCACTGAGCGGCGCGCTTTGGTCTGGTGACTCTGACTTGGTCAGTGGGATCAGTGGTGAGAGTGGCGAGATGGGGCGCGATGGTGGCCGATACCGGTTAAGCCGACTGATAGCGCTCCAGCCGATCTGCTTGCGTCTGTGTCTGAGGCTACGGCGTCATGGCATCATGCGCTCATGCATGATGCGGTTTGTCTCCATGCCGCCGCACCGTTGGGGATCTCGGCCTGCAGTGGAATTCCACAGCCCCACCTGCAGCCTACTCGCTTGGCGTTGGTCTGCACTGAGGGTGGCATGCTGTTCAGGCCGGCGGCAAGGGCTGAGGGCCCCGTGACTCCGCCGCAGTGGTCTGCCGCCTCATACCGCCACAGGCAAGCTCCCTAGACGGATTCGGAACGGAGGCATCAGTAGTGCACGTTGCTGCGCATGCGGCGAGCTGAGAGTGGGAAGCGGTGAGGAGGGTTGTGAACTGTCGCTTCGGACAGGGTGGGCACAGTGAAGCGAGGTGTTGATGGTAGCCGAGCGTGTGAGAACTGCAGCCTGGTCGCGACAGCAGCGGAAGATATCGCATGGGCGCTTGGGGACACTAGCACGCGACCGTATCACCTCATCGCGGATGCACTTTCGAGCTGGGCGTTGGGGGTGGAGGTGGTCCAGAACCCACCGAGGGGTGCGATCGCATATCGCTTCCTTTGATCCCTCGTGTTCCCCCGATGTGCTCTCGGCCGATACGCATTAGGTGCCGTTGAGAAAGGTGATGGAGCAAGCGTACACGCGCTTCACATTCATGGTAGACTCGCATATGCATGCGATGAGTCGATCGTGGAGTCAAGCTCAAGCACGTATGCAAGACTGAGTAGACGCAATTCATACGGCGGGCAGAAGAGAGCCCGCCCGCTCCGTATCGCCTGCGTGCGCCCCGCCGACCGACACAGAATTGAGCCACAACTAGCCACGGCACCTGCTCCTGCAATGGCGCTTTCTGTTCTCGGTGGGCCGGAGGATCGATGCACCACCTGCTACGCAAGACAGACCGCGCGAGCGCAGAGCCTGTAGACAGCAGCCCACATCCCCATCCCCGTCCGTATCCCCGTGTGCCCGCCCATGTCTCGTCCGGTCCCAAACCTCTCCTGCACGCAAGACGTCACTCGAACCCAAGTAAGACTGAGTCATGCATAGCCGTTGCGGATGCGCTGCGCACCAGATGTGCACCCAGATCTGGCACGCAGGGCCTTGGGCACACGAACAACGTGTGACGCTGACACGAGATGACACGAGCTGACACGAGCTGACACGACAAGGCGCTAGGCGCTACTTGGCGCTTCCACTGCGTGCTCAGCCCTCAACAGTGACGACGATCAGTCGGTGTTTGCACGTTTCGTCCGCAGTCGCAGCACCCCACGTTGAGTGGTAAGGGGGGTCACCATTGGAGGCCGCAGACGCGTTAGACGGAGTAGCACAGTCACCCGTATCGACGCACAGGTTGTAGGTTATGGCGCGAGATTGTGAGGGCCGAACGAGGGGGACGGGACGATGGAGGCGACAGACGGATAGAGGGAAGGGACACGGACGGATGTTTATCTCTGGAGTCAGTATCGAGTCAGTTGGGGATTAACAATGTGCCGGCGGGACGGCTATGGACTGCGAAGAGAGACTAGCACCATGCTACAGAGTCTAATCGCAGGGTCCAGAGCTCCCATAGCGCACTGTTGCTCCCAGGCCTAGGGGGAGCTCAGGCGTAAGGCGTGACGACCCCATCATCGTGCATCATATCTGCCCCTGGTGTGCATATCGATCACCCATATCATCATTATCCCTCCACCCCACCGTGCCGCACCCCGTACCACACCCACTTGCCCAAGCGACATCGCTACCCGATACCTCTCTGCCTTGCTCGTCTGTTACCTTCCTCCTTTCTTGTTGTCTCTCTCATCCCCTTCAACGGCCCGCACACCCGCCGTGCATCAGACTCACCCATCAACCAAGGGGCGCAAGACGCAGGTCGTCTCATCACCGTGATCTCCGCACAGTAGTACCTACACGGTCACACCATCACCCTTTCCCCAGCCCCGCCCTGTTATCAGTAGTCCGCCCCTCCACTGAACGACCCGAGTCCCTCATCCACTCCCACTCACCCACCACACGCGTCACCACACACCACGCACCCCATCAACCACGTCGACCAGGCTGCTGCATACGGTCCCTGCATCCCGCAGCATCAAGCACCCTCCGTTGCAACGCCGAACCTGTCAGACTAGGGCCGCCAGGTGCATACGAACCCGTCGTATCAATCCCAATCAACACGCGATCGGTAACCTCAATCCGGCCTCAGCCGAACCCTATATCGCCACCGCCCCCTTCACTTTGAGTGCTCACCGCGACGCCTAGGCGCACTCGACTCACTCACTCGCCGCCGCCTTAGCTCCCCGTTCCTCTTTTCTTCCACTCTAAACACACTCGACACCGCACGCGCGCACGCGATTACACAGCACCGGAAGCACCGGATTCTCCAGCTCTTATACCGTGTATCTATCACGGCATCTTGATTCCTCACTCTCCGGTACCTCCTTTTCAACACCAACAGTCGCCGCCGTCTTCCTCTCGCTGTCCACGCCTCTTAACCCGACATCGACTCGCGCAACTGAATGTCCCCCTCCCCTCATCATTCGTGACCCAAGGGCCACATTGCGACCGTGTTTTAATCCGACGCATCAGTCATCAACCGCGCGCGGCAATTCGCGTACACGTCTCTTTCGACGCGATCCGCCCAGCCCCCCGCCCCAGTCCTCACAGAGACCCAGTGCCCCTTTCTCCTTACTAGCGATGACGGAAGCTGGGTCCAACGCTCGCAAGGACAAAGGAGGAGGTCACCGGCATCAGGAGCATCGCGAACGCGTAGGCAACTATGTCGTCGGTGCTGAGATCGGAAGAGGCTCCTTCGCTACCGTCTACAAAGGACATCGTTCGGTGAGTGTCTCAGTCACGCTTTGGCCTCTCGCGCCTGCGTGATCAAAATGATCGGTGAGCTGATGCAAATCAACAGAAGTCCAAGACCCCCGTCGCTATCAAGGCCGTGTCAAGGCAGAAGTTGACGAGCAAGCTGCTTGACAACCTCGAGAGCGAGATCAACATCCTCAAGGTCATTAGTAATCGCAATATCGTAGCTCTCATCGACTGCTTTGTGAGTTTTCCGGTTCTGCCTCAATAGCTCCTTGCGCTGCTTCTTTGTTTGTCGCTCTCGCTCGCCATGCGCACGATTCACGATTGGCGGCGCAGATCGGATCCGTGCTTCTGCTTATCCACTTTGATGACATGATCGACCGTCTTTCCACCAGCATTCCCCATCAGCGCATGCAGAGCTGACACGTACTGCAGAAGAATGACTCGCACATCTACCTCGTGATGGAGTACTGCTCCGGCGCCGACCTTAGCTTCTACCTTCGGTACCGAGGGCGGATCGACACCCTCGATTTCATCCCTCGGGTATACGAGTCGAACATGGTGGCGTCAAGAACCGAGGGCAAGGTGTTCTGGCCGCATCCAGAGACCGGTGGCCTCGATGAGCGCGTCACCCGATGCTTCTTAGGCCAGCTTGGTGAGTTGCTCACAACCTCCGAATCAGGCTGACATAATCAGCGCAGGCTGTCCGTTTCCTTCGTTCGCAGGATCTCATCCATCGCGACATCAAGCCTCAGGTGAGAATGAAGGATTTCCTTTCTTGCTGACGCGGCTCAGAATCTGCTCTTGCAGCCGGCTACCGCAACGGAGGTTGCTGAGGGGCACCCGCTAGGAATACCCATTCTCAAGGTTGCCGACTTCGGATTTGCCAGGATTCTGCCGGCTGCGGCGATGGCTGAGACTTTGTGCGGCTCTCCGCTATACATGGCGCCCGAAATCCTCCGCTACGAGAAGTATGACGCGAAGGCTGATCTGTGGTCCGTCGGCGCAGTTCTGTACGAGATGTGCGTCGGCAAGTCACCATTCCGCGCCCCGAACCACGTCGAGCTGCTGCGAAGGATCGAGAAGGGAGACGACAGGATCAAATTCCCGGATGAGTCCTCGCGGCAACAGGCTCCCACCGCGGACGGATCTGCACCTCCGCGCATCACGCGTGTCTCCTCAGACCTGAAGGAGTTGATCCGTGGTCTGCTGAAGCAGCGTCCGGCCGAGCGCATGGGTTTCGACGCATTCTTCGCTTCGGGCGTCTGGGAAGGCTACATGACCGAATCCGTTGGAGACGTTAGCACGAGCATCGAGGTCTCGACAGACAGCTCGTCGGCTGGCGATCAGTTTATGAGCGGCCTGGCGTCACAACACGCGTCTGAGGGCAGGAGGTCATCGACACATTCTGTTGCGCCCGCGGCGCCATCTCCGCGAACATCACCCACTCCTACGCCTGTGCCAGCCACAGCGGGCTCCATTCCCAAGCGCCAAGGCTCTCGCGTCGCTCTGGCCGAAACACCACACCCGTCCAACGCGCCAACTCCTGTTCCCCGGGCATCCCGACCAGCGCCAACAAGGCGCTCAGAGCCCAAGTACTACGTCGGTGACGAACCGGCGGAACCAGAGCTTGAGCCTTCTGGCCAGTCGCCGACGCACATGAACTCGTCGAAGACGGACACTCGGAGTATTCCGAGCAGGGTTCATTCGCGTCTTGAGCGTGCCGCCAGCAGTGGTGACGATGCGTCACCCGTCACGCCTATTGCCGCTGCCCCTATCTACGCTGCTCGAGCTATTGGGGGTTCGCCACTTGCGGCGACTCCCCCGATCACCTCGACGGGCAAGGACGAAAGTGCGCTTGGAGCTAGTGACTCGAAGGAGTACGTCGTTGTAGAGAAGCGGACCGTGGAGATCAACGAGCTTGCAGACGGTAAGCGGCCAGCGACCCGTGCTTTACTGACTTGCCCAGAACTGCAGCAGAAGGTATCGCGTCGCCCGTCATCGGGTGGCACGTTGGTTCGTCCCTCGGCGGCCAAGCGAAACAGCATTGTCGCACGACCTGTATCATCTTTCAAGCCGTCAAGCGGCAGTCCGCCCTCGCCACAGGCGAGCTACGGCGGCCAAACAGGTGCCTCGTATTCGCCTCCGTTCGCAATGGGTACAACGCCGCCGTTCGCCGTTCCCGCCGTGCGTGGTGCACTGTCACGACCGCGCCAGCCGTCACTCCCTACAACGCCACCAGTGTTCCCGCCCCCAGGCGCGTATGGCATCTCGCCGGAGCGGCATGTTACGCCGTCGTCGTCGCCTAGCAATGCGCTTGCGCGTGTGCTGACGAATACGGCCGTGAAGCTGCTGAACTCTTCTGCCAACACAGCCGTCAACGCCATCGCTCTTGCGACTGGCACCTCAGTCCGGCGGTGGCCGCAAGTTGAGCGCTCCGGTGAGATCGATCCCCAGGAAAGCGATGTGCTCGACTTGCTCGAGGACACGGCACGCAAGGCATTCGTGTTGTTCGACCTAGCCGACTCGCGACTTCTGCAGATGCAGGTCGGGCGGCAGTCTGTGCCGTCTGTGTCGGCGACGCTGACACCGGCGCCAAACACCCCTCCTGGCTCTGCACCTCCGCCGTTCAGCATCCCGCCCGTCGGGCGTCGCAAGTCCTCGTCTTCTTCGACGAACAGCGATTTACTCGTCTTGCGTCAGGCTGAAGAGGCGGCATCAGACGCGTGTGCTCTGTACTTCAAATCTCTCGCCTTCATTTGCGCAGGGCATGAGCGGTTCAAGAAGTACTGGGATGCGCGCAAACTTCGCAACGTCGAATACCAGACGAGCTCAGAGCTCAACGAAAGTGAGTACATGCATGCTGTTGGATTCCTTTGCTGACATTCAGTGGTCCAGTGGTTCCGCGCGCGCTTCAATGAGGTGTACGAGAAGGCCGAGTGGGCAAAGGCTCGATGCGCTGAGCAGTTACCTGACGTCGACAAGCTCGTGCACGTGCGAGCGCGCGACATCTCGCGACAGTCAGCGCAGGCCGAGCTCATGGGTGACCTCGCCGTCGCCGAGGAGGGTTACGATACGGCCATGTGGCTCCTTGGCACGCTTCTCGATGACGCCATGTACGAGGGCGTCTCGGTGCGCGAAGAGGAACGTATCCTTTACGAGCGCCTCATCGGCTCCATCAGTGACCGCCTTGATGGCCTGCGGAAGAAGATGGAAGCGGCGCGCTCGGGTGTTCCCCCAGTGACGGCGCAGGTCAGCGCACGAGTTGAGCGAGCGTGATTTCCGAAGAAGAAGAGAAGAGAGAGTAGTAGTGTACTCCAACCCCAGCAAACATCAAATCTATCCATCCCCAGCATTCGATTCCAGTCCAGCAACACCATCCATCACCCTGCACTTTCCAATCCTGCCCACAATCCCCTCGCACTCCACACTTCCCCAGTGTCAACGAGCCCCAAACGACAGAACCAGAACGCTTCCCCCCAAACACCACTTCACATTTCTTGTTGTCCAATGCTTCATGCTTTTTCCGTTGTACGCTGTCCGTCTAGGCCGAATATGCACAATACAAGAGACTCATGCTGCACATCCAACCTGCACTCACCGCCGCTCTTGGCCATTCAGCACTCCAATACGGCTAACGTGTGCACAATATACATGACCCCGGGGTATCTAGTCGCGCGCCTCGGCCTTCCTCCTCTCCTCCCTGAGCTCAATCTCCTCCCTCTGCTTCTCCTTCTTCGCCTGCGCCGCAACCTTGCGTTGCCTCTGGCGGCGGCCCGCGCCGCGCTTCGCGCCCGTGACGGCGACGTCGACATACAGCTCCTTCCGCCGCTTGGCCTGGGCGTCGGCGCGCGCGCGCTCGCGCTTCTTGTCACGCTTGCGCATCTTGCCGCCCATCTGGGCCTTGAGGAGCGCGCCGTAGGTCTGGTGGAAGAGGGGGAGCTGGGCGGGTTCGATCTGCGAGTTAGCTCACGTGCATCCCGACACAGCTGGGACAGCATAGGGCATCAGGGGACTGTCCCTGGCTCCTAGAGCAGCTTCGGCAGGCCATAGCAGGCAAGTCGGATGCCAGGTCGGCAAGCGCGGAGGCTGGTGGAAGAAGTTCATTGGAGAACGTTAGATCGAAAGACGATGAGGAGCAAGGCGAGGCAAACTTGCTACCACTGATGCCCGACTGCGAGCATCGATGCAACTCACCCTCGTGCTGAACTTGTCCTCGCCCTGCGCTGCGCGCAGGAGCACATCGTGCTCGTCCTCGTCACCCGACATCGCCGCGTCCGCGCCATCGTACGTGTCTGATGTCAGCTGGCACGATGTGGCACACCCAGCAGTTGCGATCGAAAAGCGGCAAGCGGAAGGAAGAAGACAAAGCCCGAGAATCAGGCGGACGCGGAAAGGGCCAGGGGAAGATCTCGGGGGAGGTTGCGGCTTCGAAAGGAAGACATGACAGAGGAGGAGACCTCGCCGACGGTCGACTACCTCTGCAAGTCGGCTCTGTCGGTCAAGCTCCCTTGCAGATCCAACCTGTGATAGGTGATCCTAAGCTTCAGGCCGATCCTCTACTAGCCTTCCTCCTGAGATGCCAGCTGTCGCGTCATCGCCTGCTCGAGTCATTGCCGATCGCGTGTCCTTCGCTGCTCGCCGCTGTCGCGTCAGGAGACTTACACCGCTTCGCCGTGAGCCACACGGCTCCCGCATCCGGCTTCTCGAAAGCCTGCGTCAGGCGCGCCAGGAAGATATCCGGCGTGACGAGTTCTGTCGGCATGGTTTTGGTCAATGAAGTGTCGGTCAGGCGACTTGCAGGCGACTTTGCTCTCGTCCTCGTCGTCACAGCTCGTTGCCGGAGGAAGGCGCTTGGCGTTGCGATTGTGGATGGTCACGTGCGAGTAGCCTGGCATTAGGAATGCTATTAGCCTGCTCGTCCAAGGGGATTTGTAATGAGCCTACTCAGGATTGATCCCGTCGCCACCCCACGTGTTGATGGAGACCGGAGAGCAGGCGAACTCCGCGCGCGGTCTCACTATCGATGCCCGCCGTTTCCAGAGATAACGAGCTAAGAAGTGGGCTCTGAGCTCTGACCGCAGTACCTCGAGAAGCTTCTTGCTCGTCACCCTTGGACATGTGCTCGGTATGCACCGCAGGGTCTGTGTCCCGCGCACTGCGGCGATCGGACTGAGCGCAGGGACAATTGAACCTTCGCTGGATCCTTTACCTGCAATGAACGGCGTCGCGGCATCCGGTGTTTGACGGGTGACAACCCGACCGGCCAACTACGACTGCTGAACTGTAATTTCGACGTCCCTTCTTTCCTGAACACAACCATCTCGCTAGGCTGCGATAGTCTATGGAAGATGAAGAGCACTGCTTGATAGAATCAAGTCAACTCCAGCGAGAAGGCCGCCGATCAATCCACTGGAGGCAGGAGGAAGGCACGTTAATGGGTCTCCAGATGTGCGAATGGCAAGATAACATACGAGGTTGGAAACGACCCATCCGGCCACTCGCTTTCGTGCCGTAAACAAAAGCTTCTTCTGCAAGGGAGCTTTCGGCAAAGCGAGCGAGATCCCAGCGTTCCCGAGGACCAGCCAGAGTAGGTACGTCACAGACCATGTGCTGTTGCCTCGGTGATCCCCCCGGTTCACAGGGATCTGGTCCGCTGCGGCTTGCTGCAAAGCTGCAAAAGCTGCAAAGGCATTCGTTTACCCGCGGCCATAGTGCAAGTCGAGATCTGGCAACAAGCTCACACTAGTAGATTAGCATCGGAAGTGGATACTACCTCGACCCACCATGCCGCCAGCCCGACCAGTCCAGCCCACTCCAGCAAAGCTGGCGACTAGGGCCCAGCGGCCACAGCTGGTGGCGTCGCGGGGAATGCCCTGTGACCAGGTCCTGGTTCCATACTCCAAAGCGACCTTGAACACCTGGCGGTCCGGGCGGCTGGGCGTTCCAAACCTGGGTCCTTCCGTATCACAGTTACGCCTGCCGTTTTGGACCGAAACGATGATCGCATGCAGAAGAGCGTCTTGACGTTGTGCAATCTCTTTGCTCGACACGCAACGCACCATGTCGAGTATAGACAGCAAGGCGCCGCAAGATGCCGTTCAGGAGGTCGGTCCTGCCGAACGCGGCGTTGTCGCTGCCGAGGACCCCGTCGACGATCGTGAGTACATCCCTGGTGCGGAGAACAGCGGCGATCGCTACCCCACGGGCCACCGCCGTTGTCACCTCCCCTGCCTCCTTCATTATAGATGAACTGACATCACAGCCATGCTGAACAAGATGCCGCTCGAGGTGTACATGTGGTACGCGGAGCGTGAGCGACAGCGGGAGCGCGACGACCCTCGGCCGATTCCGGATTCGCCGTGGACCATTGCCTACAAGCGACTCACGGGGCAGAAAGCTAAGATTGTCGTCGCGCACGAGCGACCAGAGCTAGTCGAGGAGTCGGAAGGACTATGGACCATGCTGTGGAAGCGCGCATTTCGGAAACGTCGAGCCGCTGCTACGCCGACACCAGCTCCGACGCCGGACGAGCCGGAGGAGCTCCTCGCCTCACTGCCGGGTACGACTGACTCGGGAGATCGCAGCGGAGCCTCTGCCTCGCTGGAGAAGGAGCGGCAGCCGATCTTCACCGAGCGCGATAAACAGTCGGCGTACTTGCTCCTGCGCGTTGCGAGCTGGCAGCTCGTGTTCTACATGATCTGCTGCGACGTGCTGGGATGGTACACTGCGCCGATGGCATTCCGCGAACTCGGTTACGGACCCGGCGTGCTCGTGTACACGGGCTTCTTCATCATGGCGTTTTGCAGCGGCCAGATCCTCTGGCGCATGTACCTCGCCATGGACAGCGAGCGGTATCCTGTCAAGTGCTATGCCGACCTCGGCGAGCGCACTTACGGGCCTGTCATTCGGCACGCGTTCAACATCCTGCAGAGTCTGCAGCTGCTCGTAAGCTGGCCTCGTGCTTATCGTAGCTAACACACAGTTCAACGTCGGCATGCTCATCGTGATGCAGGGCCAAGCGCTGGCCGAGATCATCGGCTTCACGTTCTGCTATCTTGCGCTGTGCATCTTCTTTGCGCTGCTCGGCATGGTTCTCTCCCAGGTCAAGACGCTGCACGGCATTGCGTGGTTTGTCAACGTCAACCTGTGGATCAACATCATTGTTATGTGTCTCACCATGATCGGTATCGGGCTTTACAAGCCTGTTCCCCATCAGTCGGGACACGCAGACCTCAGCGAGCCGAAGATTCTTAGCGGATGGGTGCCCTCTTACACGAAGGGATGGTACCAACAAGTTGTCGGAGTGCAAGTGAGCTTTGTTGATAGTACCGATAAACTGACTTCCAGCTCGCTGTTTTCAGCTACGGCGGTGCGATGATCTTCCCCGAGTTTATGGCAGAGATGCGCCGCCCACGCGACTTCTGGAAGGCTGCGTTCTGCGCCCAGTTCTTCTGCTACGCTCTCTACATGGCCTTCGGTATCTACGTGTACAGTTGGTACGTTACCCTGCAGTTTCCAAGTGTTTGGCCAACTGACCGAGCAGGCAAGGACAGTACACGAACATCTTGCCAACGGTGAACATGGACAGCATCATCTTCCAGGGCGTGACCAACATCCTCGGCCTTATCTGCATCTCGCTGATTGCTGTGCTGTACTCGCACATCGGCTGCAAGGTGTTCTATCGCAACGTGCTGCGAGGCTACTTCAAGGCCCCGAGCCTCACGAGCGTGCGGTCTGCGTGGATCTGGTCTGCGACAGTCACTGCGTACTGGGCTGCGGCGTGGGCCATTGGCTCTGCAATCCCAAACATCACCGACCTGAACACGATCGTGGGCGCTTCGTGCATCCTTCAGTTCACGTACACCTTCCCCTCTTTGCTGCTGCTGGGACACTGGGTGCAGCGCGACGCGATGAAGGGAGACAGGCCCTGGGAGCCCGGCATGGAGCCGTGGAGCAATCGCGTTGGCTCGTGGAGGGACCTCTCAAGGTGGAAGAGAGGCTTCAAGCAGTATTGGTACGCAAAGCTCGCCATTGCGCTCCTCGTCTGCGCAGCTCTCACCCTGTGTGCTCTCGGTATCTACTCGGGCGCCATGAGTGCCAAGGACAGCTTCAGCAACGGGTTCACCATTGCGTATAGCTGTCGTGCACCGGGACAGCCGAAGGACTAAGCTCGCTCGTTCATCCTCACCATACAGCCTCATAATTGTGTACTAGTACGACCCTGCATTCTTGCTACGACCTTGCGAGGTGACCTCATCGCAGGTTAGTCACCCCCTTTAGCGCACGCCGCGGGCGCCAGCTGCGCCTTCGCTGCGCATGACCCATGTGTTTCCCCATTCGCTGCGCCACAGCCAGAAGGCATGGGCTAAAAGACTCACAACATTGATTGTTTTGACGTTTGACTCATCCTCAGTGTTGCCTCTCCTCAAGTGCTCCCTGTCTTGCCCGTGTTACCTGTCGACACCCCCGAGCTCCACTCCCGATCGCGGACATGCCTGCTCAGACGATCATCAAAACCATCGCCTCCCCGTTCTACGATGGCCCCGACGGGGAACCGGACTGGACGCCTTCCTTCCTGGCGGGCGAGCATCCGTGGCAGCAGCGCCTGGCTGCCCTCGCCGGCATGTTCTACCGGTACAACACGGACCAGATGCAGAACGATGTCATGTGTTTGGCAAGGTCCATGCTCAAGCATGCGGAGGTGAAGCCTAGACATCGGGTCATCTTCCGCATCGCCCAACCTCCTGCAAGGGATAGCCAGCGTGGCATGCCGAACAGCGACAAGGAGTCTCTTTTTCTGGACGCAGACCGTTCTCAAGGACCTCTTTGCATCCTGGTCACCACAGCCCGCCACTACCAGCATCATCTTGGGGAGTCTGTCCGCCGCACTCGCGCGATGCAGGCCCTCAGCGACGCCGCTCAAGCTTTGAACCTACTGCACGAAGCCGATGGGACGTTCCTTGGTCTCGCCTGTGTCAACAACAAGTTCTCGCGCTTGTTCTGCCTCAAGAGCTCCAACACTTTCGAGTTCTGGCGCGCGTGCGACACCGCCGGCCCCCTGTTCCTGCTTGAGGTTCCCGAGGGTTCACCCATGGCCGGCAAGGTGGCGACCCTCGATGCCTACTGCAAGCTCGACGTGCACGCCAACCTCGCCCATACCCTCGTAGCCAAGAACCTCGGCCCTCCCCGTCGTCCGCGGGATCTCGCTGTCAACAGGACGTTTTGTCCTCGTGCCGCCAGTTGCCTCTAGGAGTTCTGGTCTGACGGCATCAGCATGGCCACTGCTGTGACTGCGAACGAGGACCTCACGAGTCTACCCAAGCTGTCGCCAGGGTTCAGGAGCCGCGTGCGTCACTTCGTGGCCAACGCACAGGAACTGGTCGATCCCGAGCAGATCCCCCGCAGCTGCAGCAGTCACAGCATGCTCAACCTGCCGACGTCGGCACTCTCCAGCCTCTGGAATGGGGCCGATCAAGGCGGGAGCGTCTCGGTAGCCACCACTTCGCCCGCGCCGCGCTGGTATCAACGCCTGCCTTCCTTCACCAAAGGGCAGTGGAGCATGGCGTGCGTCGAGGCGGCCGTTCGAACTGGGATAACTCTTCTAATGAGGTCGAGCTGGAGAATGTGCGTGGTGAGATGTTGCGCCAGACTCCGACTTTCGTGCTCGTGGATCCCAGCACGATGGACTCACTGGTGGAGTCAGCAGTGCAGGAAGTCCTGGCCGCTGCTCAAGTCCAGACCTCCACTCAGTCTTAAGTCCTCTGTGCTGCGAGTCCCACGCAAGACTGTTGTGCCTGCCTTGCGTGTTTCTTGAATGTAACCTTTGTTGCCTGTAGACAAGAATCGATGTTATCATAGTTCATGTCATATTCTGCGAGTGTCTAACGTTTGATGCCACAGAGGCTGCAATCTCGGCAGGGTGCTGAGCGGCGGTGGAGGTAAGTGGAGGTTGATCACAAGATAAGGTGTCCGTGCCGACCGACTTTCCGTTTAATCCGCCGAGTCATCAAAATGAGAGCAGTCGTACAGCGCGTCCTCAACGCTTCCGTTGCCGGTGAGCTGAAGAGTTCTTCGCTGTAGCTAATGCCAGTCGAGGGGCAAACAATCAGCTCGATAGGCAAGGGCCTCATGGTGCTGGTCGGCATCGAGCGAAGTAAGTTCGAGCGCGTGACTTGATAACTGACTGCAGACGACACACCAGACGATGCCGCCTGGATCATCAAGAAAGTGCTGGGCGCGAAGCTGTGGGATGGAGCCGAGGGTGGAGCCTGGAAGCAGGGTGTGACAGATATCGAGGGCGAGGTGCTTTGCGGTGAGTACACTTGGTCTTCCCTCCCGGTCTTCCCCTCCTTCATCAGCTGTCTTTCTCGATTGCTATGTCTGCAACGGCCCTTTAGCTGACTTCAGTCTCCCAATTTACCCTGTTCGCCAACTTCAAGGGCCTCAAGCCCGACTTCCACGAGAGCATGGTGAGCTTCCTGCGCCCTGCTTTGAAGCTGACGGAGACAGTCAACACAGCCGGGCAAGGCATTCTATACGTCCTTCCTTGAGCAGATCAAGGCTGCCTACGTTCCGGAACGCATCAAGGGTGAGTTTTACGTGCGGTGATAGCTGACATCCAGATGGGCAGTTCGGTGCAATGATGGCCGTTTCGTTGACGAACGATGTGAGTAACCCTGCTCCTCACCTCCCACGCTCGAGTTCCTCACTTACGAGAACTCTGCTCCGGCACCGTTCTGAACTATCCCAACCTGTCTTCTCCGACCGCCAGCTTGGAGCCGCAGCTGACAATGCAGGGCCCTGTGACGATCCTTTTCGACAGCCGGGAACGCAAGAAGGGATCTTCCTCCACCCCCGCCAGCGGTGCCGCAACGCCGACGCAGAAGAAGGAGGTGAGCAAAGAGGAGGCTGCCGCGATCGCGAAAGCAAAGAATGATGCGCGCAAGGCGAAAAAGGAGGCTTGGGAGAAGCGTAAGGCGGAGATGGCCGCATCGGAGGCTGCCGGCAGCTCTGGCGGAGCCGGTGCGGCGGAGACCAAGTAGGCGCACGCCGGGGTGCATAGGAGAGCCCGGTCTGGAGGCGTAGATCACTAGAACATCAACCGACTACACACGCATCGACATACCGCCATATCGGCATGCATCTTGCTGAACAAGCCAACATGACGAAGGGGCGTCTATTGATGCTGACGCAGGAGGCGTTGACTCACCGCAGCTGACCACTTGAAGATGAGCTGGCTGAGAGCGATTGAATGATAAGGTTTCGAACGGGCGCTTGTCTCTGAGCTCGTCATGGCACCGGTCTTTGCCACGCCCTGCTGCGCTCTGTGATGAATACGAGCGCCCTCATGGCTTGGGAACGATCTTGAGTCCGAGATGGACCCGTCGCCTCTCTCCTCAAGACATATAACTGGGGTTGAGACCCCACCACCACTCAGCACTCACGCTCTCTCTAAATCGCAACAACACGCTCACTCGCACACTCGCTATCTCAAAGTTCTAGCACTACACCCAATTCCCGATCTAGTACATCCCAGCTTCACCCCTCGTAATGTTCCGACCTCGTCGTAGCTTCGGTCCCGGTCCTCGAGGCGGACCCCCTCCACCTCGAATGGGCCCGCGCATGGCTGGTCCACGCATCGGTCCTCGCATCGTTCCTGTTGCTGTCCCCGTCGGTGGCCGAGGGTTCCATGGCGGCTGGCACGGCGGCTGGCATGGAGGTTGGCATCGCCGCCCCGTGGCCGTAGCGGCGCCCGTTGTGGTCGTCCGCCGGAGACGTTTCTGCGGCCTGTTCTAGGCGCCGCTTGGTCTCATCGCCCATTGCTCTCCGTAGTCGTTGAGCCTTGTCCGTCCGACAGAATTGAGACGCAGGCTCTCAACGGTGCACCGACCAGAGCAATACCAGCAAGTATTGGTAAGTTTTGGGCAAGGTCTCAGAAGGCCATCACGTTGGAGCAAACACTAACTTTGAAGTCGGCGCCTTCTCACGTTCTCGGCCCGGAAACTCTACCCGGCCCCAGGTCCGCATCCAGCATTAAGCATATCTACTCTCTCTCGATACCGAATCAACCTCACAAATTGACCAAGTCAATACACCTTCTTGGCTCCGCTTCCTTCTCTACGAATTCCCGTATGGACGCTGTCCCGCTCTCCTGATTGCAGCTCCCACAGTCTCCACACCCGCCCTCCCATATGATTCTGCCCTCCCGTATTTCGCAAAGTTGATGTAAGCTGTACCTCATTGCCTCTCTTCCAGTAGGCTACCCCCTGTGCTTGTTTAGACCCACTCGTCTCGTTCTCTGCGGCATCATCAGGGCCGGGACCTGGCCACAAGACCTGGAGTGCAGTGATCGGATCACTGCGGCCTCCCTTGCTCATGTTGTCAAGCACTTGCCATCTTCAGTGTCCACGCCCTGCGCCAAGCAAACGGTAAGCCGTATGTCGCTGGTCAGGTGCTCTCCACCATGAGCTGCGCGCTCCCAGAGTTGAATGGGCTGGTCTGGCCCCGGCGAGGATTGAAAGCAATACGAAACCAGTTCTCAGGGCCCCCGTCCTCAAGGTCTACCGTTGAAGCTACGATACCCTGCACGCGTCCCGGCTGCTGTCATTATCGCTAACACACCTCGCAGACTCCATGTCGCAACAAGGGGCATGATGACCCGAACTCTCGGCATACGGCTCTGAATAGCGAATCGAGGCGGCCAGAGCGGCACTGGCGCGCCGGAATCGAAACACTCTTTCTCACCTTATCGTCACTGGGAAGAAAGCAGAACGGGATCCAGGCAGACGGAGTGGTCGGAGTCTCGTAAGGTTCGTAAGGATTGAATTGTCCGGGTTTCATCGCGCGAAGTTGTCTTGAGCGTCGTTCAGCAACTATTGCATCCACTATCCCCATCATTTCAGCTCTGCATTACGTTGTTGTCTCAACGTTGTCAAGTTGACGCAAATCAGGTGACTGTCCTGGGCGCTTGCAGTCTAATCCGTCCACCAGGGCGTCGCGCACTGCGAGCACCGCCGGTTGGGACATCATCGCCGGGCAATGTATGTAGCACCGTGAGCCTGCTCCAGGTAGTGTATACATCGCGTATAGAGTTTCCTTGGGATCGAATTTAGCCCTGGTCCGAAACCCATCTGAGGACGTTCAAGCCGCATTCGACACTGAGGTGTCCGTCGGGAGCGTTTTCTCAGAAAGGACTACGGCACCCACTGGCCGGGCCGAAGTTGGAAGTGCTGGCCCAGCTGAGCAACACTTAGGTCCAGGTAAGGCTCACCCGGCTCTGCCCCTGGCGTTTCCATATACCTTCTTATGCCGGCAATGAGTCTACAGTACAGCGAGTATGCGCGCTGGGAGGCTCCTCCCAAGAGCCCAACGAGACTAACCAGCTTCCCCTTCGACCCTCACGAACAATGAAATTGGTCCTGAATATTGCCTGCTTTTGACCGCAGACCCAGGCATCAACACCCAGAGCCCCAGTCAGCCGAAGACAGTCGCGAGAGCCCAAACCGCCCCTGGCGGCCCGGCTGTAGTCAGTGCAAACCCAGGATGCCTTTGTGCTCACCTGCCCAGGCAGTCAGCATCCTCAGCTGACATGCCGAGGTGAGTCGAGTAAACCCACGCTGGCGTCGCGGAAAGCAACTAGCAGCTAGTAGACATGGAATGGGGTGCATTCTGTGTTCTCTACATCACTCTCGTTCACACGCTCGACAAACGCAATGCCGCGAACGCGCCCAGTGCTGCTGGTCGCCGCAATCTTGATGGCGACCGCGGTGCTGGCCGCCCAACAAACTATGACAGCGGCGACGGCGCCGGCTGCGACGGCACCAGGCATTCCCGACGACCTGTCACCAGGGGACATGGATGGCAACCTGCTCACAGCGACGCCAACAGTGACGCCGATACCAAAGATAAGCGCTACCTCGAGTGCGGCCGCCAACTCGAGCAGCGTACAGCTGTCCGAGTCTGCTCTCGCCGGAATCATCGTTGGATGTGTCCTGGGAGGTCTCTTGCTAGGTTTGGTGAGCAGCGCTATCATCTTCGTTTGCCTCACCCGCCGGCACGAATACTACGAGGAGTATGAGGACGACACGGCCGCCACGAGTCCCGAGAAGCTGCACGCGACCCACTCTCGCCAGGCGCAACCCCCATCTCCTTCTCCGCGCTCACCTCGTGCGCCTGTTGTGCCGCCCCGCCCCAATGCTGGCCTCGGCATGACGGCCTTGCAGCCGACAGAGTCGGGTACCAGCGACCCCGTCGCACCCTCTCTGCCTTCGATCCACTGCACATCCCTCGGCACGCCAGCCGACTGGGAAGCCGAACGCGCGCGGATCAACCCCAACGTGCTGCACGTACCGACAGGGACGGCGCTCGGATACAGCGACAGCCGCCCGATCACGCCGACGCGGTTCTGGCGCGGGCTCCGAGACAGGCGCGTGTCGCAGATGACTATCCGGAGCGCGAAGACCAAGGCAAAGCGCGCGTCCATCGTGACTGTCAAGTCGATGAAGAGCGGCAAGTCCCGCAGAGCCTCCATCCTTACCGCGCGGAGCAAACTGAGCGGTCGCAGCAAGCACAGCAACAAGGCTGGAGGAGGCGTTGAGGCGCCCCCCGTTCCGCCTCTGCCGTTCACGAGGCGCGTGCCCGTACCCCCGCTGTCGCCGGGACTTTCCAACATGCCTCCCCACAGACCGAAGAGGAGAGTTCACATGCGGCTGATTACGCCAGACCCTCCAGCACAGTTCGACGATTAGCCTGCCTCCGCCAAGGCTCTCGACACACACGCCTTGCACAACCCATCGAGCACCCGAACACGCCGCGTCACTTACTGCCCACTATATTTCTAGATACTTGTATTTCTGTCTCCTTAACTCGCCCCGTACGGGCAACACACTCTTTCAGGCCACCTCGGCTGCACTACCCACTACACATAGATACCCCCACTAGGCAACACAATGCATGTGGTTGTCCTCGACATGTGGCCCGACCTCGGCACCGGACTGACGAAGCTGGGCAACGAGCTGCAAAGAGTCGCGACACTTTTGCCCAGCGGCGCAGATTTCGTCCTGCGTAGGGAGCGCTTCCTCCGCCGCTTTGACAACCCCTTTCTTGTGAGGCGCTGGCCGCAAGGCTTCCAGAATTCCAGAGACCTGAGAGAGCTGCTCCGGGGTGGGAATGTGCATGCTCTGGCGGAACGAGTGCCGGTTTAAAGCGATCCAACGGCGCTAGTCGAGCTAATTTGTTAGCACTCTTTCGTGGTCGTACTTCAGTGCCCAGTTGCATGACCGGCGAGGCTAGCCCGCGCCCTCTATGTTGCCTGCAAGAGACCGAAGCCTGGGCTTCGATACAGGTTGGATGTTGCCAAGTGCGGGCAAAACTTCACCTTTCCAACCAGTTGAGGCCTCTGTGGCATCAGTTGTTACATTGGCCCGAAGTCATCGAGCGTAATTTACAACTCAGGAAACCCTACAGTGCAATTCGTTCATTGATAGACGCAATAATGAGTGGACATTCACCGCAGTCTCGTATTCGCTCGGTCAGACGTCTGTGCTGGATTGCCCTACGGATCTGGATGCGTCGAGTGATCTGAAGGCCCTCCCCATGGGCTGTTATGACTTGCGCTCGCTGCGTGCGATGTCGGTGCTTTCGTCACAGTTAGTTCATTAGGGCTGGGCCCCCGCTTCTGGGCTCACCCGCGCTCTTGACGTTAAGTCGTTGCAGACTCCGCCATGGTCAACACTGGTCAGTCGCTATGTGTTGCTTCAGCGGTTACTCTTGTCCGCGGAGTAAGCCTCAGCGCCTCAACAACGTCCCGACCGGTCACGTGCAAGCGGAGCAAGAATCCGCGGGGTGTCGTCGGAGCCTGGGGACGGGCGACGTAGTAGAGTGGAGTAGGGCGCGAACGATGTGGAACAGCCGTCCACAGCCGTTGGCAGAGTGGGGAAGAACCAAGAACCAGTAGTGGCAAAGAGGGGAGCTAGGGTGAGTAGCCCGGAATTCGGTGCGGTGACCCGGACTCGCAGGCCGCTTATGCGTTCAGGCGGGCAGCGGGGCCAGGCGCCTCGGCGTTTTTCCGGCGGAGCGTCGAGCATCCACAGGGAAGAAGATCACCAGGAATCCGGAATTTTCAGGACATCTCGGTTGTAAGCGGGGGGTGGATTAGAATTGACGTTGTATTCAGGCACTTTGATTTTGTATTTCTGCGATACGATTGGATTAGGAAGTCATGTGGTTGCGGTAATGATGCAGGCTTGGCTCCTGGCTGGGCTCTGCGGCAACAAGGCACGCCGTTTGGACCTTTGGGCCAAGGTGCCTTTCCCTTCGCTCATCGCTGCCTGCGGCCTGCGGTCTTCCTTTTGCCGCTTGCCGCTCCAGGCCCTTTCCTGCCCACGCCCCACCTCGCCATGCCTCCTCCATCATCAATGATCGCCCAAGCCCATGGCCCCGGCAACGTTGCAATCACACACTAGCCCATCCCCACCCTCAACGTGCTGACGCCCACCATGACTGCGAACGTCGCTCGTCCCATCCCGCAGCGCCAGCCATCGTCGCCGGTGACGCACTCGGCTCCACGACCGATCCCAGCTGCCAACGGACGACGGCGCTCGGCGTCGGCGTCCAGCAGCGGGAGCCACAACGGCAGCTATAAGTCCTCCTCGCTCTCTCAGTTCGTCGACAGTCGTTTCCTGGGTTCGTGCGCGACAACGACACCGTTCTCCTTCCTCGAGGAGGAGGAGGAGCGAGAGGCCGAGTCGGAAGCGTCTTCCCCTCCTCTCGCTGCTTCTCTCCCGCGACCAAGCTCCTCGCCGCCCTCCCCTGGACCTCTCAACGGTTCGCAGAACTCTCCTCCGACTGCTAGTCGCTCCCCTGTTGCAGCGACGCATGGCACGAACACTCCCGCGCGCAGGACCAGCAGCAAGCGCTGGCACCGGCTCTTCGACTTTGACCACGTTCTTGGTGCCTTGGATCCCGCTCGACTCGCTTCAGCTACAGCACCAGACCCTATCCCGATCGCCGTCTTTGGCGCTGAGACCGAGGAAGGCATCGCGCTGTGCCGCCAACTTCTGGCCGCACGGTGCTGGGCCCTTGTCGCACTCATGGTCGACGATAGCGGCCCTGAGGCGAACGAGCTGCGCGCTGCCAACGTCCCCGTGATCCAGGTGGACATGGACGACCCGACCAGCTACGGCAAGCACCTCATGAACATGCGTGCGGTGTATCTGTCCACGAACGGTGAGTTCTCTTCGGCTCCGATAGATCTGCGATCTGCGATCCGCAGTCGCACAGCTTTAATGTGTCAAGCTCTTGGGATGGAGCTGACGACAGTGCTCAAACTTCACGCCATCCTGCAGCACCAACCTGAGCCGGCCCGCACGCAGATTGCCCGCCAGGCGGACGCTTGCCAGCTGTCCAAAGCGCTCAACGCCTGTCAAGAGGCGAAGGTGGGGCACGTCGTGTTCCGGGTCACGGCGTGCGGACAGGAAGTCGTCGAGGGCGTGCTCGGGCGGCCAAAGAAGGTGATGGAGGCGCAGGCCGAGCTCTGGAAGCGCGGCATCGCCCACACTGTGCTGCACACGACAGTGCCGTACGGGCGAGTGCGTGAGTGGCTGCGGCGCGACGGTGACCGGTGGATCCTCGAGTGCCCGATCCCGGACGACATCAAGATGCCCATGTACGCCCTCGAGCAGACTGGGCTATACGTCATCAACACGCTCAAGGCGCACCTCTGCAGCAAGCAGCGCCGGTATCCGGGCGAGGACGTGCACGCCATCGGGGAGTGGTTGACGCCGCTCGAGATCGCGAAGAAGATCCAGAAGATCTCCAAGATCCCCGTCGACACCGCACACGTCTCGCTGGCTGAGTTTGCGAGTCTCGAGACTCACGAGCGCCTCACGGTCCGATGGGATGCGTGGAACCAGCTCATCACTGGGGAGTACCAGAACGAGTATGGAGAGTACGGCAAGCAGACCCGGAGCGCGATCACGGGCGTCGACCAGATGACATTCGACGAGTGGATGTCCCAAGATCCCGAGATCCACCGCATGATGAAGCAGGTGTAGCGCTTCCTCACTCCCGCGTTCCAGTACAGTGGTCACTTATAATCCTAGTCGTGTTTTGTTGTTGGCACCAACCCTATGTATACTCAACCCTTGCACACGTGCTGCGCATCCGTTACTGACCCCATCGCCGTGCTGCCGCACCGCAAAGCTAATTCGTACATTCCCGATGTGACTACATTGCAGCGGGGCGGTCTACCGTGCCCGCTGCCGTTTGAGATATTGTATGTGACGAGGTCGGCTGTGCCTCAGGCAATAATAAGTTGGTGTGGGGGCAAGATGAAACGTGTAGAAAGGTGCGGAGAAGATGTCGTAAAGATAAAGTTGAAAGCTACTATACTACTGCGGTTGCGTCCTGCGAACTATCTATGTTGATGGGTATTAGATGAGCCGCCGCCCCGACGCGCTCGGGGTCAGCATGGCCTGCTGGTTCTCATACTCGCTACTGGGGCGGACGGAGTTGTAGCTCGTCGTGTTGTGCTCGTAGCTGCCCGTGCTCTGGTTGGGGTGCTGGGTACCGAAGCTGCTGTGGCTCTGTGCACTGGTGTAGTGTGTGGCGTAGCTCGCCGTCGTGGGGCGGGACGACCGGCTGGGGCTGCTGTGCTGGTACGAGGTGCGCGAGGGGGTGCGGTGTGCGAAGGAGGGGGCGCCGCTCGTGCTCGGGCTCTGGCTCGGGAGCACGGCGTCATCGAGCGCCATGTCCGGGAAGGACTGGCGGTGCTCCTCGTCGCCATAGTTGCTCTGCGAGTCCAGGGACGTCGCGAGGCTCTCGACCGTCGTGTGGCTGCCCCACCGGCGCAGGACGGGCGCGCCGGAGCGGTGCGTCATGTCGCTGCCTGACGAGATGTTCTGCGTGTGGCCCCGCGTGCGCTGCTTCTGCTTGCGATTGCGCCACCAGCAGCACCCGAGAATGAGGCCGGCGAGGAGCAGCCCGCCGCAAACCACCGACAATCGCGCCCGTGCTCGACGAGCTGGAGCTCTTGCCCGTGCTCGTGCCGTTTGCGGAACCCGTGGCGTCGATCGTCGGCGCATGCGTCTCCGTCACGTCGGGCAGCGGCGAGTGCTGGTCGGTCGTCTGGTACACGACGAGCTTCTGGAACAGACAGCCCCAGGGCCGGTTGCCCTGCGAGAAGATGCGCATCGTGTACGACTGGCTCGGGTCGAGCGCGACCGCGCTCATGTCCGCCGCGTCCGTGTAGTTTTGCGGCGAGTAGCCGAACGAGTGCTGCACGGCTTCGGCCGCAGGCGGCTTTGGGTCCCAGACCACCCAGCAGTCGGACTGTCGCTCAGAGCGAGGGCCCTTCAAGATCGCGTAGTATGAGTTGGGCGGGATCTGGCGCTCGCCAGGCGTACTGGGGTTGATGAGGACGTAGTCACCCAGGCCGTCGCCGTTCATCGTGCCCGACTTGAAATCGCCGGCCAGCTCGGTCGAAATGTGGACGCCCGCGTTCGCGAGCACCTCCTTTGCGTGGTCCAGCGAGGACAGGGAAGGGAACTTGTACGATCCGTCCATGTTCAGGAACTTGGGCGACAGGTCTTCCTGCTGCACTCTGTTTCGTTAGCACAGTCGCATGGTCAACACTCACTCCTTGCCATCCAGCTGTGCCGTCGGCAGAACAATGTCAATCATGTTCACAGTCATGAAGCCCTGCGGCTTGAACTTGAACTTGATGTTGGTTTGGTTCACCTGACCGTTCAGGTCAACCTTGGCGAGCTGACCACCAGTGTTGGACAGCTTGGAGGGCGGCTTCTCCTCCCCGTTGATGGTGACCGTCACGTCGCCCATGTCGGGCAGGTTAACCACAGCCCCCATCGACATGTCTTGCCAGGTGTTGCCGTAGATGGTGATCGCGGATCCGGTGAAGTTGAACTCGAGCGTCGCCTCGGTTCCAGCAACGGCTGCGCGGCAAAAGTCACTCGAGGGGCAGTCGGGGCCGGAGCAGCCGTCAACCTTGCACTTGACCGCTGACCATGTCCCGGTCGCATTGATGGTCTCCTTTCCTTCGGGGTCTCCGACCCAGCGAACCATGGGTGAACGGGCGTCCAGCTGCAGCTTGTCAAACGGCTTCACCACCTCCGTCTTGGCCGTCGTGCTGCCGAGCTGGGCGAGCGCACCGTGCAGCGAAACCGCTGCGAGCGAAAGAGGAGCGAGCGAAAGAGGAGCGAGCCTGACCATGGCGAAGGATGGCAGTGGTGATACGAGGGGAAAGGGGCAGATGAGGCACTGGCAGCCACGAGGCGATGGGGCCCAGCCAGCGATGAGAGATGAAGTCGAGGTCGAACCTGTCGAACTCGGCTCGAAGAGTGTTAGAAGATAACGGGAGTGGTGGTAGTCTAGGAAGTGTCGAAGTGATGGAACGTCGAGAGAAGAAGAAGACGTTCTTGCTGCTCGCAGACCGTCGATGAACGGATGGTCGAAGGGTTGTACCGATGCTGAAGTTGAATGGGGAGAGGTGAAAGGTACAGGCCCAAAAAGAACGTAGGCAACGAGGGGAGGGCAACGCGCACTGGGGGTGCGGCGAGCGAGCGGGGGGGCGAAGGAGCGGCGTGGTAATGGGAATCGGCACTGGAAAAGTGAACAAAGTGTAATGTAACCCAAAGCTAACTCGGCCACTCTAGTGGACTGCTAGTGCTGCCGTGCTGCCGGCGTTGCGCAGAACGCGCACGAGGAGGCACCGGCCACTGGCCACTGGCCACTTGCGCGCAGTCCAACGTCGTCCTCGCAGAGAGCCCCAGCTCCCGGCATTGCATTTCGTCTCGGCCAGTCTCTGACATGCCCCCCAGACAGCCTTCGTCCCCATTCCCCAGCAGTCGAGCGAACAGACTAGGGCTCCAGGATGAGACCAATGAGTTGCCAGGAACGGTGCGTTGCTCGTTGGCAGCCTGATATGGCGAGTGAGGGGGTCGAGCCTGCGCAAGGTTTCGACAGTCTGCGATGATCCTGTTCTGATCCTGGCCGCGGGCTGCCGGACCCTGGCACCAGTACCGAGTTGAGTCTCTATTCAGCAGCACGGCAGTACGCATTGCGGGGAACTACTCTTGCTGGCGCGTTGCTGGAGAGGACGCTCCTGATCAGTGACGGAATAAACTCGGCGCGTCGCTCTGACGCCTTCCATTCGTACACTCAACAGGGCCAAAGACAAGAGCCGAAGTCTCGGCAGCGCTGCGTTATCCTCTTCTCCTGAGGGCCCTCGCTCTATGGCTTTGCGGCCAGATGTCGCGACGAAGCTCAACGCAGTAATGGAGACGCCGAGTATGAACAGAGTTGAGCCGAGGTGCCTCAGGCGCGCGTACATGTGTGTGCCCTTGAACTGGTGAAACTAAGAATAAATCTCCTAGAATGCACGTCCTCTGATCTGCCACTGTTAGCTACAACGACTACGGCAGGTCCTCAGCCCGGGCGCATTCACTGCTCAGGATGAGCGGGAAGGCTTGGGCGCCCTCCGGCCGTTACCCTGAGTGTTCGACCCTGGATCAGACGCGCTTGTTCGCGACCTCTGGACACATCACACATGTGTTGCCCAGGAGTGCGTCAACCTTTACTTTTTGCTTCCCCATGAGGGGCCTGAGGGAACGAGGAGGGAGAGCAGAGCAGGGAGACGGCTGCGTACCGGAGGCGCAGCGGAGCGTTCGGCGTGGTACCGCTGAATAGCTCTGAATGGGTGACCTGTCAGGGGAGTGTCGAGGGCAGACGCGGATGTGAAACGTCCAGGATTAGGGGGTCTGGCTGGTATCAGCGACAGTGGAAGCGCACAAGCATCGGCTCTGAGGGTCTTCCTCTAACAACACAGCTCATCAGGACTGCGACGAGCTTATCAGCTTAGCAGGAAGTTCAAACGGTGTTGCCCCCTCTCAAACGAAAGGACCACGAGGCTGAAGGACATAAGGTCAGCGTTCTAATGCAACCAACGAGGTCTACGCGACATTACGAGATGACCACCGCGTCCTCCCGTAATGCTACACCTGGCCAGCTTCACATCTCACCCGCCAAAACCCGTTGAACAAGGTTTCAGTAGGCCACCGAGCGTGACGCGCCGAGAGGTCCGATTGGGCTGCGAGCGTCCCGAAGCTGTGGGATCGCATACAATCACGCTGGTGTGCTGAAAAGGAGAGTTCATTTTTTGTTGGCTCTCTCGTCGAGATAACGTATAGAGGTGGGAGCTTGAAGTTGTCCGCTAATCCAGCACAGGGGGTCGGGTGTCCAACCAGTTCGAGGTCGTGACTACGTTCATCGACAACCGTGGGAGACCCGGTCACGTGTCCTTGACAGTCGTCCTTATAAGACCCCGCAAGCGTCAGACGTAAGCAGCAAGCCACGGCGTCAGCGGTCGCATGCCCCGCAGCACCTGTCTCAGCTGGCGTCAGCCAGTCGCATCAGTAATCAGTGACGCGCCTCCACCTCCGTCAGCCAGACATATCGCCAGCCAGGACTTGACGTCACCGACCATTTTTCTGGGTGTCAGCGCCGCACCTCGCCGCCTGCGCCGCAAGACCATGCTGAGCTCGGCGAGGCTGCGAGAACATCGTTCGGACCACCAGATGCGCCGACGACATTCGTACTTATAATAGCCAGGCTCACCTTGTTCTGACCTTTATATTCCCAGCAGTACAGGAAGAGCATCGAAAACGAACAGTGAAGATGTCTGGTGAGTTTTATCAGACATTGTCTGGCCAAGATTCGTCGCCACTCGGATTGTTTACGCACTGTGCACCTCGGCTGCAAGCGATAAGCAATGGAGGTGCTCAAGCGTGAGCTGCTGGCCCAGGTTACTGGAAGGAGATCTCTTATGTCCCAATGCAAGGAAAGAAGCTGACGATCAGCACAGAACGGTACGCCCGCCTGCATCCGGCGAGCTCCCCCGCTAACCTGAAGGACTATTCCGCGGCTTGTCAAGCTACTACACGGCGCAATATGAGGCGCACCCAATGCGAACGCTATCGATCACGAACGGTATCCTGTCCAGTATCTCCGACCTCGTCGCGCAGGGTATCGAGGGCAGTGTGAGTGTCTCTGGGCCCTTCCATCCCTCCAAGGTTCCCCATCAGCTCAATGCTAACTATCAGACGGCAAAGTCAACAGGCAAGTCGGACTGGCGGTACGATCCCGTGCGCACGCTCCGGTTCGCCGCATTCGGCACAGCCATGGGCCCCGTGATTGGGAAATGGCTCCAGTTCCTCGACTACAAATTCCCGCTGTCTGCGACGGCGGGCGCGCTCGCGAACCAGGCGCCGAGTAAGGCGAAGCAGGGCGTGCAGCTGGCGAAGCGCGTGCTCGCGGACCAGGTCGTGGCGGCGCCTGTTGGTGTGAGTGTGGCCCGGGTTCTTCTAGCAATTCCTCCGCCGTAGCCAGGTGTGGAGGAGAAGCGGAGAAGAGAGCCCTACCCTTGAAGTTCTTGCTGACGCCAGCTCGCCCTGTTCACAGGCCTGATGTCTGGCCTCGAGGGCAAGTCGCTCGGCGAGACGCAGGACAAGTTCCGCACCATGTATCCCCGCGCCCTCCTTACCAACTGGCAGGTGTGGCCCGTCATCCAGGCTGTGAACTTTACGATTGTCCCGCTCCAGTTCCGCCTGCCGTTCCAGCAAACGGCGGGAATCCTGTGGACGTGCTACCTCTCCATGCTCAACAAGAAGAATGACGTCGAGGAGGCCCAGAGGGCCAAGATGCCCGGTGGCACCAGGCCGAGCGCAAAGGAGGACGAGAATGCGCCGACATACACTTTCGAGACGCAGGATCACAAGGACGGCGTGTACCAGGATCGCGACAGAGTCAAGACCCGATAGAGGAGAGATTGACTATAGACATTTACCTCGACGTGCACACCACTCAGACGCAGCTCCCAACTCAGTAGACTGATGCACTCATAGACAGACCGCAAACAAGCGTGGACCATGCGCTTGCACCTCACGCATAGTACAGATATGTGCATGTCATTAATTGAAGGAATGTAGGAAGAGAAAACTGATCACCGTCGCTGCGCTCACGTCCACCACCATCCGCGCATGCGACGCAAGACCCAGGCCGACGCACTGCGAACGACGGCGCGCGCTAGATCCCCGGCGCACCGGAGCACGAGCCGCGTGACTAGCGCGCAAGTCCGGGCCATCCTGTTCCACGCCGTCTGGAAGCCAAGCCGGCGCCACAGCCAGCAGTTCAGTCTGAACCTGCAACCGCGCCTCGCCTCCTCGTCACCTGTCGTTTCTTGATGTTGTTGTGTTGTTGAAGTTGGAATGGGAGTTGGGGTTGTTGTTGAATGGGGAGTAGGGGTTGGGGTAGTAGTAGTAGTTGTGGTAGGTGTGGTAGTTGGCGGTGCTGGGGCACCGAGGTTTCTTAGTTCTATGGCGGCAGTTGGGGTAACAGGAGTAGTCGTAGTCGTAGCTGATGTCGTTGAAGAGAAAAGGAAAGAACGCAGCCCCGCACCCGCACCTGCTCCAGCCGGGGCGTCAGCCTGCGGCTCGGGGGCGCCTTCTGGGAGCAGGGCGTCGGTGGAAGTATATGATCGCCGGTCACCCGCGTCCACTACAGGAAGGCTCGAACTTGAACGTTAAATCGCTTTTTGTTGCTCCAACTAATCATAAATGTTAGCACAAGGTTCCAGACATCGGGGGAAGATCGGGGGTGATGAATCGAGATCGGGCCTGGATCACGCCGAGGTGGCCGCCGCGGGCTCCTCGACGATCTCCTCGACAGCGTCGTCCTCGACGTCGGCGTCGTCACCGGCGTGTCCGTCGCTAGAGCGCTTGGACGGGTCGGCAGCAGCCTCCTCGTCGCGACGCTCGATCTCAAGGCGGAGGTTGGCGAGCGTGTCCTCGAGCTGCGCGATATGCTGCGTGCGGGGCGAATCACCAATCGGGGCGGCTACTCCGAGAGGAGCGGCTAACTCATTCACCTGCTGAAGGGCAGACGCCTTCTCGGCGCGCTCCGTCTTGAGCTCCTCCTGCAAGTTGGTGATGGTGCTGTTCAGGCGTTGTGTCGCGGCGGCGAGCTCAGCCTGGTGTTCGGTCTTGGCGTCGGCGAGCGCGCGCTCAAACTCGTTGCGGTTCATCTCAAGCATCTGACATCAGTCGAGAAGGCTGATCCATCACTCACGACGTTCATGCCCTCGAGCTCCTCCGAGCGAGCCTGCAGATCCTTTCGGAGCTGGGCGACGGCGGCGTCCTTAGATCCACCGGGTGACTGACTACCTCTCTCCTTAGAGAGCTGGTCGATCTTGGTGCGAAGTTCGTTAATGGTGGCGGTCGATTGCTTCGCTGCAGTCTTCTCGGTCTCGAGCTCCAGCGAGGCCGCGGTCAGCTTCTTGCGGAGCTCCTCGAGCTCGCTGGTCGCAGCAGTGAGGGCAGCCTCGGCCTCCTTGAGCTTGGTGTCGGCGCCGCCCTTGGCCTTGCTGAGCTCCTCGGCGCGCGAAGCAGCGAGCGTCTCGAGCTCCTTCGAGTGGTTCGCAACGACAGTCGCGTGGTCATTCTTGGTCTTCTCGAGTTCGGCGGTGTGCTCCTTTGCGGCTGATTCCTTGGCGGACTTGGACAGGTCGGCGACCTCCTTCTGGTGAGCAGCCTTGAGAGCCTCGATCTCCTTCGCGTGTCCGGCGGCAGCAGAGTCCACGGCGAACTTCTTGGCTGCCTCAAGGGTGTGCGCATGCTCAGCCTTGAGCGCCTCAAGCTCCTCCGCGTGCTTCTTGGCGGCAGCCTCGACGGCCTTGGACTCAGCAGCGCCGGCAGACTTCTCGGCAGCAGAGAGCTTCTCGGCGTGCTCCTTCTTCAAGGCGTCAAGCTCAGCAGCGTGTGAGGCAGCGGCGCTCTCCGTGGCTTCCTTAGAGATGGTGGCGAGCTTCTCGGAGTGCTTCGTCTCTAACTCCTTGATCTTGGCAGCGTGCGAGGCCGAAGCAGCCTCCTCTGCCTGCTTCTTGGCGGCGGCGACCTTCTCCTCAGTCGACTTGGTAGCCGAAGCGAGGCTCTTCTCGTGCTCACCCTTCAGTGAGGCGACAGTCTCCTCGAGCTTGGCGACAGATGCCTGCAGCTCCTTGATCTTGCCGTCGGCCTCAGACTTCGAGGTCTCGAGCTGCTTGACAGTCGCGCCGCTGGCATCGAGCTTGGCCTTGAGAGAGTCGCGCTCACCCGCGACCTTGGCCAGCTCGGCGCGCAGGCCCTCGGTGTTAGCATTTCCAGCCGAAGCCTTCTCCAGCTGCTTTTGTAAGTCGACAATCGTCTCCTCCTGTGCGGCGCTCTTCGAGGTGAGCTCGGTGTGAGCAGAGGATAAGGAGTCGTGCGCCTCCTTCAACGCCTAGATATGTCAGTGACATCGCTAGTCGGAGAAAGTGCCTACCTTGAGCTCCTTGTCCTTGGTCTCGGAGGACGCGGCCGCCTTGGCGAGAGCCTCCTCGTGGCCCTTCTTAGCCTGGGCGTGACCATCAAGCTCGCTCTTTAACGAGGCGCGCTCCTCTTCCCAGCTCTTGCGCTCAGTCTCGCGGGCGGTCTGCTCCTTCTTTAAGCTGTCCTGGAGCTCCTCGACCTGCTCCTCGAGGTCCTTGACCTTGCCCTCCATGCCCTGGAGACCGGCCATGCTCTTCTCAGCCTCCTCGGCACCCTCGGCGATCTCGGCCTCGAGCTTGTCCTTGAGGGAGGTGACCTTGGAAAGCTGCTCCTGCAGAGCAGCGACCTCCTGCTTCGTCTTGGCGACGTGCTCCTCATGCTCCTTCGTCTTCGCCGCGAGCTCGGCGTGAAGGGAAGCAAGCGAAGCCTCTACGGTGGCGTGGGCCTTCTCGGCGGAAGCGAGCTTGTCCTGTGACGTCTTGAGATCCGACTGGGCAGCGTCTCGGGCAGTTGACAACCTGAAATTGTGTCAGCACGGACCTCTCCACTAAACTCACTCCTGGAGCTGGCTCTCGCGCTCGGCTACCAGAGCCTCCCTAGAGCTCTCCGCCTCGGCAATTTGGCGCGCATTCTCCTCCTGCAGCTTGTTCACCTTGTCGTCGGCAGCGGCGTGGGCAGACTTGGCGTTCGCAAGCTCCTCCTGAATCTTGGTGATGCTGCAACCGTGTCAGCACGTGTCTTTGCTTAGTCTAAAATTGGACTCACCTAGCCTGTAACTCGTCACGCTGAGCGGTGATCTCGGCGAGGGAAGCCTCGAGTTGGCCTTTCTCCTCCTCGAGCTTCTTGGCACCCTCCTCGGTGATCTCAGCGATCTTCGCCTCGAGGGCAGCCTTCTCCTCCTCGAACTTCTTGGTGAGACCTTCAATACGAGTCTGGAGGGCTCCACCCGAGCCCGAGGTCGACGAGGCAGAGGCGCGGATCGATCCAGCGGTCGAAGCCGCCGTGCTCGCACGTGCGCGGTGGCCAACTGAGGCAGCAGTAGGCTTGGTGGCGGTCGACGTCCTAGCCGACACAGACAAGCTGGCGCGGGGCTTGGCGGCGGGCGTCGTTGGCTTCGCGGTAGAGGCAGAGGTGGCTGTTCGCGTGGAGGCCGTGGACGAGCTCAGGCCATTGGGAGCAGACGCAGATGGGGTAGTGCGCGCCCGGGCCGCAGCAGTGGGGGCAGTGGCACTCGACGCTCCGGTACGCGATGCGGCCGTGCTCGACCCTGCGGCACGCGCTGATGGCACTGCAGGTTTCGTGGTGCTCGGACGAACGCGAGGGGCAGCAGTCGACGTGGCAGTTGCGCCCGCACCAGGGCCCATGCTCGGGCGCTTAGACGCAGATGCAGCCGTCGGGGCGGTGGCCGTGCTCGTGCTGGAGGTGAGGGAACGGGGACGAATGACTGGTGAGCCAGGACCGGTCGAAGAGGAGGAAGCCGTCTTTGGGCGGGGAGGGGGCACCTTGTCCTGACCGGCGGTGCGAGCGGCCGAGGCAGCGGTCGGGGCAGTGAGGGGCTTGCGGTTCGCGAGTGAAACTCTCGGAGCAGCGGAAGTCGTGGAGCCAGCCTTGGAAACGGGCTTGCGAGCGGAGGCGACAGCCTTGGGGGAAGCTGCACGTCAGCGCTGAATGTAAACAAATCTGTGAAGCGAGGTGTGCGGGGAGCTGTCTGATGCAGACTTGACCCCATCACATCGCATTCTGCTCTGCGCACTGACCTCCAAAGACGCCGCTCTTGAGGATCTTCTTGACGCCGCCAGCGTCCTTCGCCGAGTGGCCGTTCTCCCTCTCCTCCTTGACATTCTCCTTGCCCGAGTCGGTCGCGGCGGTGTCCTCGGCGGGCGTGTCAGCGTTGTCTGTTGACGTGGTCATTTCGATGTCTCCGTCGGCCGCGTCGGTTGTGTCGTGGTCTTCCGAAGTGCGATCTGGCTCAGGTGCGGTGGGAGTGACGGGGCTCTCGTTGTGGTCCTCTGCGGGCGAGGCTGCTGGCCGCTCGCCTAGCTCCTGGAGCGCAATGTCGGTGGGGTGGGGTGCGTCGTCCACGAGCGACATGGCGGGAGCCTTGGTGCTGTGGGCTATGGAGGGAAGGGAGGGTGTGAGAGATAAGGATGAGATTGAAAAAGGGAAGGAGAGGAGGACGAGATGTAAGTGTGTGTGTTGGCTGTGTGCGGTGTGTCGAATAATGGAGGGAAGGGCGGCGGGCGCATGCATTCGCCTGCAGCCAGCCAGGCCAGCCAGGCGCAGATTGAGCTAGCCAGGTCACCCAGCCAGGTCGGCCAGGTCAGCCAGGACGTTTGGGACGGTCCGACAGGAACCTGCGCCTAGGAAGGAACTATCGCCTAAGGATTGAGCAATTGGCGCTCCTGGCGCGGCCGCGCTGGCTGGCTGGCTGGCTGGCCAGACACTCCGGACCGTCCCAGGTCCTCCCAGGTCGCACGGGACGAAACCTCCACTACAACTTCAGGCGCCAGGCTCCAGCCTGCAGGCTACAGTGAAAGCGAATGCCTAAGCCAAGTGCCAGAAGGCGGCCCGTGCAACTGAGCTTGCTCGATTGACGTGAGGAACGAGGTACATCGGTACGGTGGAGCGTGGGTGCGGGTTTGGGCTTCCTTGCCCCTTCGTCAACACGGCAAAGAGACTTCTGACCACAGGTCGAAACTCGATACACCGATCGCATCGCGGCATCGATGCCGGCTGACCGGAAAGCTTACCCCACTCTTCGCTGCCCGCTTCCGAATGCATGCATCGATGCTCAAGTGTTTCGCGCGCGAGAGAGAGCTCGAGCAGCGAGGAGAAACGGGTAACTTTCTGTACCTGAATCTGGGTTTCCTGCGCCAGACGCGTCAGAAGAAGACGCGTCCCTGCCTCAACTGCTCGAGCCCTACTTGCCTTCCCCCTTGCTCCTCGTCCAGACGCTGCCAGCCAGTGTGCACGCGTCACCCTCATCCGCCCTCCTCCATCCCGGCTTCCTGAGTAGCGGTACACTGGCCCAATGCGATGCCTGATCTTGCGGCAGGAGGCACTGCGATGCATGCCGTGCATCGTTCCCATCCTCACCCTGTCAACATTCAGTCCGACCAAGCCTCATTGCTCCCTTCCCCGTCACACTTCACCAGCCAAGTCTTTTCTCATCGACTGCAGTGAAAATTCCGTCGCGTGCTGCGCATCTGTCATATCCGGAGTGCTTGCCTGATGTCAGTGCAGAATAGGGGTCGCGCTCGGTCATGGGTACTGATCATGATGGGTCGTAATATAACATTGCAACGAAGCACGCCAGGTGCATACGTATGGGGCTACAGGTGGAAACAATGCACAGTACGAAGGCGTACTGCTATTATTGTCAGTGTGGTTATGCAAGGATGCAAAGCGGTAGAGGGGTGCACACTCTGGGGGATCATAGAGTGTGCCGGATGATTTTAGGTTGGAGAGGAACGGTTGCAAGTCGACTCTCCTTCCCGCTCAACGGGGTGCGCAGTAACGGCGCGCGCTTAGTTGAGGTTGGCGCAAGCCTCCTCCCAGCCCTCGGGGATCTGGAGGGTGCCGTCGCGGGCAGCCTGGAGGGCGTTGCGGTAGAGACGGCCAGTGGCGGTGAGGTCACCTCCCCACTTGTCCCAGAGCTTCCACTGGTCACCGAGTCCGTCACCGTTGGAGAAGGCGTGGGCGGCGATGCGGGGGTGGTGCTCGAAGAGGTAGACGGTGCCGTTGATGTAGTTCTCGATCTCGCCCATGTCGGTACAGGGGCAGAACTGGTTGTCGTCGGCGCGGTCGCAGGTGCGGCCAGTGTGGTCGTAGACACACGCCCACTCCGAGACCCAGAGGTCCTTGCCGTAGCGGTCGAGGTACTGGTCAACAGCAGCACGAACAGACTTGCCGTCGGGCTTGTTGATGTGGACGTTGGTGAACTGCCAGTCACCGCCCTTCTCCTTGAACTCCTGGAGCCAGGTCTCGGCCATCTGCTTGCACATGGAGGGCGAGATGAGGGCGGTGCCCTTGTTCTTCATGGGCTCAACGATCTCGTTCCAGAGACGAAGACCGCTGTCGACGTCCATGTCAGCGGACATGTAGCCGGGGCAGTCGGGCTCGAAGAAGCCCTGAGCGTAGCGGACATAGCTGTCCTCCTGAGCGAGCTGCTTGAACTTCTGAAGACGGTCGCCGTCAGAAGGCTCAGCGGGGTTGTCACCCTCACCCCAGAGGATGGCGACGAAGGTCGGCGTCTCGGCACCGTCACCCTCGGGACCGGGCATGCCGTCTCCGGGCGTGGCGCTGTAGGTCGAGAACCAACCGAGAAGGTCCTTGAGCTCGTCCCAAGCCTTGGAAGGGGCGATGTAAGAGACACCGGCCTTCTTAGCGGGGCCACCGCCAACGCTGCCGGTCGAGGGAAGACCACCGCCGTAACCGTGCTCCTTGGTAGGGGCAGTGGCAGTGGTGTCCTCGGCCGACGAGGTCGAAGAGGCCTGGGCGTTGTTGCCCTGGTTGTTGTTGTCACCGCCGATCCAGTTGTCACCACCAGCAGAGCTGGAGGCAGCGGCAGACGAGGCCGGGGCCTTGTCGGCACCCGGGACCTGGGTGTAGGCGGCAGAGGGGGCGACCGTGACGGGAGAGTCACCACCGTCCTGCTGGTTGAGCTGAGCGCCCTGGGAGTTGGAGTCCTGGCCGTCGGCGGGCTTGGTGCGGGGCTTGCACTTGCGGCCGTCGGAGCGGGTAACAAGCTTGGGCATGTCGCGGCGGGCAGCGGCAGCCTGGCGGTGGTGGCGGCGAGCGACACCGTGGCCGTGGCCAGAGCGGGCGTCGACAGCAGCGACGGCGAGGAGAAGCGAGACGAGGGCGGCGGTACGCATGTTGGTCGTGTTGATTTCTATCTAGTTCTCAAAGTGAAGGTGGTTGACAAACGATTGTAGTTGGTACAGGCGGGTATGACAACGGTGGTGGAGGGAGGCGGAGGGGGAGGACCGGGACTTGACCAAACCAGTTGGTGAGTGTGTCGGACGGAGGGAGAAGGAGATAGAGAAAAACGAAAGACAGTGGATGGACGAGGGGAAAAGAGTGACTGGAGGGGAAGAACTAGTTAAATAAGGTAGAGCGGCTCCTGATGTGCGGAGGGGGGGGGAAGAGGTGTGTGTTTCGTCGAGACGGTCGAGGGTACGAGGGTTGGGGGGTGGGTGATCGCCTGGCCCAAAGCGTCGAGGGTACACACGGGCGCATAAGCTTTCACGCGTACTTTCGGGTCCACCGTCGATACCCTGGGGCTTTGGGCGCCTGGCTGTCCGACTCTTCGCACTATTATGGGTAACCCTTGACTGAACCCGTATCCCCGTAGTCCAGAATTGCAGCACAGACTGGCTCCAAAGCTTCAGATCAACACACCGCAGCAGCTACAGCGAATGCGCGCAGAGCATTCGGCCCATACGGCGCGTACCCCGCCGCCTTCCGGACTCGCGGTCTCGGCGGGGGGTGCCCACGACGCCTCAATTATTGAGGTCTTTCAGAGCAGCCGGCCGACCCTGTGCACCAAAGGATAGCCCTGGCCTGGTCACCGGATGCGTACGGGGCTACGGGGTACGACGAGCTGAGCGCTGAGCGAGACAGAAGAGACGCGTGTGATCTCGCAGCAGGTGTCGGGTCCGGATCAGTGTGGAAGCTCAGGAGCGGTGGGGCGCGGTTGACTGTATCCTATGCGTGCATCTGCGTGTCGCGGGCGTGCGGCTGCGGCGTGATGACCGTCAGCCCGTCCTATGGTCCTTTTTCCTGTCACCTTGGTAGCGCACATCGCGCACATCGCACACAGCACAGAGGAAAGGGGAAGACCTCAAACGCTGAGCACACCACAAGCGGACAGGAGCCACTCAGAGCGCGAGTGTTCTTCAGGGCTCACCGGGCAGTGCAGGGTCACTGAATACCCCATTACGGCGCCACAGGGCTGCCAACCCCGGAAAATGCCCCGTCCGACGCGTCGCTTTCACGTACTTCACGTCTCCCCGCCAGCACCCTGGACCACATTCCTGAAACACTCCGAGGCACGACGACCGCTCTGATTGGGCACAGCGCTGCCAGGCAGTGCTGCGATCCATGCAGTTAAGCTCGCTGCACCAAACTCAGCAGAATTTCGCGCTGACACCCATGGCCATGGGCGCCTTCCGTAGCGCGCTTACACTACCGAGTACCGGCCCGGTCTATGCTGTTTTGGGAACAGCACCACACCGAGGCTTTAGGCACTCGATAAACTCAGCATGCTTGGGCTAACCCACGCACAACGGCCTCGCGAATAAACTCGCCAGACTTCATTACGAGGTCCCAAGGTCTCGTCTGGCGAACTGGTAGGGTTCATTAGGACATCAGACACCGATCACCAACTAGCTCTCCTCCGCAAGAGTCTGGACACTGGCTCGAGGAACCAGGTTGCAGTACCACAGGATATGTAGGATAGCGTGCACGGCCCCGCCTAGATTGAGGCTTGGTGGCCAGAAGGCTCCGGAACTCGACCGGCACGTCGCATTGTCTGAATGCGTATCAAGCGTCGCATTCAATGGAGGGGGGACCCTTAGTGTCCTCGAGAAGCACGGCGGCCCAGATCCAAAGCGTGCACATACCCTGCATCTCGTCAAGGCATTGAACTTTCCACAATCTGCAGAGTTGGAGTTCGCTTGGCGACAAGGATGTCAGGCCCCCCGATGGACACGAGTATGCATGGCAAAGATTGCGACGAGGACCTCCCCTCGGCGCCCTTCACACACTCACACACCGAACGCCTCCTGCGAGCGCTTTTCTTGCCGACCAAACGCATTACCGGATGTGTGCCACCTGGAATATTCCCCTTAGTGCCTCTCTCTTCCTCGCGTTCCTGCGCATTAGGGCTGCAGGGCACTCAAGCACCCCCGATCTCGTCCTCATCCTGGCTAGGCTGAGGTCCAGACTTTGTCGCCTCAATCGACTACAGGCGAGTGCTTTAGTTGACTCTGAAGCTCAGACATACCGGCCTCCAAACACGCTGGATACCCAAAACAGGTCGTGTTCGTTTCGGGTTGTTCGGCGACGTATCCACCCTAGATGTTCAGAACACCGGAATCAAGCTCGGAATCGCAGCAGACTTTATCAGGCATGCATACAACCAATCCGATTATGACCACGCCTACAAAACCGGGGTAGCAGATTTGATTCAATTCAACATGGCAAAACTCTTTTCCTACTTGCGACAACTTGGGTTTCGTTCGATTCTTGTTCTGAGCTGTTCTACGCCCGCAACTTTCCGACGCTCTGACGTCTCGTCTAGAGTAACCCCGATCGACGTCTGGGGTGCTTAGAGACGGGCGTGGTGCGCCGTGCGCGGCGGCTCGGCCCAGAAGTCGCGGCCCCAGACCTCCTCAATCGCCTCCTCGACAGTGCGGTAAAAGGTAATCTTCATGTCCTTGGTGCTCTCCGGAAGCTCACGGGCATCCTTCTCGTTCTGACCCGGCATGCACACCCTGAGTATTGTTAGCTGAGTGAACGGCGTTGCCACCAAACTCAAATCAACTCACTGAGTGATTCCGGCGCGGTGAGCACCGAGCACCTTCTCACGGATACCTCCGACGGCGGTCACGGCGCCACGCAGGGTGATCTCGCCCGTGAAGCCCATGGTTGGGGGCACGACGCGGCCCGTGAGAAGCGAGACAAAGGCGAGGACGATGGCTACACCAGCCGAGGGGCCATCCTTCTTGACCGCACCCGCCGGGAGATGGAGCTTACAGTCAGCATCTCATTCGGATGTCATGTGCAAACACTCACATGAATGTCGTTGTTGCGAAGGGGGTCGTCGCGGATACCAAGCTGGGCGGCGTGAGCCTTGACCCAGGCCATCGCGAGCTCGGCCGACTCCTTGATGACATCGCCGAGTTGGCCCGTCAGGCGCAGATGGCCCTTCCCATTGGGGATGAGCGTGCACTCGACGAGCAGGATACCTCCGTTGCCCGATCCCATGTAGGCGAGACCGGTGACAACACCGGGGCGGCCGCCCTGCTCGCGCACCTCGTGGTCATACTTCGCCATTCCAAGGATACGCTGCACGTCATCGATAGTGATGACCGGGTTGTAGGTGGGACCGCCGTCGCGAGAGGAGGAGTACTCAACGGCCTTGGCGCGGCAAAGCTTTGCAATCTCGCGCTCGAGCGAGCGCACACCAGCCTCGCGAGTGTAGTCGTTGACGACACGGGCGAGTACGTTGTCGTCAGTCGTGACACCGCCCTGGCTGAGGCCATTCTCCTTCGTCTGCTTGGGAAGCAGGAAGCGTCGAGCGATCGCGAGCTTCTCGTCAGTGACGTAGCCGGGACACTCGATGACCTCGCAGCGGTCGAGGAGAGGGCCAGAGATTGTGTCGAGGCTGTTTGCGGTAGCGATGAAGGTGACCTGGCTGAGGTCCACAGTGACGTCACCCAGATAGTGGTCATGGAAGGACCAGTTCTGGGCGGGGTCGAGGGTCTCGAGCAGCGCGGCGGAGGGGTCGCCATGGTAGTTGGACTGTCCGACCTTGTCAATCTCGTCGACTGATCATTAGTACTTGCCATCACTATAAGGCCAATTTGACTCACGAAGAATGACCGGATTCGAAACGCCCACCTTGCGAAGCGCCTGGACAAAGACTCCGGGTAGCGCTCCGACATAGGTCCTGCGGTGGCCGCGAATCTCGGCTTCGTCGCGAACTCCACCAAGCGAAACGCGGTGGAAGCGACGACCAAGGGCGCTGGCGATAGAGCGGGCGATCGAGGTCTTGCCGACTCCGGGCGGTCCCACGAGGAGCAGAATGGGCGCCTTGTCACGGAAGACATTGTCAGGAGGTCCGTCGTCAATCAGAGGCGCAAGCTCCTCCTCCTTCTTGCTCACGGCCGCATCATCAGGTGACTCCTCACGCTTGGTGTTGGCGGGAAGAGCGACGTCATCAGACTTGTCCATCTGTGCCCGTGCCTTTTCCACGTCTTCCTTGCTCATGATCGCCTTGACCTCCTTCTTGGACTTGTCATCAGCCGTTTTGGCAGCGTCCTCGTCGGCCTTCTGCTTCTCGTCCCAGAGGTCACGCTTGAGGCGGTAGACTGCGAGATACTCGACAACGCGGCGCTTGACGTCCTTGAGACCCTCGTGATCCGCATCGAGAAGCTTACGGGCCTCCTCGAGGTCCATGCGGCGTCCCTCACTGACGCGGTTCCAAGGCAAAGCGAGGAGCCATTCACAGTAGGTCTTGCTGACGCCGTACTCGGCAGCTTGAGGGGGGAGCTTCGCAAGGCGGGTGAGCTCGCGGACGAGGGTCTCTGCGGCAGCGGGAGACAGCTCATCGCGGCGACGCGTCAGCGCAGCCTCCAGAGGCTTGAGGTCGTCGGGCATTTGGGACTTTGGAACGTTGAGAGCTGGTCGGCGAGACGAGTTGGCCACTGGGCCCTTGCTGTCTTTTGTAGGCGCGGGCTCATCCAGCGAAGCCCCCTTCTCAGCCAGGAGTGACACCATGACTTCCTTGACGCGGGCGCAACGGTCATCGACGTCAGGAAGTCCCAGTAGTTCCACCCGCGTGTCCCATGGGAAGCGCAGTGTGCTTGCAAGAAGGTCCGCTTGGACGGTGGGAGGCAGGACCGCGAGCTTAGCGTGGAGCTCCTTAGGCAAGAGCTTGATCGCGGCAGGCATCAGGTCAACGGTGGCGGCAGGCGAGGGGACAGGAAGGCTGTAGCTAGCGACATGGAGGTTGTTCTGCGGGGTGATGGCAATCAAAGGCGGAAGGCCAGGGGACAGATGCACACGGGTCTAGACCAAGTTAGTCTTATCACGAGCAAGCGATGGTGTCGTATGCGATCGGTCACTCACCAGTCCTTCCAGAACGCACAGATACTCGTCAAACTTGTCTCGGTTCCGGTAAACTCGCTTGATTCGAGCCGCTTAATGTCAGTCATACACAGCGATGGAGCGAGGCGCTATGCATCCCAATACATGCAGAACGCCACAAACAGCACTCACCGCACGCCCACCTGCCGAGGCGACGATCATTATCGTCGACGGGGACGGCTGCGACGATTCGATCGCGCGGATCGGTCTTGTGGAGGTCGGCCTGCTCCGTGATGGTGGCAAGAATTAAGTTCACGGCATCGGTTGTGAGGGGTACATGGACCTGCAAGAAGGGGTACAGGACGTGGGGCCGCTGCACAGGCAGGAGGGGGAGCGTAGGGGGGAGGTAGGGCTGCTTGGCCATGAGAGAACAATGTCGATGAGACGAGGTGAGTAACAAAGACAGCGAAGGAACGGCGACGATGGAGCTGTCAAGGCGTCAAGGACGGTCCTTTGGATCCTGTGCCGTGAATGAGTCATGCATTCATATGAGCTCATGACCGGTTCACGGGGTTCACCTCTCTCGTGTGCACGCGCACGCCAGCGTAAGTAACCGGTTGCGGGTCGCTTTCGGCCGGCGCGCCTGGAACTTGCTAGGCGCATGTCGAGCTTGGGGTGGCGTCAAGATGATTCTGGCGCAAGTAGGCGTGCGCTGTCCTCCCCATTCTCCGGTTTGGTTCCGGTAAGGCCGTCATGTCCGCCATGCACGAGATAAGCAGGGCGGTTGGGGAGATGACACCGATGACCTTAGGTAAGGCGCCGGTGGAGGCCATGCAGAGCCCTGAGCTTAAGCCGCCGCTTGGCCGTCATATCACCGTACGGCCCCCACGGCGGCCATGGCGGCCAGGCGCGCCCAGGCAACAGGCGTCAGAGGCCGAGCCTGGCTGCCCGAGCGTGGTGGCCCAGATTTATTTTCTTTCGGGGTGACTTCCGACCTTTCGAGTAACGCGACGTCAACGCCAACCCCCTTCTTGGCTTCTCCACAGTCGTCACATCCCATCTCCCAGAACACTCTACGGCTCTCTTGACTACCTGACTTCATTCACTCACCATGGGATTCTTCAGCCGCTCCAAGGACAACTCGGCCAACTCGAGCTCGGCTTCTGTCGACAAGACCAAGCCGCCTGCGACGACCGACCTGTACACGGTCCCTCCACCCGGGGTCAAGCCCACCAAGAAGTGGACCTATGATGACGACCAGCTCGCCCAGGTGCGTATCACCCTCTCACTGCACCCGCGCCGCCCGTAGGGCCCGCAGTGTAAAGAGCGATATGAACACAAGCTGACATGCATAGATCAAGGAGCTCGAGGAGGTACGTTGACACCGTCCGCGGCCTTGGCCGACGGTCGCACCAAGCCGAACCATCATCTAACGCGCACAGTACACCAAGACGCTTATCCTCCCGGAGACCGACGAGTACTACCCATGGGAGAAGCGTTTCCTCGAGGACATCGGCACGCACCCCCGGTACATGCGTGCGTCGAAGTGGAAGATGGACAACGCCAAGCAGCGGATCAAAGCGACCATTGAGTGGCGTAGGGAGTACAAGCCCGAGCTCATCACTCCCGACGACGTCAGCGTTGAGGCCGAGGCTGGCAAGATGTGAGTGCGGCACCGTCGTGCGCGGGTGTCTCGGAACCGAACGTCGCGGTCGCGGCGGTCTCATGATCGGCGCCACACCAGCGCCCCCCGGCTTGCTGTGATTCCCCTGCGAGTGAGGTTGGGACTTCATGCTGACAACGCACAGCATCATCTCTGGATTCGACAAGGATGCGCGCCCCATCATCTACATGCGCCCCGGTCGCGAGAACACGGAGACGTCGCCCCGTCAGATCCGCCACCTGATTTACAACCTGTACGTTCGAGCAGATTCAGTGATGGTGGTTGGCCCGATTGGCTGACGAAGTAGTGAGCGTGCTATCGACCTCATGCCCGAGGGACAGGAGCAGGTTGCGATCATTGTTGACGTGAGTTTCTGGGAGGCGTCCATCCCCTGAGTGGTGACTGACCTATTCATCAGTACAAGAGTGCCACGTCGTCGTCGAACCCGTCGATCAGCACTGGACTGAAGGTGCTGCACATCCTCCAGAACCACTACGTCGAGCGCCTGGGCCGTGGTCTCGTCGTGAACATGCCGTGGTGGATCAACGCCTTCTTCTCCGGAATCGGACCGTTCATGGACCCGATCACGCGCGACAAGATCCGCTTCAACCCCAAGCTGACCGAGCTCATCTCGCCGGACCAGCTCGACTGCGAGTACGGCGGCAGCTACAACTACGAGTTCAAGCACGACCTGTACTGGCCCACGCTGACCGACTTCTGCTGCATCGTCCCCGCCGACGGCACCCGCATTGACAAGGCTGGCAAGGCCTGGATCCCTCCTTCGGGCAACGGAATCGTCTGGGCTTTGAAGCAGCACGGCGAGCAGCCCACCTCTGCTCTTTCTTCTGCCGGCCCTTATAAGGATGACGACACTGCCACCCTCGCCGAGAACCTCGAGAAGACGACGCTCGACGACAAGGCGGCGCCTACCGCTGCTGAGCCGGTCGCTGCTCCCGCTCCCGCTGAGGACGTCAAGGCCTAAGCCGACCTCAATAATCAGGCTAAGTCACAAGCCTGTCTCCATTGCATTCTCCATAGATTCCGTACGCACTGTCTGTCTCATATTCCGTGCCAGGATGTATTTATAATATTTCTCTTATCAGCGATATCCCACGAGGCCCCCCACTGGAAGACGACCGAGATAGCGAGCAGACACGTGCCCCCATCGGCCAGTCGGGCAGCCAGCTTGAGCTCGTCGATCGAAAGGCAGGAGGGATAGCGGGGGAGCGGAACGGTTCTCCCGCCCAGTTTCTGACGTGTTCTAGCGCACCTGGCCTGTCTCCTCTGCGCCATTGCGGCGCGCTCGCAATCGTGAGCACTCGAGACGGGTCCAATCGCAGAACGTGCAGCGAGACGCGGTACGGTGACTGCTGGACGCGCCATACGCGCCGTACACACCGGACGCGCCGTGTGCGCCGTAAGGCGCCGCGAAGGCCAATGGAAGACGCCCAGCGCCTCGATTGATCGCGATTGAGCAAGGAAGCAACTACCCTGCACCGTCGGTCTCCCTGGAATACCTGAGTGATGCCCGCTTCCAAGATGAATGCACGGCCAGCGCTGCCCCCAGGCTGGCCGGGCACATATACAGGGCATCATGGGCATAAGGAAGGGCAGACCGCATCGGGCCGAATCCCAGAACAGTAGCACAAGAGCTAGAAACGGACCGGTCAGCCGTCACCTAGTGGGTTCAGCACGAAAAGCAGTAGGCTGTCCAGCTGTCCAGCCCTCAAAGCATGTGCACGAGGCGGATCAAAACGATGATCACGTTCGTCCCATCTATGGCGCTACCAGGACTCCGGATCGACCGATCGTGACCGATGGGCCGAAAGGCAGCGGAAGCCCGGGACGGAAGGATTCGGTCGGCATTGAGTCATCAGGTTCCCACTCAAAACTGTAAATGGCAAGCACCAGAAGGGACAGTTACAGGAAGACACGGCCAAGGACAGTGGATGCCCGAAGGAGAGAGCTGAAGCATGAAGCAGCCGATTCAAGACGTAAAACAAACGGCACTGTGGCCAGCCTGCTCCGAACCATCCGTCCATTCAGCGGCACCGCAGCCGTACCGCGGAGCGATTGTCAGAGGCTACAAAGACGGCAGGAGTGCGGCAAGGGTTCTGCCCAAAGGCCCGACAAGCTTGTCCTCCGAGCCTCCAGGGGGGCGGTATGACGGGTTATGAGGGCGACAGGGCGCTGTCACAACTACGGGAAGCAAAAGTTTTCTTGGACGACTTTGCTGTAGACAGAAACAAGCACGCTGCTGCTCAGGTACAGCAAACTCTAAAATCTTCTTTCGGCGCACCATTGCGCCGGTCTGTGCAGGCCCACTCTTTTCATGTCTTTGATGCAGCTGCTGGGCCAACTTTGCACTCGTTTACGACTACAGCTCGACGAACCTGGTGCTGATCGCCAGGGAGACGGTGATCAGCTCTTGGCAGTAGCTATAAACTGCATAGTGCGTCATGCACGTTCACGAATCCTTAGCTAGGGACAATCGCTGTCAGGAAGCCAGAGGCATGAAACGATGTCAGCGGCGACGCTCGGGGCTCAAAGCGAGCGGATTACTGCCTGCGGGCTGTGGGTCTTTGGCCGTGGGAGGGTGAGGCCCGAGAGCCCGTGTACAGATAGGGCAGCCGCAATTAGGCCAGAACGGATCGACACGCGCCTGGCCAGTCGTGTCTCAGTATTTAGTGCACGCCGCACAGTCAGCACGGCGCACGGTCTGGGTCATTGACCTTAGTCTGCGCAGCCAAGCCGCCGGCAGGACTCCCACTCGGGCTAGTCGGATCAGAGCCGTTGCGCTCGGGATGCACGATGCAATGGGGAACAGGAGACAGGATCAGAGGTGTCCCGCTCGCTGAGCCCGCTGAACCCGATGAAGCCCGTTTGGTAAGTGGGTAAGGAAAACTTGATTAGGAATCTAATCGACTGAAAAAAGTGTGGGAGCAGGCGGCTCACGGCCCCTGGCCTGTGTCTCTCGTCCCTGGGTAGACTGCCCTGTCCTTCCTGGCCCCTCTGCCCCTGCCTGCTGCCGCGTGTATCTGGTTCTGGCATCTGCCCGCCGACGCCGCCGAGCAACAGACTGAAGCACTATCTTTTGACTGGCCCATTTTTCTGCGGGTGACCCTGAATATCATGCTATCACACCCTGAATCTACCCACACCCTGAGTTCCACGTCAAGCAGGGCGTGCCGCGCGAGCATCGTTCATGCTGTGCTGCTCCCACATCCCACATCGAGAGATAGGGACACCGAGAGGCTACGCTAGGCTGAATGCATCCCCTCAGCCAGCAGCCAGCCTACTTTGCTCGAGCCAGCAAAGTTGGGTGTGCGCGTTGAGGGCCATCGAGGCGCGGTGCCTGAGGACATGGCAAACGTTGAGAGTGAACGCGTGAATCAACGGCGGTATCAGCCTTTCCTTCCCTCTCCGATTTACCCCTACCCACCCCCGCTCCCACCCCGCGCGCGCTGTCCGCCCTCACTCACCCTCTCCCTCACCCTCATATTATTACTCCTCGCTCCTGCGTCCCATCTCTTTCACCCACCCCCCCTCTCCGACCCGTCTTCATCTTTTCTCCTTCTCTCTCCTCTCCTTCGACATCCACTCTCACTCTCTCCAAAATGGCCCCCATCCAGGTTAAGAAGATCTGCTGTAGTGAGTACCGCCTCCGCTCGCCCTCCAACCCCCATCACCGACTTTTTGGTGGACGGCCACGCTCGCCATCAAAATCACCCGGTGATCGTGGAAGACGCAACGCGTGCGCGTGCCGCGCTCGCGGCGAGACACGTTCCACGTGTGTTGCGCGTCCTTCGCTCCCTTCCATCACTGGGAGGATCAGGTGACGCGCTGTAGCCTGTGCTTTCGGCCTGATAGCGCCAAGAAGCGCGCCTTGCTACCTTCTCAGCCTCCCTCTGCAACAAGTGACTAACGTGTCCCAGTCGGTGCTGGTTACGTCGGTGGCCCCACCTGCGCTGTTATCGCGCTCAAGTGCCCCCACATCCAGGTCACCATTGTCGACCTTAACCAGGCCCGTATCGACGCCTGGAACTCGGACAACCTCCCCATCTACGAGCCCGGTCTCGACGATGTCGTCAAGGCTGCCCGCGGCAAGAACCTCTTCTTCTCGACCGACGTCGACAAGGGAATCGCTGAGGCCGAGTGAGTATTCTGATGGAGGTGCGAGGGGTATCATCCAGTCTACGAGAGAAGCACGTTGGGACGCGCGACGGGCGCGAACGTGCCAAACGAGCAAAAGTTCTTCTTGCAGCGTGCGACAGTCCTGAACACCCTTAACTTTCGAAGCTAGAGTTGTAGCTGACGTGCAGCCTCATCTTCGTCTCCGTGAACACCCCCACCAAGAAGTCTGGTATCGGAGCCGGCTTCGCTGCCGACCTCAACTTCCTCCAGCTTGCTACCCGCCGCATTGCTGAGGTCTCCACCTCCTCCAAGATCGTCGTCGAGAAGTCGACCGTTCCCTGCCGTACTGCCGAGTCGATGCGCACCATTCTTGAGGCCAACTCCAAGCCTGGCTGCACCTTCGACATCCTCTCGAACCCCGAGTTCCTTGCTGAGGGTACCGCTATCAACGACCTCTTCGCCCCGGACCGTGTTCTGATCGGTTCGCTCCAGACCGAGTCCGGTATCAACGCCTGCAAGGCCCTCACTGAGGTCTACGCCAACTGGGTCCCCAAGGACCGCATCCTTACCGTTGGTCTCTGGTCGTCTGAGCTCTCCAAGCTCGCTGCCAACGCCATGCTTGCCCAGCGTATTTCTTCCGTTAACGCCCTCTCGGCCATCTGTGAGGCCACTGGTGCCAACATTGACGAGGTCGCCTACGCCGTCGGCAAGGACACCCGTGTCGGCCCCAAGTTCCTCAAGGCCTCCGTCGGTTTCGGTGGCTCGTGCTTCCAGAAGGACATCCTTAACCTTGTCTACCTTTCTGAGTCGCTCCACCTTCCCGAGGTCGCCAAGTACTGGCGTGCCGTTGTTGAGATGAACGAGTTCCAGAAGGACCGCTTCTCTCGCAAGGTCGTCGAGACCCTCTTCAACACCATCACTGGCAAGAAGATTGCCATCCTCGGCTGGGCCTTCAAGAAGGATACCGGTGACACCCGCGAGTCGCCCTCGATCTCGATCGCCAACCACTTCCTCTCGGAGAAGGCTCGCGTCACCATCTACGACCCCCAGGTCACCGAGGAGCAGATCTGGCTCGACCTCACTGACTACGGATCGATCCCCGCTGAGCCCATCAAGCCCCACGTCTCGATCCAGAAGTCGGCCGAGGAGGCTTGCAAGGGTGCCGAGGCCATCGTTATCTGCACTGAGTGGGACGAGTTCAAGACCCTCGACTGGCAGAAGATCTACGACAACTGCCCCCGCCCCGCCTTCGTCTTTGACGGCCGTCTCATGCTCGACCGCTCCAAGCTCCAGCAGATCGGTTTCAAGGTCATCACCATCGGCACTGGCGACCGTGTCTAAGCACACCCTTTTGTCCTCTTAGACGACTTTACCCCCCATTTATTATGTAGATACTCCGCACACCACCATCTCTTAGCTCATACATAGCATCCTGTACATTGGATTGGACACTGGCTCTGGAAAATAGGGCAGTTATAGATTGTGCCATGAATCTGTGCTGCTGTAATCGAACTGCGCTTCAGACGCTTGCAGAAGCACAGAGTGCGAGCCGATAAGCTAGCGAGGCCAGCAGAGCGTCAGAAAAGTCCGTTGATTCGAAACCCCTGACGTGCTAAGGGCTAATGGGGAGGCTGTCTCGTGGCACAACTGGCCTCGTGTAGGTGGAGGACAAGGGCAAAGGTGGAGGTCGACCCCTCTTGCCACCTAGGCATTGCCTTCTTGACATGTGCCCTACCTGATCTCCCTACCCATACCCTCTAGCACCGCCGCGTTATGGAGGACGATCAAGGCTATCAACACGAAGCTACACCGGTGGTCTCTGATCTGGAACTGTAAGTGCGGCCAGGCGTGTGCGGGGACGAGGGAAGGAAGACCACGATAGGATTGAAGCGAAAGATGCGCTCCGACAGATGATGAGCGGGTTCGGTCTTACTCTGTGCGCTAGAGGCCTGCGCAAAGACCGAGGAATGTTCACTCAAGCTGTACCCAACGCAGTCCGCTGACATCCAGTGAATCGGCCATTCTGAAAGGCGTAGCGTCACACCGACCAGGTCAGTTCACACCATCGCAATCGATAAGCTGACCATCAGTCGGCCGGCACAAGCACATTCTCATCATTTCGCTGCAGACGCAAGTGCATGAGCAGACCGGGGTGTGGGTGCCGATCACGAGGCTGTGGGACACCCTGGGCGACCTGTACAACCTTGACGCTCTAGACAACATGGTACGTCCAGACTGCCTTCCTTCCCTGTGCTAACCTCGCAGTCCTCCTCCACCCCATCACTTCCCAGCAGCCCAGATCAACTATCCCCGATTCCACTTCGGCACCGGCGACCGAAACGATCTGCGTCACTGTCATCGCTGTCATCAAGCCCGCCATCGCCAACAGATGGTCCTTCAGAAAGCAAAAGTGCAAAGGTCATCAACTCGGCGCACTTTGGCCGTGCCTTCGAACTGCCTCCGCTGCGGCGCGATTCGGGCGATGAGGGAGAAGGACCAGACTCGGACGACCTCGAGTGGCACGACCTGCTCTATAGTCGTGCGACCGGCGGCGATGAGAACGAGGACGAGTGGAAAGAGAGGATAGAGCGTCAGATGCGCGAAAACGGTACCGAGAGCGGGAGTCCGACCCCGGAGGACAAGCCGAAGAAGGGCAAGCGGAGACGAGGTCGCGAAAGCACGGACGGTACGCCGCCAGCCGCGAAGCGCGGACGTGGTCGCCGTCGCCAGTAGCCCTCTTTGCATTAGAACTCATAGACAACTAGCATATATTGTATCATTACGTCTTTCAATCACTACGGCGTGTCGACCGGGTTCCATGAGCACGCCCCCTCGGCGCCCATGTCGCAGTCATCGAGCTCGGCCATATCCTCGTCGGCAAGCTCAAAGTCGTACACCTCCGCATTCTCCTGGATCCTCCACTCATTGACGCTCTTGACCTGGGGAGAGTATCCCTTCTGCAGGCTCCAGCGAATAAGGATCTGCGCCCAGGTCTTGCCGTACTTCTTAGCGATGCGGGTCAGGACGGGATCCTCAGCCCTCTGCGCGCGGACGAGGGGGCAGTAGGCCTGCACGGCGATGCCCTTCTCCTTGCAATAGGCGACAATGTCTCGCTGCTGGCACCACGGGTGCAGCTCGATCTGGTTCACGGCCGGCACAGGACCGGGGAGAGCCTTCAGGTGCGCAACGCCAAAGTTGCTGACACCGATGGAGCGGAGCCAGCCCTCCTTTGCACCCTTCGCGAGAGCGGCCCACTCGGCAGTGCGGGCTTCGGCGTTAGGTCGCGGTGCGTGAATGAGCATCAGATCGATGTATGCTTCGTCTTGCGGAGTCTCGGGCTGCAGCCTGGGGAGAGAGCGCCTTAGCTGAGCGTATACATCGTCGGACTTGGGGACATCGTGGCCGGGCATGAACTTTGTAGTTACGAAGACGGCGTCGCGCTGCAAGCCAGATCCGGAGAGAGCCCTGCCGACCTCTGTAGCCTATCAGTAGCTGGTACAAAGAAGCGAACTCACTGTCCTCGTTGTGGTATGCCTGCGCGGTGTCAACTGGTCGTCAGCCTGACTCGCCCCAGAGCCCATATTCACTCATCCTGTAACCCAGCCTCAGCGCAGTGGACACGGCGTCGCGGCACTCGTCCCCGCGCGCCTGGTACACGCCCAAGCCCAGGAGGGGCATCTTGTACCCGCTGTTGAGCGTGAGCGTGCTGCCGATAGAGAGCTTGGACATGGTTGCTGGTTGGGTAATGTGAGAATGGACATGGGCGATAATGATGTCAACGCCAACCTTAAGAGGGGGAGAAAGGTCGGTCACATCTCGGCCATTAAAAGCAGATGCGTCGCCTGTCGGTTCTTCCATGCAACTGACCGATGGAACAATGCCTGATCGGAAGCAAGGCTGCAGCATCGTCCGTATACCGTATACGTGGTCACTGCCCTCGTGACCATACATCTGCGTCTGCGAAGGCAAAACTGATCCAGCATCACGCACTCCCTTCTGACCAATTAAACCTCGTAACCAACCCCCCCCCCCGTGGACGCGACTGATATTCCTCACTACCACCTGTGCTTGCTCTTAGAGACTTAAACGGTGCAAACAGCCACCTCTGAGGCCGTCATCTACCATATAACACAGACCTTCTGATATTTTGGCGCTCCATCGCCGTCGTTAGATCTCAGAGGTACGTCAGGGTATCGAACGCCGCCCCATGAACGCGACGCGGCCATGGCGGTGTCGATTGTTGGGGACGGGTTACACGTTGGCGAGTGTTCACAACTGGCACTAGGCAGAGATCCCAGACGTGACAAGATCGGGCCAAACGTGCGCGCACCTACTAGTTTCGAGCCAGTTGCAATCGAATGCATTCAAAGGTGAGCGGGTGAGCGGCGAGACGAGTGTGTGACGTAATGCAGTCATGAGCGGTGCCCCACGTGGTTGCCACCCACTCGGCCTCCGTCACGGTACAGCCTGTGCTTGCCAGTTGAGATCGGGCCTCGACCAGCTCCGCCGCATTCATGTACCCGTCACCTGTTTGCTTGCTCTCCACATCGCCATCAACTTGAACAAGGAGCACGCCCCGACCCACAGCATCGATGCCGCCTCTGCCCCCGTCGCGCGACCGCGACGCGCCGTCGGCGGCGTCGTCCCGGCCACCCTCGTTCCACTCCACAATCACAAACAACAGCATGCGGCGGCCGCCACCCGCACTCCGCACCCCAGGCTTGGGGCCGCGCAAGGCCAAGCCCGCCGTTACGCTCGTCTTCGCCGCCGGGGATGCAGTCCCTCCCAACGTTCCCCTTGGCCTGCGCCGTGCCGTCTCGGGTGCCAGTCCCAGCGAGGAGGCGCTCTCCCGTCAGCTCGACCAGGACATGGCCGGCGAGCGCCTCGGTCTCCGAAGTAGAAGATCAAGCGCGGCGACTCTGGCGTCTTTAAGGACATTTTCGGCTGACGCCGGAAACACGGTCCAGGAGGAAGAGGGCGAATGCGACGATCAGCAGGCGGGCCCATCCCGGCCAAGAGAGAACACGGACACTCTGCAAGTACCCTCCTGTGCCGTTTCGACATCCACCCCTTCCGTCATGAGCGATGTTGAACCAACGAAACCAGAACCCCCATCAACACCCCCACGCAAGGTGAACCCAAAGCACTCGGGCGCTTGGTTACGATGGAACTCGCCGACGCCCACGTTCCCGAAGAGGGGCGAGAAGGGCAAGGGCAGAGAGGTGGAGTCTCTTGCTGAACCGGATCACAACACCGACACGGCTCCTGGCCAGCGCTCCGACGCTCCGACGCCTACCCGTAATGTTGGCACGACTTCTGCACACACCGGTGACACGCAACCTGGCACGTCAGCCTCGGCTCGTGGACCCTCGCCTTCACACGCACACGAAGACGCGGACATTAACGACGTGTCTGGCCTGCTTGGACGCAACTCTCTGAACTCTTCCACAACCACGAATCCAGTCTCATCTCTTACCTCATCCACTGCATCAAAACCCGCAGAGTCGACAACGCTAGCTGCGCCGGCAGAAGTGACGGAGAAGGAAGTTGAGGCGCCGACACAGTCCGATCCGCAGAGCGATCCTCCACCGGCACCTCAACCAGAGGCGCAGTCGCAGGCTCAGCCAGAACCGCCCAAAGGCTGGCTTGAGTACGTCTTCGGTCCCAGCCGGCCCAGGGCGTCTGCGCCGGCGGCTAAGACATCCAGCACTTCCCGTGCGTCTGCGCCCGCGTCTACGCCCTCTCGCGCTTCCACTCCCACCGTTCACCCAGCCCCCTCCACCCAAGCTATTGCCACCAAGAACAAGGCTGAGAGTGTGGTCTCAACTTCCAGCACTTCACGGCCACCTGTCACGGCTCACTCTTCTCATGGCCCAGCAATGAACGGTAACGGCAACGAGCCTAACGCCAAACGCTGCAAACTCGATCCGGAGATCGCATCCCTCGCTCCGTCCACGACTCCGACAAAGGCTCCCCCGACCGTCTCCAGCACGTCAGCAGCCAAGCTGATGGCACGTGAATCACCGGCCGCAGCATCCCTCAAGGCTACGAGCACACGCAACGGTCGACCGGGTCACGTACCGTCCACCACGACGCAGCCGACACCCAACATGCCCTCCGAGCCCTCGTCCAAGGCTTCCTCCGCCGCCGGTTCGGCACCGCACACGCCTGTGCGCCGCTCCATGGACTCCACACGAGAGCCTGATTCTCCGGCCGATGACCCCGACTTGACGCCCAAGGCGGAGCCCATGCATGTCGCTGAAGTACAAGGGTGGGGAGCGTACTTCACCTCGTTTGTTTTCTCATCGACTGTCAGCACGCCGGCGAAGCCCCAGGAACAGCCCGAGCGCCCTAAGAATACGACGGGCCACAGCAAGGACAGCGATGCGACCATTGTGGAAGCCACTGATCCCGCAGCCGATCAGAAACCTCTTCCGACAGAAGAACTCCCTGGCCAGCCCGACGAACGCACGTCGACGCCTCCTCCTGCACACTTACCCGCCCCGCCTCAACCCGTTGCTCAAGGCAGCACCCCGTCTCCCGGAAGCAAGAACAAGCTCGCATCCTCCACGTCGTCAACAGCCGGGTGGCTGAACTACCTCGCGTTCCGCGCGAGTCAGAAGAAGATCACGGGGTCGACGGTCGGCTCATCTGAGCCTCGTGTTAGCGGCGAGACGGCCCGAGAGGAAGTTATGGACTTCGAGAACGACCCGAACTTCCCTGCGGCTGAGTCACCGACCAAAGCGGCGGCCGAGAAGGCTCTCGTAAGGAAGGAGCAGAAGGAACAGCCTGCGGCCACGCAGCGTGCCCGCGACAAGAATTTGACTCACAAGCGGTCGCAGAACTTGTCGCAGGCCCAAAGCCTTGCACTCGAGGCACGTCGCCAGTCGAGCACGTCTTCGACGCGTAGTGGTGTGCTCGCCAACGAGCGACCGCTTGCTGCTGCAAACAAGCCCAAGTCGTCGCTCCCGCCTCCGCCGCAGCCTCCAGCGAAGCAGCCCAGCCTGCTTATTCCCAGCTTCGAGACGACGTTTGACCGACCGCCTCGTTCCTTCCTTCCGAGGACTACAGCTGGTGGCGTGGCCACGGCTACGGGCGTTGCGTGGCGCGCACTCGGAGCTATGAGCAGCTACGTGTACGGAGAGAAGGAGGACGCCAACAAGGAGACGCGCGGCAGAAAGGCTGGACGAGATGTCGGCGCGGACTTGCCACGGCGCATTGGGCTCGGAAGCGGTACCCCCGACGATGGATGGAAGAACGTCCGTCGCGTCGTCGTCGTAGGTGTTCACGGCTGGTTCCCCGCCAAGATGCTCACGAGGTGAGTTAAAAGAGCCAGAACTTCGAACTAATCTCAGCGTAATCGGGGAGCCCACTGGCACCTCTGTTCGTTTCGCCAACATGATGGGTGAGGCGGTCAAGAAATTCTTCCGCGAGAAGGGAGTCGATGACTCGGAGATTCGCCTGACGCTGATCCCGCTCGAGGGTGAGGGAACGATCGAGAACCGCGTCGATAAGCTTTACAAGGCGTATCTGTCGAACCCCGCATGGATCAACGACCTGCGCCGCGCCGACGCCATCTTCTTCGCGGCGCACTCGCAGGGCTGCATCGTCACGACGCACCTGATCTCGCGAATGATCGCGCAAGGCCACATCCGCACACCGCACAATCGTGACGCTGTCGCGCGCTGCGAGTGGGCATTCGGACCGATTGCCATCGTGCCGTCCGAGGACTCAAAGAAGGGCAAGCAGAAGCTTGCGCACCTCACCGGCGCCGAAGGAGGCAGGCAAAAGGTCGCAATGCTCGCCATGTGTGGTGTGCACCTCGGCCCTTTCCTCCACATCTCGACGTCGTCTGTGATCGGGCCGTACTTGCAGTGGTTCGAGAACGCCGCTGCGCGCGAGCTGTTCGAGTTTCAAGATACCGAGTCGCCCGTGAGCCAAGCTTACCAGCGTGCTCTTGCCATGATTCTCGAGAACGAGGTCCGCATCCTGCTCTTGTCTTCGATTAACGATCAAGTCGTGCCGATCTACGGAGCCTCGTTCTCAACGGCAACGCACCCACTGCTGCTGCGTGCGCTGTTTGTGGACGGTGCGTCGTATCTGGCAGAGGACTTCATGACGAATCTCATGTGCTTCGCGTTCATGTTGCGCAACGCAGGCATCGACGACCAGGGTCTGGTCGAGCACCTGTCTGAGGCGACGGCAGGCTCGCTGACCGGCGTCGGTCACTCGTCACCCTACGACGACCTCGGTTGCTACTCCCTTCTCGTGCATTACCTGCTGCACGCGGGGCCGGCCGCGAGCCCGCTCCCGCCACTCAAGATCGAGCCATTCTCAGCAAAGGACACGAAGAACGACTTTGAGCTGCCATGGATTATGCGCGCGCTCGTTGACTCACCCGAAATCAACGACTTGTTCCCGTCTGAGGTGCGCCAGCTGAAGGAGTCGATTGCCGACTGGAAACCGAACACGAAGGCGTTGAAGGAGATCAAGAAGCGTCTTGAGCCCATGGCCGGACGCAAGCGCCGCGTCGCCAGCGGCCTCTCGGGCCTGAACACCGTTAACAGCAGCACGTCGTCACTGCCCGGGCTGGTGAACGAGGCTGGCGCGGAGACGGGCAAGAAACAACCATCAAAGCCTCAGAGCAAGCTGTGAGTATTCTGGCGGAACGCGAGCTAACGCCCTAGGCGCTGAGCACGAGTAGACTTTCTAGAGCCACAGAGCAAAGACAGACGATTCGTTCAGAGTGTGCTGCCGACGCAGCCACTCTCACTGTCCCACCGATCACTGTATAAACACTTTTACTCACCGCACGAACACCACATCCATTCAACGGATCCAGTTGCAGAATCTCTGTTGTAGAATAGAGCCCCGGTCTCACATGCATCATCTTTTTGTCATTGAGTGGCTGCTGCAGTTGGGTGATAGATAAATGCATCTACGCTTAGGGGTCTAAGGGAGGCGGCTGCGGGCAGGCTGTACGCCCACAGTACACCGTGACAAGACAATTCTACATGACTGGAGCAAGTCCGAGCGCTTAAGCGAACTCGGTGAACTTGCCGGCGCCCTTGTCGCCGAGGGCGGCGACCTGGGCCTTGAGGACCTCCTTGACGGGCTCGCCGGTGCCGGCAGCCTCGACCTTCTCCTTGAGGCCCTTGATGGCCTCGGGCTCGGAGAGCTCGACAATGGCGTCGAGCTCGGCGAGCTGCTTCTCGATGACGGCAGCGGAGGGGGCGGAGCCAGCGGCCTGGAAGTAGTTCGAGTTGGCAATGGCGGTGGCAACGGCCTTCTTCCACTTCTTGAGGTTCTTGCGGGCGGCCTCCTTGGCCTTCTTGGCGGCCTCACGGTCGGCCTTGGAGGCCTTGTTGGCCTCGGCCTCGGCGGCCTTGCGCTCGGCCTCCTCCTTCTTCTTCTGCTCCTCGAGCTTCTTCTTCTCGGCGGGGGTGAGGGGCTTGGGCTTGGCGGCGCCGTTGGCAGCTCCGCCCTTCTTCTTGGCGAGACGGGCGGCCTTCTCCTCCTCCTTGATGCGCTTGATGCGCGGGTCGTTGGCGAGAACAGAGTCGACGAGCTCACGAAGACGGGCGTTGTCCTCCTTCTTCATACGCGTGCGCTCGCTCTTGTTCTTCTTCTCGGTGTAACGCTTGTCGTCACGCGACTCGGAGCCCTCGTTGACCTCCTTGTCGTGCCACTCGAACGAACGCCACGAGTCGAAGTTGTACCAGAAGTCGTAGAAGCCCTCGACCTCGGCCTTGCTGGCGTCGGGTCCACCGAACTCGGCAACGGGCTGGATGTTGGAGAAACGGCCCTCGCGGACAAAGATGGGGCCAAACACCTCGCAGTACTTGTCGGCAGGAACGGTCTTCGGGTTCGGGACAGCGTCCGAGATGTTCCAGTCGACCGAGTCGAACTGCCGGCGGCGCTCCGGGTTCGTGAGCTGGTCGAACGCCTTCTGGATACACTTGAAGAAACCATCGTCGTGGTCGGCCTTCTTGTCCGGGTGATGACGGAGGACCTTACGGCGGTCTACTGGTCAGCCCAAGTTGCTGTTTGACATCCAGATGATACTCACGGGCAATCTTGATCTGGTCGTCGTTGGCGGTGTAACGGAGGTGTCCGAGACCAAGGATGGCGTAGTGGTCCTGCTTCTTCCACTCCTTCGGGTCAGAGGCAAGGAGGGCCTTGTCCTCCTGCTCCTCACCAAGACCGGGGTAGAGCTGCTCTCCGTCCTCGGCGGCCTTGGCGGCAGCCTTAGCGGCGCGGGCCGAGCTCTCGGCCTCGTCGTCCTCGGCGAACGACATCTGGAGGAGCTCACGGCGAGCGTACGAGATGTACGACGGGCCGGCAGGATAGACCTCGAGCTCCTTGGGAGCCGAAGGCTTGCCCGAGGCGGAGGGCTTGGAGTAGCCGGCGGGCGCGGCGGGGATCGTGAGGTCGATGGCGACGGCCGACATTTTTGGTGTGATGAGGGTGGTGGTGGTGATCGTCACTTTTGCGGCTGCCTCGAAATATTCACCTCGACCTCCCATAGACGCAGTGACCGTTTCCCTGAGCCCGACCGCCCGCCCGGTCTCCCACGAGGTGAGCGAAGATTTGTTTTTCATTGTTTCGGCCCCCTTTTAATCCGCACCCAACGGAACCAATCTGTCTCGCGTGGCGATATGAAGTCAATCGGCGACTTCGAGATCAGCCAACTTCGACAAGCTGGCTCAGCACAACAACATCGAACTTTGCGTCCCTCTAGCTGTCTCTTCGGGAGACCGTATTCAACCACTCAAAAGGGATAAGGCGAGCTGCAGCCCGTTCTCCCCCGGCGTCCTCTCGAGTTCGACTGCCCTTCGCATATCACCTAGCTTCTCCTGCATCGTCCTTTCCCCGCCACCTGACCCATCATGTCGCAGGCGCCCAAGGACCCGGTGACGGCGCGCATTCTCTTGTGAGTCCTTATCCTGCTGTGCATAGCTGACAAACCAGTGTGAAGAACTTGTGAGGTTTGAGTTACAGGCCTTCGGCTGACCTCAGGAACTTCAACATCTCCGGTTCAGACCTGTACGATCTGTTCGGCAAGTACGGTCCCATCCGGCAGGTGCGATTGGGAACGAGTACCGAGCTCAAGACGAAAGGAACCGCGTATGTTGTGTTTGAGTCGCCTGATGATGCGAAGGAGGCCATCAATGCTCTGAACGGTTTCCACCTGATGGAACGGTATATCGTAGGTACGTACCACTGAGAGCTACCAAGGCAGGAAAGCAAGCTAACCCGAGCAGTTCTCTACCACCAGCCAGTCAAGCAGCAAGCGAGCCAGCTTGCCAAGGCGGAGATTCGCGCAAGGGAGCAGGAACTCGAGATGGAGAAGAGGAGACTCGGCATGACGGATTAGACGTGTACGATTGGGAGACATGCATTGTATCAGTAGGTCTGACGGATCATGACGGAACGAGTCACGTTGAGCCTCTTCACCTCGAGAAGCTTTTTGTTACGGAGCAGTGAATTTGGGACAGAAATGCTGGTCAGACTGACGTGCCGGTCCCCTTGGGCTTCACCTTGGCGCAGCGGTAAACGCATCTCACGGTAGACTACAGACACTACATGTACATCACCCAACTGAACATCGATGACCAGCCTTCTTCTCGCTCCTCAATCAAGCGCTTCGGATTGCTCGCCACGGGGATCACCACCAGATCTGCTGACCGCAGTACCCACACATCGGGATGCGATCGTACGGCGACTCCGCCTTTGTGACGGGGACGCCGATACAGTTGTCTGACCGAGTCAGCGCTTGTTCATTACTCTTCTTTTATGGTCGATGCACTGGGAGAAAGTGGGATCCGACTCACCGCCCAAGTTGTCGCCGCCGTTGCCGCCGTGGCAGATTTGCCATCCGGGCGTGGGTGCTACCTGCTTCCAGGCGGCGGTGCAGGCTGGCTCGTTCTTGGCGTCGGCGGACGTGTTAACGGGAGCGGACCGTCTGCTGGGGGGAACGCCAGTTGGAAGACGCTGGCACATGCTTGGCGTTCGGGGTGAGGCTGTGAGGGAGATCGAGTTATCGCTGGCTGGGCCTGACTAAGCTTCGACCGAGTGTTCGAATGGAAACGAGGACACGGAGCAGAGGATCACTGTGAAACGGATCAAGAAGTCGTCGATATCGCGAGCTGCGACTCATATAGCACCGACATGCATTGTTCGGCGTGCAGAGCGGGGGAGGGGAGGCTGGGTGTGTTCGCTGACAAAGGGCTGCACGGAACGCAATGCAACGCAAGCATGGGTGGCAGTGAGATCATATGCTCAGCCGATTGCAGCCAGATGAGAATTCTGAAACACGCCTCTTGGCTGGACAATGAAGGCTGGCGAGGTGGTGAAACACACAGGCTGCGAGGGCACCGGGTCGTTCGCGATGGACGGCAGCCCTCTGGCTCACTCGGTGTCTATTGTTGGCACGACCTTGCTGGCTCACCAGATGCGCGTGCCGTAGGTTCAAGCTGAGTAACTCGTCATGTCGTATTCTACAAGTTGAATGCTGAAGCGCAAACGCTCTTCTCATCTAATATACACGCGCCGTTGCTAGTAACCGAACTTGTCGCGCAATCCTCGTTCAACGTCGTCCCAGTACATCTGCCCGCCCTTCCCGGCCCCCTTGCGACCGAGCCCATTCACAATCGTGTACAGCTCTGTCGGCGTGCACCCATACTTCTCGCTGTAGGCCATAATGTTGCGCTTGAACGTCTCGCGAGCGGTAGTCACGAGCGCCGCACCGCGCGCAACTCGCTGCGAGGGAGTCGACGCTGGACTCGCATTGCGGCTGCCGTTGCGACTGGAACCTGGTGTAGACGTTCGGGGTGCGTTGAGTAGATCGTGTGACCGAGGGGAGGCTGGAGTGCTCGACGGCCCGGGTTGCGAGGGGCCGGGCTGTTTCGAGGAAGGTGAGGGTACAATGGCAGCTGGCGAGTGTGGCCGAGACGCCGGGGCCGTGCGCGGGGTATGCTGCGCGGAGGGAGGCTGAGACACTGAGGCAGTCACATTCTGCACGGCTTTCTGTCCAGCATTGTCTCCTGAGGATGCTGGATCTTGCCCGGCGCTCGGTACTTGCTGCGTTGTCGCTTCAATCTCTCCCACCTCGACCCGAGCTACTGCTGCCGACGCAGCTGGCTGCTCATCGCCGTCCGAGCCGTCTTCCTCCTCCGGAGGCGCAAGGGCGATATCCGCAGACACATTTGCTCGCGAGAACGCAGAGTCCTGGGTAGACTCTTCCGTGTCGGGTTGTCCTCTTGCTGGCTCTGGCGGCTCTCTTCCCGACGCTGATGTGGACTGTTTAGAGCCTTGCGAGATAGCAGCGGTCTCCCCCGTCGGCTGCAATCGGCTTGGTGAGGTCGAAGGCTGTGGTCGCTCCGGCGTTGTAGAGCGGCGAGCTTGCTGCGAGGGGCCGGCCTGCCCCAGAGATGGCCTTGCACCGAGCACAGCTGCCCGACCACGACCGAGGGCCAACTGAGTTGCCGTCTGAGTCGACGCTTTCTGACGCTTCGTCGCCGGCCTGTCGGCGTCATCACTATCGTCCAACTCGACGAACGCCCGCCGCGCATTCTTGGGGCTCGCTTGGCTCGATGTACTGGGCTGCGTCTGCGCCTGCATCTTCTGCTGTGCGAGTCTCCTTTTAGTCTCCTTGTCGCGCTCCCGCTCAACGTCCGTCCTCAGGTCGAGCCCAATGCCGTCTGCTTGAAAACGAGCTATCCGACGTGACATGATCGCTTTGTTCTTCTTGAAGCGTTCATGCCATGACTGCGCCGTGTGGTGTGCCGCTGTCGTGAAGAGTTCCGCTCCCTGTTTGGATACCTGCATATTAGCAATTGCATTGAAGGCGCCCCACTCACAAGGTCCTGGTACGTCTTGCGGGAGCCATGTGAGCCATGCGGATAGTAAGCCGCCAGAAAGCGGCAGAGAAAGTCATCGTCGTGAGGCGTGTACTCGTTTCGTGGCCTGGTGTTAGCATAGCGAGCTCTAAGCGCAAAAACTCACCTCCCTACGGGCCGACCGGGACCCTTGCCGATCCTAACGTCTTCCTCCGACGTAACGCTCTCGACGCTTGGCGAACGCTGCGTCTTCAGGCCGAGGTCGACGTCGGTCGCGCTCAGCAGCTCGCGGCCTGCGATGCACGCGTCGACCCACTCCTTTTCAGCAGTAGTCTGCCAATGCCGCCCCTTGTCGGCAATCTCCTTCTTGACGGTACGATAGAATTCTGTCTCTCGGTTCACTACGAGGACATCCGCTTGCGAGCGCTTCGATACGATCAGGCCGCCGTGCCGACGCAGCTTCGCCTGGATGCACGCCTGTGCAATTTCGGCCGGCTCGGCTCGGTCCCGCTTCACGTTGATTGAAACCCAGAACCGCAATGGACGAGAATCGGGATTGCCTTCGCTGGGCTGGCTGACGAAGAACGGCAGGTCGAGCTCGTTGGGGTTGACCCAGCCAGTGATATGAAGCAGACGGCACATCGGGAACGGTATAGGAGGAGGAGTACGGCTGGGTGATGAGAATGGCATTGGAGGTCTGGGTATTCTCCACAGTCGCCCCTAGACTCTATCTGTCAGCTATCAGTCGTCACGGGCAGTTGACTCACCTCGGCCAGATCCGTCAACAGCTCGAGCTCATCACCCGAAAATTGATCCTCCGCAAAGCAGAGGACATCCTCTGACAGGATACCGCTCATATCCCTGGCGTCAGGATGCTTGTAGTTGTGCTGTACGATGTTGGTGAAGGGAAAGATGCAAGTTCCAAACGGTCGCCTGAAGCGCTCACATCGATTTGTTTACGCCCTCCACCTCCACCGGTAACCGTGGATTTGAAGGGGTATACCTACGCCGCCCTCACGGCAGCTGCAAGCAGCTCGCTTTGCATTTGTGAGCCGTTAGTGTGATGCACTGCCAAGTTGTGAAGCGAACATTTATTATTATGCAACGAATTATGTGCGACAAATCCTATCCAATGATTGTTCAAGCGACGTATCAAAGCGATTATTAACAACACGCTCACGGTAGTGTCGGGGAAGAGTAACCTCATGACATTGCTGTCACTGAATCACTGTAAGCTAACGACGCCACGCGGGGCGGGAGGCGAGTTTGAAGTATGGTCTATAGATCATGTACTCATGAGAACCAGAAGTGAGGGAGTGTAGAGGGTGATGATGGGGGGTTAATGTGTAGGGATATGAGATGGGAAACAGAGTACGATGTGAGGTTGGTCAAAGTCTCTGCGCTTAGAAGAGGGCAACGAGGGCACCGGCGGCGGCGATGATGCCGAACGAGGCAACGTTGGCCTTCGCACCGCTGTTAACGGAGGCGGAGGGCGAAGCGGCGGCCTTCGAGGTGGTCGAGGTGGGGGCACGCGACGAGGTGGACGAGCCGGCCGAGGGGGAGGCGGTGGCCGACGAGACAGGAGCCGAGGGGGAGGCAGCCGACGAGGGGGCGGCCGAGGGCGAGGGGGCGGCCGAGGCCGAAGGGGAAGCCTCGGCGGACGAAGGCGAGGGGGCGGCGGACTCGGAGGGAGTCTCAGAGGCGGGGGCCTCGGAGGCAGAGCCCGACTCGGAAGCGGGGGCGTCGGAAGCAGAAGCAGAGGCCGAAGCGCTGCCGCCCGAAAGGCACGAGCGGTCGGTGCCCTGGATCTGACCATGTTAGCCAAATGCGGGATAGAAGACGAGCAATGGGTTCGATGCGTGTATACTCACGGAAACGGGGGCGGAGAAGGCAGCGAGACCAGTCTTGTCGAGGACCTTGAGGGTGACCTGGGTGCCTGCAATCAGTCAGTTGTGTGTGCTTGTTCAGTTGGCGGATCTGTACGTACCGGCCTCAATGTCGATGTTCCAGGTCATCTGGTGGTCGTTGGTGCCCTGCGAGAGGTACTTGAGGGCAGGGGCGCTCTGCTGGCCACCGGGGATGACCGAGCTGTGTATTGTCAGCGTCTGTTTGCGAGTGTTTCGTGTGGAGAACGCAGAACGGGAACGTCAGACGCCGCGCCGGAAGTGATCGGCACAGTCCCTTTGCCACCTGTGTGCTTCCAGAAAACTTACACGATGTAAGGAGCCTCACCGCCCTCCCAGGTGATGAGCGAGGGCTCTAGGAAAGGTCAGTACAATGTCTCGCGGCTTCGTTTTCGACAGTGTTGACGTACCACAGAGGGTAAGAGCAGGCTGTATCAGTCAGCATCAGTTCGTGCGAGACATTCCGCGTCTTCCAACCCAGCCGTCTGTCCCTCCCTTTGGCCAGCCGCCGACAGAGACTCCTTTTGCAGATGTGCGAGCCTTGTGGGTCGACCGACTGGGTGGGACAGACGGCGGTGGGGTGACGGCGGTGGTGGGCACGACGTACAGGGGTGTTGATCTTGAGGCCGGACTGGGCGGCGACGGCACCAGCGAGGGCAGCGAGAGTAAGAGCCTGGGCGAACATTGTTGGTTAAGGAATGGAGGGTGGTGAGAGGAATGAAACGAGGAGGAAGAGGTTTATTACGGGGAAGGGGAGCAGAGAGTAGCGGTAGGAAGTGAGAGGATAGAAGAAGTGAGAATCAGCGATGGGGGGAAGAAAAGGAAGACACCGGCGATGAGGTGTGCTCTTCTTAGCTCTGCGGGGTCTGCGCTCTGCACCGCCGGACAGCAGGCTTTGGCGCTGGCTTGCATGGCGTGGGCATGGCGCTCATGGCTCGCGCTGACTTGCCGGCAGGGGGGCAGCGAAGGGCAGCGAGGGGCGCGGCGCTCTGAAGGGCTCTGCAGCGAGGGATCGCGGGGGATGGCTGAGCACGACTGATCTGAGACTAAGGCAATCGCCAGTGAGGACAAGGATCAGGGACGCGAGCAGCGTGCAGAGCGTGCAGGGGCGGTCGTGCGTGCAAGCAGAATCGCGCAGGGGACCGGCCAGGATGAGCCAGGAGGCGCCCCGTCCCTGTACTGGGTTTGGATGGTTCCAGGAATGGTGCAACCAGCGGCCAGTGGACTTGCAGCGGGGTCTGTGGTGCGAGCGCCCACAGCCGTGCCAGGCTAGGCTGGCCACTGAGTGGGGAGTGGAGGGCTTGAGCGCAGTGGTCGTGGTACGTGTGGTGGTCTCAGATCGGGTGCTGGCTTGGTGGGCTGGGGAGGTCGGGGGCCGGCCTGGCGCGGGGACCTGCCGCTGTGCCGTTGCTGGCCAGGTGCTGCGGGAGAGATACGGCCCGTTCGTGGCTGTGGTCCAACCCCGTGCAGCGTGCCGGCGCCCTCGAGCCTCGAGCCTTGACTCGCGGTGTGCACAGGCCCACTGCCGGGCTTGGCCTTGGCCCGGGTCCCTAGAGCGCCCCTGTGCTACGGATCCTGGGCGTATGGCTGCATTATTGCCGCCACTCACGTATCGATTTAGTCGCCTGCAGCCGTCCTGTACACCAGACCAATCGTGCCTGCAGAAATAAGCCGCAGGGTGCGCCAATGTAAAGGATCGAACGCGTCTCGCGGGCGCGCTTGTGCGTGCGCGTGCACTTGTTGTGACGGGCTCTGCATGACTTAGCTGCATACGTCGTCAGTGACCTGACCATCATGTTGCATGATGCTGTTTGGGCGCTCGCAACTGCTGACAACTCCGGCGCCTGAGATACAAGCGGCAAAGAATGGTCTCTCACTCAGACAAGCTAATCTATCGTGCTGTGCGCCAAGCCCAAGACTGGTGCGGGCCATGAGCCGACGAGCCGTCTCCCGTCCGCGCTCGCTTGCCCTACCACTGCCCATCCTGCAGAACGCTCTAATCATTAGCCCTATCCCTCGGACCCGCTCATTGGTCGGGCGGTGCAGAGGATCGGATAGACAATGAGGGGTCTATGAGTGGAACGGCCACCGAGTTCAGTACGCATGCAACCATGGCAAAGCCTGTGCCTCGTCGGTCCATTCGGAGACTACTTTTCAGCCAGCTACGCCCAGCGTGACAGCAGGTCCTACAGTTGGGTGGGGATCCTCGATCGAGGATCCATTGAGGATCGAGGAGGACCGAATGATAAACGCAGTTAAGCTTTCGTTATCCTGTCCCGGAACACGGGGGCTCGGGATGCACGGCGCAGTCCAGCGGAATGCTGCGAATGCGATCTGCGGCAGAACTAGAGATCCTGACTCGTTTTGTCTTCGCCGGCAACGCCCGATCGAGATAGTGACGACTCACCACCCAGCAGACCGCGTCGGTCTTGCCATCAGCCACGCCCTGCCCGCCGTCGTCCTGCCAACCTGGGCGACCCGTCCCCCGATACCGGTACGCTCACGGAGCGCCCAGAGGCTGTCGTCTGTGCTATCCATAGCTCTCCGAGACGGCCGATGCCTGCGTCAGGAGTGACTGCGTCAGCATTCAGCGCCCGGCGGCGCCAACTTGCGTGCGAGACATTCCACACCCTGCCGCCCCCTACCGCCTCTCTTCGCATTTGTTGACATCTATTTGGCGCCTACCCGGGTACATCGGCTCTGTCCCTCGGCCCCTCGGCCACTGACGCCCAAGTCGCGCAAAAGGTCATGCGCAGCACGTTCATCACTTTGTTGCTGAAGGCATGGTGAAGGGGTATGGGGGATCTGCAAGATCTCGTATCTCGCCTGCGCAAAGCTGTGCTCCGCCTTGGCAGTGGCAAGCCTGTCGACCGTCGTTGTGGTCCCACCAAGTTGAGAGCCCCGCCGCACACACCGTGCAACCTCACCAAGCGACCTCGTGCGTGCGGGGTGGTGTCATTCTACGTGCTATGGCCTGCAGCTACCTTAGACGGAGCTGGCTATTGACGTGAGACTTCTCCAAACTCTCAGACGGAAAAACGCCTCTTTATCTGAGAGCAGATGAATGAGACCCTAGCGCCATTCCGGCCCTTGCCTACCCTGCACTATGAGCTTTTTCGGTCGTTGCAACAATCGTTCCTGCACCAGGGCAGGGTGCGTGGCCGCGTGCCTTACGCTACCACGACGCGCTATTGTCCACACGGAAGTCGGACATGCTCTCCGCTCCGCCTCGCTCGTTGCTGCTGCCCCGAGACCATAGCTACATCGCAACCTCCCAACCTGTGGACGCTTCTCCATGCTCATTCCTTCATCCGAACGCACTGACACAATCATCTCAGCAGCGATACTGAATACATAAACAATAATGACATGTGCACGTCTATAAGGGGAGGAAGGTCGGAAAGCTACACTGCACGTGGAGAATTGAAACAAGCCGTTAATGACATGACGAGGACGTGGTCGGCCGATTCAGGCTGATATACAACGTAGGAACAGGTAATCTACAGCCTCATCCTGAGGCAGAGCTGCGACATCGAGAAGTCGCGATCGATAAGAAATGCTGGGGTCACTTCTGGCGGGGAAACAGGCGGCCCAGCATCCAGCGGCCGATGCAGCGTACCACACTGATGCCGGGTGTTGCATTGGCAACCGACGCAATCAGCGGCGCCAAGCCCGCATGGTGCCGCGCTCGTGGATAGCGGTCCTCGATCGCACGACGCACGCACGAGTACACCAGCGCATCGTCTACAGCAAACACTCGCGCGAGGAGTCGGAGACGTGACGCCAGTACGTCGTCTTTCGAGGCCGCCAGGGCCGACGGAGCGTGCGCGTCACGCTTCTCCTCAAGCACGAACGGCTTGTCCGTGTCACTGTCCATGCTGGCAGAACGCACGGCAAGTCCGGTCGAAGGACACATAGGGCCTACGATGTCAGACCAACGCAACGCTTAGGAGTTCAACTCACCAACGACGACTTCGCAAACATCAATTCCGGCATAACTGAGCTCCTTGCGCAATAGACTCGCCGCCTCTGTTCGCGCAGCTGCAATCATGCGACCAGCACCGCCGTCTGGCGCGCCGAAGACTGAGCGCAGATCGGCGTCCTCGACGGTGCCAGCAGCCTCGACGAAAAGCACGCGCCCGTGTGGACGTCCGGAGCCGCGGGGCGATACAAGCATATCTCCGAGAGCGCGGACCACGTTCAGCGGGTCTAGAATGTGCGCATTGTACAGCGCAAGCAAAGACTCCTCGTCGGTCTGTGTGAGGGATCCCGAGGGGACTCCGGGGATAGGAACTTCGTTTCGACTGGGCGGTGTCATTGCTTGAGGGCTGTTCGGCGATTTGGGCGCCGCGCGCGACGACACAGGCGCTGCGCAGACAATAGCGACCAAAGCCAGGTTATTCTCATGGCAGTACGCGCGAACCGTGTCTCCCGCATGAGTGAAACGCCCAGCCGTATTGGATCCTTTCGGTGGAGACGGAGGCGATGTGTAGTACTGCACGTGAGACGATAAGAACGCGTCACCGGAACTGTCAATGATGACCGGGACGACAGCGCCAGTGTGCCCCGGGTCGCGAGCCTGGATACGCTTCTGGATGCCAGACCACGCGAGAAGCAGCGTCGACAAGGGCGAGGAAGCTGGAGCGGACGACGTCGCAGGCATCAGGGGGAATACGGTATAGCCACTCTTCGCGAGGCGCAATGTGAGACTCTGTCCGGTGGCTGTACGTTAGTGAGCTGACGAACAAAACAACCCACGATCAGCAGCCCCGACCACAACGACGGCCAATCCCGAACCGGTGTCCGTCGAGGAACGTGAAGGGTCGACTCGCACGTATTGTCCAACACCTACTGTGCCTAGAGCAGCACGGACATAGTCGTTCACGAGGGAGAAAGTGGCTTCGAATGAGAGTGAAACTAGCGCAGTTATGTCTTGGCTTAGTGAAAGCAGCGCGCCAGATGACGACTGAATGGGTCGTCGACCGGGTGATCCTGGCACAATGGCTAAGGGGGGTGAAGTGCGACGGAAGTGCTCGCGGTCGCGATCACGATCGCGGTCTCGCCCTCGCTCTCGGTCACGCTCATGATCGCGATACGAATAGTGACGAGTGTCGGCAAGGGCAGGCATCTCGGAGACGACTCGACTGTTAATGGCCCAACTCGGGAATATGTCTCTTGTTGTAGTTACGAGGCGACCTCCACAAGCCTACTGGCGCATAGAGCGGGTTTGTCAATGTTGTTGTGTTGCGAGAATGAAGGGCTTGAGGGAGAAGGCAGAGAAGCGATCGGCAGACGAGCAGTTTTTGTGTAGACAGCACCCGGTAGTGTGACGGCCAGTCCAAAGTCGCGTAGGTCGTCGACAATTGTCTATCTGTGCCGTGGAGATAACGAATGACGACGATGGAGAAGGGTATTGACTATCGCTGGGCGAGTCTACCTGGAGTTCGACGTCGTGGATCGCAGATATGACGAGCGACGGGGACGCTGGGGCGGAAAGAGCGTGGGAGGCGAAAGGTTGGCAGGCGTGGAGGAGATGTTGCTGTGTAGAGGGCGTGTGAGATGTGAGAAGATGTATCAGAATGACCAGACGGATGGCCTATGGAATGATACGGTAGACGGTGAAGAGCCGGCGGTTGTCGCAAGTCGCAGCGGCAGCGCAGTGATTGCGAGATATGCGAGGGATGGTGCCGTGTGCGCGTGCTGCTGCGTGGTCTGCGCCCGGAGGATAGGCGTAGCTGTTCCCACCCTAGCGCGCCGGCGCGGTCGCGGTTGCTGTGCCGGTTCGCCTGGCGGTCGTGCACATCATAGGCAGTTCGCGATCAAAGACTGGCACGCAGGCCACGGAGGGCAAAGGCAGGTTGGGTGATGGGAATGACCGTCAGGCACCCCCTTGGACGCTAACATCCCGCCACTTAAGCTTCCAGGCTCTGGCCATTTCCTATCAGCGAGAACTTACGCCAGCCCCGTCCCGGCCAGAGCTGGCTGGGCGGCGGCGACGGCACCGGTTTGTGCAGGCTCCGAGCTCCGTGTACACCTTTCTGGGCCACTTGCGATCCTGGGTCAAGCTGGTGCCAGGTCTGGCCGTGCTGTGCCCAGGCTTTCTCCGCCCGCCCGAAGTCACCCAAGGACAGCTGGGACGGATTAAAGGGTGGGTTTCCGGCTTCCCATCCCGCTTCCGGTCTCTTGTGACACCGGTTCGACCGTTGTTCGGTCCATGCGCACACCTGCACGTGACTTCTGTCCTTAAACGATCATGTAATCGCTAGCCCCAGTCTTATCAGTTGCATCCGATCAGATTTTAAATCGTCCCCCTTCCAATCCAGTGACTCGTAGTTCGTAGCGAGCCATGTACGTCACTGTCGTTCGAATGTGCACGCCGCAAGACAATCTACATTCCGAGTTCCACTTGACGACAATCGGCAAGTGAATACGACACCGAGTCACCGGTATCCACTCGCCTCCTCTTCTTCCTTCTTCTGCACTGCATTCTCTTCACACAGCACAGACATCGCCATGCAGGACCCCCTCACCGTCCTCGGCGAAGACATCTTTGTCGAAGTCCTTTCCAACCTCGGCGTCAACGACCTTTGCTCTTCTGAGCGCGTGACCAAGTCCTGGCTCGCCTGTGCTCGCGCACACAGCTCGGGGTTGTGGAGACACGCCAGTCTAGTGGATGGAGTGGAGCCATTCGATCTCCAGACATGCAACAATCTGGCGAAGAACGGAATCTGGGGCATTGACGAGTACGACCGTCGCCCTATCGCGTTCAATGTCTACCGGTTGCTGGAGACGCCCGCAACCGCAATGCGCGAGCTACCGGAGTGGGACTGGTCCGATGTTGCCCACGATGCGGACCCAATGGAGAACAAAGGCAACGTTGATGGTAAACGACGCACCCGCGTCAACTGGCGCTACGTCTGTGAGTCGATGGCGATTCCGAGTGCAAGGAGGACGCACTGACTCTTCGTTAAGGCGAAGCCCACCGTAGCCTTCAGAACGCGTGGAGCCTCGCCCGATGTCGGCTTCGGTGGGTCACGCCCCCAACTAACACCGTGTGGCGGATCAAGTCGATCTTGGAACAGGACATTCTCCTGTGCACATCGCGGCAGACTCATCGCAACGGTCTCATCACGGTCGATCAGCACACATCGCGTCCCATCTTCTGCATTGAGGGACTCGACGGTTACGCTCATCTGGAAGCCGGACGTGGCTATGTTGTGTTCAATCGTCCGGGCATCATCGACCCTGCCTTGGGCTTTAACGTCGATGACGACAACGGTGTGTCACCCCTAGAAAGTAACACGACTGACAACAGACAACACAGCCTTAGAAGTTTGGCGCACAGGCGAAGCCCGCGCGCGTGACTCACTTCCCAAGGTCGGCCAGTCGCCGCTCTCTGCCACGGCCGTCTCGTTCACACACCCGAAAGTCTTCTGCCCGAACCGGCCCGATGGCCCGCTGCCGCGGGGGCACCTCGAGCACTATCAGACGCTGCAGCCCCCGTCCCGCTGCCTCGCTTTCCGTCTTCACGTCGACAAGGCGGATACTCCCGACGCCAAGGCTGTTGTTGCAGCGTGTGGCAGCAATGCCATCTACATTTGGCACCTGGAGGAGGACAAGCCGATGCAGCGGATTGAACGAGACTGGGCGAATATCGGGCGCCCTAACGTAGGTGTTCTGCTTAATCGACAGACTAACAGCAGTACATCGAACTGGACGACGACTATGTATTTGTCTGCCTCGACCGGCAGATGCACGTGTACTCGCGACACACGAACAAGCACGTCCTTGCGTTCCCACCGACGAGGTCAGCCGCCAGGGACACTGCGTGTTTTGCGTACTCGCTCTCGCTGGCCGATGACTTCAAGGCCGTCCCCGACGATGAGCGTAAGCGCGCCCAAACCTCCACTCTGACGAGCGGTGTTCCGGCTCCGATCGGCCGCGCGATAGTGCCCGGCTACGCAGAGGGGGAGAGTGGGTTTGATGAGGCAGTTGCACGCGGCGTCGCGATGCATGGGCTCCGCGTTAAGATCGACAAGCCCGAAGACATCGAATACTCCTTCTCTGCGTGAGTTTGCGTGTGACCTCCTCCATACTGACATGCAGGTGCCACTACACGTCGACGGACCTCGTATGCACGACTAAGACGGGCGCCATCTTCATTGTGCGCCACTACAGGGATGTGTTCCGCGCCGCCGCCGAATTGCCTGATGGGCAACGCGCAGCATTCGTCAAGAAGCACACCGTTCTTATTGGTCTGGGCACCGTCATTCGCCAGCTGACAACGTACCGCGATCACATTGTGCTCTGCACGGTGAGATGCTCCTGCACTGATCAAGCTGACTGTCAGTCCTTCAACGTGATCCTGATCAACGGCAAGAAGATTCCCGAGATCCCTGAGGAAGATGCACTCTACAGCCGAATCCTGCAGCCGCTCAAGGAGGATCTGAAGGAGCTAGAGAAGGGGATGCCGATGCGAGCTCGCGGTAACGAGGAGCCGTCGCTGGATGCGCAGCGTCCTATGCTTCGCGCTCACGTGCTACTAGGCAATCACCCGCAGGCTATGAAGTTCTCGTCCTGCGTTCAGGCGGACGCGCGCAGCATCTACCTGACGTACTGGGCAGGCGGGGAGGTCGAAGCCACCGGCGGCGCCGATTCAGGGCACGTCAGCTATCCTCCTGCAGAGGCCGTCGACGGGTTTGGAATGTGTGTCAAGGTGTGGACGTTCGGCATGGACTGAGTGGAGCAGGGAAGACTCGGTCGGCTCGAGTTTTTGAGAGAAAAGGAAATCTGAAGCTACATCATAGCGTAATCATATGTACATCTTCATGAGAGCTTGCGTGGTATAATAGCATGCAACCATAATATTCCTGTACGAGGTGTCACAGCATGCACATCATCAGACTTCGCGGGGCGAGAACTGCAGGGTGTGGCGGACGAAACAAGTCGGGGGACGTCGAAGTCATCTCACCAACCTCACCAGCGTTACCAGCAAACCTCCCCTGAACTTCAAGTTGAAGCGGCGCGCAGCAGACGCTCTGAGATCTAAGTGCATATGAGCATGTATATGTCGACAACCAAAATGACTGTATTTCTAGTGATTATGCGATATAGCGCTTCGAACTCCTGTAAAACATCACTGGTTGTCCGCGCACGAGAAAGTTCCCCTCACGGGTCCTTGATAGTCGAGAATGATCGCCTCAATACTCGTGTACAGCCCTGCTCCCAGCATGAACAGGCCGAACCCGAAGATGAGAACGTTCAGGAACGTCGTAAAGCACTTGAGGGGCCCCTTGAAGAGACGCTTCTTGTTCATCCTGTAGTAGGCGACGGCCCAGAACATGAATCCGAACCAACTCGTACACGAGCTCGAGATAATGGACAGGAAGTCCCCCATCGAGGGAATGACGTTTCCGAGTACGAAGGCCACAGTCCAAATGAGGAAGACGATGGAGAGCCAGGTGCCCCAGCCGAGCACTGTGTTGGAGTGGGCGTGGCGGGAGTTGCCGAGAATCCGTCGGTACAGGTACTTCGACGTCACGTTCGAGTAGATTCCGCCGATGATAATTGTGGGCGGGAGCACGAAGGCAAAGGCAGCTTTGCGATAGCTGGGGTTCACGAACGAGCCCATCATGGGCGCCTGCGCGTACTGTCCGAGGTAGTAGTAACCGACGACAGAAACGACGACGAAGAGCCCCATCTCGAGCGCGGTCAGAGCCGCCAGCGCCTTGGGGAAGTCCTTGGGCTCCTTCATCTCCGCAATGAAGGAGGGATACAGGATTTGGCCGTTCCAGAGGAAGGCCATGTTGAGAACCGCGTTGAGTCCGCCCACGAAGTCAGGCTTCGGAGTCGGGAATCCGCCACTCGTGCGTACTGGCCCGAGCTCTGGCCACTTTCCTCCATAACCTCCGAGAGGGTGGTCCTCGATACCCGAGAAGATGAGGGCGAGGAGGATCGCAATGCCCATGGAGATGGCGCTGAAGACACCCATCTTCGACACATCCTTTAGCGTGCGCGGGAGCGAGAACACGATGCCCATGATTGCGCTGAAACCCTGGAAGGCCACGGTGCACATGCTGTGTTCGGAGAGCGTGTTCAGGATCTTAGCACCAGTGAAGACGTGGAAGCCGATGAGCATCACGTTGTTCACGAGCAGAAAGAAGCCTGTCAGCTCGCGTGCAAGCCAGGGGAAGCGGGGGAACAGCGTTGCAGCAATGTCCACCATGTCCGTCGACTCGGGGTGGCGCATGCACCACTGCCAAAGTGTGTAGGACGTGTACCAGCAGAAGAATCCCAGGGCCACGAGCACAATGAGACCGCAAGCCCATCCCAGAACCGAGAGACACCACGGCAAGGCCAGGATGGCAAGACACACATACTCGCCGAACAGCAGTAGCGTCGCCTTCTTCCACGTCAAAGTGCGGAACTTGATATCGTGTCCCTCCTCCTTCGCGGCCAGTTCAGCGAACTGGCTCGAGTCGTACGAGCTGCTGTCATCCTCGACGCGCACGCGCGGCGCCTCGTCCTCAATCGCAAATGTCTCCTTCTCGATGTCCTTTTTCGTCCGGAACGGGCTCTGTACGAGTCAGCTGGGATGCTCTTGATGCGGTAACACTTATGCAGGGCACAACTGGGTCATGGACACCATCGGCCCTTGCAAGTACAGATGAGTAACGGCCGCATGACTAAGACGTGCACGGCATTCAAGTCATTGCCGCCACCGCCACCGATAGCGATAGGCAACGAGCCGATGGCGTCGCGGCGAATAACGATGGCCGTGATCGGCAGGGTGCTGTTGCCCAGTTGCCCACATGCCCATCAGCCGGTCCACTCACCATCTTGGCGCAAGATACCTGGTCGGCGAATCAGGACGAGGATGCTTGGTCACGGGGATTTCGTTCTTAGCCACCCGGAATGCAATCTAGCTACGGTCGGTCGGTGGTGGTGGAGGCGAGGGTAATGCGTAATGGACAGTGTTTGTGTGGGGCGAGATCGATGCGATCCAGTGCACTTCTTCCTCGTCGGCCACGAAGAACTGGTCGAGATGGAGACGAGAGTATAGGAGACGCAGAGTTGAGTTCGGGTTGGGGTTCTGTCATGTAGGCAAGGGCTGGTTGAGCAATATTGCATGTCAGCCCGACAAGCGACTGGTGACATGACAGCCTCTGGTCTGATGCCGATTCAGATACCGGCTGATGGCAGCGTCTAGCATCTAGTGCTCAGGTCAGCGGGGCCTTGGTTCGCGCGCTTGCGGTGTGGTTGCATAGCACGTCATTACACCACTAAGTCCAGCGAGCGACAACTGTTGACACAGCGCACCCTCAGGTCTGATGGGGTATGATGTATGGGGCCATGGCGTCGCTCAGGAAAAAGTTATCACGGCCCAATCAAAGATGTTAGTGACCAACAGAGGTCCAGCCCAATCTCGGTGCCGGACAGGCATCTCGACAGCACCCTGCCTGCAGTCATCTTTGATAATTCAGGACACGCACGACCATGCCAGCCGACGATTGTTCCTGGGACACTGCACTCACTGGACCAGGGTGACACATCTGCGTCCCATGCCTTGCATACCTTTTGCGACTCAGGTACTCGGTTGCCGGCGCTGATCCATCGGCCCCCGCCTCCATCACCGTTTCTCTCCGCCGAGGCACCAAACAGCGCCAAGCAGTGGCTCATATGGTCAACTCGGGCAACCCACGACCGCCGTACGCCCGATCCAGGCGAAGAGATCTGCATGCTACCGTGTACTTTTCCAAATTCCGCGATCGATACTCAAGCGTTGCGTGAAGCTGAAGCTCAATTGCGTCAAATGAGCTAGCGAGTGAGCGCAAGTCAAGGCTGTGCCTCAACGCAGTGACCCTGGGTCGCAATCTGACACACTGCCCGGTCCGCAATGTTCTTGCGGTCAAACTGCGATCGTGTGCGTGCAGCTCTCTGTAAAGTGCTGCCTGCTCATCGAGCCTGACTTCCTGGGGCGGAAACAGAGTTTACCCTAGTTCTGCGGTAATCTATCCGCGCATGCCAGCATCCAAAGACCCAGAGAGGACTCCAAACGCTCCTGACTGGTACGGCCCGAGAGACGGGGAGCGCATATCAAGACGGACCTGGGGACATTGTGGTGTGGCACTTCCTTGCAGACGTTGCATGGCCTGCGGTGCATGCCATAACTGCTTTCGCTGCATCTCGCTACAATATAGTGACTGCATCCATGGATCAGTAGCCGTCGTACGACCAGTGCCAGTTCTCGGGGGGATAGTTCTTGAAGTGGTACTTGGCGGCATGGGCACTTAACCACTTGAAGCACGCTGTCGTATCACGGCAGTTAAGGAAGTCGATCGCCAGGCCACGCTCGTGTCGCGTGGTGCCGGGGGGGGCGGCATGAGGAGAGCACTGGTTCGATGGCTTCTCATAGATGTCGTAGTGTGTCGTGCCGCAGTACTGCTTGCGAATCGCGATTTGCTCCTCCGTGGAGCGGTAGGATGACCGGTGCGAAAGGGTAACACCATCGGCCTTGGCGGCGGCCAGCATCGCCTTGAGATTGGATGCGAGACACTTGTGCACGCGGAAGTCTCCGACGAGGGTGGTGGCACTCTTCGCAACACTGGCCTTGACGTTGTCGCAGTCCGCTGCCACCTTGCCGGCGCCCCCGAAGAAGAGCGACCACGTGCTGCCACCGACCTTGCCGCTCGCCGTCAAACCGTTGGCAGTCTGAAGCTTCTTGGTCGCGGCGACTGAACTGGCGCCGAAGATACCGTCGATTTCGAGCTTGGCACCAAACTTATTAAGGCCCTTCTGGGCAGCTTTGGCGAAGACGCCAGTGTCTCCACTCTCAACGAGAGCGATGAGGGCGCTGAGAGTGGCCGGTCCGGCTGAGCCGTCGACGGTCAACCCCTTGGACTTCTGGAACGCTTTGATCTGGGCGATCGTATCGGCGCCTAGAATGCCGTCGCGGTCGGTGCGGAATCCACGCGCAGTCAGAAGGTACTGCAGGCATTGGATTGAGTGGATGCCGCTGTTGGCGGTAACAAAGGCATCTTTCCCGACATCGCGGGCGGCTAGGGCATGGGCACCAACCTCCACCCGGGAAATCTGGGGCGATCAACATGGCTTCACATGGCGATCCCTCCTTGCCAGACTTACCTCGCGCTCGATGTCGGTGACAGAGGTAGTCGAAGGGTCGACGGAAGCGAGGGCGCGGCCGACGATCACATCAGCCTCATCACGTGTGGCCAGGTTGATGGTGTCCGGGGTAGGTGCAGCCAAGGCTGAAAGAGCAGCGAGAGGGGCAATGAGTGTGGCGAGGGCAGTGAGGCGCATTGTAGAGGATCAGGTGTTGGCGGGGGGGTGGCAGTAAGGACCTGCGTGCTGGTTTAATACCGTCTCCCCGGCCTTGCGATGATGTCTTCCCCACCGACTTCTCGGGCGTTAGAAGTCCGTCGACGGACGGATGATGCGAACAGCACTCGCGCCAAGAGCCCTCCCTTCCCTTGACTCTGTCCGACCTGAGACACAACGGGCGACTCGGACTTGAGCATGGTAGTCGGAACATCTCAGGGACTGATCATGAGCTCACGGAACCCCTGCAATCGGGAGCGGCGTGGTGAGGTGAACATTGTCGCTCAAAGCCTGAGGCGAAGGCGGAGGTCGATGACAGCCGAAGGCCGCAGCTCTGGGTGCAGCGTTCTAGAGGCACCTGGCTCTTGAGCGAAAGCGTCAACGTGAACTTCCTCTTGAAACATTCTGCCGCACCAGCAGAGGCCACTCCCGGTGTTCACTGCACAAAGATGAACTCGGGGACCAATGCGAGACTCCGTCTTCTGAGCTGCCAGTCAATGTCCAGCTGACAAGAGTCCCTTGGCACGAGGAGCAACCCCACTAGTCGGATCAAGCGGCTCCGAGGGCTCAACGTGGCTGAAGAGCATACGAGGGAACTGCGACGATCGCTCCTTGCAGCGGGTTGAGTGAACGTTCGTCGTGGGTGTCCCTATCAACCCGCGTCAGCGCTGTCTTGGCTTAGGGGACAATTCTGTAAATGAGGTTCACCAGGGCTTCAGCTGCGTGGACAACTTCGTCATTCCGATGGCTTCATTGGAGGCGCTCCCGCCCCAGGGCGATTCCTGTAAACAGCCCAGCCTCAGCACGCCGTTATCACAGGTATCGAGTCGGTCACTTCGGCGACGCCCACAGATGCCCTTCGCGAACGCAATTGTTTGAACTCTATCTCCTGAGCCCACGGACGGACTCCCTCGATACCTGTTGGGCTCTGGGTTCGAATGACCGGCTCGCCGTTGAAAGTTGCTTGCCGGAGAGCAGTGGCTGTCGCCTTTCTCGTGCGATGTCGCAGGTTCTTCGCCCTTAGCATGGCCTGCTCCGCTGGTCGTGGAGAGTGCGTCGGCAAATATGCCGGACCTTGATCCGTCCACGGAGGAGAGTTTTGTGCTTGTCGGGCGAGAGTCGATCCCTCACGTCCAATCATTGAGAGGGGCAATCAAACCTCACATCCGCAGTCGGCCATGTAGGCGGGCAGACTAATGACGTTCTGCATTCTATGGCCCTGTGGACATTCTCCCGGCTCTCGGACCATCTGCCAGTCCGTCTCGCACCGCTTCACTCTTGCAAACGCACCGATTCCTTCCGTGACATCCGCGCCGAGGTGACCGCCGAACGGTGGTCCCCTTCGAAGGACTCTTCGGCACTTCGCTCAGCAAGCAACTCAAGTTACTGGAGCCATCCGGTGATGATTCCGGTGATGCCGGTTCCATGTTGCGGGGGAACGCTGAATCGCCAAACAGTGACTTTGTCTGCGGGTCCGAGAGCAAGTCGCAGACGAATCCCGCTCTGTCATCTTCTCTGAGTGGTGAGTTCATAAGGTTGGAGGTACAGCTGCTGAAGGCATACCAAAAACATGGAGAAACGGTGAATCGAACACCGGTCGCAGACATTGGCAAGAAGGAGTTGCAAAGTCTGTGTCTTACCACTAGACGATTTCCCCACCTCTGGTCGGAAAATGAGGCTCTGGTCTAATTCCGTCCGAATTACTGCCACGCCGTGTGTCTCATGTCGTTGACGTTGCACGTTTGCCCTTCTGACTGTGAGCGTCCTGTGTCGTCCTCATGCCCGCTCTGCGCCACAACTAGGTCACCACAGGGGTTTCTCCCTGAGTTCTATCAGAGCGAAGCCCGTGCCGCCTGCAGCTAGGGGTGGGGATATCATCGCATCCCAGATGCCCGCGGAGTGTCATGGTCGCCGGTCACATGTCGATGACGAGAAGGTTATTTCGAGTCACTTCTCGAACTCACTCGCATCAGATGTCAGCCGTTGATTGTCTGCAGAGGACCTATGGTGCCTTTTTGGCCATCCGACGTGATGTCGTCCGGGGGGGGGCACCTTTGGGTCCCCAGAATGATCGCCGTTCGAGGCTCGCCGCACGGACGAGTCAAGTGCCACACCGGAATCGCAGCGGCCCTCACGCCCAGGGTGGAGTCCCCTTGCTCGTACTCCGGGCTAGACTGGACTACTGAACGCGTTCCAGAAGCAAGGCATGGTGGGCAGGGGCTGACTGCGCCGTGAACCCACTGATGATCTCGCGGGGCCGCCCTCGCGTGCCGAAGATGGCGGCGAGTACATGCCAACGTCTGCGCTTTCCATGATGCACTCTTTCCTCATGCCCCACGGCCGGCGACCAGTGTGCTGGGCGGAGGTCGACTGAAATCTGCTGGATATCTCTACGCCGGCCTCAAGTAGAGCCTTACCCCGAAGCGTCGAGAGTCGTGTCGTCTCTGACGCTCACG